TTAGTTCTCGCCGACCCTGAGCTTATTTTTTTGTTCCAGTCATTATTCCTACCTATATATAATATGATGACCGTCGTGCCACGCTGATTTTTCAAAAAGTCGTTTCTGCCTTTTTGGGCGTTTACGGATAGGCAGGCAGGCTTGGCAATGAAAAAAAAAATGAAAGCCTAAAGCCCGGCCTTTAGGCGTTCATTTTCAATTTCAAAAAAAAGCGCGAGTTCAAGCCAGAGATTCGAGAAAAATTCTCACAGAAAAATTATTTTTACATGCTGAATCACAGTTTTTAATAACTCAATGAGGAATAATAAGCAAAAACCCCTGATTTTTCTCGTTAAAAACAGCGAAAAAAATCTCGACATGAAGAAAAATTTGAGCTTTTTTTGAGCCGGGCCGAACCACCAAAAAGTTCTTTCAGTGATTTTTACAGCCAAGTACAACATTGGAAAAAAAAAAATCTTGAATCAAAGATATTAAATTACGCATCAAGGCGGTTAGAAATGGAGTTTATTGCGACCTTCAGATATTATTCGATAAGGTTGCCTTGAAGCTCAATTTGAACGTAATTTTAAGGTTTCGATTCACAAAACTGGTAACGATTCACGTTTATGTAAGCCTGTCAACTGGAAAAAGTCGAAAAAAGCTTTTAAAAAACATGAAGGAAATTTTTCCGAAAAATAGAGGTGTGCCTCCACTTGGCACGCTGTTTGGACGCTCTTCATAGGAGAATCGAGAAAGGGTGTCGCGAGACCCTCTGAGGTTCATCGCAGGGTCTGAAGTCTCGCGATGGTACCTCTGAGGACTTTGAGCAAAATTAGTGAGACTAGAGAGAGACTCTCAAGTACCCCCGAGATGCCTCAGATATAGCTATAAGGTATGCCGGAGGTCCCACGATGGACACGTTATGGGGTCTACACGATCCATTTTGAGAGGAATTTTTTTGCGGAAAAAAATCAAGGTGCCCTTCTGATTCGTCTGTGTTTGTACAGACAAAAAGTACACCATCGAAGCTGTCAGAGTATTTGCAGCAACACTCAGTTGCTAATATTAATGATTGGGCTATTTTACTATTCTTGCATTCGAAATACGTCATTTTTGCTTGAAACTTCGTAAAACGGCAAAACTCAGCTTTTTTTCTGAGTTTCTGTAAGAGATGAGGTCAACTCAGAGAGCAGTAAACAAGATAATTTCAAAGGTGTGTGCCTCGTTCGTGATATGAAAACCAAATAGTTCGAAAAAAATTAATTAAAAAAAGAACGGAGCGCCGGCGATTCGATTCGAGGTCAAATAGGCTTACTAGAGAACTTCGCGAACTCGTATTCGCGGATCGAGTTCAAACTTTAGTGGTTTGTAGACCTGAGCCAGAATACATGAAAACAAGATAGAATACCTGTTAAACCGGATAGAGAACTAAGAAAAAATTTGTAGAAAATGCGCAGATCAAGCCTGAAAATTTTCAGAACACTGTGTTTTACCTTATTTCATATTTCAATACAATCGTCTCGAATGACCCAGCTATAATAAACACTTAAAACTCTATTCCAGCCAGAAGGAGAAAAGCAGAAATTTGATAATTTTCAAGCCGAAACGCAGTTAACTGTTCATTTTCAAAACGCTTTTTTTCAGTACCTTATGGGGTTTAGCAGATTTTATTGCCTGTTTTAAGTACCCTTACTTAGATCATTAAAACACCAAAGTTTGAACTTGATCCGTGAATACGAGTTTGCTTAGTTCCCTAGTCAGCTCAAGCCAATTTTTGAGTCCTTATCGGAAAAGGTCTTATCCGGTTAGAAGAATGGAGTCTTGTTCTTTTTCTGTTATCCCATTGACTCCATTTTTTTTGAGAAACTTCAGTGTGCCGCTTGTAACAGTACACACCAGTTTTCCTACTGACTTTTGGCCGCTCTGCTCAAAAATTGTGGCAAAACTGATCTCGACCATCTGCGTGCCGCAGCCGCTACATTTTCGAGCGGCAGTTCATGTTACAAAAATATTTTATGGAAAACTTTTTCGTATTTTGTGATTAAATCCCTGTAAAAACTTCATAAAAAAATTGTGAGTTCCCGGTCTTTATTGACTATTGACTATTGACATATTGACAGCTCCTTCATTTTTGTTGCAGTAATAATTCATCACCCTGTAAATTTTTTCTTCAGAAATTTTTTTCGAGCCTCGAAAGGTCCTTTAGATTTTTTTATTTCACATATTTCCTTTTTTTAATATAGTTTGTCCAGATTTGGAATGTCAAGCAGCAATCTCCGTCCCAAACAAAGCTCTGTAAGTGGCTCGTTCTATAATTGGTTTGATCTACACATAAGAGGCGGAGTTCGACCGATGACTTGACATTCAAATTCTGAACAAACTATAAACGCCGACTGTGGCATTCAAGTTCTGAAAAAACTATAAACGCCGACTGTTCGGAAAATAACATTCCAAAAATTTAAAAAAACACATTATTAAGTGAAAGGTAAATCAGTGTGACCAGTTTAGTGACCGCCTGGTATTACTATTTAAAAAAAGATGAATGCTTGAAAAAAATCAGTTATATCAACTTCAAATAATCCGAAAGGACAAAATTTGATAACCGCGCGCATTTTCTTGATGTTAGAAAGAGAGCGCAATTTCCTGTACAAAATTTGAAAAAAGAGTGCGCATTTTCCTTACGTGCGCACGAGAAAAGAGTGCGCACAGCGCGCACTTTCCAGCATGCCACGGCGTTCTTGTCAGTGAAAGAAAATGCAGAAAAAAAATACCAGGGGCGGGCGCCGTAAATCGTACGGCAGCAGTAGTTTTGATCTGTTCAGGACCCGTTTTTTTGGATTACAATACCCACCCTTTAAAAGCTCTCGCAAGATTTACGGAAAGAATTAGTTGAAAAAAAGCATTTTTTGCTTTTTCTTTATTAATACTTCTTTTAACGTTTTTTTCTATGAGTAAAAGTTATTATCCAGTTCCTTTGGCGTAGTTTGAAACCAGTTTCGTGTAAATTAGAGCCAAATTGAATTTACTGATGCAGTTTGAAGATTTTTGTTATATGAATCATCTAAATTATATTTTTTCCAGTTGTTTCATGGTTTTTTTCAGATTTAAACAAAGATTTCGCCATACGAGGTTTTTTTGAAAAATTTCTGCTTCCTATCCATTATTTGTTTTTTTCTGAAGCTAGGTTTTCAAGGTATATAAAATGTTTCTTTTTTTCATTTGCTCCTCGAATTTTTCCTCATTTCAATATTTTTTTCGTATTTACAATTGCTTATTCAATTAGAGCTGATTCACCTTCATAATATTTTTTTGTTTTCATTTTGTAATTAGTAATTTAGAGTTTTTCCCCTTCCGAAATCGTTCCTAAATTTTTTTAACGCAAGTGAATGTTTTTTTCACATCATAATCTTCAAACTGACAAGATTTCGAACATTTCAGAAGTTATTATCCTAAAATTGCAAATTCTAAAATTGAAAAAAACAATTTTGAGTATGCGATAGTGCGTCTCGGTGTGCTTACACCCTAAACATCATAATTTACGAGAAGTCTTGACCTTGCGTAATAAAAACGCCGTGGCGCTGCGGTTGAAGAAATTGAAAAATGAATAGAGCAAAATTGAATTTCCGTTTTTTCCTGCTTTTTCAAAGATGGAACGCATAAGTTTATTATTAGCTGTACAAACAAAAAAGAAATTTTTAACGCAAAAAAAAAGAAGTCGTAGGCGTCAGAAAAGGAAAAGAAAGGAGGAGAAAAACAGAGTGAATAATACCTCGTGGTGGCTGTTTGTTCAGAAGGCGCACTGGTTTGAAATTCTGGTGACCTCACAGACATACTTGAAACGTTGAAAAAACCGACCGGAAATGGTTTTCAAAAAGTTGAAAATGCTTTTGCGCGACTTTTTTCAAGGTGAAGCTACTGTATGAGTTTTTCTGCATACTCGATTTGAAACGTACAGTAGCGCCAATTTTTCGAGGTTGTCAACATTTTTTCTGCACTTTTGTGCGCACAAATCTAAAAAAAAGCATGATACTATGAGTTACAGATAAAATTATGAAATATTGAATGACTGAATCAGAAATGAATCTTTCAGAACCAGTCTTTTAATCAAAAGGAATGAAAGTAGGGTTATTTCCCAAAAAAATCCGGCCGAGAAATGGGCGAGGCGCAATTCGTAGGCAAAGCAGCGGTGAAGACGGACGTATAATAGCACACCGAGTGTCCGAAACGCCGAGAACCGAGGAAAAACGTTGCAAATCTTCGATGCGTGGTCAACTTATTTCGAAGCTTTCAAAAGGAACACCTTTCCTATCTTCTTTTACTTTTAGCTTATCATCCACCAGTTTCAAGTTTTTCCAAGCTTTCAGTTAAGATGAAGGGCCCGATTGGAGTTCCAATATCTTTGAATCACAGCGCAGTCGTGACATCAATCATCGTTCAATTAATGATCTCCGTTTTTTCTATTCTGTCGAGTTCCTTGGCTTTTTCAGATTTTTTTTGGTAGAACTTTTATTCTGACATTTTCAAAGCTTCAGTAGACTCGAAAAAGAGATTTGATATCAAATTTCGATGTGCGATTTCTCTTTATCAGCCGAAAAAATGAATAAAAAAATGAAAGCGAGTCCGTGGACACGATTTTGATTGGCAATCGCCAAAAATTTGGGAATAATCTGTACTTCCTAAAAAAAAATACTTAAAATCGACAAAAAAAACAGAAAAATCAGTATTAAAACTGTTTGCACATTCTCTCGACCCTCTTCTGTTTGAGTGCTATTTATTCCCTTAATACCTAGCCTCTGAGAGAAAAGACAGGCCCGAATAATTTCATTTTTTATTGTTCGCGTCGATATTTAAGTTGATTAGAAGAAGATTGATTCATGATTACGTAGGAGAAACCTTATTAAATAAATAGTAGAAATTATTCAATGCATTTCAAACCGTCCAACTCGCAAACAATCACAGCGAGAAATAGCAAGAGATCAAAAAGAAAATATGACGTGAAATGTGGAAGAAGCCGTCGAGGATCATCTTCGCAATGCCCTGGCGGCGTCAATCGTGCACAGAAGCTTCCTTTTCGACGCCGTCTGCCGTTCCTCGTCGTCCTCCAGAAGACTTCCCAGGTAACCGATGTAGGCGCTTGCCACCTGAACTCCAAGTTGAAGCGAAATCTCGAATTGTATTCCAACTCTCAGGGTTGAAAGCTTGGAGATTCGCAGTTCTGCGGGGATCGGAAGAGTTACTCGAAGTCGGTCGAACATCTCTGAAAGCTGTTGGACTCGATTCCGCTCGCGAGCGTTTGCTTCGTTTCTGGAAGATGCACTTTTTGAAATACCAAAATGCTTGTCAAGCTCAGTTTTTCATTACTAGGACTACTTTTTTTAAAAGCTTTTCTTTGCACACTAGTCTTAGAAATAAAAGTTATTCGGTTTACATTTGACGGTCCAACTGTACCTTTATCATTCCTCATTCTACCTAACTTTTTTTTTTTGAAACTTTTCGGCATATGCTTTTTCTAACAGAATGGGCGAAACACTTCCTGTAGACTTTTTCTCGATACTCTTTGATGGCCTGACAAAAGGAAATTCGGGGCCAATCAGGTCTAAAAATCGCTAAAGTTTTCGAAAAACCTTCGATTTCCATTGTCCGAAGTCTCCTAGTTGTTCGTGGCGCTATCAAGGTTACAGAGCAAACATGAAAAAACTTTCTGATTGACGGAAATTACCAGAGTCAGCATGAAAATAGAAATGAACCTTTTTGAATCAAATCAATTTCAAACTGTACCGATGGGACTATTATCATAATTTTTGTGATTAAGTTTTAAAATTTCAAGTTTCAAAAGCAAAAACGAAGCCGACTCACCTCCTGAAAGAAGTGGACTCGGAGTCGTTGGAATCTCGACGCGTCCTCGGTTTTTCGACGCTGGAAGAGTGCACGGATTCTGCACTTGATGAAGGCTCGGGACAGTCGACCGGCTGAACGAGGAAGTTCAAAAGAAGACTTTCATTGAACAGAGCCGCCGCCAACTGCTTCTCTATGAAGGCCATCAGCACGGCTTGAAGTGGCATTTCCGCTGTTCTGGATAGAGTATTTTGAAAGTACAGCTCTGGGAGGAATGGAACGTACTCCTCATCTCGCGGGATCGACAGATCCAGTGGCTGCGCTTCTTTCTCATCTGACTTCGTGGAGGCTTTGCTCGACTCCGGCTTTGCTAGGACTTTGACTCTCGGCATGGACTGAAGAGCTCATAGTTAAAGAAGTCAATTTTATTCGGTCTTAACGAAAATTGAGAGTCAGTTCAATGATAAGATTAAAATAACTTGATTGAGAAAAAAGGGAACAGAAATGCTGCATGAAAAATTGATCATAAGAGAGTCACAGGGGAATTGTAAAATAGTTATTTCGCAGTAAGGAATTTTTACAACTAGAAAATGAAATTGGAGGATACTGTACCCAATGTGACTAAAAAAGACCGGAAAAAGGCGAGTCTCAGCGTCTGCGGATTTGCCTGCCAAGGAACCCAGAGGGACAGTAATCGGACCGACGTTCCTCAGAACCGACTTCGGAAGGCGAGAACCCGGGGACGTGCGGCTGTGTAAGTGTGGCGTTGCCACTCAACAGCTGAACATGACAGGTGCTTTCGGCGACTCAGCTTGCCCAGCCGTTTTGATTACGTTTTTACCATCTTTTGCAGTCTCTTTTTCGCGCAATCGGAGAGAAAAACATGAATTTCTACGCTAAGGAAAACACCCAAGTTCAACTGACTGGAAAAATGGCATACCCTTCTCGAAATCATTTCAGAGCCTCGCTTCAATTTACGATGAAAATGCTTTTTTCACAAGGTAGGTCGTTTCCCTTTGTTGCTGGGAATTTCCGGAAACCTGGCCAGAACCCTTCTTGATGTACCTAATGAAGGTCCTGATTGTCTCAACCTGTACAACTACCTGTTTTTCGAGAAATAAGGGCTTGAAGCCCCGAAATAGCCTATTTTAACGGATTTGCAAGTTCTCTCGAAAAACAAGAAGTTGTGCAGGTGGAGAGTCTCGATATCTTCTTCTGGTACAGTTTTCTAGCAAAATTTCAGAAAAGTCCAAACCGCAAAGAAAAATGACCTTCCTTATCAGTGATCTTACATTTGAAGTCGCAAAGTACAATCAGTGAACTGTTTACTTGAGCCATTATGAATGCGACAGGCGTGAATGGATAACGAACAGTTTTTCAAGAATAAAAAAATGGAGCTGGATTATGAAAGGAATATATGAGGAAGAAAAAAGAGCTCATCTGACCCTTCGTTTCAGAAAGTCATGAGAAAGACGAAAGTTTATCGTGACTCCTCCAGTTTGGCCCAGCCGGCGAGGAACGGAAAAAAAAAGTGCGGAGCTTCTGGATTAGAGTAGAAGCACGCGGGACGCGTCTGTGTATGTGTGTGGAAATTCGAAAAGGGAGACCGAATTGACAGCTGTGGTTGAGAAAACACAATGAACGATTAACTCCAGATGCGACCCACGGCTCTTCCCCAGCCTTTTGCGCATTCGGAGCCCGCCGCTGGCCCTAGTCTCCCAGGTGTTCGCCAATCAGCTTCCTTTCCCACAACAATTTCGAAACCAACTCCAATGTAAACAAATGTTCCTCCCAGCAGATGTCGCCCTCTTGTGACCATCCAATCAAATGTCTTACTTTGACTTTTTCTTCCCAATTTTAATCAAGTCTAGAATAGTTCTGAGCTGACATTTTTTCCTTTTTCAACGATCATCTTTTTTCATAGATTTACTAAAAAAAAAGTTTTAAATATGCCGATTATCTCTAGTGATCGCTATAGCGGCTCTCAACCGATGAATATAAGTTCTGAGAACGTCCGGTTCAAGTTAACGAGGTTCGAGGAAAACCATTGTGGACTGCCTATGGAGCGCAGATGAGCGTTCAAATTTTGTACTGCAACATATGAACTTCTGAATTGAAATTGTCAAAAATTATTTAACTAATCGGTTATTTTTTTTCTGTCTGAATTTTTCGAATTATATGCTTCCATAAAGAAATTTTCAGAAACATAGCACTTTCTAATCCAGGAAAACTAAAACTTCACTTTAGCTTGAAAAATGGAAGCAATAAAATTTTGAGCGGCGTAAAAAATCCAAAAATTACCTTAAAAAAATTGACTTTTCAAAACTGGTACCGCCAATCTCTTTTTCTGCAGAACAAAAAGTTAATATACTCTTCTTGGATCAAATTATTAATTTCTGAAAACTTTCGATTTTTCTAATTGAATGTCCTAAACCTTCTTAAATCTAGCGAAAAATTTTTTTCGAGAAAATATAATCTTATGAAACATTTTAGAATAAAAAAAGTGAAGTTACTACTGTTTACGGGGCGATCCAAAAGACTATTTTTTTATAATTATATCTGATCTAAAAAAAGTTCTTTTCCCAAGGAAGCCAAGAGTATACCATTTATTCTGTCCGAATCCCGTAACAAAAAAATAAAACATAAATTAAGGTTCAAAAAAGTTTCAAGCCTCGAACAGCGTTTTTGACCTCGTCCTTAGGGTATGGCTTCAATGCGATGCACACTGGAAAGCCGTCTTCGATCCAAACCTTCAAAAGTCGAAAGGATACTCCAAAAATAAAGAAAATAAAACCTTGTGATCAATCTTCCTTTCCACCAGTTTGCTCTCCACTTTCCGAATCTCTTCTTCTGAATCGACCTGAAAAAAAAACAGATTTTGATATTCTGGCTTGAAAAAACAAACTCCGAGCGTGACTTTGTGCATGTGGTCGAGGTCGGCAGTGTAGGCTATCGTATTCGGATCATCCCTTAAAATTAGAATTTTATTTAAAAAAACTGAAAATACAAAATCGAAATCATTTGAAAAAACAATATCAGAAAAATTCAGAAAGATTATTTTAAGAATAAAATTGAAATTTTCTGAGTAAAAATTGTGAAATAAATGCTACAGGAATGGTTAGCATTATAAATTGATGATTCAGGCTAGCAGAAAAGATCAAAAGCCATATGAAACAATGAAAACTTCAAAACGGCAAAAATATACCAAAGGTTATAACTTCAGAAATTGATAAACCGTGTAAAATATGAAAAGGATGCAAGAGCTGTACAAGATTCCATACTCAACTTCTATACAAGCTTCAATATTTTCTAACTCATCAAATCTATAAGATTTACCTAAATAACCAGATAGAAGCACTGGCGGCGTGGGCGGCTTGGGTGCAGACGGCGCCAAGTGGCCACTGAAGGGCAGTTGTGAGATCTCTCCGCAGGATCAGGTACATCACGTGGGAAGTGGAAGCAGCCATTCTGAGAAGTTATTGAAAAACCTTGTTAGAATCACGAAAAAGGAGCGTTTCTCAAATCGCTTGACTTCAACAACTCGAATCAATGAAAAATCATTTTATTACAAGCTATAATTCAAAATTCTACCTTTGAAGAAGAGTTTACTTGTAAATTGAATCCAGGAATGCATCGCAACATCGAACGCACTGGTGATAAACCTGAACAAAACGAATGGAACAACAAAATAACTTTAAAAAACTTGGTCGAAAACGGCCGTGCCATTGTGATAGTAAGGATCTGGAACTTCTCGGTGTCCTTCAGGATCAAAATTTCCGAGGAGATCCAACTTCGCCTTGGATTCAGCAGCCGCCATCCGCTCCAAGTCTTTCAAATCACTAAAACTGATAAAGTTTCAATAGAAATCGAGAAAAACCTTAAATTTTCGTCATCCATACCAAAAATGTAGTCAAACTTTTTGAAATCAGCAGTGCTCGTCTGCAAAAAGATTCAAACTGGGATGAGAAATTGCACGAAACTTACAACACGAGCTCGATGTTCGTAGTTCTTTATTCCAAACTTTCTCAGCGTCTGCATCGTACGCGTTTCTGGAGACTTTCCCGTATGATAGCCGATTATGGCGCTGCTGTCGACGTCCCATCTTAACCCAGTCAATACAAATTGTTAAAAAGTTGTTTTCTCATTCTAATTTCCTAAATTAAGAAGAAATGTTATTAAAAAATAGGCAAATAGAAAAAGGAAAACTAACTCTTCTCTAACTCCACGTTTTTCAATGGCATAGAGAAAAATAGCTTCCGCAATCGGCGATCGACAAATATTACCTAAAAGGTGTTTCAATGAATTACTCACAGGATAATAAGAACCTAAACATACAAAAAGTACGCTCTTTTTTGTACTGCGAGACGTCATGAATTTAAAGTCCTGAAAACTTCAATAAACAACAACTACGCGACACGATAAAGAATATTTTAGCTAAACTAGAAACAAAATCTATACCTAATAAAATTTTCCAAATAAACACTACAACAGAGTACTGCACATAAAAAAACAATGACAAGGAATAATTGTAATATAATTTAAATTGCTGTAAAGCTGAAGGTTTGCGTAAATCTACACAAGACTGGCTCGCAAAGGGACCTGACCGAGCGCACTTTCTATCTTTTTTTTTTTCAAAGTTTCAAATATTTTTTTTTGGTTTTTTTAGTCACTTTCAGTCTTTTTTTTCTTAGGTCCAAGGGTATTAATTTTTAAAGTGCGGCATTGTCGCTTTTTTTCCCAGTGTTTTTGAAATGTCATTTTGAAAATAATAACCATGAAAGTCTGCACGATTGGTTCTCTTTTTTCGATTCATCATCAAAGAGAGTTTTTCACAAGTTTTCGATTTGTTTTATAATCCTTTTTGTTGCTCTGAGGGCCTTGGCGCTTTTTTCCTTGAGATCTTATTGTTTACCAACTTCCGGTTTTTTTTGAACGCTTTGAGCCTTATAAAATTAAACTTTCCGTTGGACTGCAAAATTATTATTTTGAAATATTTTTCAATTTGAGAAGAAGGATTTTTGGTGAATTTTTTTTTCAAAGAACCTTTCTCAGAAGTCTTCTTGGTCGAAGTTTGTAAGTTTTTTTCTGTAGAACTAGAGAAGAGCGTAGTAATATTTATATAAGCGATAAGAATTTAAAAATACAATTTGAACCACATATAATACAAACAGAATTTTTCTTTGATGTCTCTGGAGAGAGGAAAGCCCCGTGGTGGTCGGCTAAACGACAAGAACGGCTGGGAGACGGTATTTCTGGCTAGTAGAAGTAGTTGGAAGGCCGGTCGTCGAGGGTGTGCGCCGCCGGCAAATCCAGGTTGACTGGCGGTACAGTCGAGTACGGCCGGTCGATCACCGACATCCCGCCGCCGCCTCCGTACACCGACGCTAGAAGTTGTAAGTTTCTAGTGGGCAAGTTAAAGGATTGAATCTTTCTGATTAGTGAGGATCTTTTTTCGAGACTTACTAGCTGACGACATAACTCGGATGTCCTCCTCGATTTCTTGGTCCTTTTGCTTCTTTCTTCGGTGGCTCATTCCGTAGCGGACCAACGCCAACAGACAAATGGATATGCATAGAATTGTCATGATGATCGCTGTAAATTTTTGAGTCATTTGACTATTAAAGTTTTTTTCTAACGGAGTTCTAAATAATTTAGATCAGACTCTGATTTGCGAATATTGGAATAACTTTTTTTCACTTTCTCGAGGCCAGAAGGCATATAAGCTTCGTGGAACATAGAATTCATCGCGTACCCAAGATAATCCATCCAACGACGGATAAGGCGCGTCCTGTGAGCGGCTGAGCGTCTTCGTTGTTCTGACAGAAGTCGACCGATCTGTTAAATTTTCTCAAGTTGAGATTTTCTCCGAAATTTTGACTTACCGCAAAGGAGTTCCTTCGACAGGGCAGCCGTTGGGAGAAGAGACGCAGACGGCGAGGCAGCCCGGCTTCTCGATGTCGATGTCGAGGTTGTCTCGCAGCAACTTCCGGAACCACTCGAGCTCGTTGTTGCAGTACCAGGGGTTTCCTGAGTTCTCTCGTTATCCACAAGCCGTGCTCCATTTTGGTCTCAACTCTTACTGTTTTTTTTTCTCTCGATCCCACTCGAACCCGTTCAGAAAAGTCTTGTTTGTCTTGTTGGGAGGGCCTCTTATTGCGCGTTTCATCGGTCAAATTATTTGCTCGAGGCGGTCTAATTTTAGAAGGTGGTTCAAAAAGTGTTTTTTGCATATAACGTGACCAGCAACGCTGAAGGTAATTGAAGATTTTAATTTCAGCGGGAAATTCTTCGAGATGAACAATTTTGATGAAAAAGTTTGAAGCAATTAATTGAAGGGGAAATTTTTTTGATCAAATTAAAGACCACTGAATTCTCCACTTTTCCGAGTTTTCTTCACTTTTATATTCAATCAAAAATTTTTTTAGTAGAGTATTCTCAAGCGATTGTTTGATTGGCAGTGTGCCTCGGGCTGTTCTAGTTTCCGAGGAATTTGGCCAAGTATTTCGTCTTTAGTTTGTCTCACGTACCGCATGCGTAAATAACCCTTCTGTCGTTGGGCTTTGGGGCGAAAGTATTGAGGAATACGTCGCTCGGCATCGTCTGCAGCAAGTTGTAGCTGAAAAGTTGTCGGAAGTTGAAAAGTTTCATATTGTTAAATGATGTTAGAAGACTCTTCCAAGATTCTTGGAAGTTTTTAAATTTTTTCGTCGTTGAAAAAAGTTTTCTTTGACTGGATTTTGTGAAGAACGCTTCACATACACAATATTTCAAGAAACAATTTTTTTCGAAGCTCGGAAATTTTCAAAGAAGATAAGAATTTATAAGACCGTTGGAGAAAATTTAGTGATCATGCTGTCCAATTGTTCATCGTTATTTTTTTGAAGCTTCCTCAGAAGTTCGTACTTTTGGAGGAAAACTGAATCAATGTATTTTGAAAAGAAACGCTCTAGACAGTAGAGTAAGATCTTTCTCGTGGTGATTTTTTGCTTCTTCCGACGCGATTCTAGCCGCTCCCAGCGCTTGACTCAGATTTAGCGTCACGTAAGGACTGGACAAATACGAAAGAAATGAGTGGTCCAAGTGCCTCTGGGCCATGCTCCTGACATTACATAACAGAGGTGTGGCGCCGTGCTCAAGAAAGAGCACGCGAGGCGCTGGGAGAAGCACTTTATTTGATATGACGCCGGTGCGGCAGAAGGATTCCAGTGGTGACTGGCCACTTGGTCGACAAACAGCCCAGGCGACGGCCTGCGAATTTTAGCCTAGATGAGCCCCTATTGATTCATCACTATTTTATTCGTACATAAAAGGTTATTAGACGGTGCATAATAGAAAACTATTTCTCTAAATTTAGGAAAAAAGTCAAATCGGGAGCTGGTTAAAAAACTCTTTTGCAGAATTTTCAGATTTTTCCTGTCAAAACAAAAAAAAGTTGGAAAAAATATGCTCTCGAGTAATGAGCAATAATGACTCTCTTTGAGCTTCAGGAATGCGAAAACAAAGACGATACATACAGTGCACACATTGAAACACGAAACACATATTTGCAATTGTCTGACCTGATGTCCAAGTGAGTCAGTGAAGGCAGGTTGGCGAATCCAAGGTTCTGAACGTTGTCGATTCGATTTCCTTGCAAGTCGATCGAGTACAAGTCATTGAGGCCTTCGAAGAAGTCGGCGCGGACTCTGAGAAATAGAAAAACAGATTAATGGCTTGAGGAGGCTAAGACTGACTGAGATAGTCGGTTCTTGTTGAGGACGATGGCTTGGATTTGTGGCGTTCGCTGGAAGGCTCCTCGTTCGATAGTGTCTACCGCAGCTTCTGACATTTCCAGTCGGATCAAGTTAGGAATGTGCTGAAGATTTTGTTAGAAACAAGGATTTATTTAGATTTTAACCATAAAAGCGTTGTTAGGAATGACCGAAATGGGAGTCTCTCCGATGCCGAGGGTCTTCAGCTGACCGATATAACGGAACATCTCCGGAGCCCAAGACGGGAACTTGTTGCCGGTCATGTAGAGGAATTGCAAGTTTGGCACACCCTAAATATGGATAGATTTTGATAGAAAGTTTTTCAATCAAACCTGGAAGGCTTGTGGAGGAATGACAGTGATGCCATTGAACTCCAAAGAAAGGGATGTTAAAACTGGGAAGTCTAGAGCTCCAACAGGAACCTAGAAGACGTTGATTCATTCTGCAAATAATTAAAAAGCAAACCTCATTGATGCTGTTCAATCCAAGGTTGAGATTGGTCAGAGTTCCTCGCTGATTGACAAGGGCTGCAGATGGAATAGCGCTCAAGGAGTTGGTTTCGAGTGAGAGTTCCTGGAATTGAAGAATTATTATTTTTTATAAACTTTTCAGTACCTGCAACAGCGTCAGAGGCCTGAAAATAGCCGAACTGCCGAGGGTCTGGTCGGTAAGACGGTTGCCAGCCAGCTCGAGCTTGAGCAAGAGGTCTTTTGACTCATAGGAGCCGAAAGCGTTTGCCGTCAGCTGCGTGATGCGGTTACGGTTGAGGTAGAGCTTGCGTAGGTTGCGGAGTCTTGGAACTCCGCTCTGAGGGATCTGTCCGAGGTTGTTGTCGTTGAGGTCAAGCTCTATCAACGAATCGAGAAGTTTTCCGTTGAAAGCCTGATCGTCGATGTTCTGTAGCGTGTTGCGGTTGAGCACGAGCCTCAGAATGGTGAACGATTGGAAGGCATTGGCCGGAATGCTTGGAACCGCTGTGTCGGTTATGGTCAGTGAATCGATCTGGAATTTTTTTCGGTTTTTTGAAGTTTATTTGAAAGCAAAGTTTTAAAAAAGATATACTGAACAAGAAATTGAGCTGAAGGATCTTGTTGCTTCAGTACATCTTTTAGGTTATTTTAGAGGAGCAAAAACAAGTTTTTAAATTTTTTCGATCCCAAAAACCTCTACTTCTGCTTTTTCATATATAACACGAGCATTTTTTTCTCTTTTGCAAACAGGATCGATTGAATAATAATGAAAAACATTGAAGATTTTATAGCACAATTGGCAGAATGAGGAACGTGGGAAATTTCATTTTATAGAACATATCCTAAGAAAGTGAGTGAAGTTGAGAGGGAACGCTTTTGAAAACTTTCAATATTTTTTTCCTCTCCGATATTCAACAAGAAGAGCTATCAGAAATAAAATATGATGAGAATTAAAATTTAACTTGAAGAAAATGAGACTAACGACTGGTAAGCAATTTGAATGAGAAAAGAAGAAGAACAACGATATTAGATCCAGTTTCTTAAAAAAATTTCTTTTCGATATGTTAGAGGTCTTCCTAGTCCATGAAAATCGTAAAAGTAATATGAATATAGTAAAACCATATGATGAAGAGAAAACATAGAAAAATGAAAAATTCAGTGAAATTCACAAGGAAAAAAATCAAAAAAACGACAAAACTATACAGAAAAAAAAATAATAATAAAAAAAAGCTTACCGGAATATCACGAGCGGCCTGGATGGCCTGCAAAGCGTTGTTGAGACTGCCTGCGTTCTGGCAGATGATGGCCACAGGTTCGTAGACGGAAGGTGCACATCGGCAAGGTCCAGACAGCGTTGGACACTGTGCGGCGACGCCGACGACGAGGACGGTGACTAGCGCCCAAGCGCTTCGGACCATCTTGAAGACGTCGACGGCCCGAGGAAGCGTGTGTTGTTGTGGTGTGTGGCTCGGCGGCTGACAAGGCAGACCGGCTCTCTCTCTGTGCTGTTGCTGCTCTGCTGCCGCGGAAGAAGGCGGACTCACTAGGAGGTGCGCGGAAGGATTAGCGCCGTCGGTGGTCGCAAAAACCGGAAAGAATGCCTGAACACGCGGCAAACTGATAAGAACATTGCGGCTGAGCCTCGTCGGAGGAGGCCAAGTTTGCGAAACACGGCGGTTTTAGTGCCGGAGATTCCGAGACAACAAACGGGGACCAGGATGAAATATTTCGAAATTCAATGTTCAGGGAAAAAAATCGGGCCATTAGCGGTATAGAAGAAGAATGAGCAATGAGTTTTGATTTTCACCTTTACACCATGTTCGCTTGTTAATGGTCAGTGAAGTTTTAGCCTTCTTTTTCAAAAATAACATCGGTTTTAAAACGAAAAAGAAACTGTATATCTTTTTGGAGACCAAATGACAACACAGAAAAATCAGAATTTTTTTAATAAACGGCAGATTGACTCTTCATTTCAAAAAAAGCTGATATCTTCATAGAAAAGATTGAAGTAAAGACAAAGCATGAAAAAAACGGATTAGAATATCTTTTTTTCGTAGTGTAAAGAAAAAAACCAAAAAATTTTCAGAATTCAGCGATATTGGAAGAAAAGAAAAGAAAACCCTTTTTTTTGTAATTTTTCGAAGAAAGGCGAAGAAATTTGAAAATATTTTATCTCTTTCGTTTTCTTTAAACTGGCATGCTTAGTAGATTTCTAGTTTTTAAGATTCCAAAATAAACACGCTGCACATGATTTCTTAGTACGAAATCTCCAACAAGAAATTGTTTCAGTGTTTTTTATTATAAAAATGAGAACGAGAGTAGGAAAAAAAAAGTTACATGAAGGCGAGGTTAGAGTAACGAAAAAAGAGGAGATCAAGTGGGATATGAGCAGTGGAAAAAATGAAGAGGAGCAATAGTTCTGACCGCTGTCCATCGAATGCAAACAGAAGAACCCAAGAGTAGGCGGAAGGAATCGAGAAGACAGCTCGGTTGCACACGGGCGGTTCCGAAGTTTTGACGCGATAGTCTCAATATGGGCGCAACAGAGGACGATACTTCACACACGAGTCCTTTTTTGTCGCGAGGAAAGGACGTCGCGTGATTTTGAGGAGTACACATACATGAAAAAGTCTGGAACCTGCAAGCTTAGAAGAGGAGTTGACCGTTCAGTTCTTTGAGGAATAGAGGGTTCAATTAACTAGGAATACGATAATGGAAATAAAAATTAGTTCAGTTAGTTTTAAACATACGACTAGTTTAGTAAGGATAAACGGCTTGGAATATATTTCGAAAATCGGATTGAAATCGCGAAAAGCTGGCTAGTAAAAATAAAATTGGTTAAGTACTGGGTTGAGTTTTGAAGGTTGATGAACAGAAAACGGATGGATTTCCTGACAGGATAACCAGTGTCAAGTTCGAGATTTTTTATTCTGAGACAACGATTGAAACGCTTTTTTTCATACAATCGAAAATTTCGTAAAAGAAAACCAAGATTTCGAAACACAAAATCAAAAGAGGCAAAAATTATTTCGACGTTATGTCATCAGCAGAAATGATAGCTTGGCAGCGGAAAGAAAATCTGAGAATAGTCTTTTGCTACCCGATTGATTTTGGATTGAGTCACGATTTGTCGGAAGTATCAGCGGAGCTTTGAAATTGGCTCGGGAGACATTATTTCGCTTGGAAGCAGGCCACAACGCCCGTCGCTGACCGGCAGCTGGGCAAAGATCGCGTTCGGAAATAGGTACGTCCAGCTTTTTCTGGACCGATTTGACATCCCCGCTATTTCGATGGATTTTTTCAGGCTGCCAGTTGCGGCATTTTTAAGATTTGTTTCAAAAATGTCTTTCTTTAACGGACTTTCTTAATCTATAAAGTCCAGCGATCACGAAAACTATTTAGTTCGGGGCAACGTGAAATTGTATGATTTACCATTTGACGGATAATCGGAAAAATTATGAAATTTATTGGCTTTCGAAAAAGAAAATGTCGGTGTAAAATAATCAGGATGATTTCGAATAATGCATTTTGAATGTTAAAAATTTTGGCACATCATCAGCTTAGAATCAAAGTTTTTCCATTTTATCTCGTTTTTTGTAGGGGCAAGAAAGATTGTAAAGTTATAAACAATGGCTTGCAAATGGAGACAAAGAAAACTGAAAATGTAGTTGGTATGTAATAAGCACTGCTGGCCATAGCCAAAGTAAAGAATTTTCAAGATATGGATTTTTTCAAGTTCAGCGAATTAAAGGAAGAGAAGGTAAAACTTTTGAGAATTCCGCTGTATTCGCTTTAGCAAATGGCAAAAAAAAATTGAAAAATGGAAATCATTGGCTTAAAAAACGAAGACAAGGTAAACGGAAGATCCACGCAACCGGCGTCGGAACCAAAAGCCGAAGGAACTGCCGGAGGCGGTTGTCGGCGGCTGCGGAGTAGAGGCCAAACCAGCTCCTCAGAGGTCGCCTATTCACCTCACTTCACACACAAATAAGCACACAGACACACGTGCACTGTTCGCCGTTGTTTGGTAGCGTTTCGTGTGCTCTCATCAGCGCCTCCGGCAACTTACCCATATCCCAGCAGGACTGGTTACCCGTCTCGGGTGTTAAGGACGACATCGCTCGTCTTCAAACAAGAGAAACGCCTCGAGTACAACTTCTTAGCTTCTTCTTCTTAAGACACAGTTAACTTCAAACCCGTGAAAAGTCAAGGTTCATAATCTGTAAACACCATGAAGAGGTCCACAGACTGTTTCTCCATGTAGAAACAGTAGGCGCCCAGCTTGTCCAGGGCTGGCGGGCGGCGGAAATGGAGACCAACCACTCAGAATTTAGATAACTTCACAGACTTGGTGTTAAGAACTGTTACCAGATGCGCAAAACCAGTAAATATACGTCGTAACAAGCTGAAAAAGCCGAAACTTGGACTCATATATACTAGAAGTGTTTCCACTTTTGAAAAATAACACCATCGGAATTCTCTCAGCCGAAATTTTTGAGCTTCTCTCAAAAAACAAAGAGAAAAGGAATAAATTTGTTATCATTTTAGTTTAATTAAGAGTTCAAATGAAAAAAACTTTAAAATTTCTGCGCAAAGAAGAAACACAAAATATGTCCTAATTGCTTGGTTTTCTCTTGAGAAATTGATTTTCTTTCTTTGTTTTCCCTATTCTTAGCCAAAACAAAATTATGATTATCTCGCTTTGTTAGTACTTCTTCAGAAAGAAGATATTCAGAGTTCAAAATTAAATTTTCAGATGACCTTGGATAAAAGATTGACTTGCATAGAGTTCTACTGCGGCATTGGTGGAATGCACTACGCTTTGAAAGGTTCGAGATGCATTTTGGATGTATTTTCCATGAGAATGAAGAAGTTGAAAGAACAATATAAAAATAAAATTAGGGACGCGAATTTTCATATCAAACCAACTCAGGCGGTTTCTCAATACTTTTAGAAAAAAAATAAGTTTTTTTTAAATGAGAATCTTTGTTCTTATATAGGTATTAGTAAGACGGTCAAGTAGAATTAGGTTTTTCCGAAAAGGAATCAAACTCCAGGAACCTCAAAATAAAAAAGGCCAAAATAGATTGGAAGCAGTTCAACTTTAGCGCCGAAACTGAGCAGCACGATTTTTTGTCAACTCAAATTTCTTTGTTTTGCGGTTCCCGGAGATCTTTCGCCCTTTTGTCTCGCTTTCACACTGTGAGATCTGCTTTCGAGACAAGGCAAACATGGAAATTTAGCATGGTTTGGCGGATCGAAAAACCTTGTTTTAGTATTTTTTTTTTATTGTTTATGGAAGAAATTTTTTTGAAAAAAATTGCACTTGAAAAAGTTCGAAGGTGAATGGTTTTTGAAATCACAGCTCTTCTCATTTAATAAAAAAACAAAAAAACACAAATAAAAAAAGACTTTCCAAAGATCTGAGATGCTTTTTCACATTTTTTGGTGTTAATATTTTAGTAATTTTGGGCTCAAATGCTTCTTCCAACACAAATTTTGATTAATAATCTCATAAAAGGTTTCAAATAATAAGTGAGGATTGTCGACTTAGAACTTTTTTTTATTTTATTCATTGCAGAAATTCAACCCGAATCGGAAGTTCGTGCCGCCGTTGACATCAACCCGTCGGCTCTCACCATTTACGCCCACAATTTTCCTACAACTTCTATTTTGAACAACAATATCCAGGTAATACTGCTTTTGTTTGTGGCCACCTTTTTCAGTCTTTCCAAGCCGAAAAGCTCGACAAACTGAATGCTGATTTGTGGACGATGAGTCCGCCTTGTCAGCCTTTCACCAAGTTTGTTTTTAGTTTTTTCTGATTTCTAATTTCTAATTCATCATTCAATTTTTGAAGCATTGTATGTTCTGCGCAATTACGCAATCTCTAGGAATTCAATCAATTTTGCTCAGGAAAGGACTCCAAAAGGGTCATGAAGACGAAAGATGCGAGTCCCTAAAGGTTCTACTTGATCAACTTGTTCTGATGGAACGCCCGCCACGGTTTATTTTTCTCGAAAACGTCGTTGGATTTGAATCCTCGGAGATGCACGAAGAGCTTCTCGATCGCCTTTGGAGCAAAGGTTACATCTTTGAAGCAAGTTTTTTTTCTCAAATTTGGGCGAATTCTGTTCCACATAGTAATTTTTATTGTAAATTGAATCTTCTTCTAATAATCAAAATTGTTTCATATTTACAAGAACCAGTTGATTCACTGTTAGCTACTGTACTTTCAGCTGATTCTCAATAGATTAACGTTCTTTTTTTCCAATAAAATATTTGGTTTTCAGGAATTCATACTTTGTCCTACTCAGTTCGGAGTGCCCAATCGTCGACCGCGCTACTACCTTCTGTGCAGAAGGAGAAGAAATAACGAACCCATTCGAACTGAAAGAATAAAGAAAGAGCCGCCTGTTCCATCCTTGGTCCCAGATCCGATAGGAAACTTCATTGAGAAAATCAACGACGAAGATGAATCCTTGCGCCTTCCGCAGAAGTCCTGCGAGAAGTTCCGCGCGGCCCTCAGCGTAGTTTCCTCGCAGAGCAGGACTTCAGCTTGCTTCACAAAGTCCTACACACATTATCTCACTGGCTGCGGATCTTTCTATGATATACAGGGGGATTCTACTGACTGCGAAACTAATAAAATCAAGGTATATCACTCACAGCAAATTTCTAGAGTACCAAAAGCTGATATCTTCAGGAAACGGAAATCGAAGGCTTGAAAATCCGAAGATTGACCCCAAGAGAAGTGGCCAATTTGATGTGCTTCCCTGCCGAATTCCAACAACCGCCAAACAGTTCCGATAAGCAAATGTATAAAACTCTGGGAAATTCTGTCAATGTCCGGGTCGTTTCTCTATTGTTAAAGTATTTACTGTCACAGTGAATGAAAATTTCAAAACTTTAAAACTAATTTCTCATCTAAAAGTTATTATAAGATTAGGGATAGCAGCCTAATTGATGATTAGGCGTTTCAGACGCCGTTCGGAGTTAATTAATGAAGTGAGTCAGGTTTGAAATCGTTTCACAGTCCTTCACAAAACACTTGGATCTTTCGTAAAACTCGACTTCGAACAAGTCGAAAAAGGTATTGTTAAATTTACAGAGAAAGCCAACTGAAAGACGAGATATGCGCCAATAAATGGTGTTTGGCGTTGTTCACGTGCTCTCGTAAAAACACGCCGTCCGGATGGTCGGTTCTGGGTCTATTATGCCGTGTTCAAAGTGATTCCGCGAAATTCAAAATAGCCGTCAGAGAAAGAGAAAGATAACTAAATTTTGGAGGGTCAGAGACCATTTTGCATTTCGCGGAAATTACTTTGAACACGGCATTACTTTCATCAGTGTTATATAAATTGGAAACAGCGAAATTTTTTTAAAAATTTTTATAAGTTACTTTCGATAAATTTGTTTTTTAATCGGACTTTCCTTTTCTGTTAAAAAAAAAGTTTGATAATAGTTTGACTGTTTTCAGTTATACTTTTATTTTCATGTTGCAATAATATACTATTTTTTTATATAATCTGTTCAAAAAGTGAAATATTTCTTAGAGTTTTTCAGTTCCTTTCAGTTATTTTTTTATTCTTTGATGATAATTTTTTTACAAACATCTTACACCAGTTTTCAGGTCTGAGTTCTTACTTTGTTTTATGCCAGCTTCTGCGAAAAGTTTCCTTTGCTCTCGAGGTTAACATGAGAATTCCTCTATTTATATCGTTTTCCCAACGAACTTTTCATTAATCGAAAGCACGGAGAGTCTCTTTCGCTGACCTTTTTGCTGTGAATGTTTATAAATTTCTTCCAGATTCTCTTTTCCAATTGTAAATGGAACCAAAACCGCGGCAAAACGTCCAAAGGCCAAGTCTTCGATTGGAAACGATGGTTCAAAAAGGCCCTCCGCCGGCAATGGCTTCCATTGTACGTTTATTTCGTTCTCATATATTTGATTTTGGATGAAACTCGACCACTGCGTTTCAAAGTTGGCAAAAGTTGCGATAAAAAGCGTTTCTTCCGAAGAAAAACTGCTTAAATATTTTTTTTGTCAAAATAAAATAAGTGACGAGATCTTTTTTTTGAGTAGAAGAAAAATAGAATTTGAACTATTACATCGAGTTTCGAGCGTTTTTTTTATTAAGGAAATTGATTTTCCTGTTTTTTGTACTGCCTTAGGGCGAAATTCAAATTTTGCCTCAAAATATAAAATAGACACGCGCATGCAACCGAGTATATACATAGTAAACGTGGAGACCTCAGACAAATCGCCTTTTTGTTTTTCATGCTCTCTAATTGGTTCCAGGCGTGCCAACGCGCCTTCTTATTCCGAATCACTGATCGCTTTCAAGAACTTTTTTTTTCTTTTCAGTTCGGATCGAATACAAGCCGCTCTATGAATATGTCGACGTCAGGAAGGTCGAGAACAATTTCTGGTTGGTCTTTCTAATTAAATTCCGTGCTTTCGAATTTCTTTTCAAATTATGAAATTGTGAGGTTTCATGAAAGCTTTTTTGCACCCTTCCGGTTTTCTCTTTTTTGTAAACTCGGCTTTTCAATTATTCTGAGGAAGCCAACTAATAACTTGGAGTAATTATGTAGCAAAAAAGAGCTTTTTTCTCACGAGTATTATATTGCAAGCTTCAGGGAAGTTTTGAGAGCTTCTGAAAGTTATAAAGTGTAATATGATTTTAATAAATGATGAAGGAATGTTCAGAATCGGCGGTAAACCCGACGCCTCGTCGAATCCGCGGAGATCCGATTCCTTCGCAGGCCCCGCTTAACTTGATGAGCACTCAGGTAATTTTTTTATAATAATAAAAACATTCTCGCAGATGTAGGGAATAATATAACTTAAAAACGAAAAAAAAGAAGAAATGATCAAGAGACAATAAAAAAATAGAGATCTTTAAAAAAAAACAAGACTTTTTTTAAAAATATATTCAAATTTTTAATGAAGTTCACCCAATTTCGAGGTTTATCTAAACGATCAAAAACAACACTCAATTTCCAAGTTCTTCTGAAATGTCAATTGAAGTTTGGTTCTTGATTTTACCATTTATCAGTAATTTTCTCGATAATTAATCGCTGCAATTGACGCTTTGGTCCGCGAATTTTTTTCATAATCGGCTCAATTTTCACTTTTTAAACGGCAAAACTCGATGAACTTCCCATCTCTGAAATGATGATTTATAGAATATCTGAAAATTCCCGTTTTTTCTTTTTCAAGTAGATTCTCATAAACTTCTTTCATTAATTGAAAGTTGTTTTGAATACTCGCGAGAAATGGTCTTTGAGGCTCTGACTTCATCAAATGATTAAAAAAATTAACTTTTTGTTTAAAGTTAAAAAGAATGTTTATTCATTTTTTTCAAAAATATAATTTGACCATAATTGGGATTTTTTTCTGAAGTTTATCTTGAGATTTATATGTTTAAAGGGCGTGCGAACCGTATTATCTTTTTTTCTTTGTGAAATATTAAAGCTTTTTTTCACGGATTTTTTTAAAAGCTGCAAGAAAGAAATATTTTTTTGCGTATCCAATTGCAACCCTCAAAAAAAGTTATGATTTGCTCGTAAATTAGAGAGGAAGCTATGGGAATCAGTATCAAAAATTTCGTTTCCCACGGCTCACTTTTTTTCCTTTTTTTTTTCTCGAAACTTTAGGCAGCATCCGAAAAAATGGTTCCATAATCTTTTTATTTTGCTCTTTTTCCATTTAAAATTTATGGAAAAACTGTCTTGAAATATGATTTTTTTTCAAAAGTCGTTCAAAAATTCTGAAATAAATGATTTTTTTCGTGCTTCGAACGTTAATGTTGAAATATCTGGACTCTTTGGACTGTAAGCTAACTGGATTTTAACATTTTCACACTTAGTTCGAAATATTTTCAATTACTGTAAAAAAAAAGTGAACTAGGTATCGCTGAATTATCTCGAAAAATTCCCTCGACTCGATTAAGCCTGGTAATTTTTCAAGCATTAATTTTTTTAATTTTTTTCATTTCTACACAGAGATGACTTTTTTTGAAAAATGTTTTTGTTTTTTTGAAATAGTTCGAAAAAAATTGATGACTTATCTTTTTCGTACTAGCTGAGTATATTCTTCTCAAAATCCTTGTAGATTTTTTTTTAAAAAGCATAGATTATCAAAACGACGAGCATGCTATTGTAGGTCATGCAAGATCTCTCCCTCTTCAACCAAAAGAACTAGGATTTTCGGTTAGGCTGTTCTCAGATTCTTCCGAAAGAAATGCTGACTGAAAGCTGCAAAAAGGACGTAGAAAGTGGTAGATTTCTTTTTTCCCAGAGCTCATAAATGTTGTATTTTACACGTAAATCCTTGGGAATTTGTACTGATAAGTATCGTATCTCACGGCGTTACTCTGTTTGAACTCAGTTGCCATAGCGCTTTTTATCCCACGCTGAAGGAGAAGCGGATAAAAAAATAAGCGTATGAATGGGTGCGAGAGAGCACGCCGACAGACGGAGGCTCACGCGCCAGAAGTGTTCACGTCACGGCTGGCGCCGAGCCAGAAGAGTTGCCAGAGAGTGGAGGCTCAAGCCTTGGAGAGAAGCCCCGCCTCGCGGCCTTCTCGCCACCGCCATTCGTTCCGTTTTTCTCCGACTCCAGCCCTTTTTTCCTTGTTTTGTTTTTTTCGCCCTTCCACGACCTCCTTATTCGTCTTTGCTCGCCGCCGCCACACTTGTCGACGTCCAACTTGACTTGACTTTTTATTAACTGCTGGCCGACTGTTTGCTGAGCGTTTTAACTGAACTGAACTGAGATGCTCGGCGCCGCTCATTCGCCTCTGTGGCCGTCTCACCACGGACAGGACTACAACCGTCCGCAGCATCTTCGTCCCAACGAAGAGGTTCGCTCCTCCATCCTGTCGCTCATCAAAATATAATCGACTAGATTGTTAAGCTCCACTTCATTCGACATTAAAGTCTAGAAAATCGGATTTTGCACTGAAGGGGAACAGTCGGTCTTTTGAAGACTTCCTAGATCTTCGACCTTCTCGGAAATCGTTGTGAATTGAATTGAAGCTTCTTGAGAAGTAACTGCAAATTTGAATTTGCTACATCCTGTGAACATGAAGCTAATGAAAACGGTCTCAATGACCTTTTCGTTCGGTTTAGTACCTCAGAAGTCAGTAGCTTTTAATTTTAAGGAAATTCTATCAAAACGAAGAGCCAAAGCAAAATTTTCGCAGTTTTTATGTTTATTTTTATGGAGCTCTCATTTTGTATTGTCTCACTCCCTTTCTTCAGACGTCTGAATAATGTTTCCTAGCATTTCAGCAAAAAAATGAGGTTCGTGTGTGGTCCGCTAGTTTCTTCTCACTTTGAGATCAAATTCTAGTAAAGAGCCAAAAACAATCCTATGAAAGAGGTGCCATAAGAGCTATCCATTGAAAATTTATGGAAATTCGGCATTCGCACCTTTTTTCTTTTCAGCGTGCGTCTGAATTTTCATATTGCTTCGAAAAATGGGAAAAAGATGTCCTGTTTTTGGCTTACTGCTGTTGGAGACCATAGGGCCATTTTTATTAATTTTCATTTTAAAAGTTTCAATTGCTTTCGAAGTTTACATTGGTTACTATAGCTTTCTTTTGTTTCTCTTCTGAGGATACGTACGAACTTTCCGAGCAATCAAATAAAATGTTGTTTTTCTTCTTTCTAATAGAATTTCTTGATCACAAGGCTTCTTGAAGCCTTTGAATTAGCGGAGAGTTTTTTTCTAATCATGTTTGGATGTTTATTTATCAATTTTCTACGATTTCGGGAAATTTAATTGTTTGTCCACTTGGCTTCAAGTCGTTACTGATCTTACTTTCAGGAGCTTTGGCTGGAGGCGATTTGATCTTTCAGCTTTTTAACACTCTGATGCTTTTTTTTCCAAATGCCAACGTTGGATTATCCAAAGTCGCGGATTGTGGAACGCTTTTTAATCTTGCCCTTGTTCTTCGTTGAGAGATTCATTTCCGATCACTGCTTCTTTGTTTGTTGATTCTACCTTGATATTCTTCCTTTTTTCAAAGCTTTTTCGCTTGTGACCGGCGTTTGAAATTAACAGGTGGAAACGTGTGGCGAGGAGGCCGAATGACGGTGATAGCGGACAATGATAGGCGATTTCGACGGAGAAAAGACGAATTGGCGAATGAATCCATGAGGCGGTAGACGCGACTGAAAACAAAAAAATATTGTACGATAAGGGTGTGACAGATAATGAGAGGTGGTGTGCAGAGGGTGGAGGCAGCGCTCGACAGACGCCGAAAAGACGCCCGAGGCACTGCCGGATTCTCGGAGACAGAAACGTCCTGAGGCAAAGGGGCGTGACCCTGTATCGCAACACTTACTCGCACACTTTTTCCTACTTTTCTCGATTCTCTCTCTCTTCAACTCCTTTTTTCTCTCTCTTCCACCCAACCGCGTGTTTTATCTTTTTCCGTCTGTTGCCTCCACCCTTAACACCAGGCGCATCATTCTCCTATTGCGACTCTCAAATCGCGCTCGCCTCGTCTTTTTTTCGGTTCATTCTTTCGCTTAAACGCTCAGTTGGTTTTTCACTAAATCCCCTCCTCTTGTGTATCGTCGTCTGCGTCTCTCTGATTCAATCCGGGAAATTCTGAACTTTCTAAGCGTACAGTACAAGTTGTGCATCGAATTGTCGAATGGCAATGCTCCGCGGCATCGCCTCTCCAGGGCTCGGAATGCCGACTAGACAGCAGTACTACGACGATGAGCCTTACCAGGCCAATGCGGCTCAACTTCGACCTTTTGCCACCCATCATGTGAGTTCCAACGGTCTTCTTCTTCTTTTCGCACTTTTCCTCCCTTTCATGAATAGACTTCTTTGTGTTCTTGTTCTTCACGCATCAATTTTTGTCTTTTCCATTCCTCTTTTCCTGTGCCACCAACTCTTTTTTCATTCAAAAAAAGCAGTTCTCCTCGGATTCGCGCACATTTTGCCGGTTTTCTCTGGATTCTGTTGGATGATGGTGATCACATCCATCTTGTCACTTCTGATTTCGGCCAATTCAACTGATTGGCCTTGGTGAATCACCATCTTTCTCAAAACCATCCATCAGGACTTTTTCTCTTGATTTGAATATCTTAAGTTATAATTCTCTAGATTGAGACAATTTTCAATGAGGTTTTTCGACTTTTGGGGAGATTTAACGAAAAAAGATTGGGAAATCTTAGCCTTATCTTAACTTTAAGACTCTTCGATAGTTCGAAAGAAACTTGTCTACTTTTCATCAAAGAATTTTTCAAACTTTTTTCGACCTTTGTTCTCGGATATTTTTTCCCTTTTTTTCAAAACTTCTCACGAAGTTTATATTGAAATAAAAACAAGGACCCAGAAGTTTCCGATTGGCGGCAAACGCCAGCCGAATAATTTATCACTGTCTATCACCTCACACAAAACTTTGCCCCGTCCGCCGTTTCAACAGATTCTCACACGGCTTTTCGTCCTCTCAAATGTCTCTGCACTTTCTTAACCCTGTTAAACTCATCAGAAAAAAAGATTTCTGAAACGGCTGGTCGAAATTTCGCAACTTCCCGCAATTCATTGTAATAATTTGTTCTGGAATGTGGCGAATGCTGAAAGTTATGAGAAACCTTGAACCGCTTGGACCTTTTCCGCGCCTTCAGTTTATCGTTTTGTATCTGAATCTTTGGCCCAGACAAACTATTCTCCATGTAATGTCTGGCAATTAGGGACACTTTTTTGTGTTTTGAAACTGAGAATGTTGTAAACAATCCACTTAGAAAAGAGATTTCAGTCCTCAGGGGATATAATACGGTGAAAATTCCTTTTAACAAATTGAAAAGTGCATTTCGTTAGCAATGTGATATCCGTGCAGTATTATCCTCCGTAAAGTACAATTAACTCATTTACCTCAAATTGTTTCTCAGTAACTCACGAGTTTTGAGCCCAATTTAGAAATGTACGAAAGCTTTCATTAAAACAATTCCTGTTGAGTTTTTTTCAATCTTTTGATTTTAAGGCTTAGAAGGAATTTTCATTTTTGTTGGATTTTTAAAAAATAATTTTACAAGCCGATAGCATTTTCTGTTGATTTTTTTCACATAAAGAAGATAATCTTCGTTTTAATTCACCTGTATCTGTGTATCCAGTAATTTTTCAAAAAATCAAATTTTTTTAAAATACTTCCGTTTTCCATGATCCACTAGGCCCCAAAAGTGACACAAATGTCATATTCTCAAGGAATAGAAGAGAAAAGTTTCAATTTCGACGTCAAAGGATGTTATTTTTGTAAAATTGAAAGGACCGTGTCTGTTTTTTTCAAATTTTTTCATATAATACTGTTGTAAAACTATTTTTTTCTGATTATTTCTGCTCGAACTTGTCTATTTAAAAATATGCCGAACGATTTTTTTCTTAAAAAAACTAAGAAAGGTTTCTTCCGAAAATTTCAAACGTTTTTTTGTCAGCCTGTAACCTTTAGCATTACAAAGAGCGAAAAATTGATTTTAAAAAAATGCTTTTCTAAAATCAAATGATGAAGAAAGAAGTAAAATGTTCAGATGGAACGACGCGAATCGGGAACGCTGATCCCGATTTCACAACGATCGCTGGCGACGTCGACACCGTTTGGCTCGGCGCCAACTTCGCACAGTATCTTTGGAAGTCCGATGCCGACGAATAGCCCACGAAAAATGCCGCAGCAACCGTTACCCTTCAATATCCAAGTACGCCTTTTTTTTCTTTTTTTTTTAGATCTTTTCAAGTTGAAGCAGAGTTTGGTGGGTTTAAAAACTTTTCAGCAGGATTTTGGCCATTTTTTAACTATCAATCAATCATTTGTTAAACCTTTTCCAGAGTTGTAATAAGCTAGACGGGGAAGCTTTACCGGCATGTTTTCTTTTTTGAAAGTTGAACCTTTAGCATTAGATTTTTTATAACTGGACTCGGTTAGACGGATTTTTAAGAAATATCTAACTCTTTTTTTGTTATTTTTACAACTTCTGAAGTAATTAAAGATTTGAATATTTGATGTCGGTTCACCCAGATCTCTCTGGCTTTTTCTGAAGATTATTTTTCTCGGAAGCTTTTTTTAAATCTACTCTAGATGTTTTATTAGGCCTCAATTTCTTTCTGAATTAATTGATCTGTTATTTTGGTGCTGTTTTTCTGGTTTATTTATCGCTCTTTTTGTTTTTAATTGGTTTGAGTTGAACTTTAAGTTCCGTTCCGCCGAGTTGACTTTGAGTTTCAAGTCGATTTTCCTCAAATTCTTCGTTTCTTGGTTGTGCCATCGGTCTCATCATTTGCATGGCGTTATCGCGAAACAATCGAACTTTTTTTTGTGTAGAATGTTTCGATTCGGCGAAATTTAATAGGAAAGTAGCCATGAAGAACCGGTTCCTTTTTTGGCGAGGGTCACGTCTCTCATTTCAGTCCTTTTTTGGCGCCTATCGCTTTGAAAGTTTACCTTTCGAGTTATGCCAAGGGGTCTATGTTCGAAACATCTTCAAGTTGAGAACGAGAAGGCAGCGGTTGAACCTAGTGGTTGGAAAAAAGTCGGAAAGATTTCAAAATGATTTATTGAATCTCACCGGTATCTTCAAAATAGATGTCAGAATAGTTTCTTCATTTTATTTAAAGATTCATGGAGACAAGGAAGGCGACACGAGAGCAATTTTCTTCGTCTTTATAAGAAAATCCGAATTAATAAAAATAATTGATACGTTCTTCGGATGTTGTTAATTGGCTCTCCCCGCGCTTTATGTTAATTTGGCTAAGTGATCTCTGTTTTTCGGTATAGCCTATTCCGCGCCAGCTTGTCACGTTTTTCTTCCCGCCAAAAAGACCGTATTCTAATTAGATCAAATTTCTGCTCTTATAACGGCAAGAAACAACGGTCTTGAAGCGAAAGTTGGTTAAATTTGACCTGGACTTTTGGCGGAAAGAAAAGCGTGACAAGCTAGCGCGGAATGGCCTATAGTGATCTCATTGCTCTGTTGCCTCGTTGCCTTCGACCTTTTGCCGCGTTTTCCAGCTGTCTGGAGAAGTGGAAGAGACTGTGTCGAGAGAGAGAGACGCCGAGACAATCATGTAGCGCCAGACTCTTGGCGCGGCGCCAAAATAGGGGGCGGAGCTCGAGGCCATCGTGATATGTCGTTGTTTCGTTCACCGGCGTTGATCTCTGGCGTTGCGGCGAGGCGAAAAAGCCGCGCGACTTCCAAAAAAGGGGTTATTAACTGTAGGTGGGGAATGTCCGGGGTTCTGGGACTTTCTGATGGTTAATAGAAAGCTTTTGAAGCTTTATGATAGTGAGGATAGTGAAAACAATAATTTTCAACAATTTTTCCCCAAATCGGCGTCAAGTTTATTTGATTAACTTTTTTAAATTTTCGAATCAAAATACAAATTTTTGATAACAGCGTCTCAGGCCTGCTAACTTTTTGTGAAAAAAAAGAAGGAGAAGACCGTAATTTTCAAGGTTATTCGACCTTTTGAGAAGTTTCCTCGTCAATCACAATCGTTAAACATTTCGAAGAATTTTATTGCTTTTTTTTGAGCCAGACAAAACCATTTCGAAAATGATGTTTTAGGAGCCGTAAACAGGAGTTTGACGAAAGGATGTGTTTCACAACGTGTAGGAAGTTGCTATTTCAACTTGTCAGGCCACTGTTTCGCAATTGGGTGGTCCAAGGCTCTCGTTATTCTTTAATCGGACGACCGCCGGAGGCGCCAAGCTGGACCCCACGTGGTGACTGGCGCGAACCCAAAACTCACGTGGTTTTTCGGGTTATTATTCTTGTCTGTGTTGCTTTGTTGGAGGCTGTTTTTCGTAAATATCTACGTATCTGTTCCTCTTTTTTTCTCTAACCTCCAAAGAGAGCCGCAGACACATTAGCGTTCTGGAAAATAGTATGGACGATCGGGAAGTTTTCGAGATCGAACTTGATGTTTTTGATTGGCTGCGCCGTTGGTGTTATTTTATTCTCTGTTTGTTTTTTCTTGCCGAGGTTCATTCCGACGAGAGAACGGGGGTGATGTCACGCCTATTTCGGTCCGACTCCTAGTTAACTACAATTTGGGCGTTTTTTCTTCTGTTTTTGTTTAGTCCGTGAGTGGGAGTTGCTAATTATAGAGCAGCCGGATTGAAAGAAATTGAGTTCAACAAAATTGCAAAAACATCTAATTTTATGGGAATTCGAGTTTGGTTCTAAAGAAGAGCCTTTGATTTTTGAAGCTTCGTTTAGTATCAAAACGACAGGTTGATAAATTTCCTAAATTTTCAATTTTAGATGAAAATGGAATTTCAATGAGTACTATCGAAATATCAACAGTATTACCCAAAAATTCCATTTTTCTTCCAAACTTGGAGCGGCTCTATAAAATTGAAAATTCTTTTTGAATCGGTAAAATGTTTTTTTTCTTCTTTTGAACTTGAGAGTGTCGTGTTCAGAACTAATCGGATTGACTTTTAAAAAGATGGACTTTGATCAATTTCATTGAAAAACTAAAATTTTCGATTTATTTTCTTCTTGAACTAGATTCATTTCCAGTTTAAAATTGAAGAGAATCCGACGAAAGTCTGAATTTGAAGAGAAAAAAAAAGAAGAAGAAGTTGGTAGGGAGGCGCTTGCTGTTGTTTGTGCTTTCTTCCAAGCACCAATGTCCTTGGTCGTCGAACGCGAGAAAAATGAGGGCATTGTTATTGTTGTCGACATTCTTTTAAAGAGCAAATTGCAAACTTTCTTCTCAAAATCGGGAATTAATAAACGTCTAACTGATATTGATTACTTCAAAGTTGAGGGAAAAAAAAGGTTGGAAAACTGGTTCAAGGGCCACGTATTGTCTCATTTTTTTTTCTCTGTGTGTTGGCGTATTTGTTTAAACAACAGTTATTCTCGGCAAGGTCGGAAAGAGCGAAATTGTCTGTGGGGGATCGCGAAAAAGAAGAAACTTTGGGCGTATTTGCTCTGACTAGCAGTTTTTGAGGACCACCATGAAGCATATGGCCTAAATGAAGCTTCCTTATCCGGAATTTTCGTTGCTGAGTTATTTTTGTAGTCTTTCTTTGCTTGAGAAAATTGTTCTTCACACTATAAGCAATGAGTACGTGAAAACAAAAGGCTTAGCAATTTTTTAGTTTTTCTTATTGTCCAAAGCTAGCGATGAATGTAGTATATGTTGGTCCCGAAATGTTTATGTTCGCCGAGAATCGACGTTTCAAACTTGTTTACCTGGCCGAATGCCAAGACTCCGCAAAAAAGTGCATCGCTTCCAATTTTTCTCTCTTTTTCGCGTTGCCTTTTTTTCTTCGGAGGTCTTAGAGATCGCGTCGCTCAAACGGGAGCAGAAAATGCAGAGAGACAAGTTGGCCAAGATTTTCGTCTCAGCCAAAAGGTGACTCTTTACCTTCAACTTGAATCTGTCAAGATTTTTTTCATCTCGAAAAAAGATTTACAGCGAGTTGAGTGACTCGAGACGCCAGATACTTTGAACATTTAATTGCTGGTCGTAAAATGAGACGCTCTTCTCACTAAGTACAAGTCTATTTAAAAACTCTTTTGAGAACCAGTATTTCGCCCATCGAGTTGGTTATCCGCGAATTTTGAGTTTTATGCCGCAGAAAATGGAATAAAAAGTTGGTTTTTATTTTTATTTGTTTTGAATACCAAAGTTTGCGGAAAAGTTGGCTGACTGAAAAATTTTGGGTGAGAAACGATCGATGATCGCCTTATTGCAAGGAAAAAAGTGTCCTCGCTCTCGAAAATCACTGATCAGAGATTATTTTTGGCGAATTTTCCGATTGGGATCGAGATAGTTCAATATCGTCCCCCGTTTTGCAGAGATCAAAAATCAATATTTGAAAATCTAATATTCTACAGGGACAGGAAATCATCGCTTGATCAAACGCCAAGCATGTTGTTGGTTTTTTGTCCTGTTGAAGATTTATCAACTAATCAGTTCTGATCTCTGATCACCTGCAGAAAATAAAGAAACGTGTAGATAAAACAGCCGCGTTTCGGAGTTTTTCACCGTGATCTCAATGGTCACGTTGCTCATCAAATGAAAAGTGAGAGTTTTTTTCTTCAAAACTCGAGCGGCTCTTTCTCATGGGAAAATTTCCTTTCGGCGCAGAGCCAAATGCTTTTTGAACTTCTCCTTGAGCCGTTATTTACGCCCGAGACGTAGTTGTTTGTTTATTTTTTTTTTACTTCTCCAACTCCGGCTATAAGGTCTACCTGAACATGAACAGGTTACAAAAATATTTTGAGGTTTAAAAAGTGAAAGTTCGAGTAGACCATGACGTACTACGTTCTTTGGTCGACTTATCTTTGAAATAATTATAATCGGCCTACTATCTTTCCTAATCGTCACCGCAGAGTTTGACGAAGCAACCGAAAGGTGCGAGGAGCCGCTTGGCGCCGCCGAGGCGATTCTTGGGCCGGAGTTTTGGCGCCAATTCGTCGTACCATCACGTCGAAAGTACCGCTGAAAAGTTGGGACTGTATCACTTAAAGAAAATGAATTTAGAAAAGTTTAGTAGACTTTAGGGACATTTCAAAAAAATATTTTAACTTGGAAAAAAATCCTACGGAAATATGAAAACTTGTTTTTTTTTACTAATCAAGCTAATTTAGTTTTTAGTTCAGAAAAAGATTTCGAGTTTTTTTAGCTTAGAAAAATGAGACCTGGATGAAATATCTTCTCGGTTTTGCGACGCGTCCAATGTTTTAAATGTTTTCAAAAATAAGTTAATTCTCATCAAGTCTCTGCGGAACGATAAGCGTCTCGAATTTTGAAATATTTAAAACATGAACTCCAATAACATCCGGTTCCGCTGATCAAAACGAGGCTTGTCACTTTTTTCTCCCATTGTCTTGAAAATTTTTGATATCGAAAGTGGCGGAATTTTTAGCCATTCGTTTCAATTGTTATCTCTTATCAATTAAAAGCGCGCCAATATTTTGAGATAAGAATCAAGCGGAAACGCTTTAAAAATTCTTCTTCACAATGAAAGTTTTTGAAAGAAGATTTTGGGGGAAGAGAATAAGTCGAACTATTCTAAAAAAGTTTCACAGAATAAATTTTCTGCCGTAGGAAATTGTTTACAAAATGAAAGTTTTGGTTCGGCTGATTTCGATGTTCACATCGAGGACGTCACGAAATCGGCGATCAACTCACTTTTTCATTGTGAAATCGAAAAGCCGATGATTTGAGTGCCAGGTTTTCAGCTTTGAACTTTCGTTCCTTCGGGCGCCTGTTCTCTTTTCGCTCAGTTTTCTTTTTTTTTTCCGAAGCTCATTTCGATTTCAGAGATCATGATGAGCTATTGAAAGTTCGATTTCTCTCCTTTTTCTCATAATCTTTTCTCTTCAAAAAAATTTGTTTAAGAAAAAGTAAAAATTATTTGAAAACTCAATAAAAAAAGACGTGAAGAACACTAAAATGGTATATATCAAGAATGTGAAGAAATTTCAAAGGGTCGGCTATTGTTTTTTCGGCGAAGGGTATCCGAATTTCGTTTAAGTGTTTTGCTATTTCGGCGGATCGAAACGATGTGTTTTCGTGGAGTGAAATTGAAATCTGGATCGTGAAATAGTAGCCGCCGATGGTATTGTTTGATGTTTTTGTTGTGAGGCCAGATTTTTTTGCTCTCCGTTCAGTCCTGGCGTGTGTCTCACACCGAAATGTGCAACCAATAAGCTATTTCGGCGGTGGAGTCGGTGGTCGGTTGTTTGCGAGCGCCGTATGGTGAAGTTGGTGGGCCGGCGTGCCGGGAGAAGAGTCCGTCTGGGATTGGCTCGGATTGCGTCGCAGCCTACCTTGTTCGTCTGCTTTGCTCTCTCGGAGGTCTGGGCTGTAAATTTGCCTTCGCCCTTGATTATACCCCTTTAAGATCGTTTAGATCATTTTTAGCTCTGAAGCAAGACCGTGTAAAAATGCGAACTTTTCATTTAAGGCGATTCAAAAGATGGAATGTTTTTATTAACTGGTTTTCAGAGTTTTTTAGTAAAAAAGATAATATTTTTTAATGATAAGAGACACATTCGGGTTACTTATGACTTTAACATGATTCTTTGACTGAAGCCTATTTTTAATAAATTACTTCACAAAACTATCCACCCGACCCACCTTGTCCGTGTTCTTTGCTCTCCATCTCGGTTACTCCTTTTCCGCCTTGTTTGCGCCTTCCTAAGTGCTTGTTTTTGGCCTGATCCTCTCTGAACGCCCTCCCAACAATTTGACAGTCTGGCCCGATCTCCGCAGATCGCTTTTTGTTTTTTTCAGATTTCGTCTAGATTTTTGGTGAGTATCGTCATCGGAGCTTTTGAATTTGACGGCCTTTCTATTTTGCTCTAGCTTTTAGAAAAAGATCTATCAGATCGTTTTCAAGCAAGTTTTTCTTCGTAAAATTAGTCTTTTTCTTAAATCAGAACAAACGTCTAGAAAGAGAAGTAGGCGGAAATTGGCAAATGGCTGTTAATCGCAAAGTTTATTTTTGGTTTCGTAATCTGTTATTTTCAGTTTATTTTTTGGGCTCTATCTCACAAGAAATTAGACTACAGTTTATTATAGAGATGGAATATCCCACAGATAGGAATTTTCGAAATTTTTCGCCGGTCTCCTCTCTACGGCTGTTAAAAGATTAGCGACTGGAAGTACAGCGAACTAGATTTAGGCGCTAATATCTCGGGAAGTTGTCTGGGCCGCCCGTTTTGCGCTTTCCTTCCGCGGCCGCTCATAAACCGCCGGTTTTTATGGCTTGCGTACGGCCACAAAAACCAATCGCCATATTAACTCTCCAACTTGAGCTCTTGTTTAAATGCTCAAGCTTTTTCTGACCCGAACTGAGTTTCATTTTACACAGAGACCATGTTGTTAAGGAAAGGAGCTTGTTGAGTTTTGAATGATGGTAAAAGATTACTGACAAAATACACATAACTAGAACTCTCTGGAAAACAAAATTAGCTGGTTGCGTAATTCGAGTTCCTAGAAGAGAACTCGTTTCGCAGCCGCCCCTCCGACGGCGCCAATAACCAATTATCGTTGCGATAATGATGGTGTTTCAAAATATTCTTTTTTTTTCTTCACTTTTCATTTGTTGTTTTCGTGTGCGTAGATGGATCCAATGCATTTGGAATTCGTCTTGCTACGGCCGTTTTCCGCTAGTCCATTTGCCGTGGCATTGTTGCATTGGGAACAGGCTTGGCCTCTGGTCCGACTCGCCTGTTCTGACAACAGAACACCTGGAATCGCTCCTTAATTGACCTTTTTATTCGCCAGAGTGTGAAGAAGATAATTCTAGATTTATAGCGGGGAAAGGTCTTTTTTCGATAGTCATGAGATAATGAACGAATTACCATGAAGATTATGAATTTTTACAAAGAAAAGAAGATTTTAAGAGAAAAAGTGATACTTCGAAGTTCAAGGAATTTATTTATCACCTAAATGTCGTAGCGTCGAGAAATAGAATAGAAACATTGAAGTTCAGGCTGAAATTTTTTTTCAACCCGCCTACTTGTGACCGAGGCTAAATTGAGAATTTTTTTTCCTCAGGTTGACGAAAAAATCACGGACAGTTCTCAAATTTGTCGTTGGTTTCGCTCAAACAGACGGCGGCCGGCTCGGTTATTGCCTAACGAGGTCGTTGGTGTTGCACTTTTTGGAGTTTTGATTTGACGTTTCCTGTCGCGAGGTTGTTTCTGTCTGTGGCGGCGGCAATTTGGTGTCCGATGGGTTGCTGCGGCCGAAAGAGCTGGATGGCCGTTATTATATCCGGCGAGTGTTTGTGTGTCTGCGGGCGTCCGTCCGCAACCTGACTACCTCGCCTAACACGTCCGCTCTAATTTTTCTTGCAACATTTCCTCGAAATCCGCCTTTTCCTTGTTATTGGCCAAGATTTCTTTCATTTCCTCCTGCCTCGGCTGCTGGGATAACTTCCAATGTCCTTTTCTCAAAATTCTAAAAGTTCCTTTTTTCGGTCAGAATCAGGTTATTTTGTTTTGGCATCTTTTATTTTTTGCGCCTGGTTCAGAAATATTTAAGATCAAACGGAAAGTTTTGAGCATTTCTAGTAGAAATAAGAATTTTCGATCAACAATGATTAGAAACCGAATTCTCAGTTTTGAAATCAAGCATAGAAAATGAATTGGTAATAAACTAAGTAGTTGTAATTTTTAAAAGTTTCCATCAGAGTTTTTTGGTTGTGGCTTTTGAAAATTTTGTCCAGGCCGAGTGATCGTGTAGTAGACACATTTGAGTTCGGTATTTCGGTGGATTTTCGACTTTGGCAGTCGGCCTCGCGACAGAAGCACTGGAGTGTGTAGGAATCAGCTGTTGGTTGGCTTCCGATGAACCGCCGCATTGTCCCGCGTCTCGTTCTTCGTCTTCATTTTCCGTCGCATCTTTGTCTGGCGTCGACGTCGTCGACCTTTCCTCGCAGCGACACCTCCCGCCGCGTTTTCCCGCACTTCCTTCTTTCTCGTTAGCCGATTCTCGCGCTTATGAACTCCTTCTTCTCTTTTGAATGAATGACAAGCGACAGTGGTCTCAAGTTCAAAAAGAACATTTATTTGCCTTGTTCGGTCCGTCCTGTTTCTGAGCTTGGTTTTTATATGTTTAGATGTGCTGTGAAATCTAAACGTTGAAGTTAGTTAACTCATAAACCGGGAACTGAGTTGAAGAAATTTGTCAGGTTTACTTTGAAAGTATTGTTTGTTTTTTTTACCTGAGAAGGTTGTTCAGTTTGAACAATAAACATTTTTTTGGCGAAGTCTCTTATTAATTTTTAACTCTGTTCATAATTTTCTTCCTAAAGGTTCTTCCAACACGTTACCTCTATTTTATTTCCTCGATACGGGAAAACAAAGAAAAATTCACGTCTTTGCCCGCTATGAGTTATGGCCCAACATCAAAATCTTCTTTTTTTCTCCAAAATCTATTTGCGGAGCCGAAAATAACCAAACATCATAACATAACGCTTGCAACATGGGGACTAATCTTGGTGATTCGACTTGGCTCGAAGACGGAATGAGATGACTCCCAAACGGAATGAAATGAGCATTGTTGGCGTGCAGCAGCTGATGAGACTCGCCGGCCGTTTTTCTTCTTGCCCGTCATACAACACTTATTCATTTATCAGGCTTCCTTCCGAAGAGTACCCCCGTTCTCGGGTTGAAGTCCTCGGCGTGCACTTTCAAGCGCCTTTCCGCCTTCCCAATCCTGCAAATAGTTGGTCGGGACCAGCAATCAGAGGGACATTTTTGATGGCGGCGAAGGTCGTCGTCGGCCTCCGTCAGCGCTTTTGTGCCACTGTCCTTTTGTCTCGTCCTGTTTTCCACTCAGTCTCTCCGTGTTTGTCGTCCGGTTAGGTAATGGGAGAATGTTGGATTAGGCAGGTCTGCCGCCTTGCCAATTTCCTTCTTATGACCATTTTTCTGGTCTTTTTATGGACTTGGCTGAGTAATGAATAATGAGATTGCAGCGATAAACGAATGAGAATTGGAGGCGGTCACTTGAGTTTCACCATGGAAGTTTTATACGCAAATCCTTCATTTACGGACTTATTTTGTTGGTCAAATCTATATTTTTAGGACTCTAGGTGAAGCTTGGAGGTGGTAGGTAACATTCTGGACTTTTTGACGGAAAATTAAAGCGCCAAGAACTAAGGTTAAAAAACGTTTCAGATAGTTTTTTTTTTCGATTTTTTTTTTGCAAAACCGAAAAGAAAGTGATCTTTGATGTTCGAACTTTTTCATTGTTCTTTTCCTGTCTGTGTGAACTTCCTGAACTCTTCACAGCCGATTTTCCTCGACAATTGGAAACTTTTTTTCTTGGCAGCGCCGTCGGCTGCGTCGCGTTTCTACATGGACGCCTGAGACCAGTTTTCTCTTCCAGTTTTTCTTTTTCACGCCTCATTTTGAAGTCGTTGCTTTTGGCATCAGCCCTTCTCGTATAACGTCGTCTGGCGCTTCGTATCTTGATCGCCGTTGTTGCCTTTTCCGTTTCCTCTTGGTTTTGTTTTTACTTCCGAAGATTCTTACTTTACTTGGTTATTAGTCTTTTCGACTCAGAAAAGATCGTGAGATATTTTGGACCAGGAGTCAGGGCTGAACTTTTTAGTGCAGCCGTCCCTTGAGAACGCTTGAGAAATCCTTTTTCGACTCCCACTTTTTAAAGAACTTTCAAACGTTCAGAATATTTTTCATATAAAGCGATTCAAAGTTCGGCAATTTTTTTAAACAAAATTCCTCTCTAAATTTTGCTGGTTTTGGACTTGTCCATCTATGCCTATGGCGAGCCCGCCCATTAATTTTGTCGAGCGCTTCATATTCTCTTTTTTTCTTTTGTCGCATTTCCTAGCGTTCATGGTAGCAGCTTCGACATATTTCTAAAATGAGATGGGTGGATTTTCGTCGAAAATCATTGCAGTTAGACTTTTTAAAGTTCCAATATGATCATCGATAGCTTTTAAAACGTAAAAAAAAAATGAGAATAAGGTTAAGAATTAAGAACTTTGAATAATTCTTTTTTTTTTGCAGACTAGCTGCTCTGTTTTTAAGTTTATCCTTATCATTTTTTTCGGTAAAAGAAAACTCATTGAAAACAGAGTGGTTGAGTTTTGAGTTTTGGATGTGTGAAAGAGAACAACAGGGCGGCTAATTGCGAATGCGCCGCATACGGCTGTGCATATTGGCCGCGGCTTGTGACATTCAAATGAGCTCACTTAAAATTTTGGCGACGACGACGAAGCCTTCCACCTGAGATAACCTATACCTCTCACCTTTTGTTTTGGCCTGTCTCATGTTTTTGTTGACTCGGAATGGACTTTTTCGGAGGCTGTACTTTTAGCCTAATTTCCCCGACAAAAATAGACTTTGCGAAGTTCGCGCCAAGAACAACATCCAATTTTTCGGAATCGGCGTCCTGAATTTTTCTTTTTCCCAAACAAAATTTCACGAAAACAGAGAAGACTATAAAAGAGTCTCCTTGTTTTTACGTTGATTTTGTCTGACAGTTGTTCAATCAGATTTAATTTTTGAGTTGAGGCAAGGTTTTCAAAAATTTGGCTAACGCTACATATCAAAGTATGTTGAGAAAACTTCACTTTATTTTGTAATTATGAAAGAAGATTTTTGAAATAGGAATAGGAGCAAAAATATTAACAATATAGAATTTCACTTTACTCTTGTAAAGCTCTAGCTTGAATTTTCTCTTCAGTTTTCGAACTTGTAGCGTAGTTAGGACTTAATTCAAATAACCTTTTGCTTTCGCGAAAGTTGGCTAAACTTGTTTTGGATGCTACCGGCTGGGACAGAGGCGCAGAATTATGCCGGCGGGAACTATCAACTGAGCCGATCTTCTTGGGCAAACCAATTGCCGCCGTCTTCGTCTGCCGTCTCCTCCAACAGGCTTCTTCTTTTCCCCACTCGGCAGCTTCTTCCTTCGTCCTTTTTTCCTCCGTTTCCGACGTCTTCTCTTCTTCTTTTTTTCGTCTCTCTCGTTTGCTTCTCAAAAAAGAAACATTTCCATTCTTTCAATTTCATTTTTGAAAGTCAGATGGAAAGAACGTACTATACAAATGCTACTGTTCAGCAGCATTTTTCCTTCTTTAATTTTCTGGCGAATTTAAAATCGTTGTAAAAACGCTGTCAAGTGCTTTCTCACAAGTCGAGTGTTTTTAACCAATGAACGCAATTATCGAAATTGAAGCTGAGGGAGTTGAGTAATTGAAGAAGACCTGAAAAAAGTCTGCCTTGCGACATAATTTTATATTTTTGTTCCTCTTAATCGAATGCCAAACATTTTCCAAAACTTGCCTTTCCTCTTTTTCTTTTTTTTTTGGGCATTTGCTTTCGAAGTCTCTCTGCTTGCGTAAACAAATATATTATACTCAACGATTTTTTGGTGCTTTCCTTTGCCCCTCGAGGCGCACCACACGCCTTGTCTGCTGCGAAAAACGCCGCAACGTCACCCACTTTCTCTTTTTTTTTCGCATAATTCGGATCTTTTTTTTCTTTTTTTCCAAACGACCTCTGGGAGAGTTTTGTTGAATGTTCTTAACGCTGAGCAAAGATCATTTTTTGAGGCTGTTTTGCTTTTTTTTGGGTTGGCAAATAGAATGGACGGAATCCAGATATCAAGGGCACGAAGGACTCAAAGGACACCTTCGAGTTGAACTCATTTTTCTCCTATGATTATTAAAAGACGAGGGAAGTGGTGGATTGACGGATCGCTTCGACTTTTTCCTTCGTTTCGGTGCCATCTTTCCTGCTCTGCACTTTTCTCTTTGCAATCAGTCAATTAATTTTCTAGCCGAATCAAAAGAAGGCTTAGGAGGATCAGCTCGAGAGAAAGAAATATTCAGAAAGGACAAAAATATGTTAGGAAAGCTTCAAAATGAAAGCAATTTACAAAACGAAAAAGCATAAATTTTTTTCTTCACCTCTTCTATTCAGTTTGAGCTCATTTGGAGAAGACTTGGGAGTAAAATAGTCTTTGATTCAAAGTGTCCGACAGATCCTTATCAGCTGCATGGTTATAAATGAGTTGAGTGTGATTGAGTTGACTCGGCCAGGGTTACACTCAACGATTGGCCTCTCCGCTCCTTCATCGATCCGTCGGTTCAAATCGGCCGCTTTTTACCATTTTACGCTCGAATCTTTTGTTGTATTCGAGGGCTCGTTTCTCACTGTGTATGACCGATTCTATGTTTATTTTATTCATTCGGCGGCGCTCGTCTCGTTGGCGCGTCTTTGCGCCTTGTTGTTCTCGCTTCTTCATCATCATCTTTTTCTTCTTCTTCTTCTACGTCTTTTCGATCTTCAACACCGTTCGCCGTCTGTTTGCTCGAGTCTCGTCTATTATGTTTTGGGCTTGCGCTTTGAGACGCAGATCAGCACGGAATCTTCTTCTCGAGAAGTTGGCCTCGACTTGTACGTACGCCGCTTCGAAAACTCTATTTTTAGAGTTCTTCAGGCCTTTATAGTCTGTTCATCGCGGGGTCGGGACAAAATACTAACAAAAGAAGTCTTCTTCGACTAGCCGCTCTCAGTTTCGAGCACAGTTTGTAACCAGATTCAATTTATAATGTTGCTCAGAGAATATCAAATTTTAAATAGAATGAGAATGCAAAGTTTAGTGGAAAAAGTACTGAATGAGCATAACTTTCAGATTGGATTTAAATAACCAGCATCTTTTCTCTGAATTGGCGCAAAGAAAAAATTATCAACTAGAATTAGAGAAGAAAATTTTCATTGCTTGATGAACTGTTAGATTTTCATTAAAAAGTTAAAATGTTGAGCTTTATGTTACAAGAGCGTTCTATGAAGAGCAACTACAGCAATTTTCTTTTCTCAGCTCATACTAGAAAAAAGAAGATGAAAGACCGAAAAAAAAGTCAGTTATCTTTCGATTTGGGAAAGTTTCATAATTGTGATCTCTTCTTCTCTGATAAGCGTTATCGCCGGGGAACTGTCACTTTTTGAGGATGTTTTGGTTCTCAACTCTTTTTTTTCTGTCTCTCTTGTTGATGATAGAGGTCCTTTGTGGAAGAAGGCGATCTATCTGCGGTCTTTGTGTCTGGCACAGATCCAACCGCCCTCCTGTTTTGGATTGATGGGGACACGGCGAATTGCCCACGGCCTCAATGGATGCCAATCAATGGAGGATGGAGTTTTCTTTTTTTTCCCAGGACAAAGCGAATTGAAACTCCACTGCCGACGCGTCGCCTTGTTTCTTTTTGCTCCCACTTTTCTTCGCTCATTTTTCTCTCTTTTCTCACTCTCTCTTCTTCAGTTTAGTCTTTGGCAAAGGTTTATAAATTGCGCGAGTTTTGTGGCAACGGCATTTGTATATGGTTGCCAAACGTTTATTTGATTCCATTTCAATAGCTCCAAATTTCGTTTCGCGCATTCCTCAATGTATATTTTCTTTCTCACTTCCTCGCCTACGCCAAACTTCTTGTGTTATTAAAAAGAAATTCTATCGTGACTACTTTTTTCTAAATGGCAAATAGTGTATTTTTTCCTTCTTTTTCTTTGAAGTTGTCATTAAACTTTCAAGTTCGCTATAAAGCACTGAGCGTTTCAAAAAATTATTCAAAAATAGCAACTAAATCACTAAATTTTCCTATTTCTGAAGATTTTCCTAGAGAATATGTCGTTCCGCTCTTCTCGTTATTGTTTTTCATGAGAATTCTCCTACCTATTACCTCCTGCAGAAGAAAACTAGAAGCCACTGTGATTGGGAAAGCGATATCGTGCATCGATGGCAATCAACGGCGGCGACGTCGCGTTAAACCCTCCAAGGAGGACGCTTCCGCCACGGAGAAGACTGATTTCCGCGCCGGCGGCACGATGGTCGCCTCCAGAAGACCGCAAGTTCAACGGAATCGGCCACGGAGGCCCTCTCGTCAGACGCGCCTCCGCAAAAACGCCGTCGCCTCCCATAGCGAAGATCATCGGCGTCCGCAAGGCTCCTGTCAAAAAAACCTACGTTCTGGCCAAGGTTTTCAGGCTCTGAAACTCTGCTTCAACTTGGAATGACGAAAAAAAAATGCATTGAAATTAATTTACAGTTTTTTGATCACAATTGTTCGTTTTTTCAGCAGCAACGACATTCTCCGCCCAGCGATGGAAGCGACCAATTGCACCGGTTTGGCGACAGTCCAAGAAGTGGATCTTATCAAAATGAGGTGTGTTTCAGATTTTTTTTTTCTCCGTTTTTCATTCTTGAAAAACTCGGCATAGCAGGAAATTTGTGAATTTATGCATGTAACAGCTCAGTTTTTGAAATTTAGCTTTGGTTTTTTGATAGAAATAGGAGTTACAAAACACATCTCGATTTTTTAAGAATTTTCATTTTGAAAATCAAAAAGATTTCATTTCTGATTCTTTTTTTTTCATTTCATACCTGAGGTGTCGTGCTGTCATTTTACAAGCCGGACTTCAGAAGCTAATTTGGAAAATTGAGCTGATTTCATTCCTGATACAAAAAATTCTCCTTTTATTTTTTCAAAGCATGAACTTGTGAGATGCTGGTGCGTGATTTGAAATTGTGCATGTTTGGGGTTGTTTTCGACCGCAACTTTTTTTCCCATCCTTTTAGCCTTATTGAATCCTGTGCGTGTCTGTCCCTTTGCTCCGGCTCGCTTCCATTTCTTTGCACTTTTTGTTTTTCTCTGGTCTTCCCCATCATTTTGGAAAAAAATCCTTCCTTTTCAAAATTGTCTTTTGGGGCTTTGAAAATCGTTTCATTTTTGATTTCTTTCTGAAGGAAAGCTTGTTCAATCGATTTTACAGCAACCACTACAAAAACGTTGATAATGGTTCTCATACCTTCAGTTTCATGGATCATTTTTTGGGCGTTCAGAAAAGTTTCACTTTTTTAAAGGAAAACTCTGAGAGAGAAAATTGTGTTTCGTTATTAGATGGAACATATCCTTCAATCAGTATTTATAGCAAAGGCTCGACAAAAAAAGTTTTGATCAATTTTCATGGTTGTAAGGAATACAAAATAAAAAAATTCAGCCTGCTGTCCATAAATCTTGAAATTATTTTGACGCAAAAACATTCTCAAGATTAATAGTTTCTCAGTGGCAGAGTTGTTTTAGCGCGCATTCCTTTTATCAAAACATCTATCTTTGGTGTGTTCTGGGTCATCATGATCCTCTCCCCACGCCCCAACTCGACGTCGCTCTGATTTTTCTCTTGGAACAGGACTGAAAATCGACATTTTCTTCCTTCATTTTTCTCCCCCTTTTTGGCGTTTTGTCACACGTCTCGAGTATTATCTATCGATTTGATCTTTGCACAGATATTTGGCCGTCGTTTCCCCAATTGGGTGTGATTTGTTTTGAGAAAGTTCGTCTAGCGTCTGCATTGGCTACTTTTTCTTGAAACAAAACTTTTCGAATGAACTTTGGACATTTTTACTTCATTTTTTGTTCTCATTAACTTAGATTAAGGACATATCATTCTTAAATTGAACAGGGGCAGTTATTCTGAGGAAATTCTTTGTTTAACTTTTTTTGAAAAAAATTTTTTTGAAGTCTTTTTTTACAAAATAAGTGTCGGTGTTCGAAAATCCATTGTTGCCAGACTTTTGAATCAAATTCAGCCTTTTGTTTCTTATTTTTTCTCCTTTTCTTGTCAAGTCGCAGCTGGAAGTGTCTCATCTTCCAAGTTTCTTTGGTTTTCCTCTTTACGCAGTTCAAGTGCCGCGCCAGCTGTTATTTGGGCTCAACTCGACGTCTCGATGTGAAAAATTTAAACCTCATTTCTCTATTTTGTCGGCTTTTTCTTCTCCCTTCAACCTTCTGGATATCAATTAGGGGTTGGCTTTTTCGAAACGTTTGGTTTAAATGGCGTCGATTGCATGGCTTTTTTTGTGGAATGGAATGCTTTTGTAGTTCTTTTCTGCTGAATAACTGTTTTAGCACTCATAAGAGTTACTTACTAATTTTTTTATAAAAAGGTTTTTTTGGCATGGAGAAAAATTTTTTTAAATAATTAACTTCATGCTTTTTCTAGAACGCGAAGCACGTGATTTTGAAGCACAGGACAGAATCTATTTTTCTAACATATTCCGTCCGGTACTGCAACTTGTGAAGCTTTTTATTAGTTTATATTTTTCGAATTTATCGCTAAATAGCTGATTTCTGAGAATGAAGCCGATAGGGGAGATAAGAGCAGGGATCAACGGGATTTTTAGTTACAGATGCTCGACGACCTGATCATTGATGAAATTCTTTCGCTCGAAGACGAGCAACGGCGAAATGGCCGCCCGGTCAGTCGTTTCGGCTTCTTTCCGCCTTCTTTTTGAGTTCTCTCAATGGTTCTAACATCAAAAACTGTCGTTTCTCTCACTTCAATAGACATTTCTTCCTTATCGGAAGTTTTTATGTCAAGTTCCGTCAAACATTTTGTGCTATCAAAGTGAATAAAAGTAGGAAAATCGCAAATTCGCCCAGTCCTCAACGTTCTTGTGCATCAGATCGTGTAAGGTTTCTTTGTATAAGTTGAGAAATGGAGGAAGGAAATATCATATTTTTTTTTTCCAAGGAGTCAGATGAGACTGAATTAATAAGACAAGTTTCGCAATGTGGGTTGATAGAGAAAGAAAGGAAATTTTTTATTCTTTATTTTGTAGGAAGAACGAGCCAGACAGAAATGAACAGTGTTATCAATTCTAAAAAGAATATAAGATTATTGCGTTAATTTGAAAAGAAAAACCAGTTTTTACGACCTCTGTCCTCTGATTTTCAGCCCTTATTGGTTCAAAAAGCTCATTGAAACTTCTTATCTTCTTATTGATCTGATGTTCATCTTTTTCTTTCTTTGAGGTTCTTAGAACTCGACCTCATTCATATATTTTCCTTTTTCTCAAACTTTTTTTAAAATTCTATTCTTTCTGATCATGAAAAAATTCTGATTTTCTCTTTGCAGATGTCGGTCGGCTTCTCCGACAACCAGCCGACTGGTCCGATGTCCATGGCCCGACCGATTCCTGGTTCCTCTGGCGGATCTGGTCACTCTGGAAGTCCTATCACCATTGGAAATTCTCTCGGCAACAACTTCCGACAGGTTCGATTTGAGTTCGTTCATGGGAAAAAATTCTTCTTTAAGGTGGTTTCAAGCTCTGCGCCAACGAGTTCCATCGACATCGAACAGATGATGTCCCAAGACGGAGATGATTATTACAGAGACCGAAGGAAGAAAGATATTCACAACATGAGTGAGTTCCACGAATCTCTTCGAGAAACGCTCGAAATCAACGACTTTTGGAAGAAAAGTTAAATGAACGGTTTTCTCTAAAGAGCAGATGTTTTTACTGACCTCTAAATGGTCAGTGAAAACATCTGCTCTTTCCTCAGTAACAAATACATTGTTATGAAGAAGTTCCAAAAGTGAAGAATGCGCTTTTTGGCATGAAATAGTAAGTCAATCTACGTGTCTTATTATCACTCCGTTCTTGAATAAAAAAAATTCCAGTTGAAATTTTTTCCTTAATGTTCCCTTAAGGAGGGGCGATAATTTATTTGCCCTCCGCTAGGTCGGATAAAGATAATTTAAAAAAAGAATTGATTAAAATTCCTCCAAAAAAATCCTCCGAAAGATGTATTCTACAGTTGAACGACGACGACGCTACAACATCAACGACCGGATCAAGGAGCTGGGCCAGATGTTGCCGAAGGCGTCGGCAGAGTAAGTGACCCCCGTATCGTGACCGCCTCATTAACCCGCAGTTCGATAAACAGGGACATGAAGTTGAACAAGGGGACGATTCTGAAGGCGTCCTGCGACTACATCCGACTCCTGCAGAAAGACCGCGAGACCATGTTACGGCAACAGCAGCACACCAAGTCCCTCGAGAACACGGCCAAGCAGTACGCCGACCGCGTCAAGGAACTCGAGGACATGCTTTCCCGCCAGGGCATCCAAGTACGTTTCTCTTCTTGCTTAAAATACAAATCGAAAACTAATTTCCCAATAAAGAGCTGATGACTTCAAAAAAAATTTCAGTCATGAAATGTCTTTTTTTGAGCGCAAACCATGTGATGTTTGAATTTTCATCAACATTGGTTTTTTTTAAATTGTGCTTTCTTTATTTTTGAAAATGGTTTTTTGCTGTCAACCAGTTGAATATATTTTTGGCGAATTTGTGACGTAAAGACTCCTTTTTTGTACGAAATCTCTTTAGGAAACTTGAATTTCGTTACACGTATTTGAATGCCCGACGAGAAATTTTTCCTTTCTGCTTATATCAAAAAAATATTTTTCATACTAGGGTTTTTTTGAACAAATCATTTTCATCAGAGCATTATTTGTTCCTCAACCGAAACTTTGTCGTCTTTTATGGTCTTCTTTGATTTTGTCGCTCAAAAATTATGAGAAATACGAAAAATAACTTGATTTTTCAATTGTAAAGAAAGAATTGTGCAGATTTTCCGAATGATGGTTTGAAATAAACCTTTTGAAAATCATTTTTCCGCCAAAATCTCGTGGGTTTCAGCTGCCACAAGCGCACTTGCCGCCGCTGCCCCGAATGACGGACCGGCCGATCAAGCAGGAGCTGGACGACCAGTCGCCGACCAACCAGACGCCCTCCGGCTCCTTTGTCAGTTCTTTTCTCGCTCCTTTCGTCGCCGAGTGCGTGACTCGCGTGTCGCCGTCGCAACCCGCTGAGGATTTCCGATTTCAGTCCTCGGGCTTTCTCTCGGAAGTGACCAACAACACGGCCGCCATGCAGATCACCTCGCCCCACGGTCCCAGAAGCTTCCTCAACTCGGCCGGCTCCGACAGCTACTTCTCCGTCGGCTCCAACAGCCCCCCTGAATACAGTTCGTTTTCGGATCCTTCATTTTGAAACCATATTTCGAAAATTTATGTTAGCAGGCTAGAGAATAAAATAACTGGGAAAATGGACTCACAATACATGAAGATAGGGCTCCACTAAAAATAACTTAAATTTCTCCATGTTTTTGTTGAATGAAGAAAAACGGATTTTAATCTCAAACAGCGGATAGAAAGATATTTCTAGTAGTATTAAACTCTGCGTAGAATTATGAATAATAATAAAAGAGTTTGGGAAATATTAAAGAAAAAAACTAAGGGTTGAAAAATTATTGGTTTCTAAAATCTAATAATTGAATTACTTCGGTAAAATTGATAAAAAAATAGTAACTGAGTTCAAGTTTGATCGACTATGAAAAAAAGGCTGATTTTTTTGCCAAGATTTATTAGATATTTTTCAGCTCAAAATAACTGGAAATTGCCGCATCAAAACTTTCCCGATCTGATGATGGAGGATATCAACACCATGCAGGTAAGCAACTTCTATAAAGAATATTGAAGAACAATTGAAGTTGAATGATTTCTCATTCTTTTTTTTGCTTTGAAACATGGAAGACAATTTCAAGTTGAATTTATTGGGTTGATCGGTTTGAAATGAACGGTAGTGATGTAGTTTATCTTGCTATGAAAAAATGATAAATTTAGAAAGAGTATTCATTAATGGAGAGTATGACCTTTGAACGACGTTCGTTCGGAAATGTCTTCCTGGCTTGGGAAGGAAATATGAATCGATAAACCCAACGCTCAATTCTAACCCGATTCATGGAGACGGACTAACGTGAAGTTGTTCCAGGGCACCCCTTTGCTCAACGGCGGAGACCCGCTGATTTCGGCGGCCGGAGCTCATCCTTCGCCGCACCTCGTCGCCAGCCAAATGTCTCCGGACATCCAGTGGGACGGCGCCGGATTCAGTCCGGACGCCGGTCAGACCTCCTCCAACATCCATCATCACATGGAGTACTCTTAAACTCTCCTCCCTCTGTACATTTCAATCTTTTATCGCTTTATCTTGCATTGTATAGGGGATTATATTCGGCTTTTGGAATTGCTGTACAATTATTTCGCTTCTGGGACTTTGCCATATATTGCTAGGCGATGTGTTTTCCATGTTGTTAGTGTTATTTTTTCCCTCTCTGACCTCACTCAGTTTGTACTTTTCTTGTTAGTGCTCATTTTCGTCTCATGTAGTTCAAATTGCTGTTGGATTCGCGCTCTGATACGGCTCGAAATGTTGAAAATCGGATTGTACAGTTCATTTTTTCTTTGCACGAAGATTCTAGGCGGTCTTTCTTTCTTCTCATTGTTCAGTTTCGGTTCAAATTCCTCTCTGTACATAGGCTCAACTCAGCTTAGGCCCAAATCCCCGGCTTTCCTTCATCAATTTATCACATATCGATTGATTCCGTGGTGACTCTGGCCTCCATTCGTCTGAATTATTTTTATTTTGAAATTCGCAAAATTCATTCATCTGTCCTGTCCGCACGCCGCGGAAAAAAGCTATTCTATACAATTTTTGGAAGACGCGGGTTTCAAATTGCGACAGGAATTCTTTTCTCATTTTTCTTTCTTTCTTTCTTGTAATTTCAATGTTTTCTGGTCTTGATTCTGACATTGTTGTGCTGAAATGAAATTCTAAGTCCGTTCCCTCTCTTGACGTAGTTGCCTAGCTTAGAACGACGTAGAACTTTACATATCTTATCCCAGATGAACCCCTCATTTGCCATAAAATCTAAATATCCTAGATTCCCACAAAAACCGAACACCTCACTCCTCAATGATATATGTATAAGAACACAAGTAAAGAAGGATTCCTTGATTCGGGTTTGCCCCTCAAGCCACCATCATTTATCCTCCACCGCCAAACTCCAGCTCTGGAATTTTTTTTCTTTTTTTTTCTCTTTTCAATATTTTTAATGAATTTTTTTAAGAAGACTTTCTTGTACCATGCTCACCCTATGTATAACACACCCCTCCTTTTCTTTTCAAAATCCGTCCCTTTAAAACATTCGTTGATTTATGTGCAAATTACTCTGTACCTTGTTGTTCTTTTCTACAAACGTTGTATGTAATTCGCTGCTTTTTAGCGCTGTTTCTCCTATCGGTACGGCGTATTTTGAGCGTTTTTCCTTTTGTTCTCTTCATTAACATTTTAATAAGATAATAAGGAAAGAATGGCTTGAAAAGCGTCTGCGGGTCCGTATGCACATCACAAACAAGCGGCGGAACTGTCTTTTTTCTCCGTTGCGCCGGTGATTTTCGTTTTTCTTGCATGCGTGGGTGGTTCAAATCCCTTTGAAAACAATTTGTTGAAAACTTGTAACCTTGGCGGATCTTGTTTTACCTTCAAATGTCCCCCTAAGCGTCTAGGCGCGAATTACTCTATTTGCACTCTGCTATTGTAATATTAATTATAATTGGACCCTCCCTAATGAACCTTCCTATTAAATTTATTTTATTTGTTGTTTTCCTCCGTATTTCTATGTTTTACTATTAAGGCACATTATTAAATGTTCCTAAAGTTTGTAAAATATTGTACATTCAAGCCTCAATGATAAAATGTATTGATTTTTAAGAAAAGATATTTTTTTATACACTTTGGAAAAACCGTTCAATCCACTTTTAAAAAAAATAACCCACATACAGTGAGAGTTGAGAAAAGATAGAAAAACTATTAGAAGGAAATAACAGAAAAATAATAAATATACCGAAAATGATTTAAACACAATAACAAGGTGAGCAAAAGCTGAAATGGTACAGAGTTTAGAAAGAAGAAGAGAAGAAGGAAACCAGATTTCGATAATTATGATTAATTGATCTCTTCGTTAAGAATAGAAATGCTACGCACCGAGTGGGAACAACGGGATAGGTGGTGGGATAACAGAACAAAAAGAAAACAAAGAAATGACGAGAAGGAAGGTAAAGCCTGGATTGAAAGGGTAGGTTGATAGGAGTTCGAGACCCAAACAAGGCAACAATATCAGGACAGAAGGATCACGACCAAATAGGGAGAAGAACCTAGGAAAAAGCCGAAATCCCATGTAATGCGCCTAGAAACCGTGAATTATTGCATCTTGGATTTTTGAAGTGCGAGAAAAATCCAAGAAATGGGGGAAAAGGCCACAAAAAAAGAACAATTGATAAAATACCGTTCAAGAAAAATGACAACTTTGGTTTTCATTTACCATATCTTGAGATTAATTCCGATTATCTACGTCATTCTTTGATGATATACTGAGGAGCGAAAAAGATGAACTGGTACTTTTTTTGGAAATTGAGAAAAGAGCCTAAAATGAATGTTGGATTCCTTGAACGGTACTGTGTAGCGTATATGAAAAGATGGAATGAAAATGGCTAAAATGAGGGGAAAATCTAGCGAGACCTTGCGCAGGAGATCCGAGACGGACGCTCATGACCTTCTGTCATGAGAACATTGGCAATCATTGTGCAAGGATCCCTTATTTAAGACGCTATCCAAGTTATTATGCTAGCCTATATGCAGAGAAGGGAGAGAACCAACAAAAACTATAAGAATTGAATGAAAGATTTCCCGTGGACAGAGAGAAGAAGAAGAACCGAATAAGAAGGAAAAAAAAATACAGCGAGGACGTTGGATTTCAGGAGAAGCCGCGGAAGTTATTTCTTCGTTGGTGCAACTCCAGAGTTTTGTAGGAAAACGAGAGGCCCGTCGCGTAGATCACGCCGTCGTCGCGAACCAAGGAGATTGGGACCTACAAATGAATATGATTGGTAAAAGTAAGGTGGATTTGATGTCAAGAAATTATTTTTGGACTTTTTATAAATTGTGACCACAGAAAAACAAGATCTCTCTTTCAAACTCTGAGGGAGTTCTGCAGCCAAACTCACATCAGTGCTGGCATCGTTTCCGAGGAGCCAACTCGTCGTCTCGTTCTTCACGGTCGACATCGGCGGCACCAGACACATCAGATGTTCTTCAGTCCTGAGAAAATTGACGGTTTGGGGGATTCGGATGAACGAGACAACCTGTAGTGGGTCTCCAAGGGAGTGGCGCCGAACCAGACCTTCAGGTTGGGCTTGAAGTCGCGGCCGTGGAGTTCGACCCGCGGATTATTCTCACTGTCGTCCAGCTCCAAGGAGACCATCACTGGGACCGGCGAGACCGGGTTTCCGACTGGACCCATCGCCTCGTAGAACGTGTACTCCGCCTGAAAGATTTTAGGATGATTTTTGCAGAAGGCCCTTTGAAAAATTTTTTTTGTTTTAAATCAAGACATACGATCCGAAATACGTTTTCTCTTTTTTTCCAACTTCATTTTATGGGTCTTTCAGAAAAGTTGAAATTTTCACCCCAATGACTCCCAAAGATTAATTTTTAAAAGATGTTTGTGTTTAAGAGATAAAAAACTAAAACTTTTGTTTCAAATTCTGCCAAAAATAGTATTATATTAGGATGACGATGTGTTTCATTCCAAAAAAGTTCCATCAAAATGTATATCTGAATGATTGTACCTTGGACTCTAAATGTTTACTTTTACTTATTTTTTGGCCAACGAAAACTTGAAACAAACGTAATAAGAAATTCTCACGTTATTACTTATACCGTAGTTGTAGACAAAAAAATGTCCAAGAAAATTTGGTGAGGCGAAAAAATCAAGAAAAATTTCTCACGGTCACAAGGTAGTAACGTGAAAAACGACTTCCATTAAAACGAAAAAAAAAATGAGTCGATCAGAAAAACAATGTTTGATCAGTGAACGTATACGATAACTAGAAAGTTTCAAGTGTGATGACTCACAGATTTATGATGTTATGCTATTATGTTATCAAGAAGAACTAGATTCAAAAAATTTTTTTTCAGTGTAATACTATGAAAGTTGAACTATCCAAAATAATGAATATAAATTCAAAAAGTCGAGACGTTCAAAGTTTTTGCAAAATATAACGATGCTTTTATTCAAACAGAAAGTTAAAGTCTGAAAACTTCGAGATCAGTTTTTTTCTGGATAGAGTTCGAAGAGGTTAAAAATCGCAAATGAAAACCAACCGATGCTTTTTCGATCTGAACACCAGGATGAATCTTACATTTTTAGAAGGGAAACAAAAAGATTTTTCAAGTTCCTTGTTCTGTGTTAAACTTTTTTCCTATTTCATGATTCCTAGATGAGCGGAATTCCACGCTATGCAAAACAAAAATTCCGCATTCTGCAACTTAAAAGTTCAGTTCCGCCTCTTCTATGATTGCCCCATTGTAAGAACCTTATCCGTGGAGATGATGGTCCAGGCGGCGCCGTCGCTGATCTGATGATGCTGTCCGTCGATGACTTGGGCCTGGAAAACGTCCAACTTGGGAGTGGTCATCTTGGCCGTGTACCGACCTGGTGCTGGATGATTTTGTCGTGGCTGAGACACAGGTAGACGGTTTCGTTGTCGATCATCTGGAAGGCGCATTTGTGGAGCTGCGAGACGGGCTCTTCCGAAACCAGCGCGTCCAGAATCACTTGCTGCTTGTCAACCTGAAACTCGCCACTTGAGCCTTTTTTTTTATTGAGATTGGATTTTCACAGCAAACTTCGATTTTTTTTCTTCTTCCTGGCTGTTTTGAAATTTAGTGATTGCGGTGAAAAATAAAATTTTAAGTTAGCCTAAAAATTCAATATTGAAATAAAAAAACCAGAAGGGTTTTTAAAAAAATTTGAAGGCATTTTTTTCATAGTCATGCTGCCTCAATACAATCTGTGAGAAAGTAGAGCTGAAACTTGACTGAAAGACTGTTGTGCCCTGAAGTGACCACTTTTTGATTTCTTGTCTTATCAAACTGAAAGCTTCGTGAAAAGCAAACATAGATCTCTGAGGGACTAAATTCTACCGTTTTTTGCGAAAAACTCCTGGATCTTCTGAAGAACTTAAAGCTAGGTATGAGATTCTGATGATTCTGGCAAAGAGTAGGACCTTGCGAATACGAAGCCTCGGAAGAGCGATTCCAGTGACGCTGTCGACGAGCTTCACCACGGAGCCGTAGTAGACGAAGCCGTCTTTCACGAGGAAATTCTCGCTCTCGTGGGTCGTCGATTCGTGGTCGTCGTCTGAACAGAACCGGATATTCGGGAGTTACTTCGGGCGGCCTACAGAGATGGATGGTGAAGGCTCCCCATTTGGTGGAACTGGCGTGGAAGGCGCCGTTCTCGACGTGTAGGTACCGCGTGCTGACCGTCTGAGAGCGGAGTCGGTTGAACAGCGCCACCTGTAGAAATGTCCCTTAAGGGGTCCCTTTGGGGGGAGTCACGCTACCTTGGTGCCCGAGGCGATGCAGAGGTACTTGCAGTCCGTGTTCTTCATGCTTTGCTTTTTCTTCGAAGGCTTGCTGATAACCTGAAAAATATTACGGTCAGATAGTTGTTAACTTTATAAATTTGATGAGTGTTGCTTATTACTATTCCTAATTAACCTGTGAGAAAATTTTAGTTCCAAACGAGCTTTTATTATTTTTTCTTTTTTTAATTATTTTTCTTCTCAAATTGCGACGATGATAATGAAAGCGAAAAAAACATCGAATGAAATCTCCTCTTCCCACGCTGAGAGTTGTTTTCTCTCCACTTTTCCGACTAACCTTGATTCGCTGAGACAGGAAGTTGCCGATCTCGATGCCGCAGCCATAGAAGAACTGAGCCGACAGCTCGAAGTACTTCCTCTTGTCCGAGTCGCTGATGTAGAGGGTCTTGGCGGCGCAGTAGTCCTGAAAGAGATACGAGCTCATTCGACGGCTTTTCCTCGATTTCTCACGTAGATGTTGGGATCCTGACGCTGGTCGGCCGGATGACGCGGCTTGTTGGAGGAGAAGTCGAGCTGCTGCCTCTCCTGCTCGGAAGGAGAGCCGATGCCGATGTAGGCGATGAGCTCCGTCGACTGTTGGTCGTGGATGTGCTCCTGCTCCGGCGGCATGTCCATCAGGATCTTCTGCTTCATCGTCTTGTACAGCGACCCAGTCTGAAAATAAATTTTGGCTCTTTTTTTTCTCACTTTTTTGGCCTTTTATTTACCTTTTCCTTCTTTCGTTCCCATCCTTTGCCCATCAGGTAAATGCAAGGCGGCGGGCAGAAGAATCTGGAATAAGTAGTTTCAGATACGATTTCACTAAAATCTTTATTTAGATAAAAATTCTTAGATCAGCCTAATTTCTTCAATGATTTTCTGCCACGGGGCTGTATCCATGCATTTGTTAACCAAAGCTTGGAGGAAAATAAGACTACCGGAAGTTCCGGGAAATTTTTTCGACCAAAGCGCTGTTATAAGTCCTAAATGAAGACACAGAAATTTGCAAGGCGTAGATTTTTTGATTTTCCGAAAATGACGCCTCAAGCGTTTTCGAGGAAGCCTGAACAAATCTCGCAATTCAAAATCCGAGGGGAATTCAGCGTTTTTTCATTCTCCAAGCATTGAATTTTATCAGAATAGGTCAACTTTCTTTATGGGAACAACTTCACATGAAAAACTTCTCCAATCGTTTTTCATGGTAAACTGATTGGGCTCAATCAATTGCAAGCGACTAAAGCTACTTCTCCCCATCGACAGCGGTCTTTTGAGAGCCGAGTCGACGGAGCGCCCAAGGCGTGGGAATATTCTACCGTAACCCGCCTCGGGACGTCGATGTGCACACACACACAGCCGCCATGTGCAGCGACAACAACGCATATCGTCTTGCAAATTCGTCAACGAATTTGTTAGGGCTGGAAATGAAACAAACTCGAAACTATCGGAAGAGCTCGTACGGTTTATACTATGAGATTATTATCCTTTTGACCTGCGCAAGAGCGGTAAATTTTTTCATATTTGCTATAAGTTTGACTATTAGAAAAAATTTTTCATGTTGCAACTTTTTTTTACAGGTTGCGCAAGAACTATGAACATCGTTTCTCAACGTTCAGAAATTAATATTTTTCCGTAATTTCTCACAGATTTCTTTCTCAGCCAATCATCGTGCTCAATCAATGTAATACTTTCGCTTTGTGAACCAAAATAGTTTTCCTTGAAAAACATCGTTTTCTTTCGAAACTGTATACTGAAATCGTTGGAGCGAACGCAGATATTCTCCCACGCCATCCATAAAACAATCAGGGCCAAAAAGGCAACGTCATGTTCGCTCCAACGATTTCCGAAACATTATGCAAACATGCTCCAGATATAAGCCAATAAACCGCGTGAAAATCGATTTTACGGTCATTTGGGTGATGATTTCAGTCATAAAAAGACGACGAACAATGGGGGTTCTACAGTGCACCACATCTTTTTTTTTGATGGAATGATGAAAAACTTTGAAGAGGGCGTAATGATCTTTAAAAGGAAATAAGTAGGTTTTTTTGAGATTTTTTCCTGCTTCTACTTCTACATGCATGAATCAGGGTGTAAAATGAGGGCTAGAAAGTTGTGTAATTCCCACCTTATAGTATAGTAGCAATACATTGAAGGAACCCTATTTAACCCAAGTAAAACAATTTATCTGGCCTGAAAACCTTAGAAGGCACATTTAAAGGCTTACTAGCAATTAAGGAAATCCGTGGCAATCAGCCGGACGCAGATCCCAGCACTTTGCGGACCAAATCTCGCGCACTCCCACTCTTCTACAATATGCTAATTGATTCGCTATATTACTCAACAGACACACACACGGCCTCTTAAGGAAGCACGTGTGCGGACGAGTGCAAGCCCTTGGCCAAACAGATTTTTGAGCCTGTAAATGGGGCGTCCTCCTCGGAAACAAAAAAACACAATCGCTCATGCACGAGACGAGCTACCATCCCAGCTATTGACACCTCTAGTTGAGGTCAACCCGCTTGGAGCTGTGTCAAGATCGCCTATTTTGTAATCAGAAAGTCCAAACTATTTATCCGAGATTACCGGCGCAAAAATATTATATTTTCGAAACACTGCTTGAAAATTTGAAAAGAAGACTTTTCATATTAAATTCAGGGAAAATTGAAACGAAACACTTTCGATGAACTTCTACAGAGGCAAAGTTTAAATCAAAGCCAAAAAGTCCTAAGCTCTTTTTCTAAAAGCTTCAAGAATAATTTCCCGTGACGATCAGGAAATTTTTTTTTTCAAAAAAGTCGGTCATAACTTAATTTTCGAAAATCTCTTGAATGAAGTTTTTGAGATCTATTTTCTCGACTTTTTGCAAATTTGATGCATGGCATTGGTTTGATCGTGTTTTACAAAGCGTCTGAGCAGTCAGAACTCCAAAAAAAAAAAGCTGGAGGAAATCTTGGAGCATGTTTGATCGCGAAAAAGGCGCCGCCAAAGGTGAGAGACACCTGTCCAGCAAGGAAAAGCGATGCAAAAGGCAACTGTGGCCGTTTACCCAAATACGGTAACCAAATACGTTGGGCCAGCTGGCAGCAATCAGTTGCGAGAGGACATCCTAAGATTTCCTCAACCAACACTTTCCCGATTGGGTTTCACTGCGCCACATTTTCCAAGGTGAAGGCCAAGAATTACCGTTTCTCGTTACCGTAGGACTTCTGGGCGACTTTTGCGTGAAAAACGGAGACTGTGCAGTTGAGCTCTTCAGGCTTTGCCAGGAACTCCAGCATCTTCTCGCTGGAAATATTTTTTTGCACATTGATTTTTTGAGCCATTTGGTTTCAAAACTCCAGTTTTCCAAAAAAGTTATTTTAAAGGTCGGTTATGATTAGAAAACTCTATATCTAACTCAATTTTTCGAAGGAAGCCACCTAAATCTACCTCAAAACACCCTTTTTCTATTTTGAAGCAAATTTTTAGAGCCACTGGAGCTTTCTCTAAGCATCTGTTAGCAAAAGCAACGGATTTTGTGATAGTGTAGAAGAAAAGAAAACTGACGCAGTGAGCTGCTGCGACTGCTGGGAGATGATCTGTTGGAGGCCGAGCGCAGCTGGATGAAGTCCGCTGACTTGCGAGTAGGACGCCGTCGAGTTGGTCAAGTTCAGGTTGGTGGTGAACGCCGTTGCGCCGGCCGAGCTCTCCAGGAACGACGACGACGGGGTCGATTGAGCCATGTTGTAGAAATGGTCTGAAAAAAATAAATAAATTTTCATCTGAAAAAAAAAATCGTTTCAGATAACACTAAAAGCAGGTCTGCCGGGAAAAAATCTATATATTTCGAACGAACAAAGAAAAATATGCGTTTCGACGAGAACAGACCGTGGGAATCAATTTTGGCATGATCGAATAAAATTGAGAAATACCAGCAAACGGCATAATTTGTTGCTGTCCGTACAGCAAACGTGGGTGGATGGGAGACGCTGCCGCGTTTGGAGCGACGCCAAAGTTTGGCGTCATCGGCATGAACTGACTCCACATGTCGGCCTGATGGTGTTGCTGGTGCATCATCTGCGGCTGATGGTAGTAGTAGTCGGAGGGAGTGTAGACGCCGTTGGTGGCGGCGGGAGAAGAGCCGGCGACGGCGTTGGACAGCGTCCTGGCGCAGCTCATGAGGGAGTCGTCGCAGTAGGCTGCGGCCGCAGCCAAAGCGGCCTGCGTGGCGATGGCCGCCTGAGCCGCACTGACGCCGACGTCGACATCGTCCTCTGCGAGCGACGACTGCTCTGGCTGCTGCTGTTGATGATGATAATCCATGGCGCGGGAAAAAACTGCCAACACACACTCCACCCCTCCTTCTCGTCTCCTTCACCAAGGGAAAAGCACACGGCTTCGGTGCGGTCCGAGTGTGGGATGGGAAAGAAGCGACGGCGGATAGCAACGACGCTCCCAAACAGAATTCTCTCACGAAAAAGGATTCTTCGAGGGTCGGAAGTCGTCGGACGGTTGGGACGGCAAGTCAGGCTGATGTGTTCCTTAACTCGTGTTGAACACGTCCAGCACACGAGCAAAGCTGTCAAGAATATGAGCGTGTGAATGGCCGCGCCTGGTCCGTAGTCTTCGGAGGGCCGCCTCTCTTTGCAATTTGCTCTCTCGGCACTTCAGTGCGCTCTGCGGCTCTCTATTTGCCGTGCTCTCCGGCCAACCGTCTGCCACCTTCCTCATATCGTCTTCCACCATCCACCGCTAGTAGGCGTGACTTCAGGCGGAGCCCGCCAATCGCGCTTGGTCTACTTATTATCAAATATTTCAATTATTACTGAATGATGATTTCGACATCATAATAAGAACCCTGAAGACAGAGAACCAGTGAAAAAACTCGTGATTTATATTATCTTCGACTTTGAAACTATCATTCGAGGTGCTTTGAACTAATTTGTTAATTATCTGTTTATGATTTCAATTAGTCGTTTCCAGGACGTCACGTTAACTGAATTCCACAACATAATAGGCTAATCCATCCCATATTCTCTTAAACACTCGAGATGCATGAGTGTCAAGTGTCATGGGAGCGAGAATCGTCTTGAGTTGGAGCCAAAGGCTTCTACTGGAAACTGTCACAGAGTGATTTTTCGATTTCCACTCTTCTTCAAAACTTGGGTTATCTAGCTAGTCCGTTTTTATTTACGGAAATTTTCAGGTTTTTGAAAAACTTGACGTCTCCTATAAAATTATGAAGAGTTCACGAAGTCAACAGATAATGAGAAATGGAAAAGATTTTTGAGAAGAAGTTTTTTTTGGCGATGATCGTGCTCATAGAAGCTTCTAGAAGCTTCTTTTTCTGATGTTGTAAAATTTGTTTAATCGACTCAAGGAATGTTTGAGGAAGTATTGAGGAAGTGGGTTTCTTGTATTCCGATTCCTTGAAAAAGACTTCTTCTGAATCCTCGTCTCTCGATTTTTATCCAAAATATCCAGTTCATTGACTTTTCGTAAGAGTTATTCTGGACTGAATCAGAGCGATGATTGCAAGATGGGATGAAAGGCCACACCGAAACTACCAAAGTTGACCGAGCGGCAAAAAGTCGGCAATATTAGAAGTGGTGGAGCGGAGTTACTCATAGACGCTTCCGACGAGCCCATTTCGCATGCCAAGTAGTTGGCACAGAATCATTCGCGCCCCGCCGCATTTCATCTTCGCCGCTCTTCGAAATCATTCCTGCGGCTCTTTTTTTGGTCATCGGCAAACAGTCGAGGATTTGTTGGTATTGCGTGAATATTGTATTGTCCGACATCTAGGTGTCTTTTCTCATGATGCAAGAGTATTGAGAACCGTAGAGTGAGTGTTTAAAATCAGATTATTGCTACCATTTTCCATCGAAAAATAATTTCCCACGTCTCATAAATTCTATTCATCTGAATATTTTCAGGAACAGTAGATATTTTTTTTCTTCTTAAAAGTTCGACCGAAGAATTCAAAAAACAGTTCTTAAGGATAGCCACTAGAACTATTGAAAATTGCATCTCCTGGATATTTTTCGTCACTGAATCGCCTTTTTCTTCGAATTCTCCAGGTCTGAGTCATATTCCACCCACGTGATTCCATCGAATCGATTAAAAAAAGGCAAAACCATAAATGGAAAAACACCTAGAAGGACGGGGAAAGTTTATCGAGGGACAAGCATCCGATATCGACTGACGTGGGAACCGACGGCGCCACGCTCCAACTTCCTTTCTTCCCAAAAAGGAGGCAAAAGTCTCGCCTCGGCCAGGGGCGGATTACGTTCAATTAGCCGAGAAAGGTTGCCTAACGAGCCGTCGAAGGAAAACCGTTCGTCGAGTTCATTATCTCTCATAATTCCATATTTGGATCGCGGAAAAAAAGTGAAAGTGGAATGGGAGAAGCAGCAGACAGTTTAAGGGACCGTGCGAGTGACTTTCCAAAGCTTCAAATGTTTCTCGGCAGAAAAACTGTATTCCGGCCAACTGATGCTGGTTTGCCGCAAAAAATAAGCTAAATAAGTGTCAAAAGTTTTCTTGAAGCTTCAAGATCAGGGAAAATCAGCATTTTTGGCTCCAAACTGATTATCAGAGCTTCTTCCATTTTTGATCTTTTTTACGGACATGTAAAAATTGCAAACTCCCAAAAAAGTGTCTGGAAATCGAATTCCGGTTCAATGAAGATTTTTTTGAGAAACCAAAAGTTTCAAAAGAAATGACTCAACGACGTAATCGATTTATAAAAGCTATTTGTGAGAAGTTTTTGACTTTTTGGCGCCCGCTTCAGCAAAATATTTACTGTTTTTTTTTTTCGGACTTTTTCTAAACTCTGACGTGCTGTGATTCGGAAAGTCAGATTTCAGTTTTATGAAAATTTTCATGTTTTTCATGAAAGCCATAAAATTTAATTTATTCGATCTTTATTGCGAAAAAAAGGCATTCATTTGCTGATTTTTGTTCAAAATTGTGCAATTTCTCTTCAATAAACTGTTTAATCAACTTTTTTTTTCCATTCTAAGTTCTTTCCTTCAGATTAAAAACTCCTATTTTTTTCAGAATTGCACCCAACTTTTGACTGCCCATCCCGCGGACACGCACACTTTTTGTTCGTTTTTTTTTTTTTGCGATTTCAAGCGAAACTCCAATATTTCACAACTCACTGTTATCAAACGGCGTCGCGAAATTATCAATGTTCATCTTCGGCTCGTCGTCAGGCGTTGAAAGTCTCAACTGAAAAATATAAACTAAGGAAAATGAAGATCAGGAAAAGGAAACACTTTTATCAAGGCAATTTTAAAACTTATGTGAGGTTTTTTGAGCTGAAATTTAAGAGCCGACTTCGAAGTAAAAAATAAATTGGAAAGCATACTCTATAGATCTTTTTTTCTACACTTTGAACTCCTGGATTGAGATTTCTTGTTTCAAGTTAGGAATTGGATAAAAATCGGAAAACCGACGCGTTTAGGAGATGTCGGCGATGAAGAAGAAGAGGATGGAAGGATGGGCGAAGGAGCTTGCTAAAAATCGAGGATTGAAAAAATATTTTCATTATCATCCACTTTTTCCAAAGTTAAAAATTTGACTAAATACTATTTTTTTTTAGATTCTGATTGGCATCGGATTAAAAAAATGAGATATCTTATTTTCCTGGTTTGATGGTTACGCGAAAACTAATTGATACAGGAAAACGTATTTTCCTACATTTTCCCTACATTTATTTCGGAAATTTCAGTGTTTGTGTGTGAGAAATGAAACATTTGATTTCGATTTAATACCCCTTCTTTTCAAGTTTGATTCGAAACAAACTAAGCTTGAACATTTTGGTAAATTTTGAGTGAAACCTTTTTATTTTTTTAATTTTTTTCTAATCATATTTATTGGATTAAATGAAGACCGATGCATTCGAAAAAAATAATTTTTTTAAATATTTTTTGATTTTTCAAGCGACGTTTTGTCCCTATTTTTTTCAAACTTTTTCTCAATTTTTTTTTCCACTTTATCCATTTGTTTTTTTGAAACTCACCAAGACAGGTTTTTCTCTCGCCGCTCAACAGGTTTGTTGGATCAGCCGCCTGAAAAAAAACTTTTTTTCTTGAAGAAGTCAATTTTTTTGAAAGATTTCTACTGGTTTATTTGCTAGAAAAATCCTTTTTTTAAACTTTAAACTATTCTTATCAAGAAGAAATTATGATGAAAGCTTGCCTCAGGGAAAAACATACAGAAAAGGAAAGGCGAATTGGCAACGAAACGATTAAAAAACGATCGACGGCGTCGCGAGAAAAAAAGGAAACGATAAAGATTCATGAGAATTCCAATTCGAAACCATTTCGGTTCCCAGGAACGAATTTGGCCTCCGATTATCTTCCCATCAACCAAAAACAGAGAAAACTAACGGCAACGGAGTTGAGAAGGCCTTGGTTGTGGAGTTGTTGGAAGTTGAGGAGCGCCTGGAGCTGAAAAAAATCCGAAAATTCAGAAGTTTGAGAAGTGTTTTTTTCTGAAGGCTCCTACTACAAAATTCAAAAGTTCTAGGGCATTCAAGATAATTCATGATCAAGCTGTTCATTCATTTTTTTGAAAAACCCTCTCAAAAAAATATTTTATGCAATAAAAATTTTCAACCTTGTTGTTCCGAAACCTTTTTTTGCACTTTTTTTCTATCTCTGCTGATTTTTAGACGTTAAATGACAGTATTTACATGGTCAGCAAACCATTGTGGGAGAAAATACAAGGTTTTGATTCTATATTTTTTCTTATTTTCCTTCTAGCGGTAAAAAATTTCCATTTTCCATCTCAGACAAGGAATAAAATTCAAAGCTTCAAATAAAAATCTTCGGAATCTATTTGGAATTTAACATCGAAAAGTTTCATTTTTGAATTTCATGCTGCCCAGAAATACGGGTTTTTCATACTATCGAACCTCTTCTTTTATTTGAGGCATAGAAATCTGGGAATTCCGGTATGTTGAGATGGTTTAAAAATAGGAGCTCTCATCTAAATTACTATCGATAAGTCCACAATTCCGTGAATTAATAAGAAGAAGTGGGGATTCTGAAAGCGTGCACTGAAAAATCTCAGAAACTCTTGGATTTTCGGGATTATCCGCTACGAAACAGTATACAGACGCAAAAAATTCTCATTTTGTTTTCTTATCTGCAAAAAAAATTCGCTAAGACCTCCGGTTTCTCCAGAAACACTTCTAATTTCAATTTTTGGCTTGACGTCTTCGAATTTATTGAATCCGCTTTGTAGGCGTTTAATGCATACACAGAAAGATCTACATCCCTATCCAGATGAAAGTACTTGGGAACTGAAATAAATAATTCGGAGTAACTACGGAAGAAAGGGAGGAAAGATTAAAATATTTCCTGTTTTATCCACATTTTTTCATAATTTGAAAGTGAAAACTTCACAAAAAATGATTCTAAAAGCTTTTTTCATCAGGTAAATACTATGAATGTGAAGATACGCGGAATCATTCTATCCATGCAAGTTATCCAGTCTTGATAATGAAGAAGTTCTCGAAACGAGACAATTAAAAAATTTGAATTCAATTAGTTTCTCGTCTCATGAGGTCGTCCTAGTACAGATTAAACACTCAAAGTTTAACAAATTCTGGAAAAAGGCTCTGGATAATCAGGGGGGAAACATATATGGAATGAGATATTCATCTTGATGTTTTAGAAAAGAAACAGTCGAAGTATCTATATATTTTCGAAAAACTTTGGTTTCTTTATTTTTTAATGAAACTCATGAGAGGACCACAATGCGAGACAAAATTTATTTTCAAACTTCGACTTTGAAAAATTAAAATATTCTTTTTGATCCTTTAGGGTACTAGTGAAAATTTTTTTAACATTGATTATATATATCATTTAACACAAAATGTTGATTTTAAGGTGCTTTGAAAGCGGAAAATGCAGAACCAAACGCACTGAGCCGGTGTCTTGAACGTAAAAAAATTATTCGAAAAAAAGTATTAAACATTTAAGAGTTTATTTGATCATGGAAAAATCGACCAAAAAGCACTAATTATGTAAATATTCAGAATTTCGAATCGGTTTCTTTAATAAGTGATTATGAATGATTAATTGAATGACTGTAGAAAAGAATTTTAAATGGCTGATTTAAAAAAAGACCTTTTTTTGAAACTTATGATATTACTCCAGGCGCTGATTTTTAATACCGATTATTTTTGAATTTTTCAAGGTGCTAAATATAATATAATTAAAATTGAAGCTTTACAGACGGCACTGCGAAAAAAACACGATTTTTTTGTAATATTTTTTTCAGGGGCGAAAAAGACAAAACTAAGACTTTAAACTAGGAAAATAATTTACTTGATTTTCAAGCACTATTTGTTTGTTGCAACTACAATTTTTGGAGTAGCTCTAACTCGTTTCTGTATGTTGAATTGTATTCATCTCAAAATGGACGCCTGTCTCTCGGATTATTCTTCATGAGTCACTGAAAAAATGGATATTTGAGAGTTGTGCACTACAAACTCTCAGAAACATCCGAGATTATCTGCTCTAAAACAGTCCGTCAACGCAGAAGATTCCTGTTCCTCAGGATTTGGGGAGGAAATCGGCTTCATCCGACGCTACTCCGAACGATGATACCTGTTGGATGGCGACCTGAGAGTTGGCGATGTTGAGGGGATGGTTCGACTGCCACATGTTGACCGGCAACACAGTCGAAGACGTCGACGGCGCGCTTCCCGGAGTCGTCGCCGGATACGGTAGCCCCGTCAGCGTGTTCAGCGACTGAAATCTCCGTAAAGTCCTCGGAAACAAGATCAAAACGGACGAGGGAGGTACTTTTTGAGGGAAGTTTGGAGTTTTCGGAAAATTTACACAAAAAATCCTCAGAAGGTCTAAACGAGAAAACACCTCATAATTTTTTTTTTTGTTTTTCCAGTTCTAAACTTTCTAAACCCGGGATAAACCTGAGCCAAATTCCCTATGCTTTTCAATAAAAAAACTCGAAAAATTACTAAATATGAAATAAAGAAAAAAATGTCAACAGACTAAATATTTTTCAGGGAAGTTTCGAGGATGTTTTTTTCTGGAATATTTCAAAATCAAGAAAAAAAGTTTTTTTCTTTTGGTGAATCTCAAGAAAAAAATTCAGAAAATGTATCTTCTTTTTTTGTTCAAAAACTGTTCGAAAATCCAGTAGAGTAGTAAAAAGAAAAATACGACATTCAGAATATTTGATTGAGTAATAATCATCAACATAAACAAAATTAGAACTTTTTGTGCGCATGAAACTTGTTGATTGCAACTGTTTGATATTTTTTTCCGTTGCAAACTTTTCGAGAATAAAAATAAGAGACAGTTTGAAGTTTTCGCTTGCTTCCGAAATTGTTTCGAAAAACTTCAAAGAAATCAGTTGGAGGGGTCATTAGATGAACCTAAAAAAAGTCGGTTTTTCGCTGCTACTTTGAATGCGAAACAAATTTTAGAAATGATTATGATACATTCGAAACTTTTTAAAAAAAATTTTCAACCAAAAATTTGATGGCTTAATTTCTCCTTTCAAAAATTCGTTTTTGACTGCAATTCATTTCAAGTCTAATCTGGTAAACAATAATTTCGATGTTAATTTGTACTAACTAGTTTTCTAAAAACTTTTACAAGAGGACTGTGAAATTGAAAAATTTGTGAAGTTATGAAAATTAGGCCATAGTCAAAAAAGGAGAATAGTTTTTTACTACATTTTTCTCAACTATCAGGTTTTTCAAAACAGTTAATTTTATTCAAAAAAATTAAAAAAACTATAATTAGAGTGAAAATCCAACAAAAGACTTATAAAATACAGGTAGAGGAATGAAAACTAAAAAAAACTTAATGAGAGGCATTTATGGAAGAAAGAACTCAGCCATAAGGAGGCATAAGAACCAGAACGTGTCCTTAAAGTTATCAAGATCGACGGAGATAAGAAAAAAAGAAATAACCATCAGTTTTGGCTAGTTATTAGTGTTTCAGCGCGTTGAGAACGGGGATTATCCTATAATTACTCAGAGAAAAAGGCCAACGTTTAGGTTCCATTCCTTTTCATGCAAGGTTTTATTTTGCGCAACTTTCAACTCATGAAGTTTTCTACAATAAGAAGGCTTTTTTTCATTTTGCCGTGCTAATTATGGCGTAAAACTTTGATGAACAATGGCAAATAATCATTGTTTTTTTTTTTTGAAGATCTAAAATAAGTACGAAAATCAGAAGCATCGAATTGAAAAAGGGGGAGAGTGGACCGCGCGAAATGAAGAATATACCGTCTGAGGATATATTACCATCAAAACTCAATGAATTAACGTCATTGAACTGGTCATTGGGCGGGTTGTAGAACTCGATTTCACAATATGAATCAACTAAAAGAAGGATTTATCTGCGGGGGTTTTGAAAATTCTGACGATTTTCGATATGAGAAAGTGCGAAAAACATCGTATCGAAATTAAAGACGAATTCAAATACAGAAAGAAATTTCCAATCACCCTTAGTTCATCAAAAAAGCTCATTTAAGCTGAATTTTCATGGAATGATGAAATTTCGTCGAATAAACAGAAAAGAAAGCTTTTAGTTGTAATTAAATTTGGAGGAGCGATCAGAAAATCCTAACAAGAACAAAAATGAAGAATGAAAAACAGCAATCTTTTTGTAGAAAGGTTCAGTTTATTGAGTAAAAAAAACGGGTTCTGATCCCAGCTACTTTACTATCAGAGTTCGTTTGAACGGACGGAGGAATTTAAATAATTAAGCAAACAAGAGAGGCTCAAAAAAGTGCAGCCGTCGAGACGCCAACTTTTTATCTCGACGGTCTTTGCCGCCTAGCCAAACCGAACAGGTGTTCAATGAGGAAACAAAAAAAAAAAACAGATTCTCCAGTGTTGAAATTCGGAGATTTCCACTTTTTCTCGAGTCATCTCCCGATTTTTGAGCATAGTTGGACACAAAGAAAAAAAGAGCAAAAAATGTACTTCTCATATTTAAATAGGCCATTTTCAAAGCCTTGAGTGCAAAATCTCCTTTAACAAATTTTTGACTTCGAACTTTTCTCCAGAAAAAAACAAAATTAAATAAAAAAATTCATCCAGAACATAACTTAACTATAAAAAAAGAAAATCTTTCCAAAAAAAGCTCTCGAGGTTTGAAATGAAGGCAGAATAATATAATAACCAATAAAGCTTGGCTCAATAGGTGCAAAAAAAATCTGAGAGCTTCAAAACGGAAGAAGATAACATGAGAGCCTTGAAAAATGAGTTTAAAAAATGTATAAGTTGGAAAAAGGAGAATTTTGAGAAAAATTTTCAAACAAAGGTGTGAAAACAAATGTAAACTTCAAGTTTTTTTAAGAAGAAGAAGAAGAATAATTCAAAAAATATGCGATGAACTATGTGAACCAAGTTAAAATGAGATGAGACAATAATTAAATTTTCAACAGAAAACTGACTTTGAAAAAGAGTTCAATAAAAAAGGCTCAAAGAAACGAAAAATTTTTTTAGCTTATTAGAGTAGGTCATGATGGTCGGAAAGGGAACAGGTGAAAAAAAGGAGTTTATCTAAATTTGTAAGAATCTCAAACTTAATTGCTTCCTCAGGTTTAAAAAGCGGTTATTTTAACCGCTTTTAATTAAAAAAACTATTTATTTGAAATCGCTTTTTACCGTATGAATTGAATAAACCTATTATTATTATTATTATTATTATTATTATTATTATTATCATTATTATTATTGAATACGAAATTAAAAACATCGTAACGCCATACTCTTCTTTCCATTGACAACAGTTTTTAACGAATCAAAATTTATAAGTAAAATTAAGCCGGTCATTTCAAAAATTCTAACATTATAAAAAAAGACGATTTCCACCTTTTTATATGAACTTTTGTTCTCATCTCAACTTTAAAAACCTTGCAAAGAGACAAAAATAAACCAAAGGAAAAAAACAGGCCGTGGGAGCGATTGAACACGTCTTTTGTGAAACAAAACGAGGCGCCAGCCAGAAAATGTTTTGGCGTGTGCGAGCGTGGCTGTGAGAACGTGGAAGAAGAAGAAGAAGAAGGAAAAGAAGACGACGAAGAAGAAGAAGAGAAGAGATGGGGGATTCGAGGCGGAGTCGCGTCCAGAAACATCAGAACCCATCGTATTCAGCTTTTTTTTTTTCGAATTTTCCCAAGGAAATTCGGTGTGGGAATTGAGAATGAAATGGTAGTTGTTGGCGGCGGCGGCAGTGTTGGTGGCCGTGCCTGAGAGAATCGCCTCCTACCGCCATCCAATTTTTTTTTGTTTGCGTGGGATCGCCGCAGAGGCGAGGAAGAGCGCGCAAAGACGCGTTTGACTGCGGGTGGGAAAAACGAGCGTGGGAACGAGACGAGGCAACACGGACGGCCTGGAGGTCGCAGAAGGCCACCCGGCCGTCACAAAAGAAGGCCAAAGAGAGAGAGAGAGAGAAAAGAGAGCGTCGGTCGACCCCATAAGACACGCCTAGAAAAAAATTTGGAGAGACTGGACCTCCTAGACGACGACAGGACCAAGAATTCATCGACTCCATCTTCATGAATCAAGAAGCACTGAGGTCTTAAGAGCACGGTAGAGGTCAATTGTGAGTTTTACAATAATTTGGAAAGACTGGGTCCTTACAAAAATGAAAAAATTACCCCTCGATTTTTAAAGTTTGGAATGACATGACAGGAAAAAAGCGAAGATCAAGGTTGGATCTTCAAGAAAAAAAAAGTAAAAGACTAGGAATCCAAGAACACCACGTGACCTCGGCTGCATCTAATTCTTCTTTAGCGAAAATCAGGAAAAATTGAGTTCATGGAAATAAGACACGTACAGAACAAAACTGAAGACGAATAGAAAGTGACCTCGGCATCAATAAAGACAATGGTCCAGCAAACTAAGAAAAGATATAGAGCAGGCCCTCAAGTGGACACTGTAAAATCCAACAAACGTTTCTTTGGTAAAGTTGTCCTGCCATAATACCAAATAATGCTTAACTATCTCCTTAAGCTGAAAATTCGAGAGTAAGCAAAAGCGACGTCAGAAAAGTGATTCTTGTCAAATTCAGGCGACCTGAAAGACTAGTCTTACCAAATAATCGATACAGACGTGCACGTAGTAAAATTTTCATTATTTGATCAGTTATCGAGAGCAAATTTAAGAAAAAAAAACAATTTGAGTATTTTGAATAATTTTAAAGATTTAAACTTTTATTCGGAGTACACTAGAAAATGTTTCTTGAACTTTTTGAAAAGTAAATTTTTTTTTTTGAATCCCTGATAATTTATGTGAACAGCACTTTCTAACAAAACCTTCTGAGAATATGAAAATTCAACGAAAAAAAAAGAGATGAAAAAAGTTAGCCAACTAACTTTTCTTGAATACCATAAAAATGGCTCATTCACGGTGATAAGTAAACTCATTGTTATCATCATGTTCCAAAAATGATCCGCCTTTGAGATTTGAACTATCTTATCATTAGGGCGCGCGAGATCGTTAATAAACTTTTCCAAGATGTCTAGGCATTTTCTTCCTTTCAAGTTCCAACTTTTTTGGAGCATTCCAGTTTCTTTGCTCAATGAAGAAGAGAAAGAACAAGTGTGAGCGTGAGTTTCTCCCTCTGTGAGCGACTTTTTTTCCGAAAAAAAAAACGCCGTTCTCCGAGTTGGCCAAACTTTCCCACACACATTAAAACGAAAGAGGCCAGCCTTTGGGAACTTTGTCGTCGTTCAGGACCGCTTGATTTATTGATTACGAAAATCGACTCGGTTCAATTTTTTTCTTGTAAGGAAAAACATTTTTTAGAAAATTGGAAAACCGAGTGTCTGTGTACAATCAAAAACCTGCCGATCAGCATAGTGTCACAAAAAGTTTTTTGAAAAACAAGACGCCGTTGTTTTCTTATAAAATGTCCAAATGAACCATGTTTTTGATGTATTTTTTGTGTGTAAAAAGCTGTTCTTTCGGTTGAAAACAGATTTTAATTTTAAAAAGACTACATTCACTCAATTTTTACTCAAAATAAATTCTCCACTTTGACTTATGAAAAAAATTAGAATCCACACCTACTCGGAACTCGGTGACGCAAACCGGACGCGCCCCGCAAGTTTCAGAGAAATTCTAGAAATCACTCAAGAGTGCTGACGCCGCTTAAGGGATCACTAGAAACTATCAGAAACGAGGCACGTTCTATTTCTGTCCCCGATAACTGAGTATCCCTTAAAACATGATCCTAAACAATGAAGCAATGATGAAAACTTAGAAAAATCAAGTGAAAAACCTTGTTGTTTTACTGATTTTAAGATTAAACCAATCTTCCGCAGATTTTGATTCTTTTAAAAGCCTTCTTTTCTTCGATAAATGTAATTTGGTCAACCAGGAAAAAAAACATGGAAACTGCTCCTTTTTTCTTCATTTATTTTAATTTCCTTGCATTTATCAGAAAAACTTTCCAAACCTAGAGGCTCCATTTCATGAGACTACTTCTTTCTACTAAAAAAGAAAAATCTAGAAGTCTTTTATCTAGGAAAAAAATCCGAAAAATTGCTTTTTTTAGAGAAAATGAAACTGATTAGGGATATACCTCATCTTGCAGTAGGCTAGATTTCTTTTTTTATGACAATTCCTAAATGTGTGTCCAAAACTTGCTGAAGAAAACTTTGGAAAAAGGTATAGCTACTCAGAATCGAAAGAAAAATAGAAAATAACCTATTTAAACTTTTTTTCTTCTAAATCTTCGTATTTTATTTTTTACTGTTTTTCGAGAGAATACTGCAATTTTGCCGCTAGCCTTATACATATGTTTTCTTTTCTAATAACTCATGATTGAAGATTTTCTCGAAGCCAAATATATATCTGTGCAAACTGTGACGATAGCAAATGAATTGCCTCGACAGCTTTCTCCTGTCTCAAACGCATGGAGACAAGATCAGACGCGCAAAAAGGAAAAGCCCCATCCGACGGCGTGATCGGCCCAAAACGAGACGGCGTCGATTTGCACGTCTTCTTATCAATATCCTTATCATCTTGTCCTTCTCTGGCGCCCTCCGCGTCTTCGGCATAGTGCAACCCCTGTTTCGTCGGCCCATCCTGATTACACTGACGACGGCAATTTTTTGAAAGTCACAAGCGTCATTTTCGGGTTGGAGACTCTGACAGACACTTGCAGAAACTCGTGGAACAGTAAAACGAGTTTCTCCCCCTTTTTTTTGCCAGACTGAGAAGGGCAGCTGCGTTCGTCACCCACACAATGAAAAAAGTACAACAAAGAAATGAGTAATTATTATCTAGTCGAACAATGTTCGCTTTTAACTTCAATTAAAAGTAATTTCGAAAAAAACGAAGCTTCACAATGATTTCTGCAGAATTCTGAGCTTCAGCTGTAACTTTATTTCGAAGTCTACTACCACAAGGAAGAAGGTAAACTTGAGAATTCTAGAAAAAAACCCCACAAAAAAATTTGCAAAAAAACAGGTTCTCCAAAAATAGCCCATTGAAAAAATTACAGTTGAGCCAAAACTATCTAAAAAAAAAAATAAAGGTAATTTGCTCGTCATTTCTAATGATTTAAAATCGATCTAAAATCCAAATCTCAAGATAAGACAAAATTTCGAATCAAAGATTGTCCGAAAGGTCGCACTTAACAAGCGAAATTGATAATACCCTCATAATTTCCTTCCAACACACCAAACCTCATTTTATGCTAATCCTTACAAATCTAAAAAAAAGTGTTCAACTATTAAACGGATTAATGAAAATTATAAGAGTGCGCCGAAAAAAAAGATAATTTTGAGGGATTAAATATTCTAAAAATACACTTCTCGCAGAATATGGTAATGATTCAGTTTTTGAATGAAATGGTGCTTTGTTGATAGTTCGGAATATAAAAATCATCAATAATTTAAGTAGTTGAGTGGGTTAGAAATTCACGAATGGATAGTAGATGGATAACAGCACTACGTCAAGCCATTGTTTTTCGAAAATTTTTTCATAGTATAAAGAAATACTACAAGCGGTTTTCCAGTTCAATATTCTTATTAAACTTATCCATGTATTTTCAGACACAAAATTCAATTGGAGGTAGAAAAAAAACCTGAAGCAGAGTAGTGGCGTCTATCGGGCCGTTACTTCCGTACGGCGCCGCGGCTGCCAGCACCAGCGATGCAAAATCGCAATTCATTTCGTTTTCGGAGTCATACAGCAATTACCTGTAAAGTTTCAATATCTTTTTTGAAGAAGAGAAGAGAAAACCACAAAAAAAACGACAGATTTGAAAGAAAAACAGATGAAGAAAACAATGCGTGAAAAGCCGCCCCACCGAGAAGACGATCAAGCACTTAAAAAAGTTTTGTAATTTTTCGGATTGAACGCGGACGCGCGGTGGTATGTTGAAAGAAGGTTTGGATCGCTTGGAACAGTACACTTTTCGTCTGTTTCGAAGAAATTTCATCAAGGTGGATCAAGGAGCACGCCATGTCTCATCATTAAATGTGAGTTCTGAAAAGTCTTTTTAATGCAGAAAAAACGTGATCAGGATTGATTAGCACTGGAAAAGACTTCCTAGCGTGAAACTTTCGAGAACTTTGGACCTTCAAACATTTCAATAGCTGTCAGTGATAAACAGTATCAAGTTTTCTAAATGATCAGCAAATATTTCTTTGAGATTCGAAAGCTCTTAGAAATTTTTTTGAAATAACGACGTTTTCTCAGAATTGTCCAATGGCAGAAAAAAAAAGAAAATGTTTTGGGAAAAAGTAGCGAATAAAAAGCTTTCAAAAATAAGTGACATAATGCATTTCTCGTTGAGTCGGACGCAAGGAGCACTTTATCAGATTTTCAGGAAACAAAAATTTCGAGAGAAAGTTTGAAGAGACACGGAAGTTCATTCAAATTGTAAAAAGTTTTTTTTTGTTTCCCAATATGAGCAATTTCTCAAATATTGTGAAATATTGTTTAAATATAGTTTGAAGCAGTGTGAGTAGTACGTTCCAGCTTTTTGATAACAAGAATAATGTATGTTTGTTGGATTTTTCCGCGTTCGTTTGTATTGTGAATAGTTGAGAGGGTTGCCGTATCGCTTCTGTGATAATATCGATCATTTTGGCGTGAGAAAACGACAAATCAGTGAGAACGCGACGCGTTCGCAAAGCGGCAAACTGGAGGAGATGCCTTTTTTGGCGACCGAAATGCAAAAAAAGTAGAGTAGGATAAATTCAAAACAAATAGGAAGAAGTACTTGCTCAACAAATTTGTTGAAGGAATAAAAGTTGGTAGTATTTGATTTCATTTGAAGAGGTCAAAAAAACCCAAAAAGGATAAAATAAAGAAGAGGAATTTCGGAGTAATTTTAATGAAACTTCGCTCTTTTTCAGAGTTCTTCGGAAATTCTATAAACAAATGATTAATTACAATTAACGTAGTTATGAAAGAGAAAAAAACTTTGAGTGACGTCAAGATTAATTTGATGCTAAACTTTAAAGAAAATGGTTAAATGCGTAGTATTGCTGGAAAGTTTGCAGTTTTTGTATAACATACAGTTTTCATTCTCTAGTGACTTCGGTGACTTTGAAGAAAGTGAATTGATTTTCTGAGAAGTTTTTAAAATGTGAAAAGTAACTAGTTTGGTCCTGTCATCGAAAATTCGTTTTCTCAATGCAAGATCACTATCAGTTTATCAATCATTTTGCAAGAACTGCAGAAGAGATTGAGTCGGACCGATGATCGAGATGTTAAAAGATAGAACAAGCGACCACCTTCAATCTCATAATGGGATAATAAGAGATTAATCCGAGTTATAAAAAAAGGAGGAAGAAGAGGGTGTTGAAGGATTCTCGCCGCCCACCCCGGGGTTCTTTGCTCTTTCTTCAGCCGGTTGACCTCATATTTCAATGATCAGACGAATTGGTGGTGCTTTGAAATGGTTTAATTTATTTATAAGTGTATATACAAAAAGGAAATCAAAAAGCATAACTATTCAGATCGAGAAAAGCGTAATGGAACAGCTATTGTTTAAAGATAAAGATACCTCGGCTCAGTTAGATCAATCAATTAGTCGATAATCGAGCGCTTACTCAATTTTATGAAGGGAATCAAACTTTTAAACTGTTCTATAAAAATATCTTGCAGGATCTGAAATATCTGAAATTTTTTTAGTTACATTCATGGAAAGGGAAAAAAAGATCTTCGACATCTGAAAAATTTTAACATATATTTACTTTTTTTACTTTTTTTCCTATATTAAGCTTTTTGAAATAAGCGACTTATCTTAAACTTTTGGAATTTTGAACGTAATGAGTTACAGATTGTAATCCATTTTCCAAAAGTCGGGAATTTTGGAATCATGATGAGAAAAAAAAAACTATTCATAGCTTTGATCTCGAAGATTCCAGATTTATCGAAGGAATGTTTGCTTATCTTGGTTTTCCTCACTGAATTTTAACTTGAAAATATGTCTTTTTTTCATTATTCTCGGTTATAGGCGAATCTGTTCGTTTTATACCAAATAGACGCTTTCAGACTACTTTCCATAATAGCTCATGAAAAAAAAATTTTTCGCATTTTTGCTCGTTCAATAAAATTTTCAGAAAGAAAAGACTGATGGAGTTTGAAAGGAGAACACCAAGAACGATCAATTTTGCTATCAACGGTCACTAATTGGCTGAGCATCGACCACAGTGGTTACCTCAAGCTCTTGAGGAAGTCTTGAAGGCTTTAACCCCGGGTCATAGTCTATTCGTTAGGGTGGACTAATTCCCGTTATTGGTTGTTCTACTGCTCTCTTATTCTGAACTATTTTAATCATTATTTTTTAACAGTATGCAGTAATTGAACGTATTATTATTAAGGCCTCAGTAAAAGGAGTTTTATAGTCAAACATCGATCTTAAAGGGTTTCTTAAATGCGAAAATGTAAGAGTTTTGCTTAAGTTCCTCAATAAAATAGTGATTTAAGACTTAGCTCTGAGCTTCCCTTTCAAACTTTTCAGTTCGATATTTTCCAATATTCAAAAACGCAAATTAAAATCATGATGAAAATTTGATGTCAAAGAAGCCTCATGGTCTTACTGTTTTTTTATTAGTCTCTTTTGAAAGTGATTATCAAATATCAGAAAAAGTTTTCAGAGACTATAATTTGGATTTCGGCAGTACTAGAAAACGTAAAAAAGGCCATAGTTCAGAAGAGAAATCGGTTGAAAGCGGTACCGAATCGAAAGATTTTTCCAGAAATTCCAAAGACCAGGGGATTTTTGATGGGAACACTACGAAAAGGGAGAAATGCTCGGGGCAGGGAATATAGACGCAATCAGCAAAAGCGACGGTTGAGGGGGAGTTTTTGCGTGGAAAAGCGGACCAACAGGCAATTCACATGTTCGAAAACATTTGATCTTATCGCCGTTAACAGTGTCGACGGAGGTTGTTTGCGTGATGATCATATCTGAGTGCGGGAAAACCCCTTTCGGCGACAGATGACACCGACGCCGCAGACATGCCGACGGTCCTCTATACTCCCAAACGATACGTTTCCAATCGGAGAAAACGGGGCCTTTTTCTCAGCAAATCGGCGTGATGTTGCGATCGATTCAAATCGGTTCCGAAAATAGCCATGAAATGTAGAAAGACTTAATTGTGGGCTGAATCCTGGAGAGTTACTTCCTTTCTCTTATTTCATCAAAATGTTAGAAACTCGCTAAACACTAATCAAGAACTTCAAAAAAAGGTAAAGTCTGTTAGGAACTGCTTTCTGAAGGTTTTAAAGGCGCATAGGCTAAATTAGAATAGGTCTCGCGATGAAAATTTTTTCGGCGAATCCATTTCTGACTTTTCTGTTCCTGAAAATTCTTATAAGCTTCACTGAAAGGGGCTGGCTAATATATTTAAAAAAAGTTCAACTATAGAAGATGAATTTAGAAAGTTTGGATTTTTCACTTGAATATATTTTTTTAAGGAAAACTTTTTGCCAATAGGCCCGAGAAAGTAAAAAGATTCGCTTCTATTTCTTATAGAAAATCCATTTTGAAATACTTTTTCAGAGTGTTATGTTTCCGGCATCGCTATAATTGGATTTAACTTTTTTTCTTCTTTGAACTCTGGGAAGAAAATTTCGTGGCGGGATTCACAAATAATGATCAAAAGTCAAGAATATTAGAAGAATCTAAAAAGGTAAATGGGATTATTTGTGGAGCATAGAGAAACAAAAGTCAGTGGAGAACAAGGAAAGGTGGGAAAAAGAGATAGTTTTTTGGTAGGTTCAAACGCTTATCGACTTTCCAGTTGGCGTAAATGTTCTCTTCGGCACGTGACGAGGCCGATTCTGAATGAAATTGGTCTCCCCTAGTAGTGATGTTATCAGTGATATCAGAGAAACAATGATTCAGAAGCCGTCTTATTTTTTCTTTAAATTCGAAATTATCAGCCTCTCTAATGTTTTTTGGACTAGTAGATGAGAAGATTGACTCGATACTAGATACTAGACTGTATTATCTTATGTTTGAGATCAACTAATAAGATACAAAGAATAGAAGAGCGGCTGGGAGTAATCTGCCTAAACTGAAGAAAAACCATTCTCACTTGGGGGAGAAAAAAACTTGCGCAGATAGAAGCAGATGCAGGAAAAAAGATGTGTGTACTGCACCTGCCTCGAACGGTTTCCAGAGATTTGCATCCCAAAATTCTAAATTAAAGTTCACCATCTTTTCCAATATTCGGGTTCCAGTAAACTTGACCTTTGGATGACTACCAAAGGTTTTTGGGAATTCAATAAAATTATTGTTAAACTTGCTAGTTAGCAAGACTTCTCATCACAACTCCAAAATTTTTTCGAAAAGTGGGGCTTTATTTTCAAAAAATCTTGGTATTTCGAAGCTTGTAAACTACTGTACCCAACCTAACAAGGAACATGTTTTTGCTCTGGAATTTTCAGAGAATGTGCTCATATTTTCTACTTTGTATTTTAAAGAAATGAGCAATTTTGACAACTTTTTAGTTATGGAAACAGACGCTTTGTAAGTTTAAATGGACGATTTAGAATCTTTGAGTCGTTTTTTGTATAAATTTGAAGTTCCCAAAGTTGAGACTTCCATGAAATCTTTCTAGTACATCAAAGGGAAAACTTCAATTTTTTTGAAAAGCTTTCTATGAAAAAAAAGTGTTCTTGAAAACCTTTCTGGCGCGGGAACTTGTAGATCTGAGCGAGTTTTCGTACAAAAAAGAGCCGTCTTGGAGGCAACACTGCTCGCCGGCGAATATGAAAGAAATGGGAGAAGCTTGAAATGTCGGCCCGGGTGTCGAAGTTTTGATATTGCGAGAGAATCCGACCGGCAAACGAATAAAACGCTGGGAACTTCGACATTCAGATTCTCAGGGAAAACGACGATAAACGTCGCTTCTGTGGGATTCAGCGGCTTTTGTTGGTTTCCATTTAATGTCCGATTGTACACGTGCAAGTCGATTCGATTTCTCAAACCGACAAAAAGAAAGACTTTAAGAAAAATTTTTCATTTTTGAGCCAGGAAATCAGAGAAATATAGCTTCAGTTAGTAATATTTATGAAGAAAAGTGATAGGAACCACAAGGTGGGAGAATTTCGAGACTTCTTTGAGGAAGAATGACTGAAAAATAGAAGGATTGGTGGGAAAATTGTGACGAATCGTGCCCTCAGCACAACAACGTCGTCTGAGAATATCGTCCGTAGTCTTCATTGGAAAAGAAATTCACAGCCTTCTGCCCATTATTACGAGCTCCAGAGTGGTCCTTATAGGGACAACCTCAAGGGCCCCTGAAAGTACCCCTCTAGGTCACTTACCTTCTCCCCTATACGGCCACTAAAGCTTGCAGAAGGGACCTCTATAGGGAAACTGCTAGTGAATTATTGTTATGAACTCTATGAGAAGAAGCATTTCCATGCGAAAAACTGTGAGTAGCGTTATTGGAATGAAAATTATCTGAAGAGATTGAATTTATCAATTTTGTCTTTTTGAACTTCCGAATCCGAACAAAAAAAGTTAAAATACCCTGTAGAGGCCATTTGAGCTTCAGGGGCTTAGGGGTCAGAGACTGAACCCCTATAGGGACCATCTAAATTTTGCCCATATAGGGGACACGTTTTTGTTTCTTTGTGGGGCAGTTTTCCTTCCTGATTCCTTTAGGGACCACTTTGAGCTTCCAAGTTTAGGTGTAAATTCGTGAGAAAGTCAATTAAAAGCCCAACGAAGCTACATTACAGCGTTTAAGATGTTCTTTCATATTTTTTTTCTCAGAATGAACATTTGCCGAGCTCTGAAAATTGAATCTTCAGAAAAAGCTTTCGACTTTTTTTGTGTGTTTGAAACGACAAAGGGCGTCGGAGCCACGTGGCTTTTATGAGATTGTAAAAAGAATTGAAAAAGAAAATTGTTGAAAATGTAAGAAAAAAATGTTTCTTCCATAGAAAAAAATATAAAGTAAAGGTGCAATGTGGAGGTTTTTGATCTCTTGGATTTTTTATAGACGTAACTCGCAACTACCCGAAACAGCCTGGGTCTTTTAAAACGGAAAATAAAGATAATTTTTTTTACGTTTTTTATCTAAATTTTCTCGTCACATTCTATTTTCTTTTTGAATAATTGTTTTCCAATCATAGGTAGGACCCTTATTTTTTGCTCTGGGCTTCCGAAAGATCGGAAGTGGACACGAGTGCAACAAACAGTCGCCGAGACGGTCAAGCGGTCGGTGTGAGCATGTCTATTAATCAGTTGGGCAAATAACACTCAATTTGACCCATTTTCAACAGTCATTCACTTGTTGATTCCCATCTTCTATCATTTTTTTTATAGTTCATTCGAAATTAGAAAACTTCTGGCAACTCGAATAAAGGTGGAAGAAATGTGAGAAGGAAAAATCGTCAACTGCAGATTTCTTGAAGAAAATACTACGCCTAGAAATGTCTCGACCTCGCGAGACCAAATCCTTTTTTTCGAGACGAAAATGTCGATTTTTTGACCTGTTTTCTCGAAAATTTTCGAGATTTAGTCTGTTTGCCATGAATTGAAGTTTCACGGAACGACATTCCGCTGTTCCGCTGCGTGCGTTCGCGAAGCGTTTTTCGAATCTAGGTCATGATTTCAATTGATTCTGCGGGAGCACATGAAAGTAGATTAACTTAATGAAAAAAAAAATGAAAAGCGCGACCAAGGTTCGCAAAGGCGCGCAGCGGCACAGCGGAATGTCGTTCCGTGAAAATTCAAGCCGTGGCACACAGACTATACCTCGAAATGGATCGAAATCTCGACTCGAAAAAATTATCAAAATTCATTCGTCTCTGGGAAAATTCCATCTCGAACAATGGTTTCCCGTCCGTATCAAGTTGCTCACTTTTTTTCGAGTTTTTTACAAGTTTCAAAATTTATTTCTTCACGTTTTCAATCTTGTCTACATCATTTGTTTCAAAAGAGCCACCGACCCCTCGATTTATAAAATAGCTTCTTTGTGGTTACGGTAGGAGGGTGTCACGGCATGTTGGTGCGGCTGTTTGTACTGGATATGCAGTAGCAGGACACACAAACAGATCACAGAGACGGACAAAGAATGTGCGTGACGGCGGGGCGAGAAATGCCAAATCGAGAGGTCAGCGCTCCTAGCTTAACCGTTCGACTTAATGTGATTTGAGAAGTTTTGCTGAAAATTTCTGTACATGAGAAAGGCCCGCGGTCTTTGAAATGAAGTATTACTAGCTTTGAAGGAGGTTGGGGAAAAGATCCTGAAGACTTGAAGATTTTTAAAATCGATGAAAAGTAATCTTGGTTCTTACTATATTTTTTGCTCGAAAAAGAACTTCATAACGGAATTTTATCAATTTCTAGAGATTTTTCAGGTGAACTTCTCGGCCCATCAAGTTTTTTCGCTTCAACTTGAAGCTCTAATCGCTTTTTCGGACCATATTTTATTGAAAATTATTTTTCTTATTTCAAAGCTCTTAACAAAATTTTTATTTAGGAGAGTAGGTTTTCGAGAGAAATGTATCCCTTGAAAGATAGAGAAAGAATAAGTTCCCTCGACGCGAAAGTATGTTCCAACTTCATCAGCTTCTGCATAAGGACTGATTTTCCATTTACAAAAGTTAGAATCACATTTCGAACCGCTGGTTTCTCTGGAGCACCAGAAGACCAAGACAAGGGAGTCGCGCAAAGTAACCATTGGGAAATCCCCGAGAGTTTCTCGACTCGAGTGGAAAGTGGCTTAAGCGCCAAGCTGCCAGCTCGAGAGTTGTTTACGCGGCCGTCGGTGCGCGACGTGTCCAATCGTTTGACCGCTTCTTCCCATTGTTCGTGATCAACAGCCACGGCCGCCCAGTTTTCAAATAACAAAGGCTGGCAATGAGTTTTGAGTTAGAAAACAATTGAGGTTTAAAACTAAGGTCGATCTTGATTTTTAGGGGTTTCGGTAGCGTCCAGACTAGAATTAAATTACTCAGGAATATCCTGAGAACGTTTTCGGAAGGTACTGAGAAAACGTTGGGAAGGTCTGCTTTCGGTCCCTTGGAAGGCGTTCGGAAGCTCTCCAGCAAGTGGTCGAACCCCTTCCGAATAGCTTCCCAACACCTCCTACTTACCTTCATGATACCTGCTAGACATTTTCAACTGTTTACCTTCCAACCACCTTCAGAACATTTTCTAGAGATTTTTTCTCAATTAGAAATTCATACTTCTGCTCGATATCATTTTCTAAGTAGGCTCAAAAGTCCAGAAACCCTAAATTGAAGAAACTTGATCGAAATCGAATAATTCCGAAATTCCCCACCTGCAATCATGCGTTAGATGAGCAACAAACGAAACACTAGACTGTTTAGACAGGACTAGGGAGTTCATCGCTGGCAGAAAGACGAGAAGACCCGTATAGGAGAAAACATATAAACTCTGGTCATGTTTCGCTTGACCTTCCGGTAATCCTCTGAATGGACTGGATCATTTTTTCCAAAGTTTATGTTACAGTGATTCCCAGAAGTTTCGGTTCATTGAGAAGGTTTGCGGAAAGGATCTCTACATTTAGGCAAAAAAAAAGTCGTTTTTCGAAAAATATCATGCATAATCAAATCATAAACCATCTGATAGAGCAGACTTTCCAAGCCTCAAACCATTTCAGTACATTGAAAAATTTAGATTTTGAAAGTTTCCAGAGCTAGGATCATAAAAAAAGCTCATAACCTTCCGGAATCGTAAATTCCATGAAACTTCTGGATTCCGATGTTCTACGACCGGAGTTCACCATTTTTATTTTATGCCTGAGCCACGGTTTTTCGAACCAGAAAGTCTAGCCAAATTATGCATTTTGTGCAAGACAGTCACGTTCCAAAAGAACAGCGGGAAAAAAACCTACTGTAAAAACACCTTTTTTTGCAAATTGCTCTACAAAATTGCAGTAAAAGACAGCAAAAAACAAGGGTCTTGAAGGGAAGTGGGGTCACATTTGATCAAATTTGGTATACCATCTTTTTCAATTCAATTCAATTTATTCAGTCTTCAAAGTAAGATGAAGAAAATCTCTGCTGATTCATGGTATAATCGAACCGTCTTTTTGGCAGGGAAAAAAAAACGTGACAAGGAATGGACTATGAGACGCCGATTGTCAAGATCTTCAAAGGTGAAAAATGCTTCTATTTTAATTTTCTTGAAAAGCTTCCAGATTTTCACTCCTCGGAGAAAGACTGAAGTCCCCAATTGAGCCTCACCATTTAGGCTTCTGCCGATCCAGAAGACCAAATCACACAAAGTTGTTTTGGCGTGGCCACCGCACTTTGGACGACGTTCCATACACGCAGTAAACTTTGGGGTCATGTGTCGATGACCCGCCGTCCAGCCGCTCCTCGAGAGTTGTTCTTCACCGCTTCTTCTTCGTCTCGACAAACGCCACTTGGCCTCAACTGACCGTCTCTCCGTTCTTTGTGCCAGACTCCTTCGGCTCCGGTTACCGTCGCCTTTTTTGAATGAGAGCTTGAGAATCTTCCGTCGGAATGGAATCGGGAGGAGAATTGATTGCAGAACATGGATTCTAACATTTTTTGAAAAGTAAGGAAAGGAGACATTTTGAGAAAGTTTCCCATGGACATTAGAAAACTATCAACGCAAATATGTCTTTTTGAAATTTCTGGTTTTCCTGTTTGAAACAAAATTTCTAAGAAGCTTGGGACTTTCGTGAGGTCTCCTTATGCTTAAATACCAACAAGGATTCTGAATCGACCAAATAAAGATTATATTTTCATGCTAAAACTGGAAAACGAGGACATAATATGTTTTTCTTCGTCAAAAACTGAAATCAAGGTGTCCAAAAGGTGACGGATCTATTCCAGAAGACGTTTATCATTCATTTTTAGATTAGCAGCGCTCACAAAGGCCAAAAAAAAGATCACCTGGAAAAACCCTATCCGATCTCCTACCTTTTACAGAGTTCTGCTCCTCAACGAGATTTTTTCCGTGACTCGATAGCTGACCGGCCAGTTGCAAAAAAAGAAAAGAAAAACTCCGCGCACATGGGCCACGTGTGTGCCGCTGGCGACGTCGCCGACCCGAACGGCTTCGCATAAAAACTTCTAACGATCAAATTGGCCCATATGTGCGTGCAAGGCTGCTCCATCGAACCTGCTTCGCGCACATGTGTCTCCTTGCATATGAGTTTGATAGTTTGAGTAATTAGTTCTGAGAAGTTTTGGTCATTGGCGGGAATTGAGAAATTTCTAACTTAAGTTTTAGAGTAAGGTTTATCATGTGATAGAACGTTTAAAACGCTCCAAGAGATCTGGGAATTTTGGATTTCGAAAAATGAAGTTTATGGCCTCTTAAAAACATGTTCATTGTCAGTAATGAATATTTGCAGAAAATTATCCTAAACTACTAAGAAATGTTCTTCCCACAGTAAGTATTATTTTTCGAAATTTAAAGTTCTGGTTCCTCACAAATTGCCAAGAAAAAAACGAACTTTTTCCAGATTTCGTCTCTATATTAAAGCCAGTTTTTTGAGAAATTATCAATTTTGGTGACCTTACTTTCAAAGGTGACTCATATGGCTGTTTTTTTTGGAAACTTGAGTCCACTCATAGAAGAATATTAGAAAAAATATTATGATTCATGATGAATTCGAATTCTTCTTGCACCTAAGAACGATTGAGGAACAAAAAGTAAATTTTTTTGAAGAATGCTGGAATTTTTTTCCAAGAAGTATGAAAAAAATATGGACGGCTTCGTAGACGTTTTTCAAAATTTAGAATGAAATAATCATTGAAAATCTTTGAAACAAAATATACGTTACGAAAAAGGAAAACTGAAGAATCAATATTTGCTGCTTTTGAAACTTTGCGTGTTCATAGGATCGATCAAAATGATACCTCAAGTCCTTTTTGGCAGAAAGTATCAGAAGTCGGCGGAACGGCGCAAACAGTAGCACTTCACCGGATCAAGTTGTTTATTCGCCCAGAAGAATCGATGCGTGTTGATAGAACCGAGCAAACACCTTAAAAGGCGCGTTTTGATCGACGAGATTTCCCGTGGATCAAAGACATCCCGTCAGTTCTTGAGGCCCTACAAATGCTGGTACTTGATCTCGAGTCGTCGATAACGAAATGAATGGTTTTGATGGATTTAAAAAACTGATAATATTTTATTTTCTTTCTGCCATGATTTAGATGTACCGAGAGAAACCCCTAGCTGTTAGAAATTTTCATTATTTTATTTTCCGCCTAAAAACAACTTTCTTGTGAGAAGAAGACTATTCAAGTTTCCAAAAAAATAGGATTTTTCAAACTGTGAAGCCTGAGCTTATGAGTGATTTTCTAATTTTTGATGGAAGTGTTGCTCATTTTAAAACTCCCTGAAGAAGGGGAGAAAATAAGCTGCTTCAAGTTTTCAAGCTGTAGATTATCCCATCCTAGTTTCAGACTCAAAACACTCCAATTCCCGCCTTTTTTTGCATTTGAAAAACGGCTGGTCAGCGAGACTGAAGTCGTCAGCTGCAAATACCCAGCCGTTCTTCTTTTCCGAATCGGCTTCTCCTTCTGAGCTCTGGAAAAGTGCCAAAGCGTTTTTGTGGGCTGTGGCATCGCAGAAGCACTATTTCTTCGCCAGACGTACGGCCCATATTTTACAGGCGGCGTGTCACATACCGTAGGCCACGGCTCCCATGCAATCCGCGCGGCTGTTCGCCAGAAGCCCTTCCCATGTCTCTTCTTCTTTTTCTTTCTTAGGCTTTTTTTGTGATGGCATTCTTTTTAGAAATTTTTTTAATTTTTTTGCATTTGTACTCAAAAAAATGTTCTGATTCCAAAAAAAGCTCAGATTTCAGCCTGAGTGAGTTAGGACATACAAACAAGGGAACGTTCTTAGTCCCCAGTTTGAGTTTTGATAAAGCTTTTTTCTCTCATAATGAGACCTTTTAGCGAAATTCCCATCATTTTTGAAAAAGTTGTCTAGTATCACTGTTTCCCCTCTTTTTCTCACATCAAAATCGAGTTTTATTCTCTCTTTCATAATTGAAAAATTCGAAGAATTTAATCATCTTCACAAAATTTTTTTACTGTTTGAACGTTTAATCTCTATTTCCGAAAGATTACGACAATTGTATCCACAATTTTTTGTAAAAACGTTTCGCAACTTTCGTCTGGGATCTCTTGACTCATCCTATGTGTGATCGTTTGTCCAATCATTTGCGTCCACTTTTCGGATTTCTTTGATTTTTCACGCTGATAAGTTTTTTTGCGTTTACTAGAATAATTCACCTTATTTTTCTTTTTATGCATATTTCCCTATCAAATTTCTATATTTTTTTGTAGATTTTTTTGAAAGGGAAAAAGCGTTAGGTCTTTCGCACATTTTTCAAATTCATTCCGCTATTTTTTTCTCATTTTTTTCATTATTTCATTCCGCTATTTTTCCTAAACAAAAAACTATGACTGAACTGGATCTTTGTTTTTCTTTTTTTGTGTTTTCATGTAAGCGTGAATATTCGAATTTTCGATTGAAAAAATTTTCAGACTTCGACGCACGAGCATTTTTTGATTTAGTTCTAAAGATCACCGTTTTTTTTCAAATACTCATCTTCTTACAGCTTACAGTCATCTTTTACAGTAACCTCGACTTTTCCTTCCGAAAGACCCCCCGAAGGCGTCGTTTCCATCGCGCGTCTTCCAAGGACACACGTAAAACGAGCTTTTCACTCTGGAACTGCAAGCAAAAAGCAAAGAAGACAAAGAAGAAGAAAAAAAAACGGTTAAAGTGCTGGGGAAAAAGACGCGGCTGTTTCCTGGGGTCCGGCGGTGCCTGGCGGTGGCGGCTCCGTGGAAAAAAAGCCATGTCGATGATGACCTCTCGCATGATCTGCTGCTCTTACAACTCGGATAAGATGCTCACACGTTTTTTGGCCGGAAACATTTGTTCATCGGCTGGAAACTTTCCAGCTGGTCAATCTTTTTGGTTTTAGATCTTTTGATTATCTTGGATGATCACTAAATCCGTGTATCAGTCTCATGTTTGAACTATCATCAGTTTCAAGGCGAGTCAGACCAAAAACGACTTTCGCGGTTTGGCATTGGCTATTGTCAGAGAAAGCTACTAAATCCGAATTTGTTTGACAATCCAAAACCGCTGCGCGTCCGCGACTCTTTGAGCTGTTTCACGTGTGAAAGCGACGTTTTTTTTTCTAGCCTCAAACTTTTTTGTTAGGAAGTTTGAAAAAAAACTTCTATGTCATAGATCAATCACAAAAACGTTCTGGAAGTCTCTAGAAGCTTTCAAAAAGTTGGAGTTCGAAAAAAAAATCTCAATCAGCTGGAAAACTTTTTTTTTCCTGAAAACAAAAGTTTTTCGGAGCTCCACTTTTCCCTCTCAAATATTTCTTTAAGTCTTAAAAATTTATCAACAGCGGCTGTACTGATATAGGTGCGTTAGAACTGTCAATCAAACGAATTTCGAGAGCAAAAACATCTTGAAGAGATTATTAAAACCATTCTCGTCGAAAAGTAAGATCTGCAGATTTCTTGGAGGCTAACCGCGGTCAAGAACAGTCTCCGGATTGCGCAAGACATATCACGGCGGCTTACTTCATTAGCCCGATGAATGGATGGACACACATAGTTGGTCCGTGACATGGGAGCGAAAAAAAAGAAGGTTGGCTCGGCCAGCGGCTGAGACTCGCCTTGACTTCAAACGCGGCGTGCCGACCCCCAGCTACAACAGTTGCGCATCCGGACGGCGCTGGATTAAGCCCAACTCCTTTTTTCCACGCCGATCGGATGGTTATACCAGTCGAAGCTTCTGGCCACCTCGCGGCTCTTTCTTCCCACACAGGTGCGTCCTTGCGAACACCTTCAGCGCCGCCATTTGTCGGATGGTACCGACGGGTTCCAAACAGCACATGTGCTCCACATGATATCCATCCTCACTCGTTTTACTCATTTTTCCTATGAGGCAGTTGTAAATGGCCAGCGAGGGCCTTTTGGAAATTTGACCATGTCTCGTTCTCAGGCTTCATGCTCAGAATCTAAGGAGACTAGTGATGTTCCATTGAGTCTGCATGCTTTGAACCTGAGTTAGGAGCTCATTCTATAGTATCTTGCTCTTCATTTTAACTTTGAAGCTTTCTTGGTTGATTAGAAAATGAAAAATATAGTTTTATTGAAAGCGATTCTTTTGAAAAAAAGTCTTATATACCATACTTTTTTTTTTTGGCTAGCTCTTTCCTACTATAATTTGTACTAATTCGAACTTCGAAACTTTTTTTAAAGGATCGAAAGTTGAATTGACAACTTTTATTTTGCAAAAAAAGTGTGACCTTCACAAACAGGCTTTTAAGATTCCTTCCAGCCCTACTCAATGTCATCTTTCTTTTTTCCCTCCAACCTTTGGTCGAGCTTCACCCACTTGACCATACTCCTTGTAATGCGATCCGCCTTGATCTCTCGCCGCTTTGCTCACCTTTCCGCAAAGAAATGACGGATCACCTGTAAACAGTTATTTTTTCTAGGCCTTTTATTGAAAAACCTTCTTTGTTTTGAATCCACAGTTCATTATCTCTTGCTGGATCCGTCAAATGCGCAAAGCATTTGATGCTTAGAAATCCAATTATTTCGACTTAAAAAAAACCTCTCGTTAGCCCTGTCTTACCATTATTTGTGAATCGTAAGCCAAAATTATTCCTCAGGCCTCAGAAAGTCCAGAAACTATTTTTTGAATGAACTCGACTTGTTTTCATCTCATTTGCGAGTTGTTTGCCCATTTTTCGGTCTGTGAGCCTGTGCACAATGAGCCCAACCACACTTTTACCGCAATTTCACGCACCACCTTCAAATGTTGTTTGTATTTTGCGACTATTCTTGAGCGCCTGAAATTTCAACTTCTTTGGGTTCAGCCGTTGATGGTTTCTCTTTTTATTCTTTTCAATAATTCGATGGTTTACAAAAATGAAACAAATACTTCTCAAAGTTCAAAAGAGTCTTCAGATCACCCAGAAACCCATAGACTTCCTCTACAATTAAGAGCGACTCGATCTCGAACTTCCTCTTTTCTTCCTTATTCTTTCTGTGAGTCAACCACGCCATTTGTAGTTTCCCACAAAGGCGAATCTACTTCCGAATGAAGATACAATTCCGAGGAATAATCTCTTAGGCTTGTCTGACTCGAGTTTCTGCAAAAAGTGAGAATTCTCTATGTCGTTCTAGTTATCAGTTTAGGAAGAAATGGAAGAACTGAAGGACTTCTTTTCCAAAAAGAGATATAGATTTTTTTGAAGAAATTTTTTTAGTTACTTTTTTTAAAAAAATAAGTGGAAACTTTATTTCTAAAGATGCTCATGTTTCAAAATAATTGGAACTCCCGTCAGAGATTCACTCCTCAAAAAAAGAAATTAAATTGAAAAAAAGAACGAAGGAAATTTTGAAAGAACAAAGGAAAATATTTTCTTTTGGAGCATCATCTCCATTTAATCGATTACCGTTAAGTTTCAGGCAATGCCCCCTTTTTTCAAAACTTTTTGTGCTTTTTTTTGTTAGCTTTATATTTTTGTTCAGAAGCTTCTAAGACTCTTTGGACTTTTCCGTTTCCTAGCGCTCCCTAATTTCAGAAAACACTCAGTCCATCTCAAACGGAAGAAGCTCCAGTGGAAAAGCGTGGGTCGAAGGAGTTCGGACAAAAAAGGAGCGCGTGAGCCGGCGGAAGCTCCGAAGCGAGCAACACTTTTTTTTGCTCCTTACGTGAGTCTCACGACTACCGTCCATTTGTCGTGTTACTCAAACGTTGCGGAGTCCGCCGAGAAGACCTTTTTCCCTCCGTGAGTCAACCAAACTCGCGGATCACGCAATGACAACAAGCTCCCAACTTTTCCCTTCCTTTTCAATTTTTTTCAGTTTTTTTTTTCTAATGGAAACTTGAACTAATCTCCCTTATTACTGAAATCACCTAGAGCTCTAAAAATTCATTTCTTTCATCTAAATGTTTTGGCTTCGTCTGAAAGAGCGAAAATTGCAACCGACCTCATACGGCTTTCTCGTTGAGGCGTGTTTTAACCTGCTTCATACAAATATTCGAAGTATTTTCTCTAATTTAACTTTTTTTCAAATCTGAATAACAATTTTCGAAGGATTACAGCTTACAATATCCTTTCTTCACATTGCTGACATATTAAGTTTCCGATTCGCATGAATTTTATCCATACAGCTCAACTTCTAGAAACATACTTTAGTTGAGATCATCCCATGAAGTTTTTGAAGCGAAAGGCCGTTCTCAGTTTTTTTTAGTCGAGCTTTCGCTTTTTATCATCAAAAAAACGCAGCTTTTTTCGTTCCCATTTTCTCGGTCTAGTAGCATTCCAGGCTTTCAAACCTTCCCTTTGCAACCTTTCTCTTGTGTTTTTTCGTTCTCGATGGAGCGAGTGCGTGTTGCGTGGTACGCGGCCATGAAGAAGGCCCGAGAGCAGGGCTTTTCTGTCGTTTTTGTCCGATTTGCGCCGCGGCGGTAGCCGCTTCTGTTTGTGTTTGACGTGGAAACTGTTAGAGGTGAACTCATCGATGAAGGAAGCGCGGGAACAAAAAAAAAACTCATCTCCCGTCGCGCTCCACCGTACTCCTCACAAACATCAGCTCTTTGCATGGAGCTTGACTCACTTTTTCAAACCGTTTTTCTCGAAGCTTCTTCCAACTTGTTGAGAGAATACTTTGTAGTCATCTAGGACTTTTGAGGGCCATTATCTTTTTTCGCAAGCTTCGAAGGCCGTTTTGAGACCAGATTCAGAGTCAACGTGAAAAACTGCATCTAGTGATGTTGGTCTCATTCGCAAGTCTGATTGCGAATGAAGACCATTCTCTAGTAAGCAGCAATGACTCAATACCTTTCATAAAGATTCATTCTGAAAATTTCTATTTATTCCAGAAGATCTGAAACAATTGCTCAATTTGAAGAAATCAGCGAACTTTTTTAAACTTTCAACTCAGATTCCATGCATTCGAAAAGACACGACGAAAATCGTTTCCGGCACTCTTATCAACAGCCATCCGTCCCCGAGATCCTCCTCATTTATCACAGCTCTCCGACCTTGTTTTCGTGTCCATGAAGCTTGAAAGTGAGACTTTCGGTGGTCAATGAGTCCTTGACAAGTTGGTAAACGGCGCAACAATTGCTCCTGGTTGTTTGGCTGATCTCCAAGCAGCCGCTGCAGCTTTTCCCCCACTTTTTCAATCATTCTGGGAGGTCAATCGTTTAAACTTCCGTTTGATGTCCGCAAAGGGCAACCGTGACGCTTCACTCAACCTTTTTCTCCGTTTTTCCTAAATTACTGCGTCAGTCAGACGGACTCATCAGGTTAAGAATACATTCACTAATTGAAACAACGCCATCGTTATTATTAGTTCCTAGTTTCTGCAGGTTGCAGCTTTCGTAATACCTACCTGTGATTCAATTACATTTAATTGATGCACTTTAAGCGGAAAATGATAAGTAACATTTGAAATGATCTTATGGAGCTCTTTCTCCTCTTTACGACAGTTTACTTGGAATCTCACATTAGTAATTTTGGAGCAACCTTTCCAAATTATTCTCATAGCCGGTTGTTCAAATAAGATTGATTTTATCTGAAAAGTGTGCCATAAAAACACCGATTCTGAAGTGAATTCAAAATCGCAGTATAAATTTGAAAAATTGATAAATATTCATCAAGGAAACTTTTCTTGTTCAACACTTTAGAATTCTATCAAAACTGGCCTCAATCCTTGGTTCACGTCGCAGAAGTTTCTTAGCGTTCCTAGTGACACCTTTAGCAGCGTCAGCACTCTTAAGTGATCCCTAGAGATGCTTAGACACGTCCGCGGACCGTCCGATTCGCGTTACGAAGGTCCGAGAAAGCTTTTATGACAAAGAACTTTCGATCCAAAAAACATTAAACTCTGTGCAGTTTCACGTAGCTTTTTCTAATGAAAATCTCTAAAAAGTGACAAAATCATTTCTAGTCTTTTTTTTAGTGATTCCATGTTTCTTGGTCCCATCGAAGGAAAAATGTTCTCTCCCAGTTTCTCGAAATCCCGCAACCCCAAAATATCCTTTCTCCGTTCTCCCTTGATTCAGCTCGGCCTTATCATTGATCCGAAAGGTCAGTCTGGCGAGCTTCTACCGCAGCTTCAACCTGCTATTTACCTGCCACCGCACCCATGTTTGTTGACGGCGCGGCAACGGTGGACGATGTCGCCGCCGCGTCTCGCATGCCTTCGCGGCAGCTTGACCTCGCGCCCAAGAACACGAGTTAATAGATACTCGACAAGAAAAGGTCCGCACAAACACACGATCCTCCCGTTGTTTGACGTCTTCGTGTCTTTTTTTTCATCACCGCTTCTCCTCTTTCTTTTTTTTCGCAAGCAACAAGTAGGACTGCGCTCGAGCCGGTATCTCTTAGCCACAGAAGTTCAAAAAACCAGTGCTCTATTCACTGCGAACTTATATCTATATCAAGATTTTTCCCGGACCAAATTCCGACTCAAGCCGGTGGGACATCAATAAAGTTGCTATACTGATAAAGTTCACTGGCTGCAATTGTTAAAATAACTTAAAAGAATAAGAATCAACAGAAAAATATGTATCTTAGATCTTTAACGCTCGTAACTGGTTAGACTTTCTGAGAAAGGTTCTTGAAAACATTCCGGTCATGAAAATTGGAAAAAGGAAAATTCTCAGAAACCCACCCACTCCTGACTTTATTCCCGCAAAAGTTTGAAGTACAAATCCTGCTGGAAAGTTGATTAATTAAAATCGCAACCTACGTTGATCTTCTAACTTCCAGGCGACTTTTCACAAAACGCCATTCATTTGAGAAAAAAAATCACCTGTTTCATTTGTAACTAAAATCTAGTTTTTTTCTTTTTTGCAGCTGTTGTGTTCGGAAAAGTTGCGATTGCAGATTGATAATATTGGCTTTCCAAAAAAGGAGAAAAGGAAACGGAATAAAAGCTGAAAGTTTATAATTTTCTCGAGAATGCATGGATCAGCTAGTTTTTTGTTCGTAAACATTTCCTAAAGTGTTGCTTCGTCAATGGAGGACTTTAATGAGAATCTCTGAGAAAACCCAATGAAACCAACAAAAAGATCTATAGAAAAGTCGTATTTTGGTAGAACTTTTTCGTTCTTGGAAAGATTCTTTTTTTTTCTGAATCTCTCGGATCGAAGCTTCTTCCACAGACACTTGATTGGCTTCACATGTGCCGTTTTTTCTCGTTGCTGCTAGTTTTTTGTGTCCGTCCGCCTGACAACAAGCCATTTCGTTCGGCTCCGGAACGGCCCTGGGGGTCGAGCGTAAAAAAGAGTGGCAGGCGCAACTGCAAAAACGATTGATGTGAATTCCAGCTTTCATGGTGGTCCCGACAACAGTTTACGACCGAAGCTTGATGCACTTTTCCACTGTCGGGTCCTCTTTCATCCAATTGTATGGTAGCTTCGGTGGAGAGAATAGGGGTTTTTTGAATGGTATGGATTAAAGACTGGGACTTTGCAAAATTCATGCGGTTATACCAGATAACTCTTGTTCAAGAAAAACGACTTCAGCTTGGGCTTGGAAAAAAGAAGGTCAATGTAATCCTTTCTAAAAGTTGGAAACATGCTTGGCCTGAGCAAAGCTTTCAATCCATTTTTTTCAAACAGTCTGACTTGTCTGCGCTCTTTTTTCCCTCCCCGGCAAGGTCATAGAATAACGAGCTCAAGGAAAAGAATAAGCAGCTGCTCCCAAGCATGCAACTCTGTTCGTAGTTCGCTCGATGTTAAGCTTTTTAACCAAGAAAAAAGAAAAGTTCCTTTTGGCGGCGGCACCTACGCTCCTCTCCGTAAACTGTTTCACGTCACTTTTTGACGCGTTTGCTTACTTTCCTACTCTGAAACGAGAAATTCTTCACGCTTTTCGAGGTGGTCTCATTTTGAAGATATTTAAACATTTTTTCCTTCTTACTAACAGAACTTGAAGCTTCTTCTTTTTTTCATCTTTCTACTTCAAAATCGGTACTATTGAGTCTTTTCCACTGCTTTCTCACAAATCCTATAATGGAGGAACCCATTTTCCTGTAACCACATTTTGCAATCGCATTCTTCTTCTGTCCCTTACGACTTCTTCCAATAATTCGTGTTTCAGACATGACATCGGGTTGCTACTTGTGCAGCGACTGCAACACGGTCTTTTCGACGTTCGATGAGCTTCAGACTCACATAGATCACGTCCATCTGCAGACCAACGCCGAGGACGAAGAGCAGGTCTGATCCTTATCTCCTCATCACTATGTTTATTTACAAATCCCTTGTCTCATGAAAAAAGTTAAGTTTGTGAAGCCCCGTAGGAAGCCGCGAATACTTGGAAACGAACAGGGCGAGAGAAAGTTCATGAGCCTCCTAATCCGCTGAAAATATCAGTCTCTTTATTTTCCAGTCAGGTTAAGCGGAGTTATTTCAGTCTGCAAGATTTTTCTTCAGCTTTTGGAAGTCTTTTAAAAATTTGAAAAATAAGATTAAAAACAACCTTGAGACTTTCAAAGGTTCTAGATATCTTTTTATACGTTTTTATGTTATTTAGCATTCTGAGGTTGTGAAAAATGAAAAATGAGAACTAGAACGGCTTCCTGGAGTGGCACCAGGTCCATGAAAGGTTCCGAATCAAATATTATGAGATTCGAAGATTTTCCTACCTTGTAGACGTAGTTTACATCTTATCCACTCGCATTTTTTACTGACTTCCAAGGTATCAAGGCAAAAATAGGGTGACCGATTAGGCTTCCTCATCCAGGACAGTGAGACTCAGAGCCTCTCCCACAACCCCAGAACCTTATTTCGAAGAAGAATACCTCTGCCAAGCTCCCACCAGCTCCAAGGACATCAAACCCCAGAAAAAAGACCTGGAACGGCTTCCTGAGGTGGCACGAGGTGCTGTGGGGCGTGGCCGGAAGAGTCCACGCAAGTTTCTGGTCGCCTCAAGGCAGAGTTATGTTTCGGTGCGTGGCGGTGCCGCTGAGCCATTTGTGCCGCTGGCCTGAAGCTCATCTTCTCCAGCTTCTCCGCGCTTTTTGGAGCTGTGTAACGTGCACGGTTTGGTTTACGGGTCGTCGCGCGGGGCGGCGCGTCAACAAGACTGATTTGCCACAAGCTTGTGCTCCGCCAGGGCTGCTGAGGTCGGCTCCTCGAGCTCTGTAGCTTCATCTTTTTTCGAGAAATCCATAACCTACTTCTTCTAGACTAGGTATTCTCAGAACGGTTCACCGTTTATTTTTTATGAAAAGTAGGTCTTCTAGGTTTTAATACGTTAAGGTTTCTGGAAGCAGTCAGCGCGACTTCCTACAAAAGCTACTACAACTTTTTATAGTGCACCAGGAAATTGGAAACAGAAATAACCACTACATTAGCTCTTTTATTCTACTCTTTCTTCTCATTTTTCCTTGGAAAGCCTATACTTCAATCTTTTTTTTCAAATCTTTTCAGCTCCTATTATGCTCAAGACTATAGCTGGAATTTTTTTTTTCTGATTTCATAACATAAAATTTCATGATTTCATGAAAAAAAATTTGTTTCACCGGCATTGACTAAAGTAGTAGCAATACTAGAAACAAAAAGCATTATTAAAAAATTCTCAATATGATATAATTTATTTTGGCGTTCGATCGAAGAAATCGTATTTTTTCGAGCCCCCCTTGGACGTTTTTTTCCTCTTTATTTGACCACATTAAAACGCCGCAAGGTTCACTGATAAAGATTAAAATTGACTCTAGCAACAACTTCATTTTTTTTTTCTTAGTGAGAGCTGACTATCTCCTTTTTTCAGAGCTTCAAGATTCAAAACAGAGCTTCCGACTTATTTTTCAAGCTTCTCCCACGATTTTCTCTCTCTTACTTTTTTTTTTAGTTGTTTTCTCTTCTGTCACTAGTGCTCATGTTAGAGCCAATGGCAACCTACCGTAGCCACGGCGATCAGATGAGTGATGAGTCTGACTAGTGGGCGGAGCCAGGCCATGAGTGTAAGCGTGAGCTGTTTGAGCGACGGGCGTGGCGACGTCTCCGCTCCGCCCGCTGCTGCCAAAGATCTTTTGGCTTTTCATGACAAGTCTCAAGGTCACCAGCTTCTACCTACTTGTTACAATACTTCCCATTAAGGTCTTCGTTGCCTTTTGAGCTTGCTTTTCGCAATAGACTCAGGAAAGAAAAAGCTCAAATCAAAAACACCTACTCTCTTTTCCTCACTTTTTCATTATAAACAACTTCTTATTTTTGAACTTGATATTTCTCCACTTAACCTAACCTGATGTCCTTTATGAAAATCCACTGTTTACCATTTTGAAAGGCTTTCCTAGATCGGTTGATATTTGGCTGAAGGTTGCAGTCAGAAGAATGAACTTCTTACAAAAAGTTATATTTTCAGCATCTGCTTCTTCTAACTTCCCTCATAAGATTCCTGTCTATGTTTCACTTCAAATTTTTGAAGCCTTGTTCGAACTGGGAGATCTAAATTGTTATCACCCCTTTTTTTGAGAAAAAAAAAATGCAAGTGCCAATTTCAGAGCAATTATTTAAAATTAGATACTTCTCCAGATTTTTTCAATTTTTCAAGATCTCTTCAAAGCAAGTCAGTCTCTTATTATTTCTCAACATTTTAAATTGGAAGAAGCTTTGTTCTAGCCTCTTTTTTTTCTTATCGAAAATTTTGAAATGAAGTTGTTAAATTCAAAGAATAGGACTATTTTTTGGACAAATATGCTCGAATCATATTTTTCTGAAGGTTTTAGATGTTCGGAAATCAATCTGGAGTTAAATAGATTAAAAGAATAGGTCTCTCTTTTTCTATGAATTTTTCTGCTTTTGAAAATAGTTTTTCCGTACTCCTCTCTTCTTTCAGCATTGAGTTTTGACATAAACTTTTGCATCAACCATCAAGTTTATCACTATTAAACATCAAATCAAGGAACTTACAGATTTCGCCGCCCAACGCCGAGATGATGATCGACGTCGAGTTGCCGAGCAGCAGCGACGATCCGATGATGGGCGACGATGACGTCAACAAGGAGTCGGACGACGACTCGAGCTCCCTCACCAGCAGTGACGTCATCGGCTTCCAATGCCGCTTCTGCCCCGTCAAGTGCGAAGACCAGAATCAGGTGCGTCTTTGTTTTCTGAATCTGGAGAATTCTGAAGTTTTCAGCTGAACATCCACTACCTACACCTGCACCAAGACCGTCCGCGGTACGAATGCGAGGAATGTCACGCGATTTTCGCCGTCAAACGCGAACTTGCCACTCATATGCGGATCCACAGTGGAGAGCAACCACACAAGGTGGGTAATAAAACGAAAACATTCATTTTACCATTTTTGTTCAAAATAATTTCTTCTTGAAGATGATTATTCTCAAACAGACAAGTCAGTATCAACAGGCTAACTACAACTTTTAAATCAACGTCTTTCCTCTTGAACTTTATCGATTTCAGTGCACCCAATGTGGAAAAGAGTTCGGAACGAGACAATTGCTGAAGAAGCATTGGATGTGGCATACGGGAGAACGATCTCACGTCTGTCCTCACTGCGGCAAGGCCTTCTTCCAGGTCACTATTTTATATCGTAAAGCTCGAACCTCTTCGAATCTTCAACTATAGCTTTTCATCGCACGTCCCATGTTATTTTTCAGAAAGGCCACCTCACTCAACATTTGATGATTCATTCCGGCGGAAGGCCGCACAGGTGCCAGCAGTGTCAAAAGACTTTCATCTTCAAGGTGAGCCCGAGATTCCTTCATGTTTCAATGATGCTGATTCCAGTTTGACCTGAACCGCCACATGAAGATCCATCAAGAACGCGGATTCTCCTGCCAAAGATGCGGCCGGTCGTTTTTGAGGCAGCTTCTTCTGGACGAACATTCTACGAGATGCAAGGGAAAATCGTGAGTTTTTGATAGCTTTGATATTATATTTATGTAAATAGGGGAAACTTATAGGCTAGAACAATCTTCTGTTCCTCTATAAAAAAACTGTAACTTAATTTGCAATATTTGAAATTATCATAATTCAAATAAATTTTTTTCAGTTCTCCAGCTGCATCAAGGCAATCTTCGTCGCCGGTGAAGCCTGAGCCGATATTCCAGAATCTTGGCAGCCAACTGATTCTCAACGACCAGATGACCAAGGTTTGTACCATTCAACCCAAAGCGATATTTTTCTAAGAAATTGGCCAGAAAAGATGTTTCGTGAAGATCTTGAAAGTCTTGAAAAAGCAAAAACGCCTTGAAATTCGCGAAAATTTCAAAATATTTCATAAATAATATTCCCATTCTCTCAGAAAACTTTCAAAAACTATTTAACCTTCCTTGTAGGATCAAAAACTCGTTCACTTGTCAGATTAAAGACTTTGCTTTTTTTAATCAGAAATCCGAAGGTTCTTTTCTCGAAAAGGCTTTCTTGAAATTCGAAATTTACTTAGAGATCTTACATAACTTCCTCCAACCCCTTCCTCTACTCTTTCAACTTCACCTGATCCTGTTCAGATGGCCCAGAACCTCGTGGCGCAGCAGCAGCAGAGGGCTCTTGCGGCCATTCTGGCGCAGCAACAGCAGCCGACGCCTCCAGCCGTGGCTCCGGCGGCCTTCTTCTGCGTCCTCTGCAACAAGGGCTTCCCCAACCAGCCGGCCTTCACCGTCCACATGTACTTGACTCACATCGCCGCCTCCAGCGCCGTTCCGGCTTGTCTTCCCCCGCCGGCCATCGAGAATGTTCGTTCCTTTCTTTTCATGTTCATTCTTTCACAAACACTGGAATTTTCTAAAACATGGATTCCAAATGAGGTTTAAGATTCGAACTTGAAAAGACTTATTTCTTTCAAAGCACTATGAATTGGAATTATACTCAGAAAATGATTGAAGCTTCGTAGGCTTTTCCGTGGTTTTCCATTAGTTTTCAAACGAAATTTCTGGATTTGAAGTAGAATTATCTTATCTTCAAGGTTCTCTGTCAGACTATCACTTCTTCTTTTCAGATACAGACGACTCAACTCACCGGCTTGACCATGCCAGTTGATCAAGTCCAAGTCAATGTCAATGAGCAGCACGAGACCGCCACCAACACCAGCTGCGCTTCCAGGTTAGAATCTGAAATTGATTCATTTTTAACTATTGATTGGAGATTTTGGGCTCACTCTACCTCAGTTTGTAAGGCTAAAGCTCAAAACAAAAAATCTGAAAATTATTAGCGAAAAAAAAGGGAAAAACTTAAGAAAATCAGAAAAAAATTAACTTCTGCGTTTGCAGCCCTCAAAAGTCGCCGCCTTTCGCCGAGTCGTCGTCGTCGTCGCAGCACAGCGAAGAAAGCGTGTCGCCGGCGTCGCAGTCGCCGTGTCCCAGCGACTCGAAGTGTCGCGACTGCTTCTCGCACGGCCTGCGACTGCAGCAGCTCGAGAACCAGCTCGTCAGCAAGGGCGAGGAGCTCGACAACTACAAGAAAATTATGAAGACGGTTCGTTCTATCGATTTGACAAGCCTTGGAAGACAAGCCAAGCCTCACCTGGTTCAAGTGAATCATCAAAAAAAAAAAATGCCAAGTCCAAAATACAAGAAGAAGTTAGACCAAAAAGTTCAAAAAAGTATCCTTTTTTAAAGTTTATTTTCAAAGTTTCTTCAAATTTGCCAAAAGTAAATTCATCTTCGTTCAATAATGACGTCACCTTGTTCAGGTGGTGCTGACGTCAGGACAGTTGCTGTCGCAGTGTCCCCCAGACAACATGTTCATCCTGCACGTTCGGAACATCTTCGACCAGCTCCGAAGTGCTCTCTGAGAGCAATTTGTTCATTATTTATTCTAGTATTTAAACATATTCCCTCATAACCTCGTTATTATCTGTATTCTGTGTATTTTTGTTGCCTTCGACATTCACGGATGACGTGCCTTATGTGTACAGATGGTGTGCCTTTTGCCATTTTATATCATTTTCTTCTATTTATTTGTGCCTTTCTCTCAGATTCTATCTAAAGTCCAATCACCACTGGCTGAAATTCTGGCTAGGAATGAAATCAGATCTTCACACTTATAATTTCAAGCCAGAGTTGAATGGACTCACTGATTTCCCCGTTGTTCTATTATTAAATATTTGTCCTTTATAAAGTACAACTAACTTTATTTATTTAATTAATTAAGAACCACTCATTCTAATGATACTCTCCACGATTGCGTGTCCACTTTGCACTAATTATCTCTCTCCACTTTTTTCTTGTAATTCAAAGTATGGGTACTTGTGAAGTTCATCAAACAGTAATTCGTACTGAGAAAATCGCTTTTGATGAACTATTCTGAATCTCAATTACCCAATTCAGTTTTTTTTTTCCTAATTTTTGTACCTGTTCATGTTTTATTTTAAATTATTATGCTGCCACAGTGCCTGGATGTGATTCTGGTCAGATTTTTGTGGCTTTTTGCCTTTTCTTTATGATTTTTTTTCTAGCAGCTTTCTGGTGCTCTCTCTTTTTTTCCTTCTTTGCTGATCTCTGCGAGAAATTCAAAAATTTTTATACAATTTTCAATCCGAATTTTGAACCCCCAAGCCATCAAACAATCGTGTGATTGATTACCAAAAAAATCGTATCGATTTACGGAGGAAAAAAACTATTATTCGAATGTAACTATTTTTCAATTCATGTCAATAAATGAATGATTCAGAGGTTTTTCTCGAGTTTGAAATGGGGATAGTTAAACACAAAAAAACGCAGTGAAAAATTTTTTTCAGGAAGTTGGAATAAAAAAAGAAGAAAAAAAGTTCTCGACAAAACTAAAACTGGACGACTCAGAGGTCAATCTTAACATCTTTCTTTTTTTTTGTAAAAGCGGAGTAAAACTATGAAATCATATATCAAACGATGGAAAAGGACACGATCTTTCCAATAGTACAGATTATTTCGATAAATCTCCTCTTGTGAACATATGTGACGCATGTTTCTTATACCCACTACCATAAGGAATTCTTAGACTCGCTAACCTGTAAAATCGGAACAAAAAAGGAAACAAATGGGGGTGCAAAACACAAAACGCATTTATGGAAAGCGGGAGTCGACGACGATAAGAGAAGAAAAGTTATCCGGATTGGCGGCTGTTGTCCGACTGCTGACGCAACGCTTTCGGCGTCGGTTTGTACATGCTGAAGTTGCAGGCCATGTTCTCGCTCACCTCAAGTTCGACCAGTTCAGGAGGAAAATCAGAGGGGGAAAACCTTCATCGTGGCGGCAAAGTTGTCGAATTGACCGCAGTAATGCGGTGCCGAGAAGATGGTCACCATCTTCTTCGACGCGAAAAATTCATAGCCGTCTTGAACAACCTGGAAAGTTTCGATTTTTGAGAGTTCTAGGTTCAATCGTTTCTTTTGAATTTTCCTTGGTAAATGCGAGCTTTCCAAATGTCGAAAAACTATAAATTCTGAATTCAGTGATATCCAAAAGTGAGTTTTGCTGTTACTATCGTTATCATTTCCAGGCATTTTTCTTAACAAAAACTTTTTTTGTGTTTTTGTGATAAAATCGCATGTATTCTCATAAAAAACCAACAAAAACCCTAAAGAAAATTTTCAATATTTATTTCACACTCTGCGCTTTACATAAAACGTCAGCCAACGAAAAATTTGACTTTTTTCAGATTTTTTTTCAATATTTTAATCATTTTTTTCAATTAATCGATGTACTTCTCGAAAAAAATATTCGTCCTGTAGCTTATCATTTTGATGCTCAGATGCATAAAAGCTGCACTCCTTCTGATTTTCAAAAGTTTCGCACTTCAAAATTTCCAAAATCTGAACCAGGGTCAGGTGAAACCTGATGGGCGCGGGCAATGAGATCAATGTCGAGCTTGGCGCAGATTTCCGAGACGATGTCCTGTCCGAAGACGTAGGAGACTCCGCGCGTGTTGGCTTGCCATCCCTTGACCCACTGGTCCGGATCGGCCCACAGAAGGTCGATTCCCATAGACGGGTTCGGAGGATCCTGCGGACGAGGTAGCTGTCTGAAGGTACACAGTCTGCAGAGGGTACGGTAGCCGAACCGACCTCAGTTGGTCGAGGCTCGTCAGCTGCGGCGACAGGCCACCGTGCATGCACAAGATACGGCCGCCGATCAGACCGCACAACGGCATCCAGTTGAATGTTTCCTGCAGAACCGATAGTACAGAAAAATCGGAAAAAGTTCATTCCATTTTTTATTCTTTCTTTTCTTGAAGACTTCATAAAAACCTAAAAACTTAAAAAAGTACAAATATTTTTTTAAAATTTCATCTGATTTCTGAAATTGACGACGCTCTTGAACTTAACCTCTTCTCTTGCCTGGCATATTCTGAACCCTTTAGACCCTTGCCAACCTGGAAGACCATCCAGAGACGGGCGCTCTTGTAGCGACGGTTGCACTCCTCGTAAAAGCCGTAGACGCGGTTGATGGCTGGACATTCGTGGTTGCCGCGCAGCATGAAGAACGTCTCCGGATACCTGCAAAGGTGTGACCTCGTGTCGATTCCGCAGCCGGCGTACCTTACTTGATCTTGTAGCAGAACATGAGGCAGATCGTCTCGATGTTCTGTCGGCCGCGGTCCACATAGTCGCCGAGGAAGATGTAGTTGCACTCCGGCGGGAAGCCGTTCTTATCAAAAATGCGCAGCAGATCCGAATACTGAATAAGGAAGTGTTTGGGAGGAGTGGAGGGATCCCACCTGTCCGTGAATATCTCCGCAGACGACGAGCGGCGGTTCGACTTCGAGGAGCGAGTTTTGCGAAGCAAAGACGCCCTTGGCCACTGCGCAGAGCTGGTGCAGCTCCTGCTCATTCACCTGGAAAAGAAGAAAATATTTCAGGAATGATAGAACTGCAGTCAAATGAATAAAACGTCGGAGGCACTAAATTTCTTACAAGAGAGTAATTCACACAGAACGAAGACCTTTACGGTGGGCACCATGTCTCCGTTTCGGGGCCAGGAAATTTTCTTTTCTTTTATTTTGCGATTTGTTAAGGACCTATTTTCCCAAGTGACAAGAGAGGTCACGTCACGAAAAATACACAATTTTTCTTTTATTACCGAAAAACCTATCTCAACTACCGTAATACGCGTGGCAGAGCCCCAGAATTTTCTAAAACTTGGCCAAGACACTCTTTGACATAATTCTTAGGGTCCAGGAAATGACAGACTGCAAAATTTTCTATTTCCATCAAAGTTGGTTATTCCGATCATATACGTGTTAAAGAAGACTTTAAGACATCCTAAAGTGAGAACTAGGATTTTCAGACTGTCAGGGCTTTCACCCAGTACATCATTTAACCAGTTTTCTAGGAATTCCGAAATTCCGCGTGAAAATGCTTCTTATCAAGAAGTTCAAGTTAGAAAACTTGACAGATACTAAGAACTACAGTAACCCGAAAAACCAACAGTGGCGGTGAGACGTCCGCCGGCCACGCCGACGTTGAAGAACCGGCTCATGAGTCCGTCGACGTCGATGCTTATGGGTGCAGCGGCTGCCATCGTTGGTTGGGAAAAGCGTGCGGTTGTCAGTGAAGGACGTCGGACGGAGAACACCCGAACACGTCGAAAACGCTGCGGCACACGCGAATCAGCACACGCAACGACCAAATGCGGAACTGACTCGACGTCGCCTTTTATATCACTGCCAACTGATTAAGATCTTCTTTTTACGCGTGTTTTTTCTAAAAATGATGTGAGACTTTCATCATTCTCGGACGCCTGATGCCGTGTTCAATTTGATTCCGCGAAATGCAAAATACCCGTTAGAGAAAGGAAAAGATCACTAAATTTTGGAGAGTCAGAGATCATTTTGCATTTCGCGGAATCAAATTGAACACGGCATGAAAGTTGAGAATTGTAATGGAAGCGATAAATTGTTACGATGATTTTAGAGCTTATCTTCATTCAACCTAAACACTGACTTCAGAATTCACGCTTCCAACTCGTCGCATTAAAGCAGAAAATTTTACAAAAATAGAAAAACGAAATATTTCAAGTTCATTAAAAAATAAGGAATGTTTAAGTGAGGCAAAACCGTCATTAGAGGCAATAAAAAGCCCAAGTGAGTCGATTAAAGAAAAAAATGTTCAAAATTTACAAGCTAAAAATTGTTAATAAGGTTTTTTAAAACTGATTAGTTTTGAGAAAGGATTATTGAATGATTCAAGTCGACCCAAAAACCAAGGCCGAGAAGTTGCTCATGGAGATCTTCTTCTTGACGGCATTCTGGTCTCCGCCGAGGAACTCGAAGTGGACGTCGCCAAACTGCCGAAGACGTCGTCGCGTCGACTTCGAATCGGAAGACGTCGTCTTTTCCTTTTCCGCCGCCACGAGTTCCTTGATCTTGGCAGTGTTGGTCAGCACCGTCGCCGCGTCGCGATCCAACAAGTTCACTCGAAGAAGAGTTATCTGAAATTATCATGTCTCGAGTCTATTAGGCGGAAAAGAGTATCATGAATTATCAGAAAATGAGAAAAAAGTTTTGAAGCCCCTTTTGAGGAACTGGGATGCTAAACTTCCGAGAAAGTAATTAAAATGTCTAACTTGAAAAAAATCTTTCTTTTCTCAAGCCCACTGAACCTTTTTTAAAGAAATATTCCTTTGGTAACTTGCAAAAATCCAACTAACATTTTTTCGAGCAGTCTCAAAATCGCTATGAATTGGTTCTGGAAGATTTTGAGACAAATAATGTCATGAGAATGAAAATCTGAATGACTTTATGTGCAAGAAGTTGTCGCGTAGCATTGGCAAGGTAGACGCGTTTCTTGTCGTCGACCACTTCGAACATGGTCAGGACATCGACGGCTCTGAAACAATTCTTTTCTGGAGTCGCTGGAGCAGTACTCACGGCTGGAAAAGATAGTTGACTTGTTCCTTGATGATCGTCGGCACGAAGGTGAGTCCGTAGTCGCACATCGCCGCGACGGCCGAGTTCAGAAGCGACTGTTCGCGTTGAGTGTACAGGTGCTCGTTCATCTGGCACAAATTTGAAATCAAAAAAATAACTTTAATTTTTTTCAGGACACTTTTATTTAGATTTAAACACGAAGTACTCTCAAAAACTTTTTTCTATTGAAAGATCTTGTTCTTGAAAAAGAAACGAAAGAAGTGAAAACTTTCAGCTTTTGGAAGAGTAACTCATCAAATAAAGCAAGGTTTGTGCACCGAAATTTGACTGAAGCGACTCTGATCTTTTAGAAATGGGCTCCAAAGCTCACCGGTTTGATGGGCGGCTGAACGATTCTGACAAGCAGTGGAAGGACGTCCAGAAGGAGTTTGTTCCTCGAGACGCTTCTGGATGTCTCGCCGCCCATGCGGACAGTATCCAGAGTATCCGTAGACTCTCTGACAAATATATTCGTTTTGAGCCTCTCAATCGGACAATGAAATGGGATAAAAGTTTATTATAACCCGCGGCTACTTCGAATTTTATTCGTAGGAACAACTTTTTGTGTTTGAAACTCAGCTTCAGATGTTTTTCGATTCTTAATAATTTTGGATAATTTTCAAATGTCAAAGTCTTTTTTGGAGAAGGTTAATAATAATAATTTATTCACAGATCAGTGTGAACCCCAACGAGTTCACTTCGATCTACAATTTAAAATGAGGAAAAAAGTTGAAGTAAAAAAACAAAAAAATTGAGATCAGTAAAGTCTTGGTGGAATAGAGGTAAAAAAATTCGTTGCGAGGTAAAACGACCAATAATTTTTTCAAAGAATTAGGTGGAAGTGTGAACTGATATTTGGATGTAAGTTTATTCCAAATAGGAATCGTTTTGAAAAAAAAGTTGTTAGAAAACTGACCTTGAGAACGTAGCCGAAGTGGAAGGTTGTATTTTTAACGTATCATTTTTCAGAATTTTCGAAAGAAGCTAGGCGGAACAACTATTGGAAACACATCTCGTGTTCCCACTTTTATTTCGTTGGCCAATTTAAGTCTTTGAAATGTATTCTACATCCTTTTTTCTTACCCATTAAAACTCACTTCAACTTTACTGAACATGGACTGTTCGACCTGCGGATATTGGACGCTCACTCTGAAAATTCCGATGAGAATCTTTCTAGATATTGGAAAAACTTTGCATGAGTGGCCAGAAGGAGATGAAGTGAGACGTAAAAGGCGAAGGAATATCGCATGGGTGTGTAGTTCTGATAGCTGTGGATCTGAAAGACGATCGACTTTCTTTGTATCCGATGGATTTATAGACAATTCTCTGGAGGAGGTCGTAGAACTGAAACCATCCGGCGGCTTTTCGGAGGACGGCGACCGGCAAGGAAACGAGGTAATTCGCGTGGAGACCGGAGACGAATCGGTCGTCTCCGTAATCCAAGGCGAGCCTTTCGATTCGGACCGCGCGGTCGTGTATCGAAAAAACTCGTCCTTTCCTTCAAACATATATATTAGTGTCCCTAAAAAGAGCTTCGAACATACGAATCGAGGTGTCTTTTGAGGTCGAACATTGTTTGCCAGTTCTCAAAGATGGAGGAAGTCCCACTGCGTTCTCGCTCAATCACCTAAAAAAAGACTTTAGCTTCGCTTCTCATTTTTCCAGCCGTCGTTTAAAATAAGAAAAACTGCTATAAATAAGTGTTTTCGACCAACTAATAAATTCTATAACTTCCACATTTCCTTTAAAACCACTGTTGCGCGTCATTCTTTTCAAATAGTTCTACATAACTTTTTTTCCTCCAAGGCACAATCGACGCCCTGTTTTTCATACTTGAAATTTTCTGAAATTTTTTTCAAACAGTTTTTCAGTATAAAAAAATGTAGCTCAAATTTTTATTTAAAACCTCAGATCGTACGGTTAACTTGAGGATCAGAATATAAACACGAGTTTGAATATTTTTTTCATAGAGCTTCGAAAAAAATCAATAGAAGAAAAATTAAAAGTTATAATATATGTAAGTTAACTATGCGGGTGAAAGAATTTTTCAGTCTCTGGTCTATCCTGAAGCTTCTCAGAGAGCCCCGGAGCAATCTTGTACCTCCTGAACGAGTTTGGAAGTGATGGGAATCCGGCGTTTTCTGGCGGCGACGGCCACCCACTGCAGCGAGTTGATCGCGTGTCGCATGTCGCACGCACACAATTCGCAGAGACGTCGCAGCGTCGCGAGATCGCATCGAAGGTCTTCGCGATCGCATATCTGTACACTTCTTACACACTTTCTGTCACTAAGAAACGCCTACAAGTTGAAGTCGTCGCGTCAAATTTTCCTGATTTGTTGGGCCAAGCTGTATGCAAAGCGCGATTGCTCGCAGCTCTCGAATGGCTGGGGCATATCTTTAATTCAGAAATTTTTTTTTAACTTTTCTCTTTCTAGAATTCAGTTTTTTATACTCAAGAAAATGAAAAAAACGATAAAGTATCTTACTGAAATTTTTATTATTCGAATTAAATATTTAAATTTTTTTTTGCTGGGTCATTATTATCGTATAGTATGAGGAGAGAACACTGTGCCAAGTTCAAGAAAAATCTTTACACTGTTGAAAATTTGAAAATACTCATCGAAATGCTATCGTGGCAAAAAATCTGTTGGCAATTCAAAAAAAAACCCTTATCCGAATTCGTAATAAAAAAAATTCGAATTTTATTCCTTTCCATTACTCACAAGTTATTGCAAATGCCGATGATCGGTCGTCGAAGGGCCTTTTTTCCAGAGGCCTGGATCGCCTTGACCAGATTTCGGATCGTGTCGACGGCACATCCATCGATTTCATCCAAAATGAGACACGACGGCCTCGAGTCCTCAAAAATCCCATTGAAAACGTCTTTCAGTTGTAAATACCGCGTCCAGAGTTCGCGTCGTTTTGACAGCGCCTTCAAGAACTCGCTGAAGGTCGGCGTTCGTCCGGGCGTCGCTGGCATTGACGTCCATCGTCGCGTAGCCGGCTTGTCGCGCGACGATTCCGGCCAAAGTCGTCTTTCCCAGTCCCGCGGGACCCGACAGGAGAACGATCTGAGTTCAGTTGTTGAAATACTTCGGTCGGGACTATGCTAGAATTTCTATAAGCCTGGTAAAAAAAAATTTCTGAGAGAAACTACAGATTCGTAATGAACTTTTTTGAAGCTTCATATTAAATCTTTCCTTTTCAGGAAACTCTCGTGCACTTTATAAAATATAAGACACTTCATTAAGCTCTTAGTTTATAAGCAAAAAAAATCAGAATAGCATCATACCCTTAAAAAATGAATGTAAAAATTGAGAACACATTCAGAGAAAAATGAACAAAAAAAGTTCATTTTCGAGATTTCGGTTTTTGGCTAATAAGGATAGGAACACTTGGAAACTGACTTTTTGGTTTCCTTTTGAGCCGTAAATTTGAAAATTCTGCTAGATTCTGCTGATATTACCAACCAATCAAATAAACCCAAGCTTCATTTTTTTCAGAAAATTATATAAATTAGCAAGTTGTTACAAAAAAAATGTTCTACTCTTGAATGTTCCAAATTTAAAAAGAAACCTTGTAATGAGGCCTTCTGACTTTTCCACTGTCCATTTGAAAAATCTCGCGATCTTTTTCGTTGACGCCGCTCAAAATCTTCTCGTTTTTCCTTTTGAATACACATTCGTCCCAGAGTTTCAGCCAGATGAGCAAGTTCCGATTTACTACCTGAACAAATTTCAGCTTTTTCTTCTTTGATATTCAGCGCTCCTACTCAGTTCCGAGTAGTTCTTTAGTTTAGTACAATTTTTTAGCCTAATTTGTAACTTTACAAAGAAAGAAACAAGACAAGTGAAATTCGTGAGTGAGTCAAAAGAACAGAAAAATCGCAAAAAATGATAGAAAAAAGCTTTTTTCAAAGTTTTTTGATTCATGATCCATGAGCCCGCCATACATCGTCGCTGAGAAGCTCGGCGAAGTTCCTGGCCGCGTATTTGTTGACCCAAAGGGCGGAACATTTGGTCGGATCACCGTCCACTTCCATGACGTCATCGTTGTCGATCGCTTCCAGAATCTTCTCGAACTCTGCCTCCTTTTCTTTTTTGTTCGCTTCCTCTTTGCGTATCCTGAAAGTCATTCGGTTCTTGGGGACTGTGGAACTCTGAGAAGCACTTGATTTGCTCGGCTTCGTTCATTATTTCCTGGAAGGCGCGGTAGCCGAAAGACTGGCGCGACATCTGCCGCATCACGGCGTCCAGGAGATTTTCCTTCTGGCCTTTCCTGTCTCGGAACATCCGCACGTAGAGTCTGGAAACTCGGAGATATTCGCAGGATCCCATCCGAACTGAACCTGGATTCTGTTCCAGAAATTCCCATCCACGGCGACCCATCAATCGGAGGCATTGACATCACTTCCTGAAAAAACACACCTTCATTTCAAGACTTTGTTTTTTTTTAAAAGAACCCTAGCTAGAAACTTAAAGTTGCGACGATTTCTTGAAAACTTTTTCAAGGGTCAGGAAAACCTCTCTGCGGTGGAACCTTCTGCGAAACTCTTCGTCGCAGATCTGCGAGACGGATTTTTCGTCGAAGCCTTCGTCCTCGAAGTTTTCCTTCCCGGCGATCGAAGGCCCGCGTCGATTCTCTTCCGCCACGGCTTCGTTCAGTTTTCTTTGCAATTCTTCCAAAGCCTGAAACCCCGTTGTTTCGGCCTCATAAAATATTGAAGTATGATCACATTTTGACGAGTTTTTTCATTCAACAGCTCCGAAAATGTTCCTGAACATTTAAATGAAGAAAACCTGTCTTTTAGCTGCAGATTGGAAGCCTTTCGTAGCGATTTCCGTGGCCATAACGGGCATTCGCATGTGCCAATCTTCAAAATTCCGTTTTTGGTGCAGAGAAGATATTTGCAATTTTGTTTTACAAAATCCAAAAAACTTATAGAAAATTTTTCAGATATTTTGAACATAAAACATCATAAAACATCATAATCATCATAAAACACTCGAGCAACCTTAAAACAAGAAATTATTCTTCGCTCCCGAACTTCCCTAATTTTTCGGTTTGAATTTCGGCCCTTTCAGAAGTTTCTCGAGGAATTTCGAGTACCCAGAGGATGAAGTCCATAGTTCTCCGAGATGTTCTCCAAGGCTTCAATTCTTCGTTTCCGATTCCGGATCGACGCCTCGATTCCACTGCTCTCCAGCGCCGACATCACGTCTTCTTCTTCATCTTCCGGCGACGCGACGTCTTCAGAACTGATCGTTCGGAGACCAGAAGCGCCCATTTCGTCGTCGACTCTTCAATGAACTGAACGTGAATCTCATGACTGCGATTCGTCCTACGGATATTGTAATTCTCCATCATCGTCGTCGGCCGAATTTATCACATTGAAGTCGTCCATCGCCCATAAAATTTCCACATTTTTTGTATTAACTTTCAAATCAATGAATTAAGAATCGGAATAGAAGACAAAACTCAAATTTCACACAGAAAAGCCCAGTTACTGTATGCAATACTTTATTTCGACCCCACAAGCATTTAGTTTGTAACCATACTATTAAAACAAAATAAAAATGCAAAATGTAGTTTCAAGGTGAAATCGAAACTTGGCACAGGAATGATAACTGGAAATTCAGACGAAATAATAGGTGACTGTTACAAATTGATGAAATTGAAGGAGGGAAATTAAGCATGTGCTTTTGAGGTCGGACAGGCCAAAAAATAAAGAAAGAAGGAAGATCACGAATTGTCGATACGGGGCCAAAACAACCGGGCATGATGGTGAGGTTTTGACGAGCGCATTAAAAAATGGCTTCCGACAAAACTTAAATACATTAAGGACCTATCACTACCAGTAGTTCCAGAAAAAAAAAATGAACAACAAGTTCCACGAAAAGCGTTTCTTCTACCGTTAACTATGAAACAGTAAAATACTTCACTTACAACAGATTTAAGAATCTATTTTCGAACACGAAATAGCGCCCGAAAGAAGTTTCCTCATGGGGAGATCTTTTTTTTTTCAAATAAAAGGGCTCCATTTTCTTTCTTTTCTTATAAAAAATGATTTGAAAAAAACCGGAAGAGTTTCAAAAACGTATTCGGTTGTTGCAAAGGCTAAAAAAATGATAAACTCTCAAAAATGTAAATAGATATTATGATAAAACATGTTCACAAATTATGAAAAAGAAAACTAAAGCTATTGGAACAATGTGTGATGAGAAGAGGATTGCTTATAAACCTTGCGATGTCAAGCAACCAAATCGGCTCTCATCCCGCATAACAAAACCGTCGAAAAAAGGACCTGTCGATCTAATAACATTATCAACAACGAAATATAAATTTACATAATGAAGATTCGTGAACAAAAAAGCGTTAATGGAACCAAGGAATGCAAGATAAAGCCTTCTCAAATCAACAGCACAATGAACCAGATAGAGGAAAGATTAATTACATATTAGACGGAAAGAAAAGAAGTCGAAATTTGAAAAGAATTAGCAAAAAATCTAATTAATTGTGAACACTCTGCGCGACACCCTGGTGCTGCTGATTGTGGAAATTGCGGAAGCCTCCACGGCCGCCATTCGAGGAGGATCCACCGCGTCCGCGATTCGGAAATCCTCCTCGCGACTGGAATCCGCCTCGTCCGCGAAAACCACCGCCGCCGTTCCCAAGAGGCGGCTTCTGCTCACTGATAGTGACAGAGCCGTCGAAGCCGAAAGCATCGATTTTGAGGTTCAACCGATAATTTCCGCTCTCCTAAAAAAATTCATAAAACAAATTATTGAACAAGTCGGCACTAAAAAAAGTTCACTCGTCTTTTCAGGTTTTTTTAAAACTCTTCTCATAAATAAACCTCTCCTGTTTTTTTTAATATGCTATAACTATCTAATTGTTTAAGAAGGCGCTGTCCGCTTTAATTGAAATTTTCTCTGAAATTTGTCTTCCCATTTTGAAATAAAAATGTAAATATTCGAACATACATCTTTCTCTGCCGCGTCAAAGACTTGCTTCGCTCCATCGGGGTGACGCATGGTGATAAAAGCGAAAGCATGGCGACTCGTGTCGTTTGGCGAATCCAACACCTTTCTAGGAATGGAAACGGACTCCACGGGAGCGTAGTCTGAAAAAATAAACGTTTAAAATTACCGAAAAAGCACTATTTATACAATTTTGAGACGACTTACTGTAAAAAAGAGTTTTGATTTCAGTTTCAGCAGTGGCAGTGCTGTCTGGGACGATGTTTCGTACGATTCCTCCAAGATAAATTTTCCTGTCGGACGTGTTATTAGATGACGAAGAAAATCCTTGATTTTGCTGATTGTTCCGCTCTTTGTAGTGGTTATTTTCTGAAATGAGAATTTTTGATCTTCGAAAAGTTGCTATATCATCTTTTTGTCTTTCGCTAAGCGTGTGCGATATAACTTTTTTAGATACACCGAAAAACTTCGTAATGAAAAAAAAAACAAACGTCTCTGCTCTTGCTTCTGAGGACCATTGTTGGCAGAAGCCTGTTGATGGTTGTTTTGCTGCGGATGAATAGCGTAGGAAGGTGGAGCAACGTTGTTCTTAGAGCCTCCGCCAACGAGGTTTGCCCAAGTTTTCTGTCTCTGCTCGACCGGGTGCGGCTCTGGCGCAGGAGCCACATGCTGGACAGGTTTCACAGTCTCCGTGACGAGTTCTTTAACTTGTTTCGGCGGATGTTCCTTGTTTGAATGGGACTTGGCAGCACGTTCTAGAAAAATAACTTCAATCAAATCAAATCAAAAATTTTTTTCAATAAAATAATAAGGAATTTATTAAATCATTACTCGTCAAGCTTCAAATACCGTTTTTTTTTAAAGCAGTTCATTGAATTTTAATTAAGCGGTTTAGCTATTGAAAGAGTTATTCGATCATCGAGAAAGAGAACAAAAACTCGCCTTCCGTTTGGTTGCTCTGCTTTCGAGCGGGCTGTTGAGGGGTTGGTGGTTTCACGGGAGTTTTTTCTTGAACAGGAGCAGGCTTCACTCGCTCTGGAGACTCAGCTTTAGGCGCACGAGAAGTGGCGTGGCCATTGTTGAGCTTCTTTTGTTGCTTCTAGGATCAACGGATTCGTTGTAGTCCAGAGAAAACAGGCAAATACCGGTTCGTTGGTCTTTGTGGGGCTCGCAAAAGCAACATCAACGAACTGCAGGAAATCATTTTGAACGTAATACTTTTTGGCTCCTTGTTGACCAAGAATGAAAGTTTGCAAAAAGCGGCGATCGTTCATTTCTCCGCACACTTGGAGAACGATCCCTTGATTGCAAGTGGGATTTCCCTGTAAATTTGAAAAAAAAAACTTCGAAATATCTAAAAGTTGATACCTTGATAGAAAGGATCTTCATTTTTTTCGCTGGAGGGTGCACTTCTTCCAAAACCTTCGCGATGTTCTGAATCAAAAAATGATGGGGCAAAAAAAAAATTGAAAACCTGTTGGCCGACAGCACTCTTATCATCAAACTGAAAGAACGATTCGTGACCGTAGTATCTGTGAGCCTCCGAAGGGTTTTGGGACAAGCAGGTGTAAAACTCGCGCACAAAGAGGTTGCCGATAGCTGAAAAATCAAATAATTCGTAAGAAATATCTTATAAGCTAAGAACGAACCACTGGCGTCGGCAGCGCTCAGGGCTCCGCCTTTGGCCGTACCCCCGTTAACGACTTCGTTCATTTTATTCTCGGTGAGCTGCATATGCAATTTGTGATTGAGCAATTACCTGCAAAAAAATAAAATAATGCCGTTCAGCGGACAAAACGGAAATTTTTCCAAAACGCAAGAGGATTGTTCAAATGTTAAACGCACCGTAATTTGAAAAAAAGAATAAAAAACAATCTATGAAAACCACGAGAAATAAGAAACAATAGGCATATTCTCAGAGAGAAAAAATTTGGACAAAAAAATAACGATGCGGTTGTTGAGATTTCGTTTTTCGTTTTAAAAAAAATGAGCTAAATTGGAAAAAAAGTACTTTATCGATTGAGTTCGTTAGACAAAAACCCTCAAACTGTCTCGAACAGGGATAATTACATAAAATAAAAAAATAAAATTTTTCGAAATTCTTCTATAACCGCAGTTTTTCCTTTTTTTAAAGAATCTTGTTACCTGACAAGGCAAATATTCAGTAATATTATTTCATAAAATCAAAGAACTGAGTTTTTTTATGAAGGCAGTTGAGAGAAATTCACTCTTTTATATTGAAAAAAAGCATCAAAAATTTTTTTATAAGAGCCCCGAAAAAAATTTCAAAACGCGGTAAAAAAATTGGCAACTTGCCGCGCCGCAGTCTTACCCGCCCTCTTCTTTTTAGGTCCTAACACGATAAAGAAGTTACGGTATCTTCGCGCGGCATTTCAAAAAGTTTTTTTCCCGGGTTTTTTTATAAAAAAACAAACAAAAAAATGTTCCCTAAAGTCGATATGGATTCATTTATACAAAAAAAGTATTTTTTTGATTTATGCAAGTCTTCAGAAAGTAGAGGTCAAACTAAAAAAACAGAAAGTCATATTATATCGAGTCTAACTTTCTGGTACTTCATTACCCTTTATGTGCAATCCGATGCTATCCCAATGCTATCTGAGTTCACGAAGGATGAGTATAGTAAGCTTTATAAATATGCTGCTGGATGTGAATACCTAGGTTGACCTTTGAAGGGACTCGCATGATCGTTTATCGGGTTATTTCCGATTTTCAGCTGACTTTTAAATATGAAAGTGCAACTTTTTTTTCCCAATTTTTTATCGAACTCAAGAAATCCAGAGCGGTCTCTATTTTTGTACTTAGGAAGCTTAATGGTTGCTCTCTTGAGACCACTTTACCTCCCCTATAGGGGCCCTTAAGGCTTGCAAAATTGGTCCCAACAGGGGTTCTAGTAAATAGCCCCTATAGTCTGTTCAGATTTTAAATGTCAAGTCCTCGTTCAAGCTCCGCCCCTAATGGTGCGATAAACCAATAAGAGAGCGAGCCATCCACAGATTGTTTTTGAATGTCGTCATTGCACTTGACATTCAAAATCTGAACAGACTATATCGAGGATAGGCTGCTCAATTATTGTTCTGAACTTTCTGAGAAGAAGAATTTCCATGCGAGAAACTAAATAAACAAGCGTTATTTGAATGAAAAACATCAAAAGAAGTTTCTATAATCATATATAGCCCGTATGAAATTGATCCACTTGATCTTATTCCGAGTCTGGCAGGCTTTCACTCGATAATCCCATTTCGATTCCCAATAAGAAAATTAAATCTTTTTCAGGATGTCTTTATTCATAACTTTTTCATTATGAGTTTCGGCAGAGCCGTGATTGACGCCAAAAACCTTCCAGCAGTCTTACAAAAAAAAAATTTGTTTAACTTTGAGTTAAACGTCTGTAGTTCATATACATCGTTTTTGACTCGAGTAATCTATCAATAATCAATAAAGTCAGCAGACTTTACCCAGATAATCTTGAAAAAATTAGTATCCATTTTTTAACATTGTCGTTTAGTAACTTGATTCTTCCTTCAAAAGTCCGAGGTTGGGAATTGGAAAAGCAACCCATGGCATGGCAGCCAAGCCTTGCTATATAATTGAGCCAAAAAGTAACTTGGTTTCGGCAACTAGGTCAAGTACGTGGCGATAACGCCATAAACTAACCATTTTCAATTTTCGTACATTTTGAATATTTTTTTTCGTAGTTTATTTAAAGTTTTTATAAATAGTCTGTTCAGATTTTTGAATGTCAAGCAGCTAACTCCGCCCCCCCAAGGCTACATTATCTTTCGCTTCAATGTTTTATCTCCAGAAGAAGATGAACCTTCAATATGGGCTGCATTTTTCGGCTTCTTTTTCAATCTTTTCGAACAAAAAAGATCAAAAATCGTCCCGCGCGATTAATAATCGGCGCGAAAAGGTACTGTGCGAGCAGGGGCGGAGTTAGCTGTTCAACATTTGAAATCTCAATAGACTTCAACGTAGTGTAACAGAAATTTCAGCAGGAAACTTTCTTTAAAGCTCATTGTTAAGGTAAATTTTCAATCTCAGAAGATATATTCAGGCGAAAAATTGTTCTACTCGAAATTTTTTCAAAGGTAAACCTCTGCCGTTTTATACACAAGTTTCATACGTTGCGCAAAACAAGCGCTTCTAGATGTTAGAGCTATTCTGCCATATAAATGTTTCTGGCTCGCGACAGGCTGACTTCTTGAAAAAGTCAATTCTACCTTGTGGGCTTTCATGGCGAGGCAGCCCATATACAAGCTTCATCCTTCATCACTGCAAAAATAGTTATGAAGTTTTATCTAATCAGAGTTTGATCAGAGAGAAAATTATGAGCTCAAATTCTCAAAGGAATACATTAACTGACTTCATTAGGCTTGAAACTACAAAAAAAGATAGCAGAAAACAAAAGCCTCGAAACGAAGTTGGTAAACTTTTGATCCAATTTGGTAAACGGCAGAAATAAATGTGACAAGCTGGCGGGGAAGATGGGCTATATAATTTTTGTAAAAAGGTTCCGAAAAAAAAAATCACCCTTGAAAATAATCACCTGTCTGTGGAGCATCTTTGACGCTCACTGTACGATTGTCGATTTCAAAAAATTCGAAATGTTTAGACTAAAAGTTTTAGTTACCAGTTTTCCGAAATTTTATTTTGCATTATTTATAAATACTTTTCCGTTCGTTTTCTGAATTATTACATATTGCATTGATTTAGTTTTTCAATATTCCATTAAACAATGTTTACCGAAGAAAATCTTTACCGTGAAACATTCCTAAATTTTTTTTTTCTATTTTTTTGGCAAAAATCGTTAAGATCCGTTATATTCCGCTCATTTCGCCCCAGCTTGTCACGTTTTTCTTTCCGCCAAAAACACCGTATACCAATTGATATCAAAATTGAGCATATTTGTTTCAAGACCTTATTTGCTGTCTTCTAAGCAGTTTTCAGACCAAAATTTTGTATCTACGGTAGATTTTTCTTGTCTGTTGTTTTAAAACTTGACCCTTTCGCGCGGAACACACTATACTTATTTTTTTTTTTTCTGAAAAAATATCCAAACTTTATTGAGAGAAGATAGGGGGTTCCTCGCAAAAACTACTCATGCCTTTTGAAAACCTACGCGTAAAAAAAAACTTAATCAGCTAAGTTAATTTCCGAAATGTGCGTGGAAGTTCTCCGAGTGCTTAATTTTATTTGTCGATTCCTTTTTTCTCTCAATTTCGTTGAAATTTGCAGAGGCAATCAGCGCGATGTAAAAAAATGGCAAGGCGACGAATATTCTTATGATAACAGCTTTAAAAGCGTCAAAATCTGAGATAAGCAGTAGGGCTTCGTGTGATAAGATGCTCACGAAATGAGCTTTTTTGATGGTAATTCGCTTACTTGAAATTTCAGTCTGTGATTTTTGCAGAGACTCCGCGGAAAAAGCACGAACTTCATCGCTTGGCACTATTCTTCAATACTCTGCAAGACTTCGTTTCATTGTAAGGTTTGTTGCTGAAAAGCTCATTGTAAAAAAATATTGCCTTACTTGAAAAATTAGTGTTTTTTTCAAAAAATTTAATATTTCTATTGAAAAAAAAACTTGGTTGTAAATTTGCAACAAGCTTCTTCAAGTGTTTTTCCTATGTAGTCTGCTTAAAAATCCCTTGTGAGTCGTTCAAATGTTCAGAAGTCTCACATAATCTTTTTGAAATTATTTATACACGAGTATCCTCTACATTCTCTTGTTTTATCTTTTCTGCTTCTGTTCAGTTTTTTTTTTAATTCAGTTCATGTACCACCTTCAGACGGACTTTGTTCTTCTTACACTATAAAGTTCTCATTATCAGACCTCACTAACTCGTGGCAAGTGTGATTATCTTGAATTATCTCGCGTGATAACTTGAGTTTTGTGCCACCCGACTACTGTCTGTTATCGTTTTTCAGTGTCGAAAACCTTTTTGGTCTAGCCAGTCATCATGCTCTGCAAATTTCTCTACAGTAAACTCGGCCATTCGCTCCGTTTAAGTTTTCTCGATTCAAAGAAAGTTAGTAGGAATTTTTCCAGCCACAGGGAAATTTTCCCGGATGATTTAATGATTCCGAAGAGGCCGTAAATTTCAAGTTATAGCCCCGAAATCATTCCGAATGCTTTGATATCGGAGGCCCCGAAGCCAGATGTCTTACGAGATGTGCTCCGATTTCAAAAAGGCGGCCGCGATCTCTAAAAACTTTGTCGAACTGTCACTCACGGCCCTTTTGTTCCTTCTTTTGGCCGGAATACAACATGGTTTCGAACTTCATCTCGCTGTCCTATCCACTAAAGCGCTCAGAAATAATTCAAAAACTTTTCGAAAACTTCAACCTTCAGTTTGCGGATAAAGTCTAGCTTTGTACATCCGGGGTTGGAAGGATTTATAATTTCATAAACTTTCAGCATTGATGCTCTAACTCGATTGTAAGTTAAATACGTATATTTTTCATATAGTTATTTTAAAGAAGATCATTGGGAAGACAATTTTTACAGGGTGACAAATAAATATTGAAACGCGTTTGAAACGTTATAACTTTCTCAAAAGTCAACCAAACACCACCAAACTTGGAACAAATTTTATTCATACAATATAGAAACAAAATTCAAGAATAGTTTTCAAAACGTCCTCCTTTAGCTTTGATAACGGCCTTCAGTCTCTTCGGATACGCATCGATCACGGCACGAAGGTAGTCGTCGTCGATTTCGTCCCGTTTCTTGATGAGCGCGGTCTTCAGAGCTTTGATACTTGGGTAGTTCTTAGAAGAGACCTTCTCGGTCAGATATATCTACACGGCATAGTCCATCGGGTTGAGGTCGGGCGAGGAAGCAGGCCAATCAGCAGCCGAGATGAACTCGGAAAAATGGCGCGACACCACTCTTGAGTCCCTTTGGCACGATGAGCGGGGACGCCGTCTTGCTGGAAGGTCCATGGTCGGTTTCCGTAGTGAGAATTGGCTCAGGGCAACACCCTCAACTTTAAAATCTACTCCCTGTAGTATACTTGGTTCACTTTGACTCCAGAATCCACAAAAATCAGCGGAGTTTTGTCGTCAGCGGTAATTCCGGAAAAAACCATCACGGAAGCCGGATGCGAAGTTTTATTCAGAATTTTTTCTTTTTCACAGGCACTCTGATAGTCAGTAACGATGATCCGATGATTTTGGCCGCTCTTGTTCGCCTCCACAGTGAAGATTTTCTCGTCGGTAAATAGCGTCGTCAGTTGCGAGCCATCTTTCGTGCCAGCGAGCAGCTTTCGAGCCTTTTTCATCCGCGATTTCTTTTTTTTTTGATTGAGGAAGGCTCCTTTCTGCATACGGTAGGGAATCATCTTCAGCTTGTCCTTGACAATAGTTCTCATCGATCCTTGACTCATTTCGTATTCTTTTGCCATCTTTCTCCCGCTTCTTTCCGGAGTGCGTCTGATTTTCTCTCGAACGGCTTTGACTGCTTCTGGAGTCGTGACGGTGACTGGAAATCCCCTTCTTTTGATGTCATCTGAAGTACCGAGATGCCGATAGCGTTGTGCAGTTCGAAAAACGAGAACACGAGACACTTTCAGCTTTTTACCGATCTCTGAATTCGTCATTCAGCTTTTGACACAATCAATGATTGCGGTAGGGTACAGAGATGGAGCCACCATTACCTGAAAACTGAAAAGTATGAGCTGTAACTTCAAACACATGATAAGTGAGCATGAATGAACGAAATAAACAAAAAAATTCAAAGGCCAGTCCGTTGTGCAAAAAGCAGCGATCAAACAAAAAACGGTTTCAATATTTATTTGTCACCCTGTAGATAGGAAGTTTGAAATTTATCGTTGTAACAAGTACGAAAAAAGAAGTAGTCTGTTTAAAAACCATTGCTATGGCTTCAAAAGGAGCGAAGGAGTTGAGTTTAAGATCGTTGTCTAAGCCGTAAACTTTTAATAGGAGCCGAAACGGCTGCGCGTCGTTTTATAAAATTTTAATCCTCATCCTATGTTGTTCAAAGCTACTTATAATACAATTCTGCACTTTTTTGAAGCAAAAATTCAAAAGACTATAGCGTAATGGGTGTTTGAAACTATGAATGACGGATCACAGATCGCCATCTTAGATGTCTGTTGAATACCTCTATTCACCTTAGTTCCATAAAGTTATCTTTGAAGTGAACTTGACCATTTTTGACCAGCTGTTCTCAATTTCATGGTATTTAACGCCGCCAGAGGCAGGTATCCAGTCCTCTAAAGCAACGATTTCGAGTTTAATCCGCAGCATGCGGACCGTTAAAAAAGCCCTTTTCTGCTCAACTTCATTGTAAATTTCGTACAGTTTCATGATGCCAGATCATACACACACGCTTTTTCAAATGTAAACACGGGAACGTTCGAACGTTGCCCTGTCGCAAAAAAAGAGGAAAAAAGTGTGGTGGCAACAAAATGGGAGAAAGGACGAGGATGGTGGCATCTGGCGGATCTCGAAACGTCGCGCTCCTCGAAACCGCCAGATGATCGCCATCTTTTTCCTTTTTCTTTTTTATTTTCACTCTGCTTCCAGGAATGTCCTCATTTCATCTGAAACGCTGAAGATTCTGTACTTTGAGAATATTTCGTTTTTGCTCTGAAATTTCGACTTTTCGAAGTCACCAACCTCATCTTGCTGGGATCTGCTTTTTTGGTGTAAGACCAGCTCTGACGCTCCGATTCTGGAATGGCGTCACGTCACTTTGACGCGAATTCGATGCGAGTCGTCAGTCGCGGGCAGGTGTCGCTGCTCGCCGACTTTCCGCATCTGCCGCTCTAATCAAGGTCGATTTTGTAGGTTCTCGCTTTGAAACAACACCGGAAAGGACAGGTCTTCATTATTTACCCAGTTTTTTTTTCAACTCTCCTTTCTTCAGAATTTCAATGATCAAAGTTAGTTTGTGAAGCTCTGCGGAAGTTCTCTTATAAGGAAGGTTTTTAATTCCGTGTTTGGGATATTTTTTAATGTCAATAGTTACGAAGTGATCTCTGTATATTCTTAAAAGTAGTTTTTCCTAGAATTAAGATAACTGTGAGGGCTCTCAGAACCTTCGGAAACTTTTAATTCCCAAGTAGAAAAAAGACGCGTTTTTCTAGGAAGATAGTTCCGATCCAGACGGGAAACATTTTTCCCCCCAAAAAAAGTTTCTTTTCTGTTTTATTCTGGCCGATTCAGTTTCAAAAACATTTCAACTTTTGTTCTCATTAATTTTTCTTGTCTTTATCTTATCTAGAATCTTTAACTTTTTTCTCTGTTTCCGTTCTGAAGGTCTGTCAACAACTTTCCAATTTTTACTCAGCCGAGAAGCTGCTTCGCTCTAACCAGTAAATTACTATGGAGGAATGAGAACAAAATCTCTTCTGGAATCTGGAATTTTTTCCGTTTTTCTTGCGGCAAAAACGTCTGGCGGGTTGAGGTCCACCTACCCTGCGGCGCCGCTATCGCCGGGATCAATCTCCAGCACGTTGTCGTTTCGGACGCCTTGTTTCCTGCGTGTTACTGCCAGCCACAATCTAAGCCTTTTTTTGACATTCCTCCATTTGTACCCATCCAAATGGATTTGACTCGGCAGTGAAGACATGACGTTGACCAATGGTCTTTCACCCTCCTTCGAGGATGTTTTTCTGGTTTTTTGGAGTTCAGCTTCGGGTTAATTCTCATCAAAAGGGCACGTGGCTTTTCACCGTGATCCTTGACTTTTCTGACTACTTTTTTTTATTTGATTGCCCTGACGGTCTTTTGTGAGTTCAATAAATTACTCAAAAAGAAATAGCTCATTTAAAGACTACTAGGAGGTTTGAATCCGCGCAAAGCGTTTTGTCTGAATATTTCACGATAACCATACGTTTTGGGCCTGGATCATGGTAATTTCCCTCACTCCGATTAAAAAACGTAACAAGCGTTTTTAAATGAAATATTAGTTCAGACGAAATTCTTCGTTTTTGAGAAAGAAACCGATCAAAACTCTCGAAACGTGTGTTACATGTATACAGTTTTGAAGAACTGATCTTAAGAAAGAAAAATTGAGCTTAATTACCTGTAGAGGATCTCATCGCATCTATTTTTTAAGCTTACTTTATCAATTTCTCGTTTAATTTTTCACGTAGTTCTTCACGAACCGAAAAGTTTTGGAGCACTGTTTCCTTATTTGAAGCTTTTTGTAGCACAATTTTTGAGATACTTAGGGTCTCATGTGTTGTTTGTTTTACTTCATGGGTGCATCAAACTCATAAAATAAGGGAAAATTGTAACTTTCCCAATTCTAACTCGAAGCCAAAGCGCTACAAAATATTGGACTTTAGTGCAGTTCAATTATGTTATCGAGAGCAAAATAAAAGCTAATAATAACGTTTACTTATTGCAAGCATTTTAAAAAGGGTCAGATAATTATGTGACAGCCGGGATCGAACTTGTGACCTTTTGGACCATAGACAGACAGAAAACATGTTGCGCCACGGCCAATGAGAACAAGGAACAACTCAAGAGAGGAAAGAAGTGCTGCGAGTGTTAAGACACTGGCAACTCTATCAGTAGTCTCTGGATGAGCGTGTCTTCGTCGTCGTCGTCTAATGAGAGAGCGGCCGCCGCCGTGGTGGCGCCAAAAGCGAAGAGTCGCCGTCGTTCGAGTGGCACCGACGCCTTTTGTTCTTTTGGCACGCCATTCCAGGACGAATCGGAACGCCTTTTCTCCGGGTTCTTGATACGAATTCAGGAATGTGTCCTGCGAGTCTTGCAGTTATCTACGGGTTCATCAGCGCTGTGTGACCTTACCTGATCTTGTCGGTTCCCACCTTTGATCAAATTCTTATCACTTTCTTTTTGAGCTTCTCGATTTCGCAGAGAAGCAGGAAAAATCATAGATCAAACTAAGATTAATTTAATTAAAGTGAATTTTTAATTTGAGAGGTATTTTCAAAGGCCGACCTTCTCAACCTTCCTAATCATTATACGAGTCGAAGAGTGAAAATGGCGTTTTTGAAGCTAATTTCATAATATTTTCATTTTAAATGCCGGATCCTCCCCATAACTGATGTTCTCGGTATGTACTTTAGCTCTAGGGCGTTCGCTTTAGTTGTCTCTTTCCGGTAAGCCTGCGGAACTTGCATGGCTTTCGCCGTATTATCACTTTTTCCGCGTTTCTTATCAAGTCGTTTTGAGGGTTCGTAATCACAAAAATGGCAACATTTTGCGGTGGGAGGCACGCCCGTAATTACACGCTTTCTCTCAGAAAATTTTCACGTGTATCCCATTTTCGCGGTTTTTTATATGTAACTTGATTGCAAGGGCATAATTATCCGCTTTTGAAGTGTATTTTCCTTTTTAGCTCTCATTTCCAGTTCTGTCTATTTCAATCTTCAAGTTTGTAGATCTTTCTAATTTTTTCTTGCTCAAATTGCCATCTCAGAGCTTCAGAAGCGAAGAAAAAAAGTATGAAAGCGATGCGCAAGTCTTTTCTTTGTGAACGACTTGGCGCCAAAGCGGATGAGATCACAAGTTTTGTTTGACCGGTGCGTGTCCCTTTTCAGACCGTCTTCCTCACTTTTTGCCATCTTCTGTTGTTTCGAATTATCGATTTCCTCTGTTTTTTCCTAATGAACTGCACTAACCAGCTTGATAATTAACATCTTTGAAAAAATGAAAGTTTGACCCCAAGTCGCCGGAGTTCCATTCAATGAAAAAAAATGAAAAAAAAAGTTCATGATCTTATAATTTTAAGTACAAGTTCTGGAAAAAGAGTTTTTCTGTACTCCCATTCACAAATTTTTTTGGAATCTTCCAAAATTATTTCCCGAATTTGATTACTACCTATGGGGAAAATCCTGGCAAGCGGTTATGAAGGAGGTTTTTTTTCCGGTTCTGAAGATCCGAGGACTCGAGCCTCCGCTTTGCTTATGCAAATCGTTACGCCCATAAAATCGTATCTGTTTCCGTCGAAAGTGCGTCGCCGCTGCAATGAGCTTCTGCTTGCCAACATCCTGCTAGGTCAAACACTCTGGAAAAAAAATGCAGTTCAGTTATGGCGGTCCCTGTGAATTCAAAAGTTTGCTTTTTTTCGTTCTAATTGACAATTCTGTATCCCATTTGATCTGCAACTTGGAAGTTTTTTGCAGCTCTTTTTGAATTCAGAATTTCGGGTCCTCCAGGATGTATTCCAGAAAAGTTTCCCTTGTGAGCATGAAAGTGGATTTATATAATCATTTCAATTTGAAGGCATCAGTTTCTCATCCTTTGCCAACGTTTCAACAGCGAGAAATTCAAAAGTTTTAGACACCCTAAACAAAAATTTTGTGATTTTTTTCCAAGTTTTTCTTCTAACTTCAACCCTGTAGTACATTTTTGGCCTGTGATAAGATTTCGAGCAGCGGGATGCCCGATTTTATCGGCTGCCGACGGTTTTGGCGACGGCGCGCACATGTTAATTTGGTTCATTTGTTTCGTACAATTTGTTTGCGCCAATCACCTGTTTCCGATTCTAGTTATGTTGGTTTTTCTCAAACTCTTTTCAAAGTTATGTCTAATTCTGTGGTAATAATCTCAGGACTAGTTTGAGCTTCCCAAAGTCTTGAGTTACTGAAGTTACCGGAATATTGCCTTTGACGATATTCCTTGAAATGGTCCGCCTTCATACGAGAATCTATATAGTTTCGAAGTTTTTAGAATTCAGTTTCTCAAGCCAAACTGATTGTGTTTATTACGATTAAGAACAGTCTTTCTTGAGATTCTTTTTCACACCCGTTTTAAACGGTCGACTTGAACTTCCATGTGAATTGGTTCTCGTTCTGTATTCCCACGCATCAAAATAGCCGTTCGACTTCTCTTCTCGCCTCCTTTTCTGTATCTTCAGATCATTTTGAATGACACTTTACGTTTACAGTCGCCGAGTTCTTTGAACCCTATCACTTTCGTCTTCCTTTTTTTGGCTGATATTCTCAATTTCAAAAATTATTATTCTTCTTTTCGCCTTCCAAATTTAATGTTTTGGACATTATCAACCTTCTCCCATTTCTTCGAAACGTTTTTTTTTGTTTCTTTGAAAATTGAAAACGCTTTGAAAAGTGCATTTTATGTTGTCTCTGCTTTTGTTATCAATATGTGTCGGTCGAAAGGGGAAAACTTGTCGAAAACGTGAAACCGTGTTAAGGTTCTCGAACTTTTCTCTTGAAAAGAACGGGAAAAAAACGGAACTGAAAAATGAGAAAGGGCCAGCGGAAATTCTCGAAATTCAGGTTATGAGAAAGAATATGTTCTGAAACGACGCAAATGGTCTTCTCAACCAGAAGACCTAAAAGTCTTTCTTAACAAAAATGACTCAAAAAGGGCTTTTTGTTATTGTTTCTGACGCTGTTCACTATGCTTTGCGCCTATTCCGCCGCCTTCTTAATCATGTTCAAACGGTTTTGTTGTCTTTTTTTTCTGTTCGACGTCGTCACCTTTTTTGCACTTTCTATACTTTTTTGAATGCTAAAAATGGCTTATTTTTGACCTGTTTTTGGCCACAACTGACGGATATAAATCGGGGATCTTAAGTTGTAATTAAGCATTCTAAAATGTCCATCCATTGGTTTTCACAATTTTTTTGTATAATTATATAGAGCAGCGAGGAGAGGATTAAAAAAGGATGTCATAAAGTTTTTGCGGTGGTTTTTCATTGCCGCCGTGACCTCCTGGAACGTTACGACAGAGCCACGGATAGTAGCATCAGTGGTCATTTTCCTTTTTTCTTTTTTCCTTCGCACCTTTTTGAAGATATTTCTATGTTCTGCTCAAAGGTTTCCATAGAAAACTTGGATTTCAGCGAGAGAAAGACCTTTTTTCAATTTGATTCAAACGCTCAAGTACTATTTTGAACCAACCATTAAAGATAGGAGAGTTTATTTAGATGATTCAAGACATCTAGAAAGTAAAACGCGTAAGTGGGATGAATCCGCTTATTATTAGAGGAGGTGTGGACTAGCAACATCTCTAATAAATAAAATACATACTGAAGCTTGGTTTCAATCCGAAAATCGTCTTCATTTTGGGAAAAGCGTTTACTTTACTGCTGAAAGATTCTGGAAGAAACGCTAATTTGTTGTGAGAATAGTTTTCAACGTAATGGAAAACGACAGACAGCGCTTGTGTTCCATTTTTTCTTTCCTGAGGCCTCAAAATTGTTATAGTTGAAGAGTGACCAGTGTGTAAACTCTTGATTTTCAGCCACTCGCACTTTTGCTCCTCAGGAAAGTACGAAAGTGCCAAGAGGCGTTTCGCCATTAATTTTAATTAGCTAATTTCCTCGAATCGTTCTGATCCAAGCGCATTCATCTCAATATGATTAATAAGTCATGTTATGGGTTCCGCGCTTTGGTTTATCATCGAGGTCGCTTCCGTTTTCGTTTTCTTCTTGTTTTTTTGCTTGTTGCCGTCGTTCAGAACTTGTTCGTCAACTTTTTTCCCACGTTCTACTATTAGCCTTGTCTATATTCCCTAGTGGATCTTCTGACCTTTTTTTTCTGGTTTTCGTGACGAAGATTTTTGAATTATGACTATCATGAGAAACGCTTGATTTTTATTTGCATCTTTGAGGTGGTTGCAGTGAGGTTTAAGCCTTTTTTTGGCTGGTTTAGGGGAAAAAGTGGATAAATTCTTGGTCTCGAATCCTTATAATATTTTTCGAAATTTCCAATTCAAAACGGCTGTTCTTTTAACTAGAATCCATATCATTGATGGATACCATTAATTTTGTTTTTTTTTAATTTTTAAATTTTCAAATATAGGTTCTGATGAGAATAGTGTTTTTGGTGAATTGTAAATTTGGTTTAAAATATTCATTCCGTATCGCTTCGAATATCCAGAAATAAAAATGGAGCACAGTAAACATTCATTAAATTATCAAAGCCAGGGGCTGAAAGTAGTGCAACTTTGAATTTCTTTGATAAAGCTCAAATTAAAATATTAATTTTCCTGCATTCGAATTTTTAATTTTCCCGTACGAATATAGTTCTTATGTGTTTTCATTTTCAGACCTTTTCTGCAACATTTTTTTAAAGATTTTTTTTTGACTGAACAGAGGTCCGTGCTTTAACCACAGGTCGGAAAAAAACTGAACGGCTGGCAGTTGAAGCCTGCCGATGTACTGAAGGAAAAATGGCAACATGAGCCTGAGGCTCCTAAAAACGAATGGGCGTCGAGCATGTGGGGCCGAGTCTGATGGGCTATACGACTTTGCCATCCATCAGTTGATCGGGGCCAAACGTGCCGTATCGTGTATCATTTCGCCACGTTTCTTGTCGTGTTCCTTTTTACTTGAAATAATCGTTTGAAATGCTCTCAAATTCACTTATTGCTCGCCCACAACGTAAAAAATAAACAAACACAAGTTACTGTAGAGATTTCTCAGCCTCTTTGTTTTGCACTTTATTTCTCTAATCGTTTAGAGATCTTTCCTGCGATATTTCACAGACGTTTTATGATTGGCGCTGACCAGGGATGAATGACATACTGTCAGGATCTCGATTTTTTTCTTCAATTTGAGTTTGAAAAAAACGGCTGGGTATGGAAAAACATTCATCTTTGATAATATATTCATTGGAAAGCCATACCTCTAAATTTGAAATTTTCAGTGTCTTTTTCCATATTCTCAAAAAAAGTTTTCAAAATATAATAGGAAGAGTTTTAGTTCATATTATTGAAATTTTCTTGTATTTTTGATTTCGAAGACGATGGAAACATCGTAGATCTTGAAAACACAGGGTATAGTTTTTCAAGAATGTAAAGATTTTTCTCTTGTTCTACAAAATCGGTGATATTATTTGACCTGATTTTTCCTAACATCAGCCAAGTTTTTCCCGATTCCGAGTCCTAGTATTTTGAATTTAATCCAATTAGAAAATAAATGCAGTTTTGCTCTAATGATAACTCTTGGAATCTAATCATAAATTTTTAACAGTCGAACCAGTTGGTCGCCATCAAAAACGAGCTCTTCTGTACTTTACCCTCGCAGAATACTCCTACCGTACCCGCTTCGTCGTTTTAGGCCTCAGTTTATGTCGACACTCTTGCCCCAAAAACAATTTTACACCTTGTCCGACGCAAACCACATGTGTAGTAACCAATTGCGCAAGCCTGAAATACAGGCGTAGACTTTTTTCTTCAACGCTGCGACCACAATCTCGCAAGTTTTTTGCGCGACACGTGCGCCAAATCGCGGTCGCAGCTGCGCGGAGAAGAACCATCTGGGGACGACGGAAACGCGTCAAAACTCGGTCTGCAACTCTTTTTTTATACTTTAATTGCCGCAGGTCTCGTGATCCTACGTGCTGGGCGACACGGTGTCGTAGTCGGACATTCCGACTCATCCACAGCTTTTTGTAGGCCTGGTTATGGTTTTAGTACTCTTGGCCGTGCCAGTTGGAGAAGAGCGATCGGAGTCTGATTTCCAGAAGGGACTGAAAAAAGTTGCGACTCGGACATTCGACAAGATTTTTCGTATCATCTGGTCCCATCCACGGCTGTTTGTATATTCCATAAGATTCTTGGTCGTGCCAGCTCAAATAAAGTTCGATTCAGAATAGAATGAAGTATATATGGAAAGACCGTATATGGTCCGCCAAAACTTCCTTCTATTGCTTATCTTCCTTCTATTACCTAAATATTTTTACTGATGGAGCCTGACTGACTTCTAGACTTGCTCATGCATTTCCAAAGTGTTCTCACAAGGTTATTTCTAGAAAATATTTAAGTTTGGATCAGTCCTGATAAGTAGTTTTTTAGAGTGCAAAAAAAATTTTTCTCATTCGAAATCAACAAGAAAAAGAGCTACCCGATTCAATAAGCATGAAAGATGTTCAACTTTTTTAATAATTCTTATTCCGGTAAGATCGTTCCAATTAGAATTTCTCGGCTGTTGTTATTCCATTCCTCATTTTTATGGGAAACTCATAGCGACAAGCATGTCCTTGTCGTTCTTCAAATTGAAGCAGAACGAGATTTTCCTCGACATTTTCACAACGTCGAAATTGGCCCCAAAGAGGGTCCATTGGCCCCATTTGCAGTCATTTTTGATGACGGATTGCTGAAATTTGTTCGATTCGTACAAAAATTGGCTGTTCCATCTATGAACGACCTTTTTCTTATTTTTTTCGAAAGTTAAATATTTAGCCTTTCTCATTTCTGAAACGTCAGAATGAAGCCAATTTTTTGATTTTTTTTGTTCCATTTATTATTGAAAAGTGCTATATCGAACTAATCCCTTTATTGCAGTGAAAACTTCAAGAAGAAAAAAAGCTTGGCGCGGAGCCAAAAAAGGGAAAAAGGCGATATGAGGGAAAAGTTGCGGTTGGCCAAAAGCTTACAAACATACAAATAGAGTGGGTCGGCCTCACAAACACGCGCGAGTATTGTGCGCATTGTGGACTCGCAGGCAACATGTCCATTTTTTTCCGCTTGCCGCCGCTTCAAATCGAAAGTTTGTTCGGTTCGTCACCTTTGGCCATGGAGCCTCCATACACGGTGGCTTGAACAGATTCCAAAGAGTTTCTGTGTTTTTTTGTCCTTTCCGCAAAGTGTCGCTGCTCTGTGGACGAAATTAGCCTCCGGGGTTCCTCAGTGTCTGCGTTTGCGTCTTTTCGAGCTCTCGAGCGGCAACTCCAAAAAAGTTCATCGACGAGAGCGTTGACCTTCTCTTTCGCAACAGATAAGTCCAAGAAAAACAGTCTGCGCACTTCCAAGATCTGTTTCACTATATCTTTGACTGCTCGAGCTAAATACCAATTTTTGAAGTTGTAGGTCCTTTTTAGACAAGGGCTCCTTGGATTCTTGAGGTCGCTCTGTCATTTTTACTTCCTAAGCCTTTTTATGACCTTATTGAAAAACTTTCATTCGCTGTTTTTTTTTTAGACTTTTTCTCTCTTCTACGCTTTGTTGACTCTGAAGTCGAAAGAAGCCGATGAAAGTTCTGAGAAAATAATGAAATAATGTGACTCACACCTTTCAAAGTTTTCATGAAATTTGATTTGATCTCTGAAACATTTTTTCCATTCCAAAGAAATTAAAACTTTTGAAAGTTTTTTAAAATCTTTGATGTTCTTGAATTGAAGGAACTATCTGTTTAGAGGTTTTTTTCAATGTTCCTATTCTCTTCATTTCAAAAGTATTCTGATCCTTGAACTAGTTGAGTTTTCTATTGACTTTTTTAGGAGGAGATGCCGTTTGAGAAAAGGTTCTTTGCACTGCGTTAGAAAGACCCCAGGCCTTTTTTCTCGAAAATTTTGACCGTCGGGTCCATCCAGAGCGTGCTTGCTCTCGGCCGCACTCAGCCGCGGCTCAGCGACTTATTTCGCTCCTTCTGGGGCTGCGAGGAATTTCTTCTGACCGTAGCACATGCTCGGCGAGGAACCGCCGCTCTTTTCCCTCTTCTCATTTATTTAAAGATACTTTGGGTGGCCTTGACGCAGCTTTTTCGTAAGGTGGAGTATCTTATAGCCTTATCTTTCCGAAAATAAATAGTTATTTTTTTAGCAGATTCTTGATTTCTTTTACTAGAAGGCTTTGTAGTAACAGTTTTTTTATTTTTATTTTTTTCTGTTTTTCTTGTCAATGAATTTGAGATTAACTTCTCAGATGTATTGGAAAGTTTTTTTCTCACATTTTTTTCTGGAAAAGGAAAAAGCCAAAATTGTTTTTTTCTAACCGTATTTTTGAAAATAGTTAATAAAAAAAGCTCCAAAAATTTTTTTCAAAGTTTTGCTGGAAAATGAAAATTTTGCCTATCAAACGAAAAATGTGTTTTTCAATTACAAGTAAAGTACTTTGTAAATTATAATTTTTTTCTTTGTAAAGTTTTTTTGTATTTTTTTGAAATTTTTTTCGTTTTTTTAAAACTTTCATTTTTTTCACCGATATCTTCGAGCTATCCACATTCGAGATCTTATATTTCATTGTTGAATCAGATCAATGTGTTCCGAGCGTGATTTTTTTTTTAGCAAACTGCATTTCAAAGTTTCTACCTTTCTATGAGTATGAAATTTCAAAAACTTGATGTTTTTTCAGCGTTTTTTTCGTTTACTTTTTTTAGACAAAAAACGGTAAACTATAATTGATGAGTCCATGTGAACATGGTGCTCTCCGGCCAATAAATAAGTGTAAGCAGCGGAACATGGGCTCCATGCGGAGCTCAAGCGGAGCACATGGGAGCTCCGGCGTCAGTTGTGCTTCGGGCGGATCGCCGGCAGGCAACTTCTCGCTTTTTGCTGGCCCCATCAATCGTTCAGCCGACCTCCTGTTGTAGCGTTCACTTCGGGGTTCACTCCCTCTTTTCCACTACTTTCTCCATGTCTCTGCACTTGTTATCAACAAGTGATCACTTGAGCGGAACGGCCAAGAGTCCACCCAAGCGGTGTCGAGTTCTGCCTTTGAAATATAAGACGTCGGGATGTCTTGACCCCTGTGTAGTTGTCTACACGATCTCTAGAAAACTTTAGTTCCTGGCGGGGAGACTGAAGTCCGTGTTTTCTGCTGAAGTTTGAAATTGATTTCTATATTGGTAAGTGGGGAATGTAAAAGAAATAGGGTATCGAAAAAATAGGGGCTCAACAAGAAAAACCACAATACAGGGCAATATGGTTTTTATTCTTTTTTTATCAGAAAATCTTTCCAAAAATTGCCTAAAGTTTTTGTCTTAATGGAAATAAAGACGGTCAAAAGTGACATTTCATTTTTTTTTTCTCAACATCTTTTATTTCAAAATGTTTATATCGATGTATATCGATTTTTCACTTCCTGAAGGGATCATTATAAATCTCGGTTCGATTCTTCATAGAGTTGAAAAAAGAAACTGAAAAGAAAAGTGAAACGGTAATGTCAGAAAAGTGGCTCGATGAGATGATAACGGCGTTTTCGCTTTTTATCTCTTTGTTTCGTGCTACCACAGAGAATCGTAGAAATTAAAAAAATAGAAAGCTTTTTTTCTCGATTCGTCTTACTGTAATTGATAAGATCTCTCCATCCATCATAGTTTTCGTTTTTTCGAATTTTCAATTCGTTGATTTTTTTTTTTTCAAAAATGATTTTAATTGTTTTCTTATTGAGTTTTAATGAATCAGATCTCGTTAATAATCTTGAATATATGTTCGACCTTTTAGAGTTTGCGATGTTCTCATATGGAAATGCTGAGATTTACAATAAAAAGGCAGTGAAAGGACGAAAAAAGATGGTAGGCGGGGCTTGGCGCAAAGCAAACGAGAGTAACTTGGTCTCTTTGGCCCCGCCCACATTATTTACCCCAAGCTTGTTTCGGTCGGCCGCTGTTGTTTTGTTTTTTTGTTTGTCCCTCTTTATCTTTTCCTCTTTTTTTCCTGCGATACCGGATCAACGGTAGCCGAAACGTCAAAATAGCCCATTATTTTTGTTGGCCATTCCAGGCGGTTTTAAGAAGCCCCGAGGCGACGAGAATTCCTTCTTTTTTCTCTGTTATTCTGACCGTTACAAAACATTTCCTACTATGTTTTGTATTGCCTTCTTCTGGCTTCATGGCCAATTTTCTCTTTTTCTCATTTTTCATACGTTTTCCACAATCATTTCAAAAATTTTGAAGAATTTTCAGCTATTTTTTTTGGTATCAATTTTATTTTTGTTGGTATTTTTTAACTGTTCTGAGTAGCTTTTTGAGTTTACGGGCCTAAAATTTTCCGAATTTTCCACACTTTTCCTTATCTGGTCGTCAGGCTTATCAGTAGCGTTTCGGCGCGAACTTTTTTTCGGCTTTTTAAATTTTCTCTCACCATTCGTATTTCACTGATTTCATGATAAGATTAATTACAGATTAATAATTTTCACAGCTGTTTTTTAAACTGAAATTTTTTGAAAGGCTATGTCCACTAGAAGATAAAAGTGTGAAAGTAATATTTATTTTTTTCATACGAAGGGCAACTTTCTCTGATTTTCACTGGAAGAACAATGCGAATTCTTTTCTTCGTATCGCTGCTTCTAGAGCCAAATTCTTCCCTATTTGTTTAGTAGCATCTTTTCGCCAAAACAACCGTTCGTCCCATTGTTCAAACCTATTTTTTTTGCTGAAAAAAAACTTCTCAAGTGTTCATTTGGGCTGCTTTACGTAAAACTCTTGTTTTTTGTCGTGGTCATTTTTTTAAAACTTGCCATCGCAAAATAAAAACAACGAGTTTTTTGTTACGTGTTCGAATATTTTCAACCGCCAAGTGTCTGCAGTGTCTAGCTCCTCAGCTTTTCATCTTCTGTTTTTTTTTCTTTATCAATGTATAGATGAAGATCTCTTTTTCTTGGGTAATTAGAAAGTCACGTTTCATACTAGAATTAACTTCGTTCCAGTGAGTTTTTTTAGAAAGTATTCGTTTAGCCTAAAAAAGCAAAAACTTCAGTAAAGATTGATGTCAACTCCGATTGCTAATTTCACAGCAAACCCCGGAAAAAAGCGAAAAATTTCATTTTATTTCACGCAGTTAGTCAATTTTCGAAGATCTGTCAGAGTATAAAGTGCCTTTTTATGTTGTTGTTGTTAGTGTGTTTCATTTTTGACTGAACCGATCAAACTCGATTGAGAAGCAAGCGGGAAACTGGTTCCAATGAGATTAAAATGTTGTCTTGTGGCCGACGGGGTCTCCTAGTAGTTGGTTGTGGACTCCTCCGCAGAACCTCCCTCGCTTTGCTCCGCCTACTTTTCACCAGGATCCGAGGTCGCGATTGATGTACCATCAGTCCTGAGCTTTTCCTTCCGTGTAATCATTTCATCGATTCTTTTTCATTGGGTTCGAAACGGAAAATATTTGAGGTTTTCGCAAAGAAATGATACGAACTGACATTTTCCAAGATTTTTTTCAAGCTGAATTGAAGAGTAAAAATAACTCGAATTTCTAAGGAAACAGGCTCATTTTATTTTTAGAAGTATTACGAGATAATACTGGCATTCTTTTCACGATTCCCCGACTTACAACTTTTCCCCAAAATTTTCAAGATTCTAAATAGATCTACCACCTAGATAAAATTTTTCTAGGTGTTTACCGATAAGAAATTTCAAAGTTTCGTCTCTAAAGTGGTATAGATAACTTTCCATACTTCTTTTTAGAGGTCTACACTTTTGGCTTGTGAACGATCTTAAGTTAAGAGAAAGAATAGAATCCTTTTGCGGCTAAAATTGGGGGTATTTTTGAAAAATTTAGGAATTTATAAGAGTTCAGTAGAGTTCAGTATAGCCAAGAAATTTTTTGGGATTTTCTAAACAAGAAAAATTGACTTATTTTGATTCCCTCATTCTTTTTAGAACATTTTCTGATCACGCATCGATTGATCATTTGTGTTTGTTATTATTATTATTATTTTTTTGAAAAATGTTTTTTGACAGATTAAAGAAGGTATTTTTACTCGTAATTTAGATTTTCATAAAAATTGACCACCCTGAAGGTTTTAAACGTGGAACCGAAACGATTTAGAGCTTTTTACCCACATGCTAGAGACAAGTGGAAAGGTTGAACTTCAAGTCTTTCATCGCAAGTACGATACTTTTTCTATTTTTGTCTAAGCGAACTTTTTTGATACGAGATCGCGTCGTGTCGGTATTAGGACGGTGGGAACGGTTGAAGGGGTCCGAAGGCCAGATTCCTGACTCTTGGACCTATCTTTCCCATGTACTAGTGGCACGGAGAGTACAAGAGCCGAGGGCTCGAGAGAGCCGCCAACGGTTTCCTTTGCTGTGTTCTACGCAACTGCCGATTTGTTTGAATGCGCGCGCTTACGTCGGTTGCCAACTGCGAGTTTGTGTGTTGTCCGCGGCCATCTTCAACATTTCGTGTCGTCCCGCCACTCGTAATCTTTTTTTTATTTTTGTGTTGTATTTTTTGGTCTTGTTGATTCTTTTCTCTTCATTCCGGTGGCTAGGCCGTGTGGAAAATCCAAATTTTTTATTTATTTTCACCTATTCAAGGAACAAGGAAATAAAGGACATATGGTCACTCTGTTTGGAGCTTGTATTAATAAAGGCTTGTTTTGCGTTTAAAATTTGAATATATGGCGATTTTGCAACATTTTTAACAGAAATCTTGTCTTCTGGTGCGATCATTTTTGATTTCCTAACAGCTTAGCCACCGTATCCTTTTCTTCCAAATGCTTTTAATTTTTTTCAAGTTTTTCTTGTAATGGAGGCGGGTGCAGAGAAAGGATTGGTAGGAGTTTTTTGTATGATTGGGTCGGTGTTTCTTTGAATAGAAGGCAAAAGGTAAATGGCTCTACCAAAAAGATAAGCTCAATATTACAGTGTAGACTTGGAAAAGAAGATTTTCTCGGGTACCTGTGAAATCAGAGACCGACCGTCCAGGGTCAATGGCTCTCAAGTACCTTGGCCCCGTTAATTTGCATTTTTGGCTGCTCCTCTTACTTCCTGTCGAACCACTCAGAAGAGAGTTTCAAGCAGGATCCATGCAAGCAGATCCAGATGCTTCAATTAGTCTTTTCTATTTCTCCGCATTTTTTTTTGTTCCGTCGGCATCTCGCTGTTTTCGTTTTTTTTTGCCAAATTAGATGAGTCTAAGCAACATTTTTTGCAGGGATTTCTCCATGAACATCCGCTGCAATATAGACATTTCGTGATTGTTTTCGGCATATTTCCTCGGCCATTTCTTCAGAGGAACTTCCACCAACACCCCTTCATCTACTGCTTTTTAGCCTCCTCGCAGAAAGAAAAAATATCGTCTAGATTGTTTCATGTGGGTTTTTTTTCTGAAGGTGTTTTCTAGAAAAATCGAAGCTTGTTTTCAAATTTGAATTTCGAATAGAAAATTTGAATTTTTTAGTGGGGAAATATTTGAAGACTTGAAGGGAAAAACAATATATACCGGATTCTCAAAGATGAGTGATTTTCATTTCTAGGCTATGAGAAAAGACTAGTTGGATTCAATCTCCTTGTTTTTTTCCGGCTGATAATTTTTGATTGTCTTTATTTATCGTTCCCATGTGTTTTTAGTCGTGATGAGCTTGTAAGAAATCGGAAGATTTTTTATTTTATTTTATACTTTTTTCATGCTCGAATTTTTATCGTTTTCCTAATTTCAGAACGTCGCTTGAAGCAACGACGCCTCTCCTCAGACAGACCGTCGAATATTTTCGCGGTGTGGCCGCCTCCGAGAGCCACGACGAGAGCTGGCCATTCAGCCACGTAGCCCCGTCGTTCGCAGAAGCCGTGGTTGCGTCGTGCGGTGCGAACGTCGCCTCGACGTCGCCGCACCGGTGCTGCCGCCGTCCTGAAGAGTGGTTATGCGCACTCGCGTCGTCGCAAGTCCAAAGACCGCTGCCGCCGCTCCAGCCGTCCTAGCGTCACTCGGAGCCGTCGTCGCACTTCTTCTCCTCGCCGTCCCTTTCAGTCATGTCATTTCCCGCTCCGGTAGCGTCGATGAAGTCGTCGTCACGGCGTCCGCAGGCGACGCTCAGCTGCTGCCTCCCAGGACCAAGTACTCAGGTTCGTAGATCTCTGCTTTTTCTTCTTCTTTCCAGTTTTCCATTTTGGCTATTCCTTGATTTCTTTCATCAAGTTCTTTAACTTTCCAAAGAATTCTGGAAAAGAAAGTGTTGAAACAGTTGAGAAAGGCTCATCAAAATCTATCAGAGCAGCGTGCAGCTTTTTTCATATGAAAAATGGACTTTTGCCGTTTTTTTTTTCGCGTCTGCCTCCTAAATTAGCAGACATCAATCAAGCGAATGAGGGCGTGCGAAAATCAGAGGCCCTCGATTTTTTTCTTTCAATCGTTCACTTGTGGCTTTCGATTTTGTTGTAACAATCGAGTTGATTTGAAAGGAATAATGAATTTTTGAAAGTTCTGAAATTTTTTATTTCTTTTCGATTTTTGTGTATACACTCTACACCAGAAATTTGATGGAAAAGAGAAAAAATAATTCTACAACAAAGGATTTATTGTTCATTTTTTGTCTTTAACCTGGATAAGCTCGGAAATGTTGTTTGCATCCGATTGGCGGAGCTGGAATCGAAGATCTCAGGGGCTCAGTTTCGGAGGAACACAAGTTGACCACCTGCGGACGAGAGTCGTAGGTCAAAGACAAATACGGACTGCGCACTGTTTTTTGTTTGTACATTTTTGATGCAAACAAAAAAAAGAGCTCAGCAGCCAACCACCCACCTACTGCGCTTCTTTTCATTATTTCCCAAGGGCTTTCTGAGGTTCAAAGTGGATTCCAACCGGCGACGATTTTTGATGGGAGTCGAGGGAGCCAAAGACCTTCTTTTTTTGCTTACAAAAAAAAAGATTGAGCCACTGTTTTTGCTAGCCCCTCGAGATCCAAGTAGCCAAGTTCAAACTAACTTTGTCGGTTTCTACAAGTTAGTCAAGTGCGAGTGTTCTTCAGGATCGCCGAAAACTTGTTAGATAGAAAAAGGTTATATGAAAAAAATAACCCAAAAATTGAGCCTTGCAGAAATTTTTCATTGGCTCATATTTTGTTGGAAATTCCAGTTATTCCATCACTTTTTTAAAAATTTATTCTAAAACATTGAAGCGTGATACAAATAATGTCCTCCCGTTGTTAATAAAGAATGGCTTCACGATTTTTGAGTTTCGTTTCGTTGGGTGAATCTAGTTAGTTCTTATTTTTTGGAAGTTCAAAACATAAAAGATGTAGTTCAACCGTTTTTCGATCGTTTACTAAGTTCAAGGCCTTTCCAAGCTGTAAACCAAATACTTTAGCAGTGGTAAAAGGGGGCTTAAACACGGTTTTCTGCGAGAGACAGCCAGGCGCCGAAGCCATGGCTTTCGTGGTCAGACATCGCTTCGCCGAAACATCGCAACAATTTTTGAAGATTGAGAAGAAATTCGGGGTGTTTCAGATTTGAAAATGGTTAGATTTATGAAAAAAAAATAAGAAAACTTTTTTTGGCAGCATGTCTTTGTTGTGTTAGGAAAAGCGGCAGGGCTTCTTAACTTTTTAATCATCTTTTCAATTAATGGGTGTTTCAGGAGTGCAAATCACTGACAATGCCCAGCTGTTCACGGTCGACCGGCACTTCGTTCGCCGAAGACGGAAACGCTCCGCAGCCGCCGATACGGAGCCGCTGCGTTCGCGTACGCGACTGCGAGGAATCGCCCGCGACTGCGGTCACGCCTGCCACCTGCGGCTGCGATCCCACGACAGCGTCTACGTCGTCCACCTGCACCGTTGGAGCCAGATCCCAGCTCCTCACAACAAGTGAGCAGCGATAAATGTTCCTAGAATGAGGAAATTCGCTTCAGAAGCCTGCCAGCCATGCCGAACTCGGCATACGCCCCGCTGGTGCTCTACTTGGACGCGGAAGACACGGTCAACGGTCGGATGTCGCGAGCCTCCGCCGACTGCATCTACCGGGCTCGCGTCGTCGGCGTTCACGAGCACAGCATCGTCAATCTCTGCGACTCCGACGATGGACTGGTCAGTCAATTCTGCTCTACATTAATGCTTTGAAACTTGAGGAAATTCTGTAGGAAACCACAGTTCTGAGTGATGCGTGTGTAGTGGGAAAGCATTAAAAAATGATTTGATTATTTTTGTTGATGCCGTCTCTAGAGATTTTGAAATACGAGAAAATTGGTTTTAAATCGAAGTTCTAAGTGATGCGTGGGCAGTGCGAAAGTGACGCAAAATGATTTGGTTATTCCTGATGGCCGCATATGAATGTGCTTCTAGTGATTCAGACATTTCGAGACAAATAAATCAACAAACTGAAGAAAAAGAAAAATTTGAAAGTGAAAATTCTTTATGTTAAGCTTTCAGAAAAGCTCTTTCGAAAAACCTAGACAAATTTTTGAGTTTGTAAACCCGAGTCCTAATGTCTTTTTTTCATTGAGATTGCGAACTTACTCATTTTTCTCATCAATTGCCTAATTTTAGTGTTTTTCAAAAGATTGGAGATTTCAGAATTGATAGAGTTCAAGTTTTGGTTGATTGATAGACATCCTTTTAAGATTTTCGTAACATTTCTCCAGCGGTCTTTTTCTTGATGGAAACTATTGTTCTCTTGCAATATTTACTGTTTACAAGAGAAGAAGAGATAGAGAGCCGCCAGATCAAATAGAAGTCGACAGTCTTCAAAAAGTATCTGTTGATATGATTGGGGAAAAGAAACACAAGGGCGAGAAGCTGTTCGTTGTAGATCATCCATCAATTTCCTTCTGGACATTTCTTACACTTTCCTGCGGGCAAATCCACGCCAATCCGTTTTTTTTGTGTGTTGTGTTGAGTATATATATTCTCTTTTGAAGGTGATTGATAGGTGGGGGAGGTGACGTTTGCATATGATTCTTAATAAAGTCCGACGAAGCTTCTGATCGACTAAAGAATCCTGAAAAAAGTATAGCTGACCTCTTAGAAGTTCTTTCACCGGAAACTGAGATTGGAAACACATTTTCCCGCAAGGAATGACGTTCAAGAACGAGATGGTTTGCAACATTTGATCCTATTTCTGCTCTGGAAGATTTCACATGTGTTTTTTGGACAATCTCCGATGTTCAAGCTAAAAACAAAGTATAATCATCAGATACCTTGAGCAAAAAGGTCGAAAGTTTGAATCTTGAAACCGTTTTTCAGTTCAGATTTGCTCCTTAATCTCACTCAAGCAGTTTCAGAAAATTAAAAAAAGTATTTTTCAAGATAAAAATGTTTCAGATGGTAAAAGAAGTAAGAGAAGCTCGTTTCAAAGCTTCTCTGATCTGTTGAAGATATAGAAAATCATGATAAGAAGCTGTCATTGGGTTTCGGGATTGAGACCATAACTATGTTTTCTCGACGAAACAATTTTAACACTATTTAGGTCTCCGTAGCTTCGATGCCAACATTTTGAGCGTTTAGACAATGTTAAGAGATTTGAAACGAACGACAAATGGCAGATCTAGGGAAAGTGGCTCTTCAGCTGAAGACGTCGCGTGTACAAACAGCCTCCATCATAATTATCGTCATCAAACACTAGAAACAGCGAATAAACAGTTATCTCGCGAGCCCCTGAGCGGCGAGTAAAAACTGTTTGACCGACGTCGTGTCTGTGTTTGCAGACGAGTTTTATTGCGCTGCTGGATTAAAACTCGGAAAAAAGAAAAATCGCGAAAGCTCCCGAATTTCATTCCCACGCATCACGAACCCAAGGGTGTTGATAAGCTCTCGAAAAATAAATGATGACAAAATTGCGTCATCAGAAGTGACGTTGACTTTTTTGCAGTACGGTTTGCTCGCCCTCAAGGAAGGAGTACACACGGTGGAACCCATCCAACAGTCATCATCCGCAGGTTTGTAACTGGCGCCCTTGGTTTGAGATAGAACAGGAATGAATGTGCCAATGAAGTCCTTATGAGTACTTTTTGGTTTGAAAAGAAAACCGCAAAAATAGCTACAAAATACCAAAGAAGCTGTCAAAATGTCCTGAAAAGGAGAGAGTGGTCTTTTTTTTTGAATTTATCGAGAACCCAATAAATCGGGGAAGTTTTTCGAAATATTACGTTGTGACAATGTGTTCTGAAGCGTTATCAGAAAGTTTTTTTATACCTTTAAATGGAAATTTTCTCATTTTCTCGCTTTATTTTTGAACTCTCCTCTGTAACTTTTCATCTCTAACCATTTTCATGACCAAAACTGTCCAATTTAGGCATGTAGGACGTGAAATCTTTTTTATCATCAAGAATATCAGTAATTCAGACGAGGAGGCATTGGCGAGCGACAGTAGAAGGGTCCATCACGCCGTCCGGCCTTTCGAAACCCACCATTTCCGCGCCTTCGACCACACCAACGCCACCGCCGAACAAGTCGAAGAGCCTGAATCCTACGCCAACGCTACCTGGGAGGACATCAATGGTCAGTTCGATTCCGAATAGTCTTAATAGCAGTTCGAAGCTTCATCTTTGTCTCAAACTAGAATTACTGGCCCTGAATGAGTCTGATTTGAGTTTTTTTTTTCCTCCCAGAGTATGACGAAATAAGGTTCACACTAGTTGAATTGTCATCTTCGGCAACGTTTCTGACTCATTTTGCACGAGTAACACCAGTACGATTCAACACACAAAAACAATGGACAATGCGATGCTGACAGTGTGCACGGACCGCCGTCGTGAGCCGCCGTTTTTGCTCCGAGTTGACCTCAGTGCGTAGTGTGTGAGAGTGGCGGGGAGTGAGTCGGGTTTTGTGAGTGTATGTGTGTGATGGAAAAGTCCCGAAAACGGTTTGCCGTTTAGCAGGAAAGCCTCCTCGAGTGGGCTCCAGCCGAGGAAATAGCGTGCGACATTCCGACCTTCTTCTCGTTTTTCTCCGTCTTCTTCTTCTCCTTCTTCTCCTCCGGCTTCACCGCCGTCGGGCTCGAGAAGTTGCAATGTTGGCAAACAGTGCGAGTACGCGTTGTTGTGCGCTTCCGTCACAAAGGGCAAACCGAACGGCGATCGGCATGGTCGCGTGGATCTTGCTTCCAAGCAACATTCCTTGATTTTCGAGGATTTTTGGGCTAAATGAAGTGAATGAAAAAGAAATGGAGAAAAGGTTGAAAAAGGCAGTCGGAGTTATTCATTCCGTATCACTAGGTCTGTCAGTTCAAATTTTTTGGGGAGATGTTTTTGAAATTTCGACTTACCGGCTTTGTTTTCATGTGATCACTTGACAGTTTTTCATCTTTTTTTTGTGTCTTTTTGATTCTTGGATATAAATTATTATAGAACCTCTGATATGGAAAATCTAGGAGAGCGAATTAGTTTTTATGAAGAGAAAAATAGTTCAAGAGCTATATCCAATTAAAAAACTTGCCATTTTTTAATTTTAATTTCTGTTAGTCTACGTATACTTTTCTCCAGAAGTTTCATTCAAATGAGTTCCTATGTTTTCTACATTTTTCCTTCTCACAAAAACAGATAGAACTTTTCTTACACAAACAGTATCTATCAAACTGTTTCCCTTTGACATTTGCCAAATGCGGCGTGCGAAGTTTTAACGGTGGCCTTCCATTAGCCGCCCCACTGACGATGATTCAAGTGCGGTCAGCGGAAGTCGTCCTCCCACCATCAACTTCGAATCTCCAAATCGGGTCCCGGTCCGAAGTTCTGTAGAGGGATCTGTACATTTCCAACTTTCACTCGCAAAAAATGGATGAGTTCCAAGAAAATTCGAGAAGTTTTACAGTGTTGGCGATCATATTGATAAGGAATATCCGGAATCTATATAAAATGATCTAGTATCGGTCGGAATATAATAATTCAGGAAGCATCAAAGGACTCTATTCTAGTTGTGAAGTTTGGTGAACAGGAATTGGATTTCTTGAAGCAATTTACTGTTTTCAATCTCTCACACGTTTTTTTCAATCTCTCACACGTTTTTTTCAATCTCTCACACGTTTACTATTCCTGAGCGTTTATTTTCATCATTTTTTTAAAAATATTTCCCATAATTTCTATCAAAAAGTTGGATTGGTTCATTTCCAGAATATATTTCCTGTCTGAGGAACAACTGGGAAGACCGTAAATTAAGATGAAGCCGAAAAAAAGTGTTGTTCGCCGTAATGTCGGCTATTGAGCCGCGCACGAGTTGTGATTTATTCTTTGCGCGAAAATTCCAGTTGGATCCTCATTTTTTCGTTCCATCTATAAAACCAAAAGAGTCGAAGGGATTGAAAAACAGAAAAATATCATGGACATTTTCAGATCGAAAAGCACGATCACGACGATCGGCCAACTCTTGGGATCATTATGTTGAGGTGAAAAATCCAAGAAAGAAATTTTTTCAAAGAAGATATGGTTCTAGGTTCTCGTGGTGGCTGACACGAAGATGTACGAGTATCACGGGCATTCTCTCGAGGACTACATCCTCACACTCTTCTCCACTGTAAGACTTTCCTCCTGAAAACATTTTTTAGCTCCTACTAAAAAGTGATTTTCGAGACTCTGTCAAAAATATAAAAATTAAAATCAGCTCAGATAAAGTTTTTGCGCTTAATATTGACGGAAAATATGCTCCATACCGAACTGTCAAGACTATGTCCATTTTCAAGTATAATTTTTTAAAATTCTATTTTGTGTCCGCTGTGTTCGTTTTTTTAAAGGAGATTTTTTATGCCGTAACTTGAAAAAAAATTTAGTTTTTTGGACCATCTTAAATTTGCTTTGTAGGGAATTTCAAGAATAACCGGGTTTTGCAGTCTAGTTTTTTAGAATTACCACAGCAAAGAAAATTGAGCGAGTCTGTAGATTTTCAACTAGAAAAACTTTTTTTAAGCTGATTTCTTTGAGGTTTCTTTCTCTTGTACTCGATTTCGTATAAAAATATCTTTTCAACACTGAAATTTGAAATTATTTATTTTATCTGAGTCTTTCAGGTTGCTTCTATCTACCGCCATCAGTCGTTGCGCGCCTCCATTAATGTTGTCGTCGTAAAAATCATCATTCTCAAGCATGAAAATGTCCGAGAATCGCTTCAGTCGTTCACGAAATAGAGTGTTCAGGCGGGTCCCAGAATCACCAACAACGCGCAGTCGACGCTCCAGGAGTTCTGTCGATGGCAGCAGCTGTACAACGATCCCGACGACGACAGCGTCCAGCATCACGACGTCGCCATCCTTCTCACGCGTGGAGACATTTGCAGGTATGAATTGAAATTCGTTATGAGTATTTTCGATAGAAAAATTTTAGAAAGTTACTGACAACTTTATTTGCGAAGGGTTTTGCGATAAAATATTTCGATTTTTTCTTTTTGGCAGTGGATTAGTACTATTAATCATGGACTTCCGGGTGTTCTTCTCACTGAAAGAAGTATACCAAGCTCTTTTTTGTTTCTTCTATCCGTAAATCGACCAGAAACGAGATAATCATCGAAGAAAATTAAAGAAAGTCATGATTGTCAGTGAAATTTCCTGTTAAAATCATGAAAAAATAGATCCGCCGGCAAATGCGACACCCTGGGACTTGCCGAACTCGGAACCATGTGCGATACTCAGAAAAGCTGTGCCATCATTGAAGACAACGGCCTCAGCGCTGGATTTACCATTGCCCACGAGCTCGGACATGTGTAAGTTTCAATCTAAAATAAAAAGCTCGAATTTTGAAATCGAAAAGAAATTTTTTTAAATTTCAGCTTTTCTATCCCCCATGACGACGAACGCAAGTGTGGCCAGTACATGCAGCTCAACAAGGTTATAAAATTTTTAACTGATGGGGAAGTTCTAGAATGAACGAAAAAATCAATGAGGGCAAAAAATGTAGCTAGATAAACGCGCCTTTTGTCTTGGATTATGTACAGATTTGAAGACGATTTTTTTATGCTTTTAATTTTTCGCAGTTTCAATTTCTTTGTTATATTTCGTTCAATGATAGTAGTAGCTGGATTTTTGCAAATTCTCTTTATTAAATAGGTTTCAATTCAATTCAAACACCAGATTCGATGTTTCAGATGAACTACCACATCATGGCGCCAACTCTGGAGTACAACACCCATCCTTGGAGTTGGTCGCAGTGTTCGGCGAACATGCTGGAGCGCTTCTTGGAGTTGGTCGGAGAGTCTGCGGCTGAGGAGAAAGATATTTTCAGCAACCACCGTGGCCAGATCCAGTGTCTTTTCGACCAGCCCGTGGAGCGGCGTTACTACGACGAGATGTTCGGAAAGCAAGACGCTCCAGGCCGGAAGTACGACGTCCACCAACAATGTCGATTCGTCTTCGGTCCTCATGCTACCGTCTGCCCTTACATGGTGACTTTTTTTGAAGAGCGCGGAGCTTAAAGAGAACGAAACATGTATATAAAAGTTACCAATAGCTATGTCTGTCGTTTCCTAATAGATTTATTCACAAGAAACTGCTTTTTTTTTACCTCAAGGGCTTTTCTTTATTTTTTAACTAACCTATCTCTCTCTTTCTTTTTATAGTGGGTATTCATTTTTCACACAATTTTCACAATTTTCTTTTTACAGTCGTAATCCTTTTTCTCAAAATAGTTACGATAAGTTGAGAAAACTTGATTAATGAGCGAGGCTCCTTCAGCCAACATGTCGACGTCTTTGGTGCAGCACGATTCTCGGAACCACGATGGGATGTCGAACCCAGCACATGCCATGGGCCGACGGAACTGTCTGCGACGAGTCCAGGAACATGGTAGACAGAGAATTCCCCCAGAAGATCCGAACCCATCCGTTTTGAGTTCTGCCATCGTGGTCACTGCGTCAACACGGCTCCAGAACAGAGGCCGAAGACCGATGGACAGTGGGGAGACTGGCGACCGTGGGGTGACTGCAGCAGAACGTGCGGCGGCGGCGTCCAGAAGGCTCTCCGTGATTGCGACAAGCCTAGGTAAGCCGTTCAGAAAGTTTGAGATTTTTAAAAAAAGTTGCGAGTTTATTCTGAAATTTTTCACATTACGTTCTTATTCCTCTTTGCTTCAGAAATTGGAACTCAATCAGGATTCCATGAAAATCTCCCGTTTCACGGCTTTAAACTCATAGAAAATCTTCTCACCCATTGAAAAAATGAGCATTCGAAAATTTGCTTCAAAAATACGAAAATAGGACCAACGTGACGAGATCTGCCTGAATTATTTTCTAGTTTGACTTTGTTCTCTGGAACGAATAAATCTCAAAACTCTTTGGAAAAATGAAGACGTTCAGACCGGAGAACGGAGGAAAGTACTGTGTTGGTCAACGGGAGCGCTACCGGTCTTGTAACACGCAGGAGTGTCCTTGGGACACGCCTGGCTTCCGAGAAGTCCAGTGCTCCGAGTTCAACAACAAGGTAGCATTCAGTCTACGGCTCCGACCTTCATTCTTCGTCTCCTTCAGGACATTGGCATCCACGGAGTGCCGACTCAGAACACCCAATGGCTTCCGAAGTACGCTGGCGTCGCCGAGAACGAACGTTGCAAGTTGTATTGCCGTGTTTCTGGATCCGCCGGATACTATCTGCTCAAGGAAAAGGTAAGACCGAAGAAAAAAGGACTGTCAGTTTCTCCTGACTCTGGGTTTATCAGCCGTGCTAACACGGATCTTGTAGGATGTACCCGCCCAATTAAAACTTTTTGCTTTTTTTTTCCACCGCAGCTGAGGCGCCGTTTTGGCACAGCTGGGTCTCACATTTTCGAAATAAACACAGCTGTGTCACCTATTTCTCCTTGCGCAAGTTTTTTTCATGTTTAGACACAACTGAGACCCAAATAGCCTTTAAAAAACACAGGGTATCGCGACACCTGGCCAGCAGGACATCTTGTTGCGTAATAATTTTTAGACTTGTTGTTCCATCGCAATCTTGGAATGAAAGTTGAAAAAAGAGTTTTCTCATTCTTCATTCGAATATTCTCTCATGAAGGATTTCAAAGACTTATAAAAAACATCGGGCAATTATTGAAAGAAGATAAAAAAAAACTCAAAAAAGGCTCGCTTTTAATCCCAAGCCCAAATTCGCAACGGCAACATTGAATTTTAATGCTTTTTCAAGTTTTCAAAGTCAACCAGCTCTGTCTCCGGGATTACAGTACCTTTTCCCGTCAATTTTTTATTTACTTCTTATGATCTTCTTTGACCTAACAGCTTGGAAAAAAAAATTCAAAAATTCAGCCCTATTAAAGGATCATTGTCACGCGCGAAAAAATTGATGCGAATTGTTAGCTGCTCGACTTTTAAAAATCTGAACAAACTATTGAATTTGAATTCGTTCTGAAGGTCGTTGACGGAACTCCATGCGACCGGAACGGCGACGACATCTGCGTGGACGGGACCTGCATGGCCGCCGGCTGCGACCATCATCTCCAGTCGGCCATCAGACGCGACAAGTGCGGCGTCTGCGGCGGCGACGACACCGGGCTGTCGGATCGTCAAGGGGACCTTCAACGAGCGCGGCACGTTCGGCTACAACGAAGTGATGAAGATCCCGGCCGGATCCGCCAACATCGACATCCGTCAGCACGGCTTCCACAACAAGAAGGACGACGACAACTACCTATGTAAGAAGAATTCTCCGATTTTCATCACAAAGAAAAATTATAGCTCTGCGATCTTCCAATGGAGAGTTTCTGCTGAACGGTCACTATCAAGTGTCGATGTACCGTCAACAGATCCCCATCCAAGACGTCGTGTTGGAATATTCTGGAAGTGACCACGCCATCGAGCGCATCAACGGCACGGGCCCCATCAGGTAAAATATGATGTTTTTTCCAGTGAATTTCTTTCATAGAAAAATTTATTTTTCATAAAATCACATTTAAAAACTAAACTGGAAATGTGAAAGATTCCGTTATCTAACCTTTGACCTCATACTTTTCAAGATTTTATTTTCAAAAAAATTAAGCTTATGAAATTTTCTCAATGAACTGGTGTCTTTTAGATAATTTATTTGAACGAAAATAATATCTTGGGTAATAAAAGAGCTATTTCGAACATTTTTGTGCGATTTCTGATCACTATTTCATGTTCTTCTGAAACACGAAAGAATTATTGCAGGAATGACATCTACGTGCACGTGCTGACGATCGGCAACAACCCTCCGGACATCAGCTACGAGTACATGATGTCCGTCGAGTCCCCTACCGTCTCCTACGCCTCACTCGCCCGAGCGCCCAACCCAAGCGCGTACTACTGGCGCCTCAGCGACGCCTGGAACGAGTGCGACCGAGTTTGCCAAGGTTCGGCTCCCGAAAATCGATTCTTGGCGTCGCTGATCAGAAACGTAGAACCTTCCGGCTTTTTGAGATATCATTAGCTCTGTGTTCAATGAATCAGCAGCTTCTCCGGAATTCTCCCAATACCTGAATTGATTTGCAGGTCGGCAGACGCAACAGCTCATTTGCATGGACGCTTCGACGAATCGCCAAACCAACGACCGAAATTGTCGCTCGCGAAGGCCCACGCAGCCCAGTCGCATGTGTAACATCGAGTGCACCACTAAGTAGGATCGTCCTTCTCGATCTCTTTGATCTGAACCTTTTGAGATGGTCGACGGAAGACACGACGAGCTGCTCGGCGAGATGTGGCTCCGGACAGAAACGGCAAAGAGTCGGATGCGTCAAGGTCGAAGGCGACAGGCAGATCCCCACCCTGGAGTCTAACTGCGACCGCGCTAGGTTTGACTATTTGTCGAGTCGAATCTATCTGGTTTAGGCGCAGGCTTGGCCTGCGCGCTATTTAGGGACAGGATTTATTCTAGATAAAGGCTCTCTGAGGTTTAAAAAGTGAGTGAAATAAGGAATCCCGCTCTCTTTTTGTGTTGAAAAAGTTCTCACAAAGTTCTAGTCGAAAAGTATTATCTATACATATGGAAGTTGCTTCTTCCAGCCGTCCATCTGATGTCGCTGCGTGCTACGTGGACTGTTCTGGACGTCGTTGGACCTACGGAGAATGGTCGAGTTGCTCGGAGACGTGCGGCACTTCGGGAGTCCAGCGGAGGAACGCCTACTGCACCGAAGGCAACGCTCATCATCGCGTGATCGAGGAGTCGCTCTGCGACCGAGAAACGCGCGAAGTGATCGAACGCGACTGCGGCCGAGTCCCTTGTCCACGCTGGGTCTACGGTCACTGGTCTGAGGTTTGGGCGTCTGACCCAAGAAAGTGGTGGTGGCGGAATTTCATGGAGCTCTGTTTCGGACGGTCTGATTCTGAAATCATCAAATAAAAGCGCTTGTTTAAAAGTACCTTTGCACAAAGTTCCATAGATGTCTGATACTACCACCTTCTAAAGTTCCCGAAAGAGTTTTTCCAGTTTCAATCTGAAAGTTGCAGTGTTCGCGATCCTGCGACGGCGGCGTGAGGATGCGGCACGCGCAGTGTCTCGACGCGGCCGACCGGGAGACTCATCACAACCTTTGCGGTCCGAAACACACCCACGAGGCTTGCAACGAGCATGTCTGCACGTGGTGGTCGTTCGGCACCTGGTCTGACTGTTCTGTGAGCTGCGGCGAGGGAATCCAACACCGCGCCGCGAACTGCACAGACCGGCAGTCGAGTCGTCTTCCTGAAAGTCAGTTCGAGACTTTCAACTTTTCAACGAGCTTTTATTTCTTAAAAATAAAAATTTCAGAATAGGGACATTATGATTTCTTAATAATCACTCTGAATACCGTAACAAACTTCAGCTCGCTGCAACAAGCTGGAGAAAATCGTCACGAAGGCCTGTCAACGAATTAATTGTCCGTCCTGGAAGCTTGGCGAATGGTCTCAGTGCAGCGTAAGTGTGGAGGCGTTGTATCTGATCAGAATTTCCCTCAGGTGACCTGCGACGACGGTTGGTCTCTCCGAAGGGTCTCTTGTGTCGACGGCGCAGGTCGCGACGTCGAACTCTCCAAATGCGGACCCACAAACGAGCGTCCTGCCAGCCACAAGACTTGCAACCTCGGCTCGTGTCCCTTCTGGAGGACCACCGACTGGGGACCTGTTCGTTTTTCTTTTTTGACAGACCAAAGCACGACTATAACTTTTTTTCACTGCTTGTTCCGCCAGTGTTTCTCAAAGGTATGTATTTCAAGAGACCGTTGGAGACTTTTCAGTGCTCGGTGACGTGTGGAAACGGAATGAGAGAGCGGACAAGCGAGTGTCTCTACCGCGAGCAGATCGTCGACTCGTCTTTCTGCGGCGATGCCAAGATCCCCGACAGAACTCAGCAGTGCAACCTGATGCCGTGCACGAGTTGGGAGACGTCGTCGTGGTCGCCGTGTTCAGTGACCTGTGGCACTGGAGAACAGTCCAGAACCGTCCACTGTGTTCGCGGCAACGAGAAAGCCATGGTTGAAGACTACTACTGTGACAGGGTTTTGTTTTTAATTTTAAAGTTTTTGAAAGGTCATAATAAGTTTTCTATAATAGTTTTGAATGACATGGTTAGAAAAAAGCGATTTCAGAAGTTTCATCTGAACTCCATAAAATCCGAACTCAAATATTTTAAGGAGAACCGTCCACGCGACCACAAGATCTGCGAGAAAGACGCCTGTGACTCCCGAAGAATCGTCTCGCAACTCCAAGCCGACGTCCCACCGATTCGCTGGGCGACAGGTCCCTGGTCTCCTTGTTCTGCGTCTTGCGGCAACGGAACTCAACGAAGACTGGTCCAACTTTCATCTGCGTTCTTTTAGTAACCCCTATTTTTCAGCTCAAATGCCGAGACCACGTCAGAGACTTGCCTGAGGAGTACTGTTCCCATCTTGAGCGCGAGCCGGACACTCGCGTCTGTTCCATCAAGCCTTGCACCTACTGGAAGAGCGGACCCTGGATGGCTGTAAGTTTGCTCTAGTGCATCCTGCATGACGTCACCGGATATGTTTTGCACCTTTTCCACCAAGGCAAGTTCAGTGCCCAGCGACCTGCGGCGCACACGTCCAGCAGTCGCGGAGCGTCCTCTGCGTCGGCCACGACGGAAGTCCGGTCATCGACACGGACTGCGACATCCAGGAACGGCCGCCAAGTGCCAAGAACTGCCGTCTGGAGGCTTGCCCCCGTGGAGAGGCGCCTCTTGGCAAGTGGCAGGTCGACGAATGGTCCAAGGTCTCCGCACTTTGCTTTTTTTTGGGTTTCTCTTGCACTGGTGGACAGGCTTCACGAGAAAAGGATGAATTTTCACCGGAAAAATGCTTCTTTTTATCTACTTCTCTTTTTGATGAAATTTTTCTACATCGGAAAAAAAACTACACTCTTTAGAAGTTTAGATGAAGATCTTTTGTAGTAATGGTCTGCAAACAGTTATACTTCTAGAAACATGAATTGTTCAGTCTCGTCAATATGATACCTTATACTACGAAGTTTGAAAAAAATGGTTTTTCTTGGAATGTCACTACTTTTTCTATCAAGTTTTCTCTTCTACTTTCCTCTTTTGAAACTTCTACTTTCTACAGCACATAGCACATACATATTTTTCAAAAAATTCCAATCCAACATAGAGATTTTGAAGAAAAAAAAATGAATTCAAGATCCATTTTCTTTTCTCAAAAAGTATTTTCAAGTGCTCTGCGAGTTGCGGAGGAGGTTGGCGTCGTCGAGGCGTCGTCTGCTCCTTGGCTTCCTGTGACGAAACTCGCAAGCCGCGCATGTTCGACCGCTGCAACGAGCACGTCTGTCCACCTGTGGGAAATTCCAGCTGGCAAATCTCACCTTGGACTCACGTTTGATCAAAAGAAAAGCTCCGAAAAATAAAACCTATTTTCAGTGTTCGGTTTCTTGCGGAGAAGGTGTGCAGCGTCGACGCGTCTGGTGTGAAGACGCAGTATCAGGCCGCAAGCAGGACGATCCGGAGTGCGCGGAGAAGAAGCCCTCGGAGCAGAGGGACTGCGACTTGCCGCCGTGTCCCACGATGACCTCGTCGGACAGCAGCAGAGACGTCTCCTCCAAGACTTCGCAGGCTTCTTCCGTCCCTACGCCAGGACACGCCATCTGGCAGACGTCGCCGTGGAACTCGGTACGTCGTCATCGGCCGTCTGCGGCTCGCAACCGCGTCCATAACTATTACCGTAGACGCAAGCTCCGCCCACATTCACGAGCTCCATCTCGTGCTCCCAAACGCTTAGATCATCAGCATCCTCGATATTATTATGAGTTGCCGCAGAAAATATAATTTACAGTGACGGTCAAAAACATAACCCTGATTTGTCTCAGTTATCTTTGAGATTTTGGCAAAGGCCAGAATCAAAAGTTTGATTCAGCAGAGATCAAATTAGGTCTGTTTTTAACCGTCATTGCATATTATTTAGACGTTCTAGTATTTATTTAAAGGTTTTTGTTAGAGAAAATTGCCATATCGTTTAGGTGTAATCGCATTTCGCTTAACAAGAAGCTCTCATTGCAACTGCCATAATTTTAGGCTCAAACAAGGAAAGTCATAATTATTTAATTTCTTAGAGAAGTCTTTTTATTCATTTAATTAACTGTCACTTCAGTTTCAGCGACAGTTGCATGCTTACAGGTGCTTTCGCGAAAAAAAGTGCAATTTTTTTGTTTCAATTTAAATGAGTCTCAAAGCTACCATTCACTTGAAGAGATATCTTTCCCGACGTCTTGCACAAACTGGCCAATCGCTTTCCAAATCGATCCACGCGCTTTTTGTACCGTCTTCTTTTGCGTTACTTAAGCATTTGTTCATTTTTGTACGCCCCATTTTCAGTTTGTTTCCCACAAAAGATTTTCATTCGAATCAGTTGAAACAAGCTGAAAGGAGTATACGGTCCCTTGTCCAATGTCTCACTTGTCGATGTCCTTGTCCTCCAAACGACCTGCCGTCTTTATTGTCCGTCTCATTTTATTTCATTTTCATGATGTTTCACCGTATGTGCTTTGTTTTTCAATTAGGGCTTTTCACTATTTTTTTTCATTTGTTTTTGCAATCTTCCGGGTATACTGAAAGAAACAACAAATTTCTTGAATTTGTTTTATTTCACATGCAACATGAACAACATGGGTCAACAAAGAATATTGGTGAAGAACACAAAAAACAGTCCACGAACACCTCATTGATGAAAAGGAAGAAAATTTATGTCAAGATTTTTTTTTTCGGATTTTGTGTCTTCTAGCCCTAACACGCTAATGGGTGTAACACTATAAATTAAATGTCGGATCCTCACAATTTTATGTTGAATTGATAATTGCACGACTTTTTGTTCTGTTATATTTTTCATTAATTTTCGTGAAAAGCTATTTTTTGAGTAGAAGTACTCCAACCACACATTCATAATAGTTGGAAGAGCTTCGAAAGCTGAAAAATCTCTTCTAAAAATGATTCGAATGGTATGCAGAAGGCTTGTAGAGGGTTTTTCACGACCAGCGAATGTGCAAAAAGAAAAAAAAGTCTAGACGTTGTATTTATAAATTTTTGTTTCGGGTCAGCGGTGAATGAAGTAGAGCTTCAAAGAATCTGAAAGTTTTTGATGCATGTTTTTTCCAAGTTTTCTGTCTCCACAGTGGTACTTCACATGTCGGTCAAATGTGTCCCTTCTGGATTTTTCTTAAAGCTTTTTAAAAAAATATTTGTTTTAATGGCGCTAATTGAAGGAAAAATGTTTCTAGTCTGTCAAAAAGTCCTTGCTGAGGCCTTTGAAGACACTAAAATTCAAAAAAAAAGAAAAAAAGAAAAATTTTATAAAATTGATTCATCGGCAATTCCTATATCCCAGCAAGGAGTTTTGAAGAGACTATACATTTTTTCAAGATTTTCTATTACAAAAATTTTTCTCGAATTAAAAAAGGGCACTGAGAACGTGAGCATGTTCAGTGTTCGGCGAAATGCGGTAGAGGAGTCAAACGGCGAACGATCGCCTGCGTCGACGTCGCCGCGAATGAAACGGTCGCCAGCAGTCGCTGCGATCCGTCGCTTCGTCCGAGGGAGGAAATCAGATGCCGCGTGACGCACTGTCCTCGATGGCGCGGAATGCCCTGGAGCGCTGTATGTTTCGTGATAAATCTTCTACTTTGTTCAGCAATCTTGGTTATATCTGACTTTAACTCACTAGTATTTCAGTTAATTTCGCTTTAAATGTGTTTCTATAACAGAGTAACTTCTTCAAACTTTATAAAAGTTAAAATGTGATTCTCAGGGAAAAGTTTTTGAGGAAGATCGAAAAAAAAACGTCGAGTTTATTTTGGGAGATCAGAAATCAAAATTAAATGAACTGAATGAGAAATAAAAAAAACTTCATAAAGATTTTTTTCTCCGAGGAGTTTCCTGAATAAGACATATGTTCTTGAAGTGCTCGGTGACGTGCGGAGAAGGAATGCGAACGCGCGAAGTCTTCTGCCAACGTGGACGACGACAAAAAGGTCGGCGACGAGGAATGTTCGCCGACTCCGAAGCCGATCCAAGAAGCACGTTGTTTCCCGGCCGCCTGTCCCGCCTACTCCTGGACCACGACTCCGTGGTCGAAGGTCGCCAGATCCTTTCCACGACTTCTGAATCCATCGCTTTCAGTGCAAGGACGACTGCTCCCTCGGAGAACGGCAGACTCGTCGAGTGTACTGCATGAGCAACACCGGCAAGAGAGCCGCGCCCAGAATGTGCGAGCCCGAGCCGGCCCCGAGCACCGCCAAACTCTGCGACGTCTCCAAATGTCCCTACGAATGGGTTCCTGACTCCTGGAATACGGTAAGCCATGTTTCGTTTAGAAAAGCCGTTTGTGCGAAAACTGCCTTACTCTTCAGAAGTCAAAATATAAGTTTTCTCCTAAACAGTAACTTCCATTGAAATATTCCATACATGGGAATGAAGACTTTTCAAATAATGGGCGATATCAGGTCGTTTATCATTTCTTTTGTTTTTGGGGAAGATTATTATCAGATAACTTTAATAAGAGTTTTGTCAATTGGCAAAGTGTTACCTGAATCTCATGAGAAATGGATATCAAACAACAAATTTTTGCGCGAAACACCTATAAATCTAAGACATCTCTGCTTCAATTCACACTATTCAGTGCTCCAAAACTTGTGGAGTCGGCATCCAAATACGGAATGTGGAGTGTCGTTTGAAACTCAACGAATCGATTGGAATCGATGAACCGGCGGTGCCCACGGAAAAGTGCGAACCTTTCCCGAAACCCGAAGAATCTCAGACCTGCCAGCTCAACTCCTGCGAAGCCGAATTCAAGTGGTATTTCGGACCGTGGAGTGGCGTGAGTTTCAATTTCAAACTCTATTTCCTGAAACATTTTTGTTTTTTTATAGTCTATTCAAACATTCAGTGTTCTTCTTCTTGCGGGCAAGGCGTACGCCATCGAAAACTTCGATGCCAGGATAGCAATGGAAAACGCGTGGACCGTCTCAAATGCGAAGAACTGTTCAGGAAGCCTCGACGGACGCAGTTCTGCTTCGAGAGGAACTGTCAGTAGATGATCAGAAGACCTGAATCCCTACGAGTCGAGTTTCAGGCCTGCCTTCGACGTGCCAGGAGATGAGGGCGATGCGCTCGAAACACGAGGATGGCGACTACACTCTTCTGCTCGACGGATACCCCATCACCGTCTACTGCCACATGATGAATGATACCATCCCGCGCGCCTACATCACCCTCAATCCTGAGACCAACTACGCCGAGATTTACGGAAAGAAGTGCGACTTTTTCCTGAAAACAGTTGAAGTAAGAGAAAGTTTCAGGCTGATCTACCCCAGCACCTGTCCTCACAACGGCGAACGCAACGATTCCTGTCTCTGTTCGGACGACGGCGACTCCAACGCCGGACTCACCACTTTCAGCAAAATCCGCGTCGATTTGCCCAATCGCAAAGTCCATCGTGAGCTTGACTTTTTCTAAACTTGACAACGATTGAAGGTAGGGGAAGTAATGGACGGCATTTGGATTTTTGTAAATATGTGAAAACAGGTTTTTTTTAAATGAACATTTCAAAAGTTATGCATTAGCGCAGCCGTTTCGAGGTGTATAATTCAAAAATTGTGTGAATTTTATTCATATGTCTTTTTATATGACGTTTCTCTCGGAAATAAAATTCAAAAAGATTTGAACTTTTTTTCCAGAAAATTTTTGAAGAAGTTTCTGCAAGCTTATAAGTAGCAGAATAATACCACTTTGTATGATTTTAATTTTTTCTTTTTGAAAATTGAATTTTCGTCATTTATAACGTCAGGTACGCAAACAGCCGACTTGACGCGAAAAATTATTCGAGAGCTCGAAAGTATAGCCAGCGCTAGTGATAATACTCTTTATAGTGTTTTTCAATGATTTTTCTGATCTCAGTTTTTTTTCAAACTTTTAAAATTTTTTTAATAATTTCACCGACTTTGTGCTAAAATAATTTTACTGATGATTAAAAGTAGAAAAATGAAGAAAAAACTAGAAGTTCAAGAGGACTTTTCAGTAACGGACTATACATTCGCAACGAAAGTCCACGGCAACTTCGTGCCATACGCGACCGCCGGAGACTGTTACAGTATGCGGGAATGTCCGCAGGTTACAGTTCATGGAGATTCGGTGCTTATACTGACTGATTCAGGGTCGATTCTCTTTGGATTTCCAAGGGACGAGTCTTCGCGTGGTGGACGACCTCAACTGGGAAGACCAAGGCCATCGGACGGCCTCACGGATCGACAGAACTCTTGTCAGTTTTCATAGTACTTAGAATTAATCTTTTTCGAACCTTTTTTGGCTTCAAAAATTGGCGAAAATGAAAATTGCCAAAAAGATCCGAACCCACATTTTTTGCTTTTTGAACTTCCTAAGCTGAGCAGCTTTTTCAAAGGCTGATTTCAGAATAATGCCAAGATCGAAGGTCGTTGCGGTGGCTACTGTGGAAAGTGCGCTCCGGAACGGTTCAAAGGCCTGATATTCGAGATCGACCCGCGAGGGAAAAAGAAATGGGAGCCTGGCGACACACTGTAGCTTTACCGTCTCACTTATCCTCAGCCAGTGCTTTCATCCATGTTGTGAATTTGTTCCTTTGTTTTCTCTTCATTTCCTTGTTTTCTGACTACTTTATTCTTTCCTGTCTTCACTTTACTCTCCCCCCGCATGACCCATTCCATCACGCCAAATTTTTTTTCCTTTTTTCAGTTGAGAACTGACTTTTTTATCCGTTCTGAACGCTTTGTTATTTTTTTTACTCGTTATTTCATAATTTCTCGATTTTTAGGATTGCTTTGTTTTTTTTTCTTCTATTTGTTATTTTTCACTAATATCAGCGTCAACTGCCGACGGAATTCTCTTAATTCGAAAAGTCAACTGCCTTTTCTTTTCGCCTAAGTTCCACTTAACTTGGTGCTTTAACAGCGAGAGTTTATTTTTTTCCAAACTTTTTTTCAATTTCCTTATTTATTCTTTTCTATTCTCTCACTATGATCATGACTATTGGAAATACTTTTGCAGAATTCATTTTTCCTGTTGAAAAAAATCTTAGCCATTGCAATATTTAACCCCGTTTTTTTCCATGTAAAAGCGCATAATAATTCTTACAAAATTTTTTTGTGTTTTTACATTTGAAATAATTTTTCGAGGTTTTTTGAAACCGCTTCATTTTTTTGTTGCCCACCGTGAATCGAACCGAGTTTTTTTTTTCGTTCCAATTGTCCTTTTGTCTTCGTCAACTGATCTTCATTCGCTGTTCAATCTTGCTTTTTTATCAACCTTTTTTTCCTTAATTAGGAGGTTTCCTGAAGTTTTTAGAGTCGACTCTGAGTTTGCCACATAAGTTATTGCATTGAAATACGTTTGTCTCAACTTTAATCATAGTTAATAAAGCTTTATCTATTTTTTTAATATTAAGGAAAGTAAAAAGAAACACATGAACATACTAAGTTAGGTTAATAATCCCACAAGAACAGTTGCGTTTGTAGATATCATTTTGGGAATATAATTGGAATGGAAATTATGGAAATTTTCAACTGAATGACAAGATAAATGCAATAATTCTGACCGTCGTTTTATGAAAAAAAAATTAGAAAATCGGTTAGTTTTAATGTAGCTAATTACAATAAATAAAATTATAAGAAATCATGGAGTCGGTAAAAAAAAGGTCGTGAACTAGTTTGAAAAAAAAATCTTAATTTCAAGAGAGCAATGAACAAACTACAGCCCCAATATGGGTCAAAAACACAAAAAAGAAAAAACAACACTACTCTAGATCTAATAAAAATGATGGAGACGACGAGAGGGCCGGTCGTAGAGGCTGGAGATGACCTGCCGCATCAGGAAGCGTGGGAGGAGTACTGTGTGTTCTCCTTCTCCATGTACGTCGTCGCCGTGCCGCCGACGTCTTCGACCCTCCGCAGAGGCAAACAAAAAATCCGGCGGAAGGCCGTGTTGTAGGGCTTGATGTAGACGAGCGTCACGATCGGACTGCACATCGGCAGGAAACTTCAAAAACTCATTGTTAAAACTTTTACGTTTCGATTCAAAATATTTTTTGTTTCGTTTCAGTTCATTCCTTTTTTTAATAAGAAGCAAATATCTTTAGCCATCAACCTTTTAAAAATCGGAACTCCAAATCAAGCCCAAAAAATACTATCTTTGAAGAAATCGATTACATCAGGAAATTGACCGTTTTTGAAGTTTCTATGCAAAGATAGTGATAATTTTTGACCCTGATTGAGAAATTCACATAAGTAAGTTTATTTTAAGGAGATTTTGTTCAATAATCTGATAAATTCTGAAATCTCATCTCTGACTGAATAGTTCATTTGTTAATATGTAAAAAACGTAAGAAAGATCTAACAAATTAGGGAATTTTTGAACTTCGGAGACGTATTCTGATCATTTTCAGAAAAACTGCAAATCTTATGAGCCCCAGATCGGTCTCTGGAACGATAAAAGAAAAAAGCCCCTTAAGGGAAACAAAATAGGGCCCTATGCTCCCTTAAAGTAGCCATTAACTAAGCTTCTAGAGTGACCACTTGAGCAAAACTGAGTGCCTCCCTATAGAGGTGAGGTATTCTCTAGAGGGGAACCTTCAAGTGCCCCTCCAGGGACCACTCTGGCGTTCCTAAAATGCCGCACGCCAGCGCTGTGAAAAATCAAATGATATATTTGAAGGCTAATATTCCCTTTATAGCGAATTTCGAAGAGACTCGAGATTTGTATCTGATAACTTCAGGTCATGTTTATTTTGTTGTGATTTCTATCGAAATTAAAAACCCACCTGAATAGAGTATAAACGAGGTACTCGATAGCAGTGTGTTCGATGAACTCCAAATGATAGAGTCCGTATAGAGTTATTGGAGGGAAGATGAAGAAAAGCGGGAGCGACGCCTGGATCGTCAGAACTTCGATGAGTCGTCGGTGGCCTTTCAGCGTTCCGATACTCATGTTCTGAATTTCATTCTTGTCCTTTAACGCTTCGAAAACCGCTGTAGATGTTCAGTTGACCAAGGAGTAAACACGTTTCAAAAAACAAGAGAAAATCACTGATTTCATAGGTTTTTCTATACTTATGACAAATACTTAGTCCCACTTGGTTTTGGTCGAGATCAATTTGTTTATTTGTTTCTTTATGAAAAAATCTCTGATGCCTCATAAATAATGTAATAAGAATAGGCTTTTTCAAAGGCAATACATTCCTGTGTGTTATACTCGAATAAAATTTCATTTTCCGCCCGCTATCATAACTTCATTTCAGAGATCTCAAAATTGCGATCTTTGAAGTCTGAACGGGATTCAATTACTATCCTATTCCAACTTTCTGATCTTTAACATTCCAAAAAAGTCAAACGTTTTTTATGGTCGCTCGACGGCTTAATTGCCTCGTTTTTGAGCCTTTCGCTCTATGAGAAACACGGCCGAGCGAATGAAAAGTATCGGAGAGAATCGAGTTATTTTTTAAAGAACTAAATATCTTTTAGATTGCGTCCACGGCTTATGTGACGCGCGTGGCTAAATAGATTACAGGTTTTTCCCTAGGGCTGCTTAAGTGGCCTCTTCAATTTTAGTTTTCCTCAAACTTCTCAACGTATATATCGACAGAAATCGCAGAAAAGGCCTCACCCTGGTGTTGTGCATCAGATAATGATGGACCTTCTTGTAGAAGAAGATGACGAGAACGTAGATGGGGAACATGGGCAGGACGATGGTCGCCAACGTGATCGAGGTCAGAGGACTGTTGATCATGTGGTTGCCAGAGACCGGGAAGGCGTCCAGGTCGTACTGAGGCTTGTTTATCTTCAGGTAAGCTCGGATCTCGTCGACCGGCGACTCAGACAGGATGAACAGGATCTTTAAAAGCTTCAGATTAAGGGAAAAAGTTCCATTCATGAAATTTAGCTCGAAAAACTTCAAAAAAAGTTTTTTTTAAAAATGTTCTCTGACATTTTCTATGAATTCCTTCTATATACTTGATGAAGTTTCTGCAATTTACATGGAAGAACCACTAACTAAGAAGCTGACTCAGTAGCTTTCCCTGGTTGAAAATTTTTTTTTCTTTCTGAGAAGATCAAAACTTTTTAATTTAAAATCCGATTTGTGCATAACTCACATGTTGAGCCAGGGCGATGGACCAAAGACCGAGACACAATAAAATGCAGGATTTGTTCTCCGGAATGGGTCTCACGAGGATCCAGTAACGGAAGCCGAACGAGATCGGGAAGCACAGGAACATGTAGAACAGCGAGTGGAGCATGACACAATAGGCAAAGTAGCTGCCCTGAAATCTTCAAGGTCAACCTCAAAAATAAATCTTTTCTTTGTATTTTGAACTAGTTTTCAAGATACTCTCACAAGGAGGATCATTTCCCCTTAGGGTCCGGAAATTCCTAAAAAAAAAAAATTGGTCAGAACACTCTTTGATGTACCAGAAGGAGATTCTGAAAAACGCAAACTGCACAGATTCCTAGTCTTCAAGAAAGGACACTTCACAATCAACGGAAATCTTGAAAACCAGTTAAAATAAGCTGTTTTCAGGCTTTGGGCTCTTTTTTCTCGGAAACTAAGGTCACGTTAGGACTTTCAGGATCGTCTTTTGGGGTAGATCAAGAAGTGTTCATGACCTTCCTTGTCCAAAAAAACCTGTAAAATGATACTTTCCGGAGGTACTTCTAGTCTTCTAAAAATCTCAGGGCTCAAGACTTGGGCATTTCAAACAAAAATTCACAATTCAAAATTCAATGCCCCATATTGAGCTCGATTTGATGAATTAGATTGAAAATGGATCAAAATCCTTCCAACCGACCTGAGAACCGAAAAATCGACCTGCCGGCCCCAAGGACACATATGCAAACGCCCATTTATTTGGGATGATTCTGAAAAAAAGAAAATATCTTCAAAAAAAGTTCATTTAATCTGACCGAATTTGAGCCATCGTGGCGGAAATGGAGAAGACGAGGTCACTCAAAACGACGTTGGCCAAGAAGATTCGGTAGGTGGAGAGGCTGGTCGGCGAGCGGAAGAAGATGAGCATCAACAGCGTGACGTTCAGCGGAATCGCGATTCCGCCGGTCATCCAGAAGATCGTCGACGCCATGTAATCGTACAGTGTCCACACCTGACACGATTTCAGAAGTTATTCCGGAGGAGTTCGATTGCATAGTTTTTCGGGTTTATGTTGTCCTTTTACAAGAAAGATTTTTTTCCATCTTAAACAAGCCGAAAGTCTAGGTGAACATTCCTGGTCGCTCTATACTCAAACTTTTCTTTTGGAGTTATGAATCTTCGAAATTCGCGTCAAACAGAAAAATCGGATATTTAAAAACCTATATCTGAAACTGAAGATTGCACAGGTAGCGACTTCCGAGAGTTTTTTTCTCGTAAAAATACCCTTTTTGTCCATTTTCAGCCTCCTGGAGCTAGAGGTTACGGTTGTACTCAAAACATTTCTTTTAGTAATTTTTCGATCTTCTCAAGTATCATGTTTTTAGCTCTTTTCTCTAGGCAAAACGTCGGACAACCTTGAACTTTCAAATTTTCTCCGAAGATTCTGAATTTTTCTTTTTTTGATGTTTTATAGTAGAACATCAACCAACGCGTCAAAAAATGCATGAAATCTCGAATTTTCCAAAATAGAGCATTTCTTTCAATGACAGCAACAAGGAACTGCTATTTTCAGCATAATCCAATTTCCATTGAGGATGTATTGAATTAGTTTATATAATGGACTGCAAAACAATTTTATTGGGAAAATGGCCTAGACATTAGTCATAGAATAACAAAAATGGAGAGGAAATAAATAACCTGTTGTTTGGAGAAGTCGTTGGAGCCATTGACGGTTGGAACAAACGTCGAACTCATCGCGTAGCTGAGGGTGGAAGTGTCGGAAATCATCGTCTGCCTGAAACCGGGACGTCATCTCCAGATTATTCAAGGGCTTTAGACTAATTAATCCACGTGTCCATCCGACGAGAAAGGTCAATTCATTCCAAAATACTGGGTTTTCAAGGAATTGGTAAAAAATCTTCTAGATGTACTTGAGATTCCACGTTTGAAAGTGTGAATGAAACAGAATGTAGTCTCTGAAGGATCCTCCCTCAAAAACTAGGAAGTATGCAAGTTGATACTTTCCGGATCCTTATGAGGCTCATCATAGAGTACTCTGGCAAAGTTCCAGGAAAATCTGAATTTCCGAGTAAAATGAACTTTCTTATGAGCAAGGACGCCTAAATAAATGATTTTCCATAGTAGCTAATTTGAAAAAAGCCGGTTAAAGATGTACTTCAAACCAAAGATTTCTGAGCTCTGGAAATGCTCCTTAATAGTCTCAAGTTTGACAAACTTTGTTAATATTCAGCCAGACTCAATTATATTCCAAACGAAATTTGGCTTTGGTTCTGTCTGAGAACTTCTGAAACGGGAAGCTATTTGGCACTTTTCCAAACGAATAAAAAACGAAAGCTCACTGGGGAATACCCTCGGCTCACTTCTCAATAAGACTTTATTAATCTAATCTTCAGTCAATTTGAATGAGAACATGAAAATATTAATTTTCAAAATTCAATTCAGTCAGACGCTTACTGTAAAAACATTAAAACTGTATTAAACGATCTCGATTAGAAAAAGAAGCTACTGTGAGCTCAGTTCAAATTGTTTCAGAACAACCTCCTCCTACCGGAAGTCATCCATTTCATTCAAAAAGAAAGTAGACACTTCAATTTATTCTGCACTTGTCGTTGAGTGAAAAAGAAAATGGCAATCAATTGAGGTTTAAGAAATAGAATGGGATTCCGACTTCCAATTAAGTCTAGGATGGAGCGATTAGGTGAGAAGGAAACAATTTTCTTTGTGGCGGCAAAAATAAACCATTTTTGCGGTCAAACTACTTTTGAAAAAAGACTGGGAGTTAATTAACTAATCAGGATTACTATTTTTTAAGTTTTCTTTTTCCGGGCTATTCATTTTCTAAAGACCTTAAGGGAAGTAAAAAAAGAAGAATTCTGGAAGATAAAGTACGAAAACAAATCCAAAAAAAGTTTCTTTTGACTGCTGAATATTTTTTTCTAATGGCTGGTGGACCTTTAGGATAGACCTTTCAAGTAAAAAAACAAGGCTTAAATTCGAAGCTTCTGGAAAACAAACATGAGCTTCTTGTTTTTTTGTAAATTTATCTTGAATATGAGTAAAAAGGAAAACACGGGAAAATGATATGGAAATAGCTGAAAAAAAGAAAACCCCCGCCAAAAAAAGTGCAATCAAGGCGGTCCGTTTTTCCTTCTTTGATTAGTTGAAAAGGGAAAAAAATAATATTTTTTTCAGTTTTTCAAAATGGATAAGCTCTTTATCAGGATAGTGAGTTACAAAAAAATCTAAATTTTTATACTTTTAGGTAGCTTTTTTTAATTTACGGATCTTTTGTAAAACTGTTAAAAACGACTTGCAGTATTTATTGGGTCGATGAAACAGTCGGTACGTTTTTCGAAAGCTACCCACTGTAAAAGCTTGAATTTTTTTAACTTCTTCTTCTTTAATTACATTCGAAATTTTTTTAAAAAAATAGAACGAAAAAAATGTTAGAAAAAAAGAAAATAAGATGGAAAAAGCGGCTGTCTCCGAATAGAAGTTGCGGTGAAAAGTCGGACTTCTCCGGGCAAATTTGTTCATTTAATCAAAAGAAACGCCGCGAAACGAAGTCAGCGCATATTTGAATATATCTTAAAAAAAAGGGCTAAGGAAACGTTGGTTATTAGGCTCCGGTAATGGGCAAATCAAGGACACAAACTTTTTTTCATTGGCTTTGTCAGGTTGGAGAAAAAAGCCAAAGAACGCGTCGAAAAGGATCGTCGCCTTTCGAGTCTGAAGTCATTAGAACTGCGGCTCAAGGGCTTTAGGGCAGCTGCAAGATGAAAAAAATAGAAACAAAGGCAATGAAAAATAAATCCCGTGTGAGACCTTTTTTAGAATTTAAAATTTACAGGTACTTTCTAATAAAAAAGATTGAACTTAAAACAAAGAAAGAAAAAGTAAAAATCGTGAGCCAGAATAAACTAAAGAATGCATGGATATTCGCTTGATTTACGGTTGACTGAACCGAACGTTGGACTCTTAAAATGAAAGAAATTCCTCATCCGATTAAATAGCGTCACCTTTATTTTAAAGAAAAAAGGCGTTTTAAACAGATTCACCTGCTTTTTCAGGAACAAAAATTATAAATCTACTTGCAGGCGTGGAATTCGAGATTTTACCTTGGTTTGTCTATTTCATTTCCTTTTTGGTAGAAAAATATTTTATATGTACCCTCAATTCCTTGTTGGGGACCTCATGCTGAAATATTGTTAACATTTTTAGTTTGGTTCTTTTATTAGGTTGGCTTGAAAGAAATGCGGGCCGATTTTGTCTGCTTCTAAATCACCCAATAAGTAATATTATTTGGAACAGTATTTTTTGTTGAAAATGACTTGTTCTTGTGCGTCGTTGGTTACATAATTTGCTGAAGTTTATTCCGCCTCTCTATAAGAAAAATAGCTCTGAAAACGTCCATCCAAAAAGTGTATTCGCGGACCTAGTTTTCGCGTTATTTCAAAAAGTAAAAATCAACTTCAGAAGCTTGACACGTTTCAATATTATGACTACCAATTGTGTTTCTCGCTGATAGTTAACATTTGAATCGCCCTAGGGATATTCACTAGGCGAAAAGACCTGTGAAATACAAAAACACGAAAAATCGACGATAAAAACAATTTTGAAAATGCCATTAGATCGGATTCACAACAGACGTCTTTAACACTGGCTGATCAGTAATTCCACACCCATATCTGCAACAGAAAACATCTTTCCCGCAATGGAGTGCAAAAAATGAGAGCCGAAGAAATGGCTTCACAATATCGCTTTTTCGTTTTTTTGCGAAAATGTGTCAGCCCAAATCAGAAAAATTAATCTCCAACGTTTTGCTTTTTTTCGCGACAAAGCTCCGACATGGCTCTACGCACTTTACCATCCGTCCGAATCAGTGAATCACACCACCGAAAAAAGTTCAAAAGTCCAATGAAGTCCAATTTTGGGCGTGCAACTTCTTTGACTCGTAGGCGGCCCAGTTTGTCATAGAGAGAATCCATTCTCTGCGTGAGCGTTGCTGACAATATGTTAATACAGGTGGAAATTACATTTCGGATTTATTTGCGATAACCTTGTTATTATGATAAAATGAAATAACATCAAAAACACGCATTTCTTTCCTGCCACCCTAATATTTCGTCATCACAATCCTGATTATGTTTGCGCCGGAATTAAAGAAAAATGACATTATATTTACTTGGAAATCACAAAAGATGAAGAAATTTTCCAATTTATTTGATAGCTGTTCGTAGAATTATTTTGAAGGCTTACATTAAAAAGATGAAACGCACCAAATAACTTAAGAAAGTCCAAGGTGATTTCCTAGAGCTTTTCCGAATCCATATAAACGAGTCATAGAAGCTTTTTTTCCGAGAAGAGACTCTCGAATCGAGATTGTGAGAAGTATCCTATAGTGAACACTCAGGGCGCTGATTTTCCCCTTTCAAGAAAAATATTCTGGATGCGTCAAATGAAAATTGTTTTTTTTCATCGAGAAAATATATTAGAGCTCAAAAAAGTTTTTTAAGCCCTTCAAATAAGGTCTAATTGAAAAGTTACATGCCGCAAAAAGGTCAGAAAAGGTTGAACTACATTTTTTTTTCTTTGTTCTTCTTCGAATTGCTCTCTTCTCATAAACCATTTAATTAGTGGAGACAAAAAATGAATTCTTCTTTACTATCTGAGCGTTTTGAATAATTGATCAGGGGCAGCTGCGAGAAGTTGCAAAAGACGGGAACTTTCTGAAATGGGGAGGAAATTGTCACGAATTCGTTCCGAAAGGAACTCGGTCTGAATAAAACACGCCTTGGCTTTTTACGCTTGGGAATTTGTAAAGTATATCCTTTGAAAGGCGTTTTTTTTCTGGAACCTTTTCGAGAAGAAGTTCTTTTCTTTAATGTCAAAGTTCTTTTGAAAACCTCATTCGAAATTCGAAAAAGCATACATTTTTATTATCTCAAGCCAAATGCATCAAATTTGAGACGTGGATACTGTGGAGACGTCTTCAGCCTTCTTTCTGCAAAAAAAAGACTGAAGACGTCTCCACAGTAATCCTCAAATAAGTAAAAGTCACTGAACGACGCGAAAGGAGTAATATTTTCGTCTGACGCGACTGCACTCTTTTTTCCCTATCCCCCAAGAAATGAAAAATGATAAAAAAAGAAAGTAGAACCAGCCCAGGCTGTTTCAAGCCTTTTTGAACGAAGTACTTTGAACATTGATGATAGAAAAACCTAGAAGAAAAAAAACTCCAATCTTGTTTTCCAATTGAATTCGACTCAAATTTATTTAGTAAGACATTTGCCGTAAATGCAATTTTCCTTTTCATATCTCATATTTTTTGGCGGACAAATTACTCAATCTTGTTTGCGAAGGCGAGAGTTATTAAAAATAATTTAGAGCCCGAAAATATTGTCTTAGTGATCATGAGGTTGATATTACAGTAGGTGCTGGAAATCTAGAAAAATCGCGGATTGTTTACGGCGCCGTTGAAAAATATAATTGAAAAAAATAAAAACGAAATAACGAAATAATCTTTGAGATGGGAAAGTTTTTGTGCCGAAATGCAAACGTTCAAATATTCTGCTTAATTGAAATAATTGGAATAATAGTCTGTAATTAAAGTGTGCAGCTTAATTTTTCTGCGAAAACTTCGAACGTGCCAAAAATTAACAACTTTCACGGGCGTTTAATCTTACTACCATTATCCTTCAAAAATGAGCTCGATCGGAGACCATGAGATTTTCGACTTTTGAGAGTCCATAACTTTTTTCACAGACGTATTGGGCAGATTTTGAGACCAGATTTGAAATCAGCGTGAAAGACTACATCTAGAAAAGAATAGTCTCATTTAGAAGTCCTACTGTGAGCTGAGACCATTCCCTGGTAAGTTTGTTAAGCTTTTGACAAAAAATATTAGATTACAGAAGTGATTCTTAGGCTTTTTCTTTCTAAACCCAACTTTTATAACCACAAACTTTGTTACCATGGTCAGAAAATTCTCAAAAAGAAATTAAGAAGAAAAGCTTCGAGCAGAAATCGACTTGTGAGCACTTTTTACCGAGATAATCAAATTTTCCAGCTCTCAGAAAATGTAACTGAATACTCTGAAAAATCGAAAACCCAAAATTTTGAGAGGAAAATCCAAACACGATTCGAAAACAGACTTCTTCGTTTTTTTTTATGTCTGAATTTCAAGGGGAAAAACAATTTTGTCGTTTAGGCTGTTGAAAAATTCAAAAACAATAGGTAAAAAATGCCTATTTGAAAATGAATGAATAAAAGAGTATTTACAACGAAAGAAATTGTAGGCTTTTTTGTAACTCTGAATAAAATCATGAAGCATTGTGTTCTTAAAAATAACGAGAAATTCTCCCACGTTGCTTCAAATTAGGAAAAGTGTGAGAAGTTACTTGCAGGTCAAAATCTCGATATTTTCTTCAAACAGTGGAAAATTTGGTGACAAGACTCTACTACAAAAGTGCAAAAAAAGCATGAAAGTCATTATTTGGTAGGAAAAAAAAATATTCTGAACGACTTGAACTTCCTTTCATAGGAGAGAAAAAGTTCCCGAAACTGCAACGCTAAGTAGAACCGCCGTAGAAATGGGCTTTCAAAAATCTTTTTTTATCTTCAAAATAAACAAATTAAGACAAAATTGAAAGAGGACTTGAAGTACGAGTGCGAAGCACTTAAATAAAAAAATAGAAAAGAAAAAGACACAAAATCATCTAGATCTCAAAGGCGCGTCAAAAATTGGTTACGATGAGCCTCTCTTCTGCATACACTTTAATAATACACGCTCACGAAATCTCTCATAATCAAAGAATTTTTTTTCCAATTTTATTTTATATTCTTTTTCAGCTTTTTTGTTGTAATAATACCGACTTTCAGTTTTGTTATTGTATCATTAGAAATTAGGTTTTCAGTTTTTAGTCTTTTTGAAATTTTTATCTTTTCGAGCGAGTCAGTGGACATCAAGATTTTCAGATTAGCCAAAGAAATGACGAAGAAACGTCATTCTGAGCCTCAAAAAACAACAACTACAAGAAAGCAGTCGCAAGAGGATCCTGTAGGTGGATTGAAGGTACGAAGTGTCTGTGAGCTATTTGTTGTTTTTTCTGTTCGCTATTAAGTTGCTTCCCTTTGTAGCGAGTTTCACCTGCATTACATCTTTTTTTTTCCTTTTTTTCCGAAGTTCACAGATGCTTCATTGCAACTTGATTAATTGAAGAGGAAAAAAAAACGTTTCTCTGTTTCAGCTGACACTCGAGAAGCTCTCAGATGAGGTCAAGAACCTAGGATTAGTTCTTGGAATTTCCACGGAAACTCAAAAACCTGATCAGTCGAACGCGAAAAGCAAAGAAGAAAGTACTTCGGGCAAAAACGATTTTGCAGTAATTTCCATGTTGTAATTTTTATTATAATACTTTCCATTCAGCGGCCTGAAATGAGTCAGGAAGACAAGCAAGAGCAAAGAAAAGCGAAGGCTGCTGAGAAAAAAGCTCGAGGTTCGGAGATTTGACTTTTTAAAGTTGAAGTTGCTCTTTTAGCCGAAGCAGCAGCTGCCAAAAAAGCTCAAAATGCCCCTCAAGTCGCCGCGCCGAAAAATAAGAAGGAAAACCCAGAGGCGGCGAAATCTGACAATCAAAAGGATGAAACGCCGCCGAAAGAAGTGATAAAAACTGAAAAAGCGGAAAATCCGCCGACCGAAAACATGGAAGAAGAACCTAAAGAGAAGGTTAGTTATAATGTATGAGCAACTAAGAATTTGTTTTTAGGCGGTTCGTTCTGTTTTGAAACACGGCGGCTCAGGCCAAAATAATGGAAAAGGCGTCCATTTTGGTGAGTTTTCGAGGAAAAGAACAAGAATTATTGATCTGAGTTCAGATTTGAACGTCTTGACAAAAACCGAATCGGAGGAGTCATTGGCGACGACGCTCCCCGAACCTCCAGGTAGGTAACTTCTGGTTTAAAAAAACTTTTTTTGGTATTAGTATGAATTGAAAAAAAGTCGATATTTTTTTCAATGAATAATTGAGTTTTTTTACAAAAAGTAAAATGAACTGAAAAAGAAAAATTTTTCAAAAAAAAACTCAGATGACGGTAAGAAGTCCCTAAACTCAAAAAGTTTTTGAAAAAAAGTTTTTTTAATTTTCGTAGAAATTGAAGAAGGTTTAGATTTCAAAAAGAACTTTTTAAACTTTGGTTATATTTATAAACAGAAAAAAATTCAAATCACGTTTTTTTCGGGAAAAAAATCTAGACCTCATGAAATAATTATAAGGCAAACTCAACTTCTTTGAGCATTTTCTATGCCTCCCACTCTGCAAACTTCGTCGTTTTTGAGGATTTTGAAGAAATATCTGATCAGAAATCTTTGATAGGATATTTAAAAAAACGCAGAAGATTTCCGGGACCAATTTAACATTTCAAAAGCTTTTTTTATGAAGATGTTTTTTCAAGATAGAAAAAATAGATGAAGAGTCAAGGAAGGAATTTTCAGTTTTGCCGATGGAAGATGCTTCTTCTATCGCACATATACATCCTGCTTTCCTGACGATAAGTGCACGATGTGAACGGGAACTGGTAGATGATCTTGAACAGCTTTGCAAGGAGTTCATCGGGGCCTTCAGAGAGGTTTTTCAGTTTGTTTTACTTGGGACTCTCTGTGTATCTGAATGTCATCACAAAAATGATGATTGAATGATTTTTTTGCTTTAATCAAAACGAACTTTTTGCTGCAGTAAATAAAACGTAAAAATAGTTAGATTGAAAGAATTCCAAGTGCCTCAAAAGTTTTGCGGATTTGAACCTTAACCTAGAAGTGCAGGCTGAGTTTTTTTTTTTCGGTATTAAATTAAAATTTAGAATTTTTTTCTTTGAGGTTGAGTATTATGAAAATTTTTGAGAAAAAAAAATTTTTTTCATTCAAATAATATTTCGGTTACCGTATCTAAATCTTGGCAAGTACTGTAGTTTTCCAGTACCTGCAAGAATGGGCGGCGGCTCGTCTGCGGGAAGGATCCGATCCGAAAACTGTCGGCCACGACCTCGACCTTGCGATTCGTCCTCAACTCGCCCATTTAACTCAATTTGGTAAGAGTATTTTCTTGCAAGAAAAAGAAAAAAGCCTTTTCAGATTAAGGGAATTTCGAAATCATCCTTCCATCTCAAATATTTCTATAGTTCATCTTAAAAAGAAATTTCCAGGCCGTTGGCCCCTCCCGTACGCTCTTGGCAACATCGTGAGGCAATTGAAGAAGGAAATTTTGAAAATGGACGGCTCCAGAACTTCTTTCTTCAATGGGGAAAAGGTTTGAAAAGAACTCGAAATTGAGGAAATTGATGAAATTGAATTATGATGTCAATTTTATGGAAAAAATGAAGAATGTTTTCAGGATCCCACAATGGCGCAGATTCAAGTCCTAGACGAGTGGCTGGAAGACACTTCTAGGGTGAGTTTCGAGAAGAAAAATAATCCATCAGGGGCCTTTTTTGTTTTTTACAATTTGGTATGAGAATTTATGTTGGTTTTTTTCACAAACTTTTTTCTCTAACGTCTGTAATTCCGTGCTAAAAATGATTCCACAAAATAGCCGTCAGACGGTGAAAAAGATAACTGAATTTTGTAGAGTCAGAGATTATTTTGAATTTCACGAAATTTCCCCTTTGGAAACGCCGAGAACAAACCTCTGAGATTTTTTTTTTCAAGTTCTAAATTCTAACATCTTTTTAAAAAGTTTCTTTCAGACCAATTTCAATTTGGCCTACGACGCGATCGCTCTCCACTTGAATCCGAAAATAAAGAACGTCCACAGCGTGATGACCTATGATTGGTTGGTTCCCAATTTTTTCTTTCTTTATCAGAAAATAATTTGTAATCAAAGTCAAGTATTACATTTTTTAGAAAGGTTAAACTCTAAAATTTTGTGTTACTTTCCAGGTGTCCGGTAGTGAATCACGTTCTTTTGGCCTCTCTGAATTCTTATCCGAAGCTCGGCGTTTGTATCGTCGATTCTGAGCTCAACGGAAGAGGTTTTCTTTTTTTTATACCTTTGTGAAAAATTCCAAAATTTATCTAAATTTTGATTTGAAGATAATATTTCATAGGAAAATTCACTTTCTTGGGAACGCCAAACCGGTCTTTAGATGGGCAACCTTAGGGGCACTTAGAGGGTTATCTCTAGGGATCACCTTACCTTCCCCTAAGGGAGCATTAAATTTTGCAAAAGTGGCCACTATAGGGGAGCATACAAGTCGTTTTTTCATGAACTCTATAAAAAGAAGCGTTTCAATGAGAAAAAAAATAATAAATTAGCGTTTTTTAAATGAAAATATCAACAGAGCGTCAATTAATCAAGTTTTATTTAATACATATTTTTAATTTTCGAAAAATGGGGCTACCTAAGCTTTTAGGGACCGCCTTACCCCTCTAGGGAGCACTATTTTGTCACTCAATAAGGAGATTTTTCTATTTCTTAATCCTTTAAGTGATCTCTTCGGATTTCCTAGGTTGTTTTGACAAGATCTTCCGAACATTTTCAGTTCAAAAGTTAGTTTTTAGGCATTCGACACGTTAACTCATTGATTGAAAATGGCTATAGGTGTCAGTACACCGACCTCAAATCGGTCGGATACGCAATTTCAAAGGTTTCTCCTCAATCATCTGGGTTTTATGGAAGAAAGTTCAGAGTTCGATGGTAGTTCTCGGTTGTTCAGCTGTCCTGTCCAATGGATGTGTGGCGGCGACAAAAGGAGCCTTACAAGTAATTTCCGAATTTGAGGAACTTTGGAAAATAAAATTGGTATAGATTGCCTTGGCGGCAAAAGCATTCAACGTCCCTCTTCTCGTGGCTTCGCAAACCTTCAAATTCGTTGATAAGGTGATTTTCGAGGGATCTTTCTATCAAAAATACTTTATTTTTGAGTGCAGAAAAAAAGAATGCTGCGCTTTATTAATTTGTGACTTTTTTTTAAAGTTTTATCATAACTTCAGTGATTAGAAGTTTTAAATAACCAGATTCATGATTCAAAACCAAAGTGCAAAAAGAGGCAAAATTTCGACCTTTTCTCAAGCTGCAACGCAGTCCCAGGACCGTTAAGGTGCAGCTCTGCAAAAAAAACTCCTTCATATCGTCTTTTCTAATATTTCTTCTAGGTTCAATCCTACGCGAGAACGGCCCTTCTGAGCCGCGACGCCGTCGAATTGATCCCATCGATGTTGGTGACGGCCATCGTCACAGACATCCGAATTTTGCCGCCGTCCGCAGCTCCAGCCGTTTTGAAAGCGAAAGCTCTCGATTTAGAATAATTATTTCGGTTCCCTTCATTGGTTTATATCAAACGGTGCATTCTTGTGCTCATTTTTCTTTGTGGAAATTTTCTTCTTTGTTTAAAACTTCTAGGTCTTTTTTCATAGGTGAAGCAAAGTCGGGAAATCCTGTTGAAAGCCATCTTCTATATAATACATATTTTTTTGAAATAGGTTTTCAATGCACTTTTGCACTATGAGCGTTCAAAAATTAATAGGAAAGAACCTTTTTCGGCGCGGTTCAGCGTTTTCTAGCCATGAGAAGAATTGAAAAGTCTTAAAGACTTTTGCAAATTCTTTTCTTTTTTCGACAAAATTTTCTTGATCAGGCCCAAAATGACTCGGTTAAGGTGGTAAATGGCCGAAAGTTTGCTTCTAATCATCGAATTTGGTTTTGCATTCAGAGAGAGAGAGAGAGAGTTTCACAGAAGTTAGCTTCGAATCGAACTCATGCATCAGTATTGGGAATACCTGTGACCTTTTTTTTGCAGTAGGTAATCCCTCGCGAAAACACCACATTCATATAGGATTGAGGCGAGATTATTGGAGCCCTCCTTTCTCTCTCTTTCTTTTTTTCGCCATAGCCGGTTCACACATTGATGACTTCTTTTTTCCTCGTTTGGTTACCTTTCAGGGTCTTCAACCTACTCGTTTCCGTTTCGATTCGCTCATTTTTCTTTTGTGGCCTTTCTACACTGCTATTTATTTCTTTTCATTTGTTGCGGGTGTTTTTTGCATCACAATAAACCTATTGCTCTTATCTTTGATGTTGAACTTGTAACCAGAATCGTATATTTCGATCTTTCCATTTTTATTTTTAGTGAAAATAGTTCTAATTAAAAAGCGCTTGATATTTTCCAGCAGTAGCTTTACTGCATTTTCTGCAACTTGTTCAGAAATTAATTTTCCGATTATCGAAAAATTTCATCCCAGCCTTATTCCCATTAAAGTTGTTTTTTTTTTTTCATTTTTGAAAGATTCAAAATTTTCAGCTGGAGATGAGCTCCGAGGATGGGTGGTGGGACGACAATTTGAACGAAAGAAGTTGGTGGCAAAGTCTCCTTCGAGCCATCATTTGCAGCGGACCGGTAATCATCTGAACTCATTTTTTTTTGTTCTTCTCTTTACTGGAAAAAGTGAAAGACTTATTTAGAAAACTGGTTTTCCAAGAAAGGGTACATAGAATTTCCCATTAATTTGAAAAATAGTTGTAGCTCTGTGTGAAAATCGTTCATGAAAGGTTTTTATACTAAGGAGCCCTCAAGTGGTCACTTAAGGAGCAACGTTAAGGGCTCTTGTAGGTTCCCTCAAGGGACCACCTAAGAAAAAGAACCAATCTAGGGGAGCATTTTAGTGTTCACTATACGTTTTTTCGACTTTCAAATCAGAACACAATTGAATGACCACACACAAGGGTTCTCTTGAGTTTTAGTGGATTAATGGTCTTTAAATCCTATAAGGACTGCGTTAATTTTTGCTCTCTAGAAAGGAGTATTTCGGCCCCCTATAGGGGATTTCCACCTCTACAGTGACCATTCCAGCGTTCCTGAATGAGAAAAAAAAAATCACGTTTGGACATTCAAAAACATATTTTAAACTTTTATAGGTTCCTCGACACGTCGCATTCGTGATGGACGGCAACAGAAGATACGCGCGGATGAAGCACCTCGGAAGCGTCGTGAAAGGTCACGAGAGGGGCTTTAATCAGCTCGCAAAGGTCCTCTCAATGATCACAATTCTTTGCTCAAAACTATGCAAAAACTAAAGATCCTAGTGAATGTATAACCTACCAGGGTCGCACCAAAAATATTTGCGGAACCTCACTTAAATCAAAAATTTTGCAAGAGAAAATTTTTAAGGGATTCTATTGAAGCCTCAAAAAAAACTTTCTCTTGAAGAAAATCAATAGGATTCAGATTCTGAACTGGTGCCGGGACTTCAACATCGAGGAAGTGACGATCTACGCGTTCAGCATCGAGAATTTCAAGCGGAGCGACGAGGAAGTCGACGGCTTGATGTCGTTGGCCGAGGAGAAGTTCCAGAAGCTCCTCGATGAAAAGTTGGCTGAAGTTATCTTTCCGAACCAGCCAGTTTCAAGGGAGGAGCTGAACGAAAAGAAGATCTGCTTCCGGTTCTATGGAAACGTCGCCCTGTTGTCGGAGAAGCTGCAGAAGTTGGTTCGGGACATCGAGGACGCTACTAGGGACTTCAAAAAGTTGGTTTGTGGGAATAAAGATCGATGTGGTTTTCAAAGACTTCTAGAAAAGAAAGGTCTATGAAAAATGAAACAAAAGTATAAGTTCCGATTTTTCTACTCCGTGAATTTCCGAATTTCATGGTAGTAAAAGTAGTAGCCGATCCACGGCTAGCTTGGGACGAGGTTTTTCTGCGCTCTCCGCAAACCAGGCACTATATTTTTCGTTTTTTTATCGTGTCAGGACCCTTCTTTCCGATAGCCGTGAATCAGCTATCTGAAGAAATTTTTCTACGCTTTTTCAGTGGACGCGTCAACGTGTGTATGCCGTACACGTCGCGCGATGAAATCGCCCGGGCTTTTGAACTTGTGAGAAAAGCTCACGAGAAGGTACGTAGTTTTGTTAGCTTTTGCTTCACCTGCGCTCCAATGCGATGGACAGGATTGATTTTTTTCATGATTTAATGATTTATCTTTTGGATCACTTTTGCGCCAAATATTTCATTTCAGAACCGTGTATCAAGTGTTTTGAAGACAAAAATGAATTTTATTTTGATTCCACAAAACCGAGGTTACGTATCCTTTTCATAGTTTCTTATCAAAAGATTAATAATAAATTTGAGAAGTAAAACCAAAAAAATAAAACCAAAAAAATTGAGATTTCAAAACAAAATTACATCAACAGCCGGGAGCTGAAATTGACTACTCGGACCTTGATAACGCGAATCGGACGTGTCGGGGAATTTCTAGTGGAAACTTTAGTAGCCTCAGCGCTCTTAAGTGATCACTAGAACTGCCCAGAAACGTCCGTTTCGCGTTACCAATGTCCGAGTAATTGACCCTGAAGGGAAGCTGGAGCGCACTTTCTATCCAACTAGGAAGAATGAGTGAAATTAGATTTAAATAGACTTACGAAAGCTTGAAAATCAATGATTCCGAATCGCAGGGCTTGATAGAGAAGGAAGAGATCGATGAGCGCGTCATCGAAGCCTGTCTGGACAGCGGCGACGGCACCAAGCCGGACATGTTGGTCCGCACCAGCGGCGAGAAACGTCTCAGCGACTTCATGTTGTGGCAGGTAGTCCCTGATGTCACTGATCTGCGTCTAGGGTTTGACATCTCTGAAATAGATATTTCCTTAAAGTCGAGCCTCTTGATTAGGATTACGAAGATATTTTTTGTATAGGTTTGCAAATTTTTCTTCGTTGATTTAATATTTAGATACATGTTTCACAATTCTAAAACTTATCATTTTCTTCTGTGGATCAGGAATTCTCGTTTCAAAACTTTCAAAATCGAACTTTTTTGCTATGCTGAAAATCGAATGTACATCATTTCTCTTGTTTTTTTAAATTCAGGCCGAATCAGGCACAAACTGAAAAATTGGAGAAAAACGAGAAGTTGGAAATTAATAAGAAAGTCTGGAGAAATTAAAAGACATTTCAAAAAAGTAGAGTAAACAGGCAATCTATTCATTTTTCAAGTATTTTAATCTTCTATTGAAGTTCAAATTTCAGTGCGCTTCCTCGCATGTCTATTTCGACGACGTCCTTTGGCCCGAATTTGACTATTACAATCTTTGCAAGGCAATTCTGAGCTACCAATACTATCGATCGACGATAACAAATGTGAGAATGAAAAAAAAACCTTTAAAGATAATTTTCTATTTAGGTAAACAACGAGCTGGAAAAAGGTTCTGCACTAAACAGCGATAAAAACGAAAAGTTTTACGAATGGGTGGCTGAGGTGAAAAGATCCAGAGAAATTTGATTTTAGACATTCCTTCTTTTCTTGTCTTTTGTGTTCTTGTCATCTTGCTTTAAGCGTTTTATCAATTTGTTAGGAGAAAAATTTTTAAATTGGTTTTGAATATTGCCTTTTCAGAACTTTGTACTCGTAATTTATTTCTCTTCCTTGTAGGGTTTGAATAAGTTGCCTTCGACTTTCTTTTTTTGGTCTGTGATATTAGGGCTGTGTGTCTATGTTTCTCTTGTGGCTATCCAAAGAATTTTCCAACTGTGAAATAAACTTTTATTCACTGATTAAAAGACCCGTTTTTCGGCGTTAAAAGGTAACTTGTTAGATTATAACTACGTTCGAGAATGTACAAACAAATTTTGGGAAACGGTTTAGAAGGCTAGAGCGAGGGCTAGGAATGTCGCGATTGCGCCGAAAGTCGAGAAGGTGGAGGTCGCAGAGACGAGCTTGGAAGTTTGTGCCTTGGGGTCTGCAAGGGTTTTGTGGGCTTTATGATGATTCCTTCCGTACAACAAAAAAAACTTTTGAAAAACTGAACATGTATCAGAAATACTTATTTAGACTTCCAGAGATCAAAATTGTAGGAGATTTTAAAAACACTTCCTTTTCAGCTAAATTTTTTATAGGAATTTAAAGTTTTCTTTTCGTAACTGAAGATATAACAAACAAGTCTGCTATCAAAAACTTCTAACCATTCTGAGCGCTCTGGGCGACGACGTCCTTGCTTTCGGGGGGTGAAGACGGCGTGGGCAGGCGGTAAGTCTTGATGTCGGAGCAAACTTGGGGCCACCTATCGAGTTTTTGCCGATTAGCTCTCATCATCGACTCACTTGTGGACAGCCTGGGTGTCGAGAGCCATCTTCTCCATGCTGGCGAAGGATCGGCGCGTCAGGTCGACGACGAGTTGGGCCGTGTCGAAGCCGCATTTGTGGGCGATGGTCGGCACGTCGCAGTGCAGGGTGCAGGTCACGTATCTGAACCGATTCCTCCTCCCTTCGTCTTTCTTCGAACTCACTCGCAGCCTTCGGCGAGGTACTGCTCGGCCTTGGTCGTGTCGCCACTCAGCGCCAGGTTTCGGAAGTTGTTGACCATCGACGTGATCGCCTTGTGATGCGGCGTGCACGTCTTCACGCACTCCTTGTCCGGCTTCATGTTCGACAAACAAGGGAACTTCTCGCGGATGTCTGGAAATAAACGTTTCGTATTTTATAGGCCATTTTTTTTCAATGAATCCTGCTGACTCTGTAGTTACCAAGTTTATTTGGTCCAGAAGGAATCAAGAAGAATTTCTCTAAAATTAGAAGTTACCACTCAGATCAGAGTACACCGAAGTCGACCCAAGATTTCACAATTTAAAAAAAATTGTAAGGAAAGGACTTTATTTGTCGGGTTCTACTAGTATCGCCATATTGGCCTGTTATTTTCCGAGTATTTTTCAGAAGTTAAAATCAAATAATGAGGTAAAATCTTTAAAGTAATGGTCTGTGCTTCACAAAAACCTTATTAGTTTAGTTTTGGTCATTTGAAATATACTCTTACATCTACCTGATCAAGATGTACGTCTAATAAAGATAAGGTATACAAATTAGACAGGCTTACCACTTTACAACATGTAATCAGAAATAAAAAAAAAAGTTTTTGCTGATTTTTCCAATGACTGGTTTGTTAGTTAGAAAAATGTGACTCGTGTTCTTTCTGTAACTTTCAGAAATTTTGGCTGATTTTTTTTTCAAAAGACACGTCTCACCATTGAAGTGATAGATGCAGTAGTGGTCGATGATCTCCGAACTTCTCATCAGAAGTTGGTGCAAGAATCCGGGCGTGCACTTCGAGGAGCAGTGTTGGAAGTCGTGGTAAATTCTTAGAAATAAGCTACCTTCCAGTTCGAAATTTTAAAACGAACCCGCAGAAGCGTTCAAAAAACGTCGTGTTCGAAAAGGAGTTGAGAAAATCGTTGTAGTTTAGCTGAAACTTTGAAATTCTATTGGCATTCATTGCGGCTAAAGTATTTAAAAAAATATTTTCAGGTTGTTGAACAAGTTTAAATCAATTTTTACTTCATTAAAAATGTACCTGAAGGAGAGAAGAAGCTTTGTCTTGACCGATCTGCAGCCGGATCTGGTCGATGAAGTTGAAGGCGCACTGGCCGACGCAGGAATCTGCGCTCATGTTGGAAGATGGACTGGAAAAAACTATCATTTTTGTTTCTGAAACTGAGAAAACTGACGGGACGGTTGGAATAGATGGATCCAAGGTCGGCGCATTGTCAAAAGCCGTCGCAAACAGGACGAAACTCGAGAGCAACGCCGTTCTCATCATTTCTTGGAATTATTCTCTTTATCGGTAACTTACGACTCGAGAAGCACGAGTAATAAAGAGAAAGAAGTATCTGAGATATAGTTCACGGACTGTTCAAAGCTATTTCCCGAGTTTTTGAAGTCGATGCAAAACAAAAACCGGCTCCAAACTTTCATGACATCAATTCTTCAAACAATCCAGCTATGATCAATTCATGATTAGACTGTGATAGTTGAATGAAAAAATTCAACCATCATTATTTCCAGAAGCCGAGATTTGAACAAAGTGCAGACAGGAAAGATAGGAATTGTCAAGACCTATTATTTTTTTTCTTTTGAAAGTAGGCGGAAGTTCGTATCGATAACGAGTTTGATCGCGGAAGACCCCGGGTACTATCGTTTTGTAAAAAGGAGAAGAAAAAGTTGTCATCGACACGAAGTAACTCGATGTAATGTCTTCCGTTTGAACGCGTTCTGTTTCAAGAAGAATCGGGAAACAAAAATTGATTCTGGGAAATAACTAAAAATGATCAAAATTTTGGGCTGAAAACTTGGGGAATTGAGGTTTTTCCCATGTGAGGTACAAATAGAACTAAAAGGAAAGAAGAGTTCTAGAAAATTGTTCTCAGAACCTTGAAATTCTTGTCAAGACTAATGTCCCTACAACGTCCTAACAATGGAAACCGCAAAGAATCACATAAAGAACTCGTTTTCCAAATCGGTTGGAGATGAGCCAAACACCCATGACCATGGACAAGGTCAAAAAGGCTCGGAATCGTTGAGAAAAGAAACTTTCGAATCGAAGGAAAGATTATTTCAAAAAAGAATGGACCTCAAAACGAAGGAAAGCCGAAGGGTCTCACTTCCATTACTAAACAAGTTGATCAGCCGTTTCCGTTGGTTCTCGGCCCAAAAGTGTGACGAAGCGCCGTGGAACGCACGAAAAGTGGCACAAAACTTCATGTCCCACTTTTCATTTGGCTTGGTTTCAAATCGAAGGTCGATAAATGACTTTAAAATCGATTATTTGTTATGAACGATCCTCAAATTAGAATCCCGATTGAAATGCAAACTTTTTCGAGACTTTGTAAAATTTTCATGTTTCGAACTTGAAAATTTAGATTTCTAAGGAGTCACAGTAGCCTGTGCGAAACTATAAACTTGAAAAATTCAACTCCGAAAATTTTAGACCATTATTATTATTGGACCTTCACAAAAAAAAGAGGAAAATCGAGAAAAAAGAAGGGTTGTAATCTCGACCGGTGAGGTTTTATACGAGGCAGTTACACCACGTAAAAGGCTTGGCTTCGATCATCCGCCAAGTGTTTTTGCCGTCGGAACCCGCCATTGACATCATGTCCTTGCCAAGAACAAAAGCTATTACACTCGCTGTAAAATGTTCACTGACAAACGACATATTTTGGCGGGAGTTCGAAGCTTCAAGCTCCTTTGGTAGTGAGGAGAAATTTGGTTATTTTTCGGTAATCTTTGGAAAAGTTCACTCGACTTTTCAAGAATTTTTTCTGCAGCTAACTTTTGAGCTATTTTTTTGATTCAGAAAACTTCTTTTAAAAATTCCACCATGTCTCCTTTAATGTCTTTTCTGTAGTTAGGTTTTTAAAAAGATCAGGAAATCTCATGCTTTTCTTTCTTTTCGAGTCTTCACTATTAAATGCTGAAGTTGATATTTTTCTGATCATTGATGCATTCACTATTTAAACTTTTATGTTATTCAGAATTTTTCTAAAAAAATTTCTATAGCTCATGAACCATTTTAATCAGCCAGCTGCGTTTTTAATCCGTTTAATTTCTTGATTTGTGCTCAAAAATTTCAAATTCAACTAGAAAGATAAAATGAGATTTTCAAGACGATAAAAATTTCGGTTTGAAAAAGTTCCCAAGAAGTTCGGTGATACTGAAAACGTGTCTTATCGTCGCATACAAAACCATCAATAAGGGCAAGGTTGATTGAACCTTTGAACGGCCATACAAGCACAATGAAAAGTCAGGAAGAGAGAAAGAGCCATTAAATCAGGAAAAAAAAGACTTTCGAGTGTAAAATTAGTGGTCTGGAATAGCGAAAAGTGATATAAAGTAAGGCAGGATAGTTCTGCGAGAAAAATGTCGTTCTTCACTTTTCTTGTTTTGTTGGTTTCCACCAGTTTTGTCTTGTGTCAGGTTAGTATTTTTTGTTCCGAGAAAAAATAAAATGATCGATAAACAAAGTTTTCTCATTGGAACTATTAAAAGACAGTTTTCTTTTTTTTTTTGAAATCGGTATCTTCTCTAAATTCGCTCAAATGGTCTTTGACGTATGCATTGTTACAAGAAAAGATCGTCCACATATTCACTTGTGGCTCAAATTTTGAGCTACCAAGTTAATAAAAAAAATTACTTTATGAAAAAAAATATGAATTTAAGTTCTGTGCTAAAAAGAAAGGAGAATATTTCCATTTGTGGAAAGTCTTTTGCTGAATGGAGAACATCGAAAATTTCAAAACCTAAAAAAAAAAAAACGAAAAAGTTATCTATGCCCTATTCAAACATTTTCTTACGAAGTTTTTACAGATGGCAGTGAAGTCTTCTCGAAATATTATGAAAGGAGGATATAACTTTTAAAAAAGCTGGGGTTTTCTTTTTCTATAAGCCAAACTGAAACACGTAGAAAGTAAAAAAAAACATTTGCACATTATATTACATATTTTGACAGATCCCCGATGTCGCCACTCAGTTGATGCTCAAACAACGAGGTCAAAACTGCCTGACGCAAATTCTGCCTCCTTCGCCTCAGGCTCTAGCCTATCAAACGCAACTCGCAGTAGGTTTTTTGAATCAAAAAAAAAGTGAAAACCATTTAATTTTGATAAAAACCGCTTCACATTTTTTTTTCAGATTTGTTTCAGCGTTGATTGTTACGTTCCGTTGATTCAGCAAGTGGTTATGGCCTACCCACAATACTACCCACAACTTCGAGCTTGCATGGGCTATTGATTTGGGGGATTCAATAAACACATTCTCCACCAAAATTTCTCAGCGTTCTTTGCTAACTTGCTTCAATCACTCTTTATCAACTTCTTGCTATCCTCTATAAAGCCCTGAGTGTTTCTATCGTTTTTATTCTTTTGTCGATTTGTCGATCAAAACTTAATAAGATTGATCAAAAAGACTTTTTCATTGATAAAATGCGTAGAAAGTTGTGCAAAATAAATAAAATTTGAAACGAAAAGCGTGAAAGCGATTTTGCGGGAGGAAAAGCTCAAACAGGCGGATTTTCGGAGAGATTCTCCATCACAAAGGTGGCTCACGTATCGGCTTCCTCCGGTCCGGAGACGTCGACCGAGTTTTGCTGCGATCTTCTTCTACTGGAAATTCGACGTTCTACAAATTGAGCTACATGACTAACTCTTCTCAAAGACCAAATCGACGGCTTCAGATGGCACGCTTTCGTGGCCTTTTTTGATTCCGGCTATCGTCACCTTGTAACTGAAAATCTTGAATTCTGCAAGAACTGTCCGACAAAAAACCCTAAGTCGACGTCTAAACTGAACGGTACGGAAATAGTGACGTCATCGCCGATGATGCTTTCCACTTTTTGGGACGTCATCGTCATGTTTGGATGGATCAAAGAAACATTGTATTTCTGAATTTGTCATTTTTTGCACTGAGTATAGTCTTGTCGGACCTCGTATTCCGAGTCTGGAAGGAAGACGAAAATTGTCGAATTGACAAAAGTGGCCGTGAAATTTTCCACGATAGGTAAATGACTCGCCGTTTGCAGGTCAAAGGGATAGGTCTGTAAATGTTTGAATTCTTTCAAGACAATGGCGAAAAAAAATGGAACATTTCTTATTGTCTTTTCTTCAAGTCGCTCAATTTCTGTTTATGAAAACCGGAGAAGCTTATGACTTATAAGAGATCAGGCTTAAAACCTTATAAGGGAGATAAATCTTATCAAATCTTTCAATGAACGCCTTGGGCTGACCTCACTCGCGGGTCCTTCGTTCTTGGCGTTGGTCGAAGAGACCTTCAACTCGTAGGAGACGTCGTCCTCCAGACCGAGGCTCTTGTTCAGCACCGCGTGGGTTTCCTTCGCACTCACGCGCACTTGCTGCAGATTCAGTTGCGTTTATAGTTTGGTCAACCGAGAGTAGGACTAACATGCCATTTTACTACGGATTCACCCAGTCGATGATAATAGATAGTGTAATGCTGAAACAGTTTGGTCGGTTGTTTTGGGGATTTCGATCGGAGGAAACTTGTATTTGGCCATTCGGTTTCGTCGGAGGGGTCCACTGGATATGGACTGTCTTGTCTTGGGCATGCAAGGACGTTAGGATTGGCGGTGTCTTTGGACCTCAAGAAACGATTCCCAGTGATTTTTTTGTGAATTTCAAAACGTTTTTCGAACATAATTTCAAGGTCTGAACGAGGATTCCTAATCAAAACATGCGTAAACGTTTATTTGCAGATAATTGAACTTTCTAAGAAGCTCATTGTTAACATTTCAAAAACTGCGCAACTGCTTTATCAGGCCCTTCAAGGGATATTCGGTCAATTTTCAGAAAAATCCAGCTTTTCCAGTGAAATCACCTTCTATTTTTGAAAGAAAATTCGGAAATTATTTACTTGATAGGAAAAAAATACAGTGACGTCATAAAATATATGAAAAATTATACTTTTTCGAATATACGCCTAACGACATAAAAATTTCTAATTGACTTCAAGATAAAAGTAAAACCTCCGTTTGGAGTTGGAATGATGAGTGCGGCGCTCTTTTCGCCTTCTCCGTGCTCATTTTCTGCAGAAATCCGGAGCGTCATGTTGACGTTTAGTGGAATCTGAAGTCCTGATTTATCAAAATTTCATCCAAAGGACAACTTCAGGGATTCTGACGGGCGGCCCTGCGACTTTCGTTTTGAAGTTAGACAGGTAGAGGTTGTAGTGCTGGAACGATAGTTGAGGTTTCAAAAATGACAAAAAAGACTTTCATAGTTTGATTTCATTAAGTTGGATTTATTTATATTCGTCGACCCTCTTTTTGAGAAAAATTCTTTGTTCTTCTGTTTGAAGTCAGCGCTACATGGTGGTGTTTTTAGATTTGAAAAATTGATGAAATTGAAAAATCAAGCAGAATTTACATGAATTCCTACTATTGGAAGGAAGCCAACGATGGCAGAAAAAAAAACCGATTTTTCAAAAGTTTCATCACCTTCTTCACAAAAAAATGTACTTAAAATCGTCCCTGGTCAAGAAAAAAAAATTTTGAGGGATTGAATAAGGCAACACGAAACTTCAAATGTTTGCTAAATTTTTTATTTTCTGATGAAAGTTTTTCTACAACTGTTTCCAGAAAAACTCTGTTCTATTTTTTTTTTTCTTCATTTTTAACTTCATGCAGCTCTGTCAAACTTACAACGCGGTGGCCATTCGGATGTGCGACGGGAGACCAATCGAGGAAAAGACTTTCGTCTTCGTCGGAAAAGCTCCAAGTTATATTGGATGGAGCATCACCAGGCCCTGGTGACGCCAATTAATATAGAACTGTAGGAATCTCCAACTTTTGATAACGATGATTCGCTGGATCGAGACGTTTTCGTACTTGTTGACGGCGCGGCAAACGACCGTTATATTTGTTGGAGAACTGACGAGAGGAGCGTTCGCCTCGAAAACCCCGTCCGACTCGTCGACAAGACGAATCTGAATCATAACAATTCTCTAATATTTCATATGGCTTCTTGAACTTCAGGAAATTCCGCTTCAGGATTATCATCAAACTTGTAGAAGAGGTCTGGAACCGGCTTGCCCTGACAAAATTGCTTCTTGAAAAATTAGTTTGAAAGTTTTTCAATAAAATAGCTGATCTGAAGTATTTCAAAAGAGCTGATCTGAAGTAGAAAATTCCATAAGTTTCTAAATCTTCATCAGTTTTTCAGTATTTTATGTAGAAATATCAAAACGCTCACGATTCCAGCGCAGCGGACGTTGACATTCTGGTCCGGCTCGGCTTCAAACTCGACAATGTTGTCAGCGAACAACTTCAAAGATATTGGCTCGTCTGAAAGTTAGAGTAAAACATCTCTACTCTGAAAAATCCTCTTCGTTTCTACTCTTGTATCGATGCACTCTCTCATTCTCTTCGTATAGTTGGGCTACCCTAATCTGCCATTTCAGTTACTTGTACTTTTATTAAGTTAACCTCTCTCTATCGTTATCTCACCTTGTCTAGTTTTCTTGATTCATGAGTTCGGAACCGGAATAAAGGACTATGACTATTAAAATGCTTACAAAGAAGGTCGCTGTCGCAAGGAACAGCATCTGAAATGATGCCGGGTCCTCTGTCGGAAACGGCTTGGATCTTCACGAAATGTCTTGTTTGCGGAGACTTGGAGTCGACCTGCGCCTCCAGGTCCGTCGTCTCGAACTTTTCCCAGTCAGACAGATCCTCGTCGTTTTGCAAGTTGTAGTACACGATGTACTTCTGAGTCTCAAGATCGATGCTTTTCAGAGTTCATGGATACCATGATGTCGCCGTTGGGAAACCGAGGCTCCTGCCAGGTGATGTTGATTTGATTGCGAAAAGGTGTCGTTTGGATTCGCGCCGGAGGGTTTCCAGGGCCTAGAACGCGGATTTCCGTGGAATCTGTCGCGTTGCCTTCGCCGTTCGACACAATACAAAGGAGTCGACCAGACTCGCTGATCTCGTTGCGGTACAGATTCGACCTGAAAACTTCTGAGTTAACTTTCTGAAGACCTTTTTTTCAAATTAGACTTTTTTATTTGGACTCGCTGGTGTTTGCCAGAAACTAATTTTTATACTTTTGATTGTGTTTTCATCAAATTTGCTTACTTTTCGTACAGAAAACTCGTTTTTGGAGAAGATATCGCCCAAAAACCGCGTTCGGTGTATACACAATTTAGACATACAGTGTGACAAACCGGACGGGCTGAACAAGTATGATGACGGAAAAGCACATAGGAAGTTGAAAACTAAGAAATTGAATAAAAAAAATGAGAGAAAAAACTGGAATATCAGAAATGACGATGAGTTTCGTTTCGAAAACAGTTTATTCAAATTTTGGATCGTATACCTCCAAAACAGAAACTCTGTGTTGTTTTGTAAGATATACATGAAATAAAAAGTTTTACAACATAGATCATCATCAATATTTATTGGCTGTTTTAGTCAGATGGAATCGACTAGGCGGTGAAAAAATTGCTCTTTTGAAAATAGATCTTCAATATCATTTCTTACCAGCCATTTTACTGGAAAATTTGTGAAAAAGTCCTACTGAAACACTCACACAACGAGGTGCTCGCGTGTGTGTTCGTGGATTTCCCATCCGCCCGAGCCGTTGACGACGGAGACGTTCTGCCAAGACCAGAAGATAGTTGGGGTCGGGATTCCTTCTCCCGAGCACGTGACGTGGAGTTTTTCGGAGAGATTCGGCTCTTTTTCAATAACCGGTCCCCCTTCAACCTTCGCCGTGGTCAGCAGTTCTGAAGATGCGAAATGCGAGTTTTGAATGGTCTTTTTCCGACAAACTTCCGCTTCCAGTTCGGAACCATCGCGGCTTGGAAGACTGAACGAGTCTCGAGGGATTGTTCAGGACGGCCGTCAACTTGACCCAGTACATTTTGTTTCGTTCCATACGGCTGCCATCGATTATGACATCTACCTAAGTTCAAAATGAACTGGCTGGCTGATTCTCCTGAGAACCGAGTTTGTGAGTTCATCGATGACGGTTTGAGTCGGCTGCACGTTTACCCAAGCCGCCATCAGGACGTCTTCTGTTGCCGCCATTTCCAGCCGGTACTTCTTCAAATGATAGATTGAAAAGAGAATGTCGCGTTCTGACAAGGAAAGTAATCTGATTCGGAACTTCAGATCAATCGTAAAATTCGCCAAGAATTTTCGATGGAACCGTATAAGGACTTTGAAATTCTCAGCCTGTTGACTTTTTTTGAGAAAATATGTTTTCCTCAAAAAATACATCATACAAAGTCACTTAGATTGAGTCTTAGAGGGATAAATGATCTCATTTCTCGAAAACAAGAAATTTATGAAGGTTGGGGCTTTCATCATCTTCGAGTCAAATGTCCTTCCTTGTGAATAATCGATTACTTGAACTGCGATCGTCTGATCATCGGGGTCCTTGACGGCGTAGAATCTGATGTGCACGGTGTTGTCTTCGTTGATTTCGGTTTGAATATCAGTCGGGATAGGTAATTCTGGAAAAAAAAAAAGTTGTTTCGACCTCACATATAATAGTGGCAATGAGAAAAAGTCCGGATTCAATTTCACTTTCTCCTCTGGCTCTTTTTGCGGCTTTTCCGAAGATTCTCTCAGAAAAAACGTGGTATAGTCTCTCCGCTTCGACTTGAAACTTTCCGAGTGTCTGCGTCTCTCTGTTTCCTCACCGGCGAGGTTAGAGAAATTTGAAAAAAAAAACACGTCAAAATAAGAGCGTAGCCGAGAGACGAGGAGGGCGCAGAGAAGCTAAAGTCGCAAAAAACGGAGTATTTTCTGATATATCCTAACCTAGAAGCATAATTTCAGAATTCAGGAAGTAAGACCGACTTTAGTTTAGGTAAAAAACGAGAGAACGGATTTTTGTAGTTTTTTAAAATTTTCTGGCCATGTATGTACTAGCCTAAAAGTCTTGATAAAAGTAATATTTTTCCAAAAAATGTATTCATCTTCTAGCCGTAAGCATCTTAAACTCTAACTGATATGACCCAAACTTCACTCACCGGAGTAGGCCGTTTCAAACTCAACGACGGAGCTGACAGGCCCGACGGCGTGTTCATTTTTGGCCGCAGCCCTCAATCGATAGAACGTTTTTGGTCGGAGTCCGATGTTATTGTCGAACTTGTACCTGTGGAAGGTGTGCTTTGATTCAGCCAGAACTACCTGTGCAAACTGACTTGAGAACATCTCCGTTGACATCCAAAGACTGCCAATTCAAATATTCTTCATTATTGAGGCCCATGTCGCGGGTGTAATACAACACGTATCCCTGGAGATAAAGTTAAAAATCTTGAAAATGAAGGATTTGGCTGACAGATATCGGCGTCGTGGAGTTGGGTCTTCTCCAGCGCAGAACAACCTGGTTCGCCTCGTTGATTTCGACTCTTACGTCATTCGGAATGTCGTCGGGACCTGAAAAAGCCGTTGATCAGATAATTAAGACTGGAGAATCTTTTGAATACCTCCATTGGGAGTGGTGAAAGTGGCCGGCAGGCTGGAAGGTCCCATCCCGGCTGCATTTCTAGCTTTCACCACAATATGGTACTGTGTTGACTTTTCGAGGTCTTGCGTCGGAAGCGACATCCTTTCGAAGGGAAACATCATATCAACTTTTCCCCATTGGAAATCAAAGAGACGCAGAAAAAAAGTCTTTTTCTATTATAAATAAATAAAACTTTTCGTTTAATTGAAGGTTGTTCCAAATGAATATGTGCTTGAAAACAGCTGAGAAAGTCTTTCAAAAAAAGTTAAAAATCGCGCAAAATTTAGAAATATCTTTTTATTGAACTAAACTTTTATGTATAGGGGAAGACCTCCAGTCTATGATTCAGAAAAATTCTCTTTTTTTATTTTTTTAATTTTTTTCGAGTCAATTTTATTTCTTCTCATAGATAGAAAACTACATCTAACAGTGAACCTAGCCTTATTCAGGAGTTCAGATCATTTACAGATGGAAAAACTAGATTTCTTCCCACTGACCTCGATATTTTGGCGTCTTTGGCTTCAGTTTCGAATTCTTTCCAGAGGCTTTTGTCTTTCTCCGGATCACTACTCACCATTGCTATGTAACTCTGAAAAGGCTTCGAATTTGCAGTTTGTCTTGGTTTCCTTACTGTAATTGGCAAGTTTGGGAAATGCGGGTTGTCCCAAATAACGATCGCTTCTTGAGAGTTGATGCCCACAACTCGCACGTTTGTAGGCATGTCGCCTGGCTCTAAAATCGGAAAAGAGAATCCCTAGAGGAAAATCTTCAATGATCATTAAGGTTTCTATAGGGGCCACTATGGAGTTCCAAAGGATATAACTTTTATGGGTCGTTCACTTTATAAAGGGAACCCATACTTCTCAAAACGAAATATCAATACTAACTATCGACTCGGAGCTCAATCGTAGAATAGTTGCTGCCCGGCAGAGTTCTTGGCTCTACAGTGCGCGAATTTTGAAGTGAGCGTGGAGAAATTGTGCGTGGCGGAAACGATTCCACTGGAGGCGGTGGCCTGGAGTCGCTGCCAAATGTCCACCTGGAAAGTAGTCTCGTCTCCAAGCAGCTTTCTTTCAAAATTGTCAATTTTTTCGAGAACAAAGCTTATATACTCGATTTAAGGCTGGCTTGAGTCATCGAAAAAACACTCCTGAGACGATAAAAAAGAGACAGTGTCTGGTTGTTGGAGAGCGCAGACAGGCCACGCCCCCAAGCTAGCCGTGTTTGGGCTATAAAACCCACAGTCAACTTTTCTATAGTAGCTCTAAAAGGCGGGCATGGAAAATTAATAACTCGAAAAAATTATTTTCAATCAAAAAAAAGTTAGCATTTTTTCTAGTGAGTCTGGAACTACTACTACTAGTCCTACTTCAAGATTTAGAAAAAAGACACCACCTCAATTGAAAATTTTATTCTTTCCCATAAGCAATATCCCTCGGCCATTTTATTCCTGCTAAATTTGGTTTCATTCTCGGTCAAACCTCAACGAGGCTCGCATTTTTGTGGTCGCTGATCGCAAAGGAAATCGAAGGACGCGGCTTTCCTCTCGCTGTGCAACGGACCAGAAGCTGAAAAAAACTATTTTTCAAAACAAAAAAATGCCATTTTCTTCAAAAAAAATATCCACGTAGTAGGAAAAACATAAGATATATATATATAACTTGATTATTGAGACAAGGATCTTTTAGACCATTCTAGACTTTTTTTCTCCGTGAGATTTCTTGCCAATCTGTAAAAAGCCTCGGACTTTTTCAAGCCAGTTTTGAAAAGAATACGATTTCAAACAAATATTGAGGTTGATTTTCTTCCTTTCATTGTGATAAACTGCTTTTTCTTCTCCTGAAGTTTCAAAAAGAAGCATCCAACTTTAGTAACAAGACAGCCTTTAAACAAAAACTCTCAAAAAAATCTATTGTTCATATTCTAAACTCCCCCCGCCGTTTTTCACAGCTCGAAAAATTGTGAAAAAAACGTCTCACCGGCTGCGATGGATCGACCACATGTACCTGCTCGCCAGAAATCCCATCGTACTCCATTTCGACCGTGATGGGTTGAGCTTCAAGAGAACATTACCGTTTCTGAGATACACTATCAACCAACTGTCGCGTTCAACGGCGACAATGTCGGATATTATTCCCGGTCCGAGGTCCGTCGCCGCCTGGACTCGCGCGTAGAAACTTTCGTCCGTGTCCGTGATCACCCTTCAAAAAGTGAAAATGATCATATTTCGAGAAGTAATTAGAGCTCAAACGAAAATGCGAAAAAAAATCGGAGAAAAATTCAGTTATTGAACAAGCCCTTGCTTACCAATTTACATGGCATTCCAAGCCGGAAAAAATGACTATAGAATAAATAATCAAAGTAAAAAAACCGCCAAAATCTTCCGAAGAATCTTCAAAAAAACGTTACTCTAATTGATTAGAAGAGTGAAAAATCGAAGAAATCCAAAGAAGAACCTGACAAAACTTTCAGACCCATCCAAGTCGATTTTCCTCCAGTCGGACAACGGATCCTCGCGATTCAGCGTATGGTAGACCACGTATTTCTGCCATCTGGATTGGTTTTCCAGACTCATTTCGAAAAGTTACCGTTATTTCGCCGTTGGGATGGGACGGCGGCTGCCAGGCGATCGTGTATCCGTTCCTTTCTGCCGTCAAAGTGATTGCAGACGGCGGACTTCCCGGTCCTTTTATCACAACCTGAACTATCGAAACCTTCAACATTGAAAAACATATTGAACACATTTCAAACATTTCCTGGCGAGTCGATATTTTCCTCGAAAAAAAAATTTTTAGTGGAAATAAAAGATTTTAAATGTAACGAATATAAATTGATGTACAATTAGTCCCAAACGACATTTTTAAAGTACAAAAAATTAAGAAAAATCTTCTTTTCTTACATTTTTTACAAATACGAAAAAAAAACTTCAAAAAAATCTCCTAAACGTGAAGCGAACAAAAATTAATTCAAAACTCACTTCCAACTCTTTCTGAGCGTCGCCGGCTGAGTTGGTGGCCACGCAAGAAAAGAAAGCGGATCGAGTTCTAAAGCCCAAAAAATGATAGAAATATGTTGTTTTCGAGGGAAACCTGGATTTTGAGCGGATGGTCGATTCAACGTGTTCATCGTGTACCGTAGTGGTGATTGTGTAGAACGAATGGTCAACAGAAACGCGTTCACCTTCAAATATTTTTTTTTTATTTCAATAAGTCCACATACAGGAACAATCATCCATGGAAAAAGCCGAAAGAGCGAAAAAAAATGGTAGAATTTGAAAATTCTATTGCAATTTCATTATCTTGCAGAAGAGTATTTTCTAATTTATAAAACCAAAATTTCCAATTGCACCAGATTTGAACAACTTTTCAACAACTTCCATTGATGATATCAGAAGAAACTCCAAGAATCAACCATTGACTTTCCAATACACTTGCGCCGGCGTGGAAGACCTGACGTCACACAGAATCTCCAGAGATTCCGACGTCTCCGGATCCATCGTCCAACGATTTTCAGAAGGCATCAAAGTCACTGTCGCCAGTTCTAAGTTATAATAATCTTTTTCTAAAGGATTCGAAAACCAATTGTATTTGTCCCAAAAGTGGCGCTATTTGACGTTGATCCGGGGACAATGTGGCCAGAAACGAACATTCGAACCTCGTAGGTTTTGTTGGATTCTAATCCGTCCAGCAGGACCTTAACCATTGATTTAAATATGTCCAAAACAATTAATTAACTTTTCCAGATGGATCCGACAAAAACTGCAGCGAGTTCCAATGGTCAGATGTCGCTTCCTTATATTCCAAGGTGTAGTTCTGAAGAATATCATTTTTAGAAATAAAAAAGTATCAAAGAATTTACAGCAACGAGGTCGACATCATCGCCTGGAACGAAACTTATGATGACTGAAGAGTTGTGCATAACTTTGGTCCCAACTATCACAGGTGCTTTTTGGAGCTGGAAATCGAATAAATTTATATACAGGATTTTATTTCTGAAAAACCTGCACTTTGAGTATTCAAAACGAACACAACGGAGGGCGCACTTTCTACATGATTGAGAAAAACGGTGGAGCGAATGCGGTAGTATGCCCGAGGATGTATTGAATACTTTCTTGCTGAAAAAAAATTTGTAATCGCAAAAAGCAAAATCGTCAAAAAAATAATTTTTGTTTTTGCGCGTCACAGTGCGTCGAGGTGTAACATTGCGTCACTCTGCTGCAAAAGTGGGTTTAACCCCAAAAAAACTTCGTATAATTCTTTTTTTCTATAGTAGTTTGATACTATGATTTTTTTATTTTTTTCATTCTTTTTTTCAATCAATTTTTTTAAAGATTAGAACAGAAAATCTAAAAATTTTCTGATGTCTATATAAATTTTTTTATATAAAAAGTATTTCAACTCTACCTGAAATCCAATTGTAGATAGGAACTTTAAAAAAAGACTAACAATCGAGGGTGATGCGGTAGAAGGGCCTGTCAGAAATGACTTCTTCCTGATCCCAGTCTCGGTATTCGTTGGTTGTCGAGTCGGCGTTCCTCGTGAAATAAATTTTGTAACCCTAAGTTTTCAAAATAGGCATCTTCAGGAAAGAAGAATTTTTTACCGTGACTTGACCCGAAACATTTGGACTTTTGCCCACAACTATATGAATGTTGAGATGAGCGTCGATGGAAGCATTTACAAACGCCGTCGTGTCTTCATTATTTTGACCTTATAATTAATTTGTGTTCCTTTTGAACTTTTGAAATTACTATTACCTGTAGTGTCGAAGCATTTCAAGCCGAATAGCATCAAAAGCAACAAGGATATCCGCATTTTATAAATATATTGTGCTGCTTAGATAAATCGTTGAAGAAACTCGCGGAAACTGAATGAAATTCGAAAAAATATCATCTGGGAAACTTAAAGAAGGCGAACGACGAAGAGAACGAGAGAAAACGAAGGAATGTACCCGTCGGACGACCAGACACTTGGTGCATTATTACAACGTTTGGGATGGCTCCAGTTGGCTCCCATATCGTTCCGAAGTCGATTTGACCTGTCCGGTAAGGTTTCTATTTATTAAATTCCTTTTTTTTAAAGAATAACTTAGTGTTTCTACATTTATTTTATGGCAAAATAAGCTTGCCAAATTTTAAGTCAGAAAAATCCTGAGGCTTCGGGTAATTGAATTAAAATTTTAAAAAAGAGGGAAATAAAAGTTTTCGCAATCTATTATTTTCCCTTCTCTGATGATTCTACTTGCCCTTGTCATGATTCAATGTTCAGTTTGTTCAAATTCCTCTGAAATTTTGCATTTCATCAGTAAAAGGAACAATTGTTAGACATTTGATTTAAACTTTGAATTAGTTGAGATTCCAAAAAACTTTTTTTGGTAAAATGAAACTTGTGAGAGTCATGAAAAAACTAGCAAGAAATCGAGAAAATCAAGGTGAGCTCAAACCGAGTTATGCAGGTCGGTTCGGAGGCTTCAAAGTGTAGGAATCCGCGGCTCGTGACACGAAAGCCACACGCGACCTAATCACATGCTCCGAAAATTCTTACAAAACGAGTTTTTTCCTTGTTTCTTACTGTTTTCCAAGCTTCAAAACATCTAAAGAATTTATTTCAAGATGAATTTTTGAGATTCAGTTCGTCGACTTTTTCAAAAGATACTTTCTTCATAACCACTGAAGCCGGTGTCTTGCCTGAAAATTTTTTGTCTTTTTGAAGATTTTCAATAAAGTTCAAACCTTCTTGTGTAGAAGATGATCCAGAGTTTGGAGATGTCTCAGCAGAATTGGCTGAAAAAGAGCGAATTTCTGGTCATCTGCCGAACTTTCAATTACTGGACGAGCTTTCTTTTGAGTCCGAAGATGTGCTTCCAGAAATGATATTGGCCTTTGTCGCTTCAGTTATCAGGTTCTTGACCTGACTCAAAGAGTAGCTCTCGCTGAAAATCTCCTTTGGTGTGCGAACCCATTCTTCAAAACCCATAATATTGGACTCTTCTAAGAATCCTTTGGCTTATGTTAGCTCAAAACTTATAATTGTTTTTAAAGTTCAAAACCTCGTTTTGCGGTAGGCTTTAGGTTGTTGGACCACGTGAGCGGGCGGAGTGAAGCTCATCTGGAAGTCGATCGCCAGTTCCGGCACCTTCTCCAAAGTGCGGCGTTTTACTCGACGGCAGCCTGGGAATTTTCGATTTTTCCGCTTGATCCACGGAATATACATACAAGGATCAGGATTTTTGAAATTGACGGCGTTCAAATCGGTCAAAATTTTAGCTCGTTCTTCTTTCAGGGCGGCTTGGTTTCTTTTTGGCTTCAACGACACAATGTACATTTTCAGTGACTTGCTGATTTTGAGGACCTGCCAAGTGAAAAGAAAGTTAGAAATTCCAAATGGAAATCCATTACCGATCCGCAATTGTTCTCTTTTCCACAGTAATTGGGAGCCGAGAAGAGCGTCAGCAAGCGATTTTCGAAAAGAAACTCGTGTCCGTCCTAGGCCGGCTTTTTTTCTTTCAAAAGGGAAAAACATACTGGAACAAGTTCATGGGCGCGGATGATCATGTCGACGTTCAGTTCTTCACAGACTTTCTCAACGTCTGCTTTCGTGAAAAGAACAGATACTCCGCGACTCTGGAGGGAATGTTTGTCAGATATCCTTTTTCTGTTGGATAAGATAAAATATTGAATATTTCTGGAAACTATAGGGAACACATTTTCGGTTCAGTCTTTTTTGTTTTTTAAAAGCTTGAAGAATCAGGTTGAATTGACGCCCGTCTCCTATTTCGTATAAAATCCAAATTTGAACAAAAATAACACTTTCAAGCAAATTTTTCGAACTTTAAAAAATCGATTCTTTCGGAACTTAATTTAGAGATTATATCACCTTCATGAGCCGATTTTTAGCAGCTTGAAAACTGAAGAATAAATTACAGCGTTAAATTTGAAGCTCGGAGCAGAAGTATCTCTGTTGGCGTCCGACCACATCAGATCCACCGCAAGGCCGGTGTCGCACTCGATTGGTTTCTTTGGCTTCTGAACTCAGAATGGCTCTCTTTTTCTGACTGATAATGTATTCAACGCACGGTTAGAACTTCAAGACTATTGTGGTTTTTGAGAAGCTCCGACAATCCACCGTGCATACACAGGATTTTGCCCTGAATCATTGCACAGAGTGGAAACTCGGCAAAAACCTGCAATCCAAGCTTAAATTCATGAAGCTGTCGCCGTTTCAACTTCCTGAAACAGGGTCCAGATCGCCGAGTTGCGTTTTCGACGAAGCTCTTCATAGAAACCGTAGATACGGTTTACTTTCTGCACTTCGTGGTTTCCCCGCAAAAGGTGCACTCGATTCGGATATCTCAGCATCATACAAAACAAAAGTAACATCAACTGAAAGGAAATTGCATGCGATTCGAGGAAAAATCTACTTTGAAAGGAAAATAATAGTCCATTCACCGCTGGTCTGAAAAGACTTTTATACGTTTCTGTATGCTTTAGTCGTTACAACGGGGAACAGTCTGATGTCTGCATCCTCTTTTTATCGTGATCATTTTGCTCGCTTTTTTTTCACGCTTTCCTTTTTGACTCTTTTGATTTTTCTATGATCATGCAAATGAGAAAAAAAGAGATTTGAACGAATTCGGGCCAAAGGAAAAAATAACCAAAGTTTGAACGTCGCACTTCGAGATAGGCAAAGTCGGAAGGGCCGAAAAAAGGCTCCATAGAAATATTCCTTTTGGGAGTGGGGGAATAGTTCCTTTTTCATTGCCTCCTTACGAAATTTCATCGGCTCATATGCACCATTTTTTCCGCTTTCCCTTTTTTTTCCATTATTTCTTGAATTTTTCGAAATTCTAAAAAAAGTATTCTCAACCTAGCGGTGAATGGATTATAGAGAATTTTTATTTCATGAGCCTGCAAGACGAAATATAAAAAGAAAAAAAAAGACAAACTTCCAAAGATTTTTTGCAGCGATCTACGTAATCGCCCAAGAATAGCAACTGATATTTTGGCGGTTTACCAACAACTTTTAAAAATCTGTAGAGTTTCTAATTACTAAAAAAAAAGGAATTTTAAACCTGAGCAAGTCGCCAAGCTGTCCGTGGAGGTCGCCAAATACGACAACCGGTGAACTTATCGGGATCAGCGCCGGCAGCGGCGCCAGAACGGTCTTTGCCTTGAAAATAGAACATTTTTTTTTCTGGAGCGGAAGTCCGAACGGCTCTAAGAATTTGACAAATTTGGTCATCTGAAAACCCATCGACAGTTCCAAATCTCATGATACGGTGTATCATTCTTCGCGCCAAATCCGACGCTTCTTCCTCAAAATTCGAAATGAGGTTTCTTCAAAAGTTTGTTTTTACCTGCACAGGAGCTTCTCCGACGGAAAGCGTTGTCATTTCGCCGAACTTTTTCAAGAAATGGCAGTTCAATTTTTTATATTGACTCGTTAACGTAGCTTTTGCCGTAAAATTCATTTCTGTCTTGCAATATAGGTTTTGTGGTTTATAGTTTGTTCAAAAACGGCCTGGTCTTTTAAACCCAAAACATTTTCCAAAAGTTCACATGTTCGAGATTTTCGAAATCCTCAAACGGAAACCTCCGCAGGCGGAGCAGAGCAAAGGATCATAAAAATTGGCTTTTTGACCAGAACTAGGCCGTTTTTAGTATCACAAAAAAGGTCATCTGACATTTTTGACTTTAGTTGTCTAGAAAACCGGAATTCCAAATGATAACCGTCGTCGCTGCTTCCCCACAAACCTATAAATGCTGAGAAAACTTTCTGTCTGTTATACTTTTCTTGGATCTTTTCTAAATCTGTTTTTGACTACTCAAACTTTTCAGGAAGAAGACTATGCGATTTTTCTTTTTCGTCGTTTTCCTGCTTTCTCTAATGGCTCTTGCTGTTCAACAAGACTCTCATTCAGGAGCTCAAAGTGAGTTTTTATCAAATTATAACGTATATTGTCCAATCTCATTTTTGTTAAATTGAAACTTAATTGCCAAATTTGAGAAAAAAATTTTAAATTTTTCAGGCAGTGGCGGCGAACGAGGGCAAGGTGAGTTCACATATTTTATAAAGAATGACCCATAACTTTTTAAACTGCGAAAATCTTTGATGATTTGAAAATCTCTTTACAGGGCCTTCATGAATTTTTCACAGCCCAACAAGGAGTTTTGAACAGTTGATAGCAGCTGATTGAACCATTTCTCCTCTAATCAACTTCCAAACAGATTTTTTTCTGAATTACAGGCCACGCGCGTTTTGAGCGTTCTCCATTCGAACTGGAAGATCTGGAAGACGGCGCCTTCAAGGCTTAAGACGTGTACAAACTGAACAAAGCTACATTCAAGCAGAATGAATTCATTCTCAGAAACATTTTGAGTAATAAACTTTCGGACCCATGGCGACCTTTCAAGAAATAAATTTATTAATTGAAAAGAAAAAGGGATGTACAGGAGCGGATGCTCACATGTTGGCGATGATGTCGCAGACGAAAGACGAGGCTCGTTCTCCGGCTTCCTTGGCGGTCTCCAGGACCTCGGCGTGGGACACTTCCACCGAGTTCTCAACGTTCAAGTTGGCGCTGCAAACAGGAGAAACGTAGAAAGGAGGCGGGACTTTCGGAATCACATGTTGGTGATGAGGGAGAAGCCGAGGCAGGTGATTCCGCACTGACGGGCGACGATGACTTCGTGGCAGGTCGACATGCCCAAAGCGTCTGCTCCCACCGTTTTGAACATGTTCACCTTAAATAGTGGATTTGAAAAATAGAAATTGATTCTTGGAAAGTCATTTCAAGGAGAAGGAATCTCCGAGGTTTTATATATGACGACTACTGGAGCATGAACACAAGTTCATGGTTCAAGAAGCAAAAAGTTAGAAGAAGAAGCCGGTAAATATTCCGCTAAATATCAATAAGCAGATTGAAGCTCGATAAGATGTAAAATTTGAGCTTGAAAATACTCGATTTGAAAAAATTTAGGATTAGTTAGATGTTTTTCTGTACTTCCCTCGCTGGCACTTTTTTTTTCTCATGCGTCTAATGTATACTTTTATGACCTCGCCTGTTAGATGAGAGGAGACGCAGACAGATCAGAACTTGTCAATTTATGGGGTCATAGAGTATAAAAATGTTTAATTTTGAAATTTCCAAGAAGGTGAACTATTTTTCTCAAAACTTTTTACATACATCCAAAATCTATGGAACTGACCTCTGCTGGGCTTTCGTATTGCGGACCGCCAGACATGACGAAAACTCCTTCGAAAAGCCGCATTTTCTTCGCGTTGGCGACAGCTATCGCCAAATTTCTTCAAAAATGTGTTTCAAGTCACTTGATCCATATGATGAGGGACCTCAAGTCTTTGTTGTAGGCATCATGAAGTGAAGTGAACAGACGACCGTAGCGAGGATCTTTCAGTCCAATGAGTGGCGAGTGGCCGGCAAGTCCCGGTAGGAAGATGTGGTCCTAACAATTTTAAATGTTCGTTAAATTGGAAATGAGAATCTTGTTTCTTGACTTCCTTTTATATCGATAGAATCTTTCAAAATATTGGTTGATTGAAAGTTTTTGTACAATGTCGTAATATTTGATTTGGAAAAAAGACTTGAGCACCTTGGAAGAAAATAGCTCAGCTCTTCGCTTTTACGATGCGATTTTTTCTACCTATTCAGTGCGCCGGACAGAAACTTCTCGCGCCAGTTGATATTCTGCAGCATGAAGGAAACTTGACATAACACTGAATTTGGAATCCAGTCCCTAATAGCTGGAAAGCAGCGCAACTAGAAATTTTCTATTCGTTTCATAGACTCTTTTGTGTTCCAAACCATGAGAATTATGCCACATCTCTGTGATACAAAGAAAATCCAACCTTAATAAGCATCAAATCGCCATATTGGAAGTTCTTGTTGATTCCGCCAGCGGCGTTGGACACAATCATCGTCTTGATGCCGAATTGGTGCATCACACGTACCGGTAGAGCGCACTTTAATCATAAAACCAATTAATCAAATATCGTATTTTTATTCTCTTTTCTATTCGAGATTAAAATTCTATTCATTTGTACGGCGTGCCGTAAATATTAACGCGTTTTCGATCGGCACTGTTGAGCTTTATTTACTGGACAACGACTGCCAAGGGGAAGGAAAAGAGGGCACAGCTTAAGAATTTGTTGGAACTTTGTTGACACAGGCGAATCGAGAAGGTATCATAATGTGTCCACAAAGGTACCTTTCGAAATGGATCGTGAAGACCCCATAATGACGTGTCCATCGTGAGACCGTCAGTATGAATTTTAGCTATATCTGAGCCTTCTCGGAGGTACCTGAGGGTCTCTCCCAAGTCTATCTTTTTTTTGCTCAAAGTCCTCGGAGGCATCCTCCAGGTACCATCGTGACACTTCAGACCCTGCGATATACCTATGAGGATCTCGCGATACTCTTTTTCGATTCGCCTATGGAGATACTCGAGAGGTCTCCTATCCTAGAACAAGCAGACAGTTTCACGTCTTTCGCCTTCTAGTCAAGCTATCGCCGTTTCAGATCGGAAAAAACTCTGCTTTTCTTTATCCCTTTTGAACTCTCTTCTCAGGACAAAAACTCACCAAAGCTGTGTTCATTTGGTGCTCGTAAGGATGGAACCGGCCTTGCATGCATACAACTTTCTTACCCGCAATCGTACCGAACAGCAAGTTTCCTTTGTGGCCGGGTACTGCAAACTTTCAAAGTTACAGATTTCCTTTCATTTTGCTTTTAATGCTCTTCCTTTTCATTCGTTACAATAAGGAACAGCTTAGCTTGTCTTCTCCATCTCCTCACTTGTTTTTCACAACATTACATCGAGAGAAAAGAGAGCGCAGACAAGTCAGACTGTATCAAGCAATGAGGAATGGCTTTCACATTTTGACTGTGAATATAGTCTGTCCGCCGCGACTTGACAGTTTTCGAGTGTCTGCGTCTGTCTGTTCTTTCATCGGCGAGGTCACAGAATCATGAAAATAGCACTTCAAAATAAGAGGGTCGCCGAGAGACGAAGAGGGCGCAGAGAAGTCCCACCCTTTCAAGTTGCAAAAAACAGACTATATCGAGCATTAGCTAGAAGCCATTTGTGAAAGACATAGAAACGAACCATTTGTCACCGGGAACCCAGGAATTTTGCTATAAGGAATGACGATGGGATTCTCGACTTGATCTCCAATTACGCCAAGTCCGGAGCCGCAGATGATGCCGATCTCAGCTTCCAAAGGCACGTCGACCTGAGCCCGGATCGCCGAAACCACTGTCAACAGATCGTCGTAGTTCTTCGGACTGAAAACGATTGAAAAATCGAGAGATTAGAGCAGAAAACTCACTTGATGACGGGATGGTCAGGCGGCGGCACATGGGTGTTGTTGTTGGAATGGAGCATGTCTCAAATCGAAAAATTACAGAAGTTTTCAATTTTTTTTTTGCACGGAATTTCATTCAATAAGAAAATCTTTATGGTCAGGAAACGGTTGTGAGAAGCCATGTTTCAAGGGCCAATACTTTTCCGAACCGTGCTTTATCCGAACCAAATTCCGAACCAATGATTTATCCGAACCTACTTTATCCGAACCACCCTATGCTTTATGCGAACCACTGTTTTTTTAGAATGCATGCTTTATCCGAACCACTTTTTTTGTAAAAAAAGTTTATTACTTTTTTTACTATTTAAATGCCGTTTTTCTTAGCTTTTTTTGCGATGACTAGTTGCCCCATAAGACTCAATGACCTGGAACTAGAATTTTTTCTGTCAATTTCTTTTTTTCGAATTTCTTGTTATATGAGTTTGATTTTTTTCGCTCATATTTTCTAAAAACATCCAAAAAAACTGATCTTCCAAAAATCCATCTTATTATTCAAGACTCTGAAGGTATAGAAAAATTGAACTCGAGCTGAAAAGAATATGGACATGCCCCGGTTAAACCTTGTTTCCCAACAAAGATCGCTTCTGGACGTTTTTCCTTGAACATTTCGATGCCTGTTGGTTCATCGTAGGAGAATCTGCGAACGGCTCATTAGAAGAAGTTCTCTCGAGTTCAGTTATTCGAATGAGATTTTTCTTTATGAAAGTTTCTAGACAGCTTTATGTATGGTTTTTTGACAGATATTATTTCTTAATATCGCCGCCTTTTGTGATCTTTCACTTCTTCCATGCATGTTGGTTCTTCGTAGGGGAATCTGCGAACAGCTCATTAGGACGAATCCCCTCGAATTTAGATATTCAAATAAGATATTTTCTTTAGAAAATTCTAAGAAGGTTGAAGAAAGGCTTTTCAAAGCTGAAATAATATTAATCAGCGTTCTAAAAGTGAATGATAAATAATAAAAGATCGAAATGAGTTCGAACTTTTGCTGGCTCCAGCCCAACCCATTCCATTCAATGTTTTACCCGTTCCGACCGTTCCCTTTTTTTGAAAGCTGATCGTTTGTTCAGGAACATTCAATGATTTTTTTGTCATCGAACATCTGTTGTTTTTTTCAACAATAAATTAGTCCAAATCTAGCAAAAATTTTGTTTCAGCAGGTTTTCAGGATGTTTGAAGGAGGCTCGGAAGGTTGACGAGAGGGGCCTCGGAGATTCGCTGCCACGGAAATCAAAAATTCAGAACTTTCAAACGGCTGAAAGTAATTTGAATCTGAGCTTCGGATATTCAGAATTGCAAATTTTTCTGACACACACACTCAAATCATTTCAGTCTTTAAAAAAATATTTCGTTCCGGATACAGCAGGTTTTCAGGAGGTTTGTAGGATGCTGGGAAGGTTACGACAGGGGCGTTCAGTCAAAAAACAAGAAGATGCCGACAGGAATCACTTTCAAAGACGTTTTTTTTTAAAACTGAACGTGGAGACAGCTGAAACCAATCGAACGTGAATTTTTGGCATGCTTGAATCGGATTTTATCATTGTCATCTACACTGAAACCTTTTTTTAGATGTATTCGGAACGGCAGAAAGAATTTTTTTGTCAGAAATTATTTCCATTGAGCAGTTTTTCTTGATTCCCACAGGTTCTAGAACCTGGCTGAAAAATGCAGGTCAAAGATCTGCTCGCATTCAATTGTTTTGGATAGAAAAAAATATAAATGGTAAATAAATTAAAAAGTTTAAGGAAAAAAACTTTTTAGGCCAAACTTGTCTTAACATACAAAAAAAGGGCAATATTTGCAGGAAAAAAAATAGAAATTTTTAGTGGTAAATCAAATATTGTAATCATGCAAATAATTAAATTTGAAAAAAATCATGACGTATATATAAAAAAATACAATGAAATAAACAGAAGGAATTGCTAAAAAGAGGAAAAAAATTATTTGCGCTGGCAAATCTCCAAGGGAAGAAAGTGCAGGTATCGAAACGATGAGAAAGCGCGCGAAACCTTTGCGCCTTCGTAAATAATCGTTTTTTTTTTCGAAATAATCGTTCCTTTTTACGGTTTTCTGGGCATGCTGGAAAGTGCGCGCTGTGCGCACTCTTTTCTCGTGCGCACGTAAGGAAAATGCGCACTCTTTTTTCAAATTTTGTACAGGAAATTGCGCTCTCTTTCTAACATCAAGAAAATGCGCGCGGTTATCAAATTTTGTCCTTTCGGATTATTTGAAGTTGATATAACTGATTTTTCAAGCATTCATCTTTTTAAATAGTAATACCAGGCGGTCACTAAACTGGTCACACTGATTTACCTTTCACTTAATAATGTGTTTTTTTAAATTTTGGAATGTTATTTTCCGAACAGTCGGCGTTTATAGTTTTTTTCAGAACTTGAATGCCACAGTCGGCGTTTATAGTTTGTTCAGAATTTGAATGTCAAGTCATCGGTCGAACTCCGCCTCTTATGTGTAGATCAAACCAATTATAGAACGAGCCACTTACAGAGCTTTGTTTGGGACGGAGATTGCTGCTTGACATTCCAAATCTGGACAAACTATATTAAAAAAAAGGAAATATGTGAAATAAAAAAATCTAAAAGGACCTTTCGAGGCTCGAAAAAAATTTCTGAAGAAAAATTTACAGGGTGATGAATTATTACTGCAACAAAATGAAGGAGCTGTCAATATGTCAATAGTCAATAGTCAATAAAGACCGGGAACTCACAATTTTTTTATGAAGTTTTACAGGGATTTAATCACAAAATACGAAAAAGTTTTCCATAAAATATTTTTGTAACATGAACTGCCGCTCGAAAATGTAGCGGCTGCGGCACGCAGATGGTCGAGATCAGTTTTGCCACAATTTTTGAGCAGAGCGGCCAAAAGTCAGTAGGAAAACTGGTGTGTACTGTTACAAGCGGCACACTGAAGTTTCTCAAAAAAAATGGAGTCAATGGGATAACAGAAAAAGAACAAGACTCCATTCTTCTAACCGGATAAGACCTTTTCCGATAAGGACTCAAAAATTGGCTTGAGCTGACTAGGGAACTAAGCGAACTCGTATTCACGGATCAAGTTCAAACTTTGGTGTTTTAATGATCTAAGTAAGGGTACTTAAAACAGGCAATAAAATCTGCTAAACCCCATAAGGTACTGAAAAAAAGCGTTTTGAAAATGAACAGTTAACTGCGTTTCGGCTTGAAAAATTATCAAATTTCTGCTTTTTCTCCTTCTGGCTGGAATAGAGTTTTTAAGTGTTTATTATAGCTGGGTCATTCGAGACGATTGTATTGAAATATGAAATAAGGTAAAACACAGTGTTCTGAAAATTTTCAGGCTTGATCTGCGCATTTTCTACAAATTTTTTCTTAGTTCTCTATCCGGTTTAACAGGTATTCTATCTTGTTTTCATGTATTCTGGCTCAGGTCTACAAACCACTAAAGTTTGAACTCGATCCGCGAATACGAGTTCGCGAAGTTCTCTAGTAAGCCTATTTGACCTCGAATCGAATCGCCGGCGCTCCGTTCTTTTTTTAATTAATTTTTTTCGAACTATTTGGTTTTCATATCACGAACGAGGCACACACCTTTGAAATTATCTTGTTTACTGCTCTCTGAGTTGACCTCATCTCTTACAGAAACTCGAAAAAAAGCTGAGTTTTGCCGTTTTACGAAGTTTCAAGCAAAATGACGTATTTCGAATGCAAGAATAGTAAAATAGCCCAATCATTAATATTAGCAACTGAGTGTTGCTGCAAATACTCTGACAGCTTCGATGGTGTACTTTTTTTTGTCTGTACAAACACAGACGAATCAGAAGGGCACCTTGATTTTTCCGCAAAAATTCCTCTCAAAATGGATCGTGTAGACCCCATAACGTGTCCATCGTGGGACCTCCGGCATACCTTATAGCTATATCTGAGGCATCTCAGGGGGTACTTGAGAGTCTCTCTCTAGTCTCACTAATTTTTGCTCAAAGTCCTCAGAGGTACCATCGCGAGACTTCAGACCCTGCGATGAACCTCAGAGGGTCTCGCGACACCCTTTCTCGATTCTCCTATGAAGAGCGTCCAAACAGCGTGCCAAGTGGAGGCACACCTCTATTTTTTTCGGAAAAAAATTTCCTTCATGTTTTTTTAAAAGCTTTTTTTCGACTTTTTTTCCAGTTGACAGGCTTACATAAACGTGAATCGTTACCAATTTTGTGAATCGAAACCTTAAAATTACGTTCAAATTGAGCTTCAAGGCAACCTTATCGAATAATATCTGAAGGTCGCAATAAACTCCATTTCTAACCGCCTTGATGCGTAATTTAATATCTTTGATTCAAGATCCAATGTTGTACTTGGCTGTAAAAAAATCACTGAAAGAACTTTTTGGTGGTTCGGCCCGGCTCAAAAAAAGCTCAAATTTTTCTTCATGTCGAATTTTTTTCGCTGTTTTAACGAGAAAATCGGGGTTTTTGCTTATTATTCCTCATTGAGTTATTAAAAACTGTGATTCAGCATGTAAAAATAATTTTTCTGTGAGAATTTTTCTCGAATCTCTGGCTTGAACTCGCGCTTTTTTTTGAAATTGAAAATGAACGCCTAAAGGCCGGGCTTTAGGCTTTCATTTTTTTTTTCATTGCCAAGCCTGCCTGCCTATCCGTAAACGCCCAAAAGGCAGAAACGACTTTTTGAAAATCAGCGTGGCACGACGGTCATCATATTATATATAGGTAGGAATAATGACTGGAACAAAAATAAGCTCGGGTCGGCGAGAACTAATCCTACAAACTTTTTGTCGCTGTAATTATTCCTCCACTCTGTATTGTTTAATGTTATCAGATTGACAACATCTGTATATTTTGAGAGCCCCTCACTTTTTTAGCAGATTTTCGCGGCAGCTTTTGAGACCAAGCTTGAAATCAGCTTGGTCTCAAAAGAGAGCATCTCACTTTTTGCAAAACTACACCTGATCTCATTCCGAAGTGACCGCACATCATTCGCTGATAAGAAATATTCTCCATAAAATTTCAAATAATCAAAAGCTGTTCAATACATCTTTAGCTGAAAGACTTCTTCATGACAAAGACAAAAGTGAGATGATTTATGCGGACTTCAATCTAGAAAAGAGCGGAATCACCGTGCGCATTTTCCTGATGTTAGAAAGAGAGCGCAATTTCCTGTACAAAATTTGAAAAAAGAGTGCGCATTTTCCTTACGTGCGCACGAGAAAAGAGTGCGCACAGCGCGCACTTTCCAGCATGCCGGTTTTCTGCCAATGTTCCGAGCTTTTTTTCTCTCTTATAAGTTTAATTCCCTTCTTTTTTTAAGTCATAGAAGTCAATTTGTATTTCGAGTGCCTTTTTCTAAAGTTATGAAGGAAAAAGTTTTAGGATATCAAAATAATTTCTTTCAAAGTCTAATTTAATTTCCATCTCATTTTAATTTTTCATTAATCTTTTTTTCCTGAACTATCTGGAACGAAATATTTTTTTAAAGACTGAAATGATTTGAGTGTGTGTGTCAGAAAAATTTGCAATTCTGAATATCCGAAGCTCAGATTCAAATTACTTTCAGCCGTTTGAAAGTTCTGAATTTTTGATTTCCGTGGCAGCGAATCTCCGAGGCCCCTCTCGTCAACCTTCCGAGCCTCCTTCAAACATCCTGAAAACCTGCTGAAACAAAAATTTTTTTGCTAGATTTGGACTAATTTATTGTTGAAAAAAACAACAGATGTTCGATGACAAAAAAATCATTGAATGTTCCTGAACAAACGATCAGCTTTCAAAAAAAGGGAACGGTCGGAACGGGTAAAACATTGAATGGAATGGGTTGGGCTGGAGCCAGCAAAAGTTCGAACTCATTTCGATCTTTTTATTATTTATCATTCACTTTTAGAACGCTGATTAATATTATTTCAGCTTTGAAAAGCCTTTCTTCAACCTTCTTAGAATTTTCTAAAGAAAATATCTTATTTGAATATCTAAATTCGAGGGGATTCGTCCTAATGAGCTGTTCGCAGATTCCCCTACGAAGAACCAACATGCATGGAAGAAGTGAAAGATCACAAAAAGGCGGCGATATTAAGAAATAATATCTGTCAAAAACCATACATAAAGCTGTCTAGAAACTTTCATAAAGAAAAATCTCATTCGAATAACTGAACTCGAGAGAACTTCTTCTAATGAGCCGTTCGCAGATTCTCCTACGATGAACCAACAGGCATCGAAATGTTCAAGGAAAAACGTCCAGAAGCGATCTTTGTTGGGAAACAAGGTTTAACCGGGGCATGTCCATATTCTTTTTCAGCTCGAGTTCAATTTTTTTCTATACCTTCAGAGTCTTGAATAATAAGATGGATTTTGGAAGATCAGTTTTTGGATGTTTTAGAAAATATGAGCGAAAAATCAAACTCATATAACAAGAAATTCGAAAAAAGAAATTGACAGAAAATTCTAGTTCCAGGTCATTGAGTCTTATGGGGCAACTAGTCATCGCAAAAAGCTAAGAAAACGGCATTTAAATAGTAAAAAAGTAATAAACTTTTTACAAAAAGTGGTTCGGATAAAGCATGCATTCTAAAAAAACAGTGGTTCGCATAAAGCATAGGGTGGTTCGGATAAAGTAGGTTCGGATAAATCATTGGTTCGGAATTTGGTTCGGATAAAGCACGGTTCGGAAAAGTATTGGCCGTTTCAAGTGCCAAAATATCTTGAGCCATTCTAAAAAGTCGAAAGGAAAAAGAAGGTGCGGAGATCTTTCAGCGAGCGAAGCGACGTGAAAGAGGTGATTGACTGGTTTAACCAACGTCTGGCCTATCATAATCGCCTTGATAAATGATAAGAAGGCGAGGGTTGGTGCGTTCCTCACTCCACAATGATTATATAAGACATTTTGGATGAGAAAAAAAAAGAACTCTGGCGCATTTGATTTGATAAGAAAATGTGATAGTCGAAGCGTAAAGGAAAAAGTGATTGGTTTGATAAACTTTTTCGTGAAGCAAATTTTTGGGAAAAAAAATCTCTGAACTCCATCTTTGAGAATTGGATGCTTTTCGAACAAAATTTATATCGATTAGATCAGAATAAAAGTAAACGTCACTGATTTAATGCACTAAATGAACGATTTTCTATTTTTCTATTTATTTTTTAAAGCTAATTTCAAAACCAACCACTCGCGACCATGTTTTTGAAGCTAAGTAAAAAAATCAGAAATGAAAAGAAAAAAACGTGAAATTTACAACTTGACCTATAATCACTCCGACCTACTTTTCTTTAAAACCACAATGAAAATTAAAATGGTATTATTGAAAGTTTGAGTTGCTGAATAAATACGGGAGTTTGTTAAATTATAACAGGACATCTAAGTAGGGTGAATAACCTTGGTACTATCTAGATCTAGCCGAAAATCCGGGAAACTTTTTCGAAGTTGTTATAGAGGTTTTGAACACACTGTACAAGACAACAAAGAGAAAACTGCTGACTGGCGAAAAAAAAGGGAAGCCAAGTGTCTCGTGGTTTCTTATCAACTTAGCGACACAGGGTGGAAAGTTAGGTTTCTCAGCGAAAAATAATTTATCAGCGAAATATACAAAAAAGGAGAAGAGGAGATGTTCAATGGAAACGAGAGGCGTAGGGGACTTCGACCAGCGGACGGAGTTGGTTGTCGAAAGACGCCAGCGGCAATCCTCGAAGTTGACCCGGAAAGCCGAATGCTGAAAAAACTTCATCGATTAGTCGACTCATCGAATGATCCATTGATGAAAATAGTAAAGAAAGTTTTGTTTTTGAAGACTTTGAAGATTGGAAATCAAAATTCTCATGAAAAAGTTAGAATTCTGTTTGATAACTAACCATAGATAGACTGAAGTTAGAACTTACTTCCACATCTTTTCAAAACTTTTGAAGTTATTTATCCCTACTCCTGGGATAATTGAAACATTTGCTTGCTCACTTGCTCATGGTTCTCAACTACAAAAACATGTTTTCGGGAAAAATTAAAAGTTTTTGAGTTCTATGAAGGGTGAAATTGACTTGAAGTGATCCTGAAAATTCTTAAAAGATATGAAAATAAGATAAATTATAATCCATCTAGTAACAGCTTGACTCAATTTGGTAACTCATAAAGTTCATTAATTATTTTACAACAAGTTAGTAATTCTTTATGAAAAAAGTGGGACTTTCTGAAATCTGTATTGCTGTTCATAAACCATAGAATTTGATGGCTCTTCTCAATTTTAATAAAGAAGAATTACTGATTAGACCTCCAGAATTTGGGAATCCTTGCATGCCCATCATAGAAGAGCCGCCGCCGAGGCCGGATGGAGAGTTGCCCAGAGTTCCGAACTGCGAGTTCAGACCAACTTGACCTGCTCCATTCTGTCCGAAGCCGTTGTTCAACCCGTTTCCGACGCCTAGCGTGTTTGCTGTAAATGAACTATTATCTCAGAAGCTAAGAATAACCATGGATTTAATCTCTTTTTTCACACGGGCAAGGCGACCTCCAGAAGGCCTCAAAAAAGACTAAAGCTCCTTTTTGAGTTCCTAAAAAAGGTATCTGAAGTTTCTCGAAACCTCCATTTTTCACCTTTTCCGCCTCCTTCTTCAAAAGGCCCTTATCTGAAAAAAGTCAAGAAAAAAAAGCGCATGTGTGGTTTTTTCCGAAGGTTGCTTTTTTTTTAGGTCCTTTGGGACTTTTACCGTGAAGTGAGAAAAAGAAAAAAAATGACGGAAAATTAGGAACTAATCCGTTTCATTCGAAGATGGCCCATGCAATATATCCAAACTTCATAGCGGAAACAATTTTTCAATTTTCCTATGAAGTTAGGTTCCCTTAAGAGTATTTTAAGCTATTCAAACCACACTCTACTGAAAGTTAAAAAACCAAAAAAACTTTAGAAGAGAAAAGAAAAATTTTATTAGAAAAAGTCAGTTCTATGCTCATCTCCGCCATCATCATCAGCAAGTTCAGGTTGCTTTTTCGAGCTTTCCAGTTTTTTTTTCAATTTTTTTCGCCTGAAAAATCAAAATTGAGGGTCCCACCATTCGATCCGTAAAGATTCCCGGAAGTACTCGAAGGATCGCTACTGCAAGTGCAATCCAAGGACTGGGCCGCTTGCAAAAGTTGTGCTGCAAATCCTTAATTGAAGACACGATTAAAGACTATTTTTGGTCTTTGAAATCTTGATATATATTTGGATAAAATAAAAAATCGTGTTATAAAAATGATATCATGTCTACGAAAATCCATGGTTAGGGATATTGCCATTCAAGCGCTAGAGTAAAGAAATCTGTGTTCTTTAAAAAATCAGTTTCAGGAATGCCAACCCAGAGTTTCCACGCCGCCGTTCCTGTTGGCGGCCTGACGGTTGATTATTTCTTGCTGCCTCCGCACTTGTTCCTGAACTTTCAAAATTCCATTCACTTGCTCAGTTAAAAAGCAATGAACTTCGCAAAATTATGTGCTTCAATAAATTCCTTCTGAATTATTCTAAACGTTCGCTTCTGTCTACGTAGCCGTGAAAACGCGTTTTGTGAGAACTGAGTTTTTGGATAACGAAGAATGCTTATTTTTTTAAAATTGTGTTAGTCTTCTCAAGAATTCCTCAAAACAATGCTGTTTTCTCAAAACTTCAAGTTGAAGCTTACTTATGTGTGAGGAACTTCAAAAGTTTGAATTCCGCGGGTCTATTCTGTGGAGCATATTTGTTTGTGAATATAAAAGGAATTATGGGACCTCGAGCCTTTTTTCTTAAAAATCGAAAAGTTTTGTGGGTTGAAACTTTGATGATCTCCACAACGGTTCACCTCGCCAAGTTTCAGGATATTGAAAAAAAAAATCGTTTCAGCGCATTTATGGATTTTCTTCTAGGTCTTTGGGAGTTCGCGAATCCGCCGGAACCCCAACAGGGAAAATATATCGAAAAATCTGAAAATACGATTTTGATGCGAACCTGAAGCTGAATAATTTGCTGTTGGGCCATCTGATTGGCGTCGATTGGGGGCGGAGCGTTGGCGTTGGGAGTTCGTGAGGTGCAGCGGCAGTTGAACGAGAAGCTCGCTCAAAATCCCCTTTTTTCCACTTTTTAAAAATTTTTTTTGTTCAATAAGAGTGAACTTTGGTGTAATCATCAGTTTCTATGACTCAAATTCTCTTCAATTCGTTTTTTCTTTCATTTTTTGTCGCAAAGCAAAATATTTGACACTTTGATCTTCTGTCAATTGGAAATCTTTCTTTTCTTTGAAAACTTGAATGCGTCATTCAATCTGCTTCAGCTGATGTCTCACTACAAAGGAATGTCATGCTTCCCGTTATTTTAAGACCGGGAGATCTAAAGGAAGATGAAAGATGAATAGGGAGGATTAGGGAGGTCAAATGAATCTGAACAAAAGCCTTACATGGCATCATCATTCCGGCCTGTTGCTGTGGATAGAGGCCCATTGACGGTCGCATCGAGTCCTTGAAATCCTTTAGTTATCGAAAAAGACCCCATTGTCTTCAAATATTTTTCTTTAATTCCATTTTTTTGAAAGAATAGTTCGCTCTGCTCTCCCAAATTTTTGTACTCGGTAACACGAATCGCGCGAAAAATGAAAATAAAAATCATATGAAATGATACGTTCCATCCCAATGCACAGAGAGGCTTTTCGTTTGTTGCCTTTTATGGGAAAAAGAAGACTAACTCCTCCAGCTCGCAGGTAAATTGAAGGATCGAGTTGAGCCTCAATAGTCGGTTTTTCTTTTTCCTCGGCCAGAACCTGCAATTTGTGCATTGTTGTTCACAAGTCGCCCTTCGACAAAAATTTTAATATTTGATTTCGAAAAGGAATTTTTTGCGGAAAATGCAAATTTCAAGCTTCCCGGCTTGAAAGTGCCGTGTAGAATTCGCCCAAGTTCTGCGTTTTTTTTAGAGATTTTTGAGCCATATCTTTTCCTAATTGTTCTTAATTGAAAGAACAAATTTTTTTATTGTGTTGAACTTGGAAATTAGTCAAATTTTTGTTTTTTTCAAAGATAACCCGTTCATTGTTCCAATTACGGTTTTTCACGATTTTTTTGTTTTTTTGACAGGCTACAGCAACCAAATAAAATTTCGAAAAAAAGATGTGATAGACAAAAATAATCATTTTTTCAAAGTTTTCATCTGAAGTTTTCATCTCCACTTTTTCATTGGGAAAAATGAAGGAAATCTCACCTGTACTACAAAAACCAAAGCCCACAGAAGCATATTCCGCAGTTCGGTCATTTCAAAAACAGCAAAAAGATGAAAATAGAAAAGTAGACGAAAAAATAAAAGCGACTGTCGCAAAGGAATCAAATCCGAAGAATGACTGTGGTGGATCGGGGCGGATTTGCGTTGGAAAGTACTGCTTTCTTTTGAGACTGACCGGTTGCGTGTAATCTGACCGGCTTTCCGTCATCGAAACATAGCTCTTCGTTTTTTTTTTTTTCTCTTGTGTAATCTCCCATTTTGGACCACCGTCCGTTCCACTCTGAATGCACGAAAAGGAACACTCAAAATTTAGTTTCAACGCGATTTCTTCCAGGGAATCAGGTTTAAGCCTTGAAGAGGAAAAAAACTAGCTTGTGTTGAAGCTCGCACTCTTCTGACTAGTTTTTATGATTATTAATTGATCTTATCACATAGTGCAGTCATAGGAACCGTTTCTCATAGAATTTTCCTATTTAAAACTCATAAAAACCCGAGTTTTATACTATTTAAACTAAATCGGAAGATGGTTAATTTCGAAAACAAAGAATTTCATCTCTATAATCATTGAGAAATTTTTTTACTGTCGGTTGTATTTTCGAATCTAACATCTAACATGCAAAACCTAGTTTCTACCGACTGATAGAAAATGCCAAAAAAACTCCTTTATTTTTTCACACCGTCTTCAGAAAAAATATATGACTTCACCTTGCTCCATTTGTTCTTTTTTAAATTTTCATCTTAAAAACCTCATCTTCAACTTCTCTTCAGAACGTTTGAAGCTTTCTCCGACTTTTTTTCAATCTTAGCTTCTGATAAAAAAAAAGTTTCAGCGGTCAAACAGGGCTTATCAGTTACTAAAATGCACACCGCGATTCTTACCGTAATCGCATTTCTGATGCTTTCTCAATACGCCGAGGCATGGCAGAAAAGCGAAGGTGAGATCGATTCAATTTTCAATCTTTCTATCCCTTGATAATTACTTTTAAAATGAGTTTCACAGTCTTGAAAATATAAATAATCTTCGAAAAGAGATTTCTAAAAAGTCTTCGGAAAAGTGGGGCTTTCAGGCAAGAATCCAAAACTTCAACGTCAAAACTCTATTGACCTTGACGAGCAGGACAGCAAGTCTGGGGATCACGAAACGACTCAAGAAGCTGAGGCTCTCTACAACTTTCGCGAACTCAAGTAAGCTATTGAAAAGCTATCGCCAGGGCATATTTTGCTCGATTGAAATTGATCTTCGAGTTATGATTTTTAATTAATTTACAACAATCCTTCAAGCCACCGTAAAAATTAGTTTGTGCGGAGTGCTGTGCGGCCTGGGACGGCCCGACTCGGGCTTTGGACACACTTTTCGCAAAAAACTTGCGCGGGCTTAGGCCAGGCCAGCCTCCGAAGGAAAAGCTTTATCCAAATTTTTTTACTTTTTATGTCATATTTTCTGTTGATATCTTAGTGATATAAGAACCAGAAACGCGATTTTTGTCTTTGAAAAGTCTAAATCTTGACTTGGAGAGCATTTTCTTTTTGAGACGGTTCTTCGTGAAAATGGCCGAGGGCCGATAGGCTGAAGGTGGGTGTGAGAAAACTTGAACAAGGACATGTTTTTCAAAAGGAAATATTCTAACCTTTCAGGCCTCTGATGATGCGACGGAGCATGCAGTCGCGGCTCGAGTGCATCATAAACCTGAGAAGTTTCGAACTGTGCCGCAACCTTCTGTGATTCTCTCGCTGCCGTCGTTCCTCAATAATTCTTCTGTTTTTTACTGGTAGCCCTGTCGAAAATGAAAATTCTCGGCTCATGATTTTCTCTCCTTTTTTTAAAATCAAAAAACGATCTTCAAATGATATTTGGACGTTCAAAACTGACTCAAAAAACGTCCTAACTATCGACAAAAAATCCTCTAAATGGAAATATCGGACAACCGCTTCCCGACGATCTTATTTAAAAATATATTTATATTCAAAAAAATAACTTTCAGAAAAGAAATAAAAACACAGCTTTTTGAAAATTTATATTTCCAAAATTAAAATCTTCTGCAGGCCAGTCAAAAAGCCATTCCCTGTGAGCAATTTTTCATCTAAACCACCAAAAAATTTTGACAAGACAATAGAAAATTCCAAACCGCGTACTCGACTTACTATTAAATGTAGCTGAATACGCAAATACTCGAACTCGGAATTGTAAGACTTTGAACGAATCACCAGTAGTTTATTGAGCTAATCAGAAAAGAAGCAAAAAACTTGAAGCGAATTTCAAAGAGATGATGGGCGATTAGCCGGTGTCTTCTACATGTTTTCGGCGTTTGATGTAGAAATGAAGTTCGTTGGGACGATCTCCATCGGTTATTTTCAAGGCGTTTGGATTGGGAGAGCACGAGATCTTCACCTGAAAAACAAGAACTTAGCGAAATTATTTATATAAAAACATTTTTTCGTGATCCGGTGGAACCTGCTTCACTCTTTGGAATTTGGTTTTTTTAAATGGCATTTTATAGTTTTTCTGTCTTTAATAAATGGACCACCTTGAAAAATCAGAAAAAAAGCTGAATAGATTGGAAAAAGTAGAGTAATTAAAAAAAGTAGGCTAGTAATCGAAATATAAAATATTACTCTGGATAATATCATTTTTTTTCGTTCATTATCTAGAAAACGAGTCGTACTGGGATAGTTTTGAAAGTTTCGCATGAAAAATTTAATTTCGGCTTTTCAGTGCTCCGAAAAAGAGAAAAAAATATGAGAACACTATGAATTTCAGAAAAAAAAAACTTCGCCCAATGATTTTCAACTTTAGTGTAAGGACCTCCTTGTTTTCCGGAAGGTTGTAGAGTTTGACCATGACGAACGGCTGCTCATAACCGGGCTGCCCGTTGAACGGATAGTAGCACGACTGGATCCCTTGGTTCGGATAGAACTCGAATTTCACGTCGCCCTACAACTTTATGTATTTTATCCCGGTTTTCCAATTACATTTGAGGAACAGTTGAACGTTATTCCACTGCCGCAGCACTGTCCTCTCGAGCACGTTTGATCGTCATTCGTCTGAACATACAAAGTCAAGAAAACATAAGTATCTGATCCAAGGCTGGTTTGAGTCATCGGAAAAAGGGTTATGACACGATAAGAAAGAGACAGTGTCCGGCTGGTAGAGGGCGCAACTACTCAATAAAAAAAAGTTTGTTCACTGAAATTTTCCCATTAGAAAGTATATTGTAAGTGGTCAAATGGAGAGTCAAAGTTTATTAACTAAGCTTTTAAAAAAACGATGATTAGAACTTCTTTTTCCAATCTCATAAATTTTACAAACATTCAAGTGAGACAAAAATCAAAGAAGAAATTTATTCAATGCTCATTTTTTTTTCCTTTACGCTGTCTGATAAAAAAAACTTTAAAAAATCAAAATTTAAAACTTGTACGACCATATTTTTTTCATAGAGGTCCTTAACAAATCTCACAAGATTCGATAGAAACGTAGACAACTTTAAAAGTTCCTGTTATTGTTCAAAATCCTTATTTTGATCTAAGACCGACTTCTTTTCAATGTCTTTCCCCTAATGTGTTTTTTTTTCAAGTCTATCAAGTCATTTATTTATTAAAATACTTCAAACTCACCAAAATGTCATTAGGATGCCAACCGAGAATCTGAAATTTTTTTTCGATGCAAGTAAAGCGAGAAATTATCAAGAACCTTGTTGAGTTTGATCATTATACAAGGTTGGCCTTTGCTGAAGCCCATGCCTTTCTCCAGATTTTCTCTGAAAAAAGACTTGATCCAAATCGAGACGGAAGGAAAACCGCGTGAAAGCGCACTCTCCAAAGCCATCAACTCTTTCGAAGCCGCAGGCTTCATTTTCGTTCAGCGGGGTTTTCCAGCAGGGCGGCAGTGTGTCGTTATAACCTTAAAACCAGTGCTGAAACCAAAAAGGCAAGTCTGCGACTAACAGAAATTTTATTTCGGTCAAAAAGACAGAAAAATGATTTTTTCTTGTTTTCAATTTGGTTTTTTATGCTTTGAAGACATTTTTGAACACCATCAACATCTAAAACAAGCTGGATTACTGTCACTAGAAAAAAGTCATGGTTAACTAAGTACTAATACAGCAAAAAATGTGCTCTTGAGCAAAAAAACTCGAAAAAATTTTACAGTCGAAAAAGAGTTAACTAATATTTTTGCGAAACTCAGCACGAATTTTTTATTACATTACTCAAAAACCTGACTTCTTCCAAAAACCGGCAGAAAAACTTTCTCTGTGGAGACTCACCTTTCATCACATGTTTATAGCGAATGAGATAGTTGACGTACGAGCGAAACTCGTACTGATCAAACTCCATTCTGTTGAACATGTCTTCAGTGAACCTTCGAGGATTCGGGTCAAAAGTGATATCTGATAAAGGATCATTTTTGTGGAAAGAAGTCGGATCAACGGACGGGGAGTGCCGCCGGCGAATGTTCCAGTGCCGAAATAGCGCGGGTAGCGAGGGTCGAGCTGCGAGTACAGGTAGTAGATGAACGCCACCGAGAGGCTGATCACGACGCCCCACAGAATGAACAGGTAGGCAAAAGAAAACACTGAACCTTTCTATTCTTAACAAATTTTCTTACAGTAAAGGACAGTTCTCTGGTGAAATTTTTTTCAAAACAAATAAAAATAAGTGATGACATAAATGTCGAGTTTCGTAAGCCAAAATATTACATTTGAGGAACAGTTGAGACTGATTAATCCAAATGAAAACCCTAATGTTGGAAAGGACACTCACACCAGCCATAGGGACCAGAATCAAACTCGGAACCGTCGCTCATCTTCGGCATTTCTCTTCTGAACCAAAACTGATTCAATTTTCACTGGGACATTTTTGAACGACCTGGCCACAGTCGTGGAGGAGCGTACGGTCGTCAGAGACCTGACTGAGGTCGGACTCGCCGACTTTTTCGACTTGCTCGTCTTTTTGGATGACATGCCTAAGATGTGCTGATGGTGTTCGACTCTCAAGTGGTACCTGAAGTGCTGAGAAGACCCTGACGCTCTTCTTTCGAACCAGCAGTTGACATGATCGCTGTGTTTGCAGAAATGTTTGACTGTTCACGTCATCTTTACAATTTCTCAGCTCATGCTTTGTTATTATTGTACAATTATTCTCCTGGAAAATTAGTTCACTCTTTATTTTTTTTTTCTTTTTTCGCTTCTGCAGGGATTCGCTAGCATCGAATTGAATGTTTTGATGATTTCTATTTAAAGATTTCGTTCTTTCTTCTATTGTATGGTTTTTGCTTTCTAGGTGCTTTTCGGGTGAGCCAGAGAGATATCTCTGGAAAAAAGAAGTGGAATAAAGAAGACGGCTGTGCAAATTTTGACTGCCATGTGCCTCTGATTCACAATTTATCTTTAAAACTCTCTGGTTTGCGATGGCGTTTGTTTTTTTTTTTGTTGTTAAAATTTGAAGTTTCTGGTTCGTTTCCAATAGTTGATAGCCCATGTTAGCGATTACTAATTAATTTTTTCAATTATTTTCGCTGTTATTCGACTTTGGCTAGAAAAAAAACGAAAGTTTTCAAAATGTAGGAAAAAAAATGAAGCAAGCTAGTCTCATAAAAACAAAAAGTTCTCTGTAACTGCAGCAACGTAATTCAGATATGCTTCTCTGTGTAATTCTTCTTTTCTTGATTTCGGCCGTCGGAGCGTTTGAATTGATGACAGCTTCCCGACAAAAGCGACAGTATTACATTTGCGGCAACTATCCCAACCAGTTCTACTCCCTCTATCGTGAGTTCTATGAGAAGTTCCGGGCTTGAAGAAGTTCAGCGTGCAACGTCTTCATTCAAACTACGCGCTCCCCTCCCAACTTCAACCAATGTACTAATGGAGGCCAGAAGATCGGCGTCGGATGTTATTACACGTACCAGGTTCTTTTCAAATATTTTCCTAGTTTTCTGCTTGAGTCTCCTTTTTTTATTTTTGAAAACTCACTCCTTTCTGCAACTTTTTCCTCCTGGTTTGACTACGCATAAAAGGTAAAAGAGCTATGAAGAATAAAAAAAAACAAACAAAAAATCAAAATTATGTGCAAGATCTTAGAAATACTGAAACCTTATTTTCATCGAGAAAATATTTTCATATTTTCGCGCTTTTTGGAACACGTTGAAAATTGGGAGAAGGTAGAAGTACAACATAGTGTGAAAAAAATCCACGTTTCAAAATCGCCTACATTTTTTTTTTTTTGAGAAAACTTAGAAAAAGTTTTGACATCGAAGATTGAACAAAAACCCGTTGATCCTCTGCTTTCAGTGCACTCCGTACTCGGGAGGCCAGCAGGTCACCTGCCTGAACAATTGCTGCTGCACTGTCCCGAACGTGCCCGTGCCGCCGCCCACTTTCTTCCCGCCAGTCTCGACGACTCCCTCCGTCGCCGCTCTCGGTATCATCTTCAAAAAATGACCGAGCTTATCAGTCAAAAAATGAATTAGAAACGAATTTCATTATTTTTATAACTTTGTTCTTTCAACTAAACTTTTCCAAAACCTTGAAGAATTAGAAGCTATCGAAAAATGGGCACGTAAAAGTAACCAAAAAAAAAAAATGTGGCTCGCGAGCTCTCAATCGAAAAAGTTCCACAAAGAGAAAGGATCGTTCTTTTTTGTGAAATATGATTTTTTCAAGCATATTGCTACAATGGACAACGGACACAAGTCCGATGTCAAACTTCGACCGACTGTTCCGTCGGACAAACTTGTGTCAACGCCGTGTGCTGCACAACGACGGGAAATGAGTGGAGTGGTTCGTTTTCAATTCGCTTTTAAAATTTTTCCACCAATTCACCGTAATTCTTGAAATTATTTCATAATATGCTGCAGAAAGAAGCAAGCCGAAGATAAAAAAGGAATACGGTCAATAAAAGTTCTGAATATTATTGAACCCGACTCTCTAGGGCATCATAATAACAGCCAAAGAAATATGGAACCTTTTCCACGTTTTGATACTTCTATATTTTTCGATATCGTACTATATTTCGATACTTGAAAGCTTATAAAAAAATCAATTTGAAGCTCAAAACTTTGAAATTTATGTCGGAAATAAGATGCTGATAAAAATGCTGTTGAAGTATTGGAATCATCCAAAAAATGTTCGCTCGGTTGAATATCCGTTTTCGACGACTTTATCGGAGGATTGACATTTTCAGGAGCCTGTGGTGGTTTAGCCGCTTTGGCGTCTTGCCAACAAGGCAGTTCCTGCGGCTCTTTCTCTTGCACGACGTCCAACTACTGTTGCGAGTGTCCGGCCGGCAGGACTAGCGGGCTTTGTTCTAATGTAGCTACTCCGTCACTTATAAATATGAAACAAATCTGTTTTTAGGGCTGCCCGTCTGGATATTCTTGTTCAAGCAGCGGATATTGCTGCGCAACTTGTTCAAATGGTTCGTTTTTTTTTATAATTAGAAAAATGTTAACGGAAAAGCCGCATGAAAGTTTTTTTTTCCCTATTTTATACTTTCAGGCCAAAGACCTTACGGATCTTGCTTCAATGGGCTCTGCGCAAGTGGTTACACCTGTCAGGCAGGAAATATTTGTTGTTGATTCATTTTTTCCAATAAAAAGTTCTTGAGCATTTTAAGAATCTGTACACCTTTTTTTTGTGATTTGCAACTTTTTTTTGATTTTTTTTAATGAATAATACTTTTTGAAAATGAATGTCTTATCGAAATAAAAAAAATTAATTCAACATTTTCAATACAAAAAAACCAAAAATAATAAATTTTTCTGTGATTAGAACAGAAAATGAAATAAATGGATTAAAAAAATTGAATTTGAACTCCAATCGGGATAGTAAAATTTTTTTCAATATTTCGGAGTTCTTTTTTTAAAAAGTTTTTTTCTGTTCAGTAGTAGCAAATAAAAAAACTAAGCCTACACTTCAACTTTTGAAAATTTTCCGATTATAGCTGATTCACGGCTGGCTTGAGCCATCGAAAAAAAAAGAGAAAATTTATTTTTTCAGTACTGATAACGTTATTTTGGCCTTCTTTGTTCTGCGATCCTGCTTACGAAAAAATTCCAAACATTTGATTAGTCATTATTATTTTTTTCTTTAAACAGATTAAACCTCAATTTCACGCCGATTGCTACGTTTAATTTTCTTCCCGTCAAGTCGAAGCTACGCTGTTTTCAACTATGAATGAAATCGGAAAGTGAGATTAGAGTTTGAGTGATACGAATTCAAGAGATGTTAGCGGCCCGGCGTCTTCACAACCAGTTGAACAAGCTTATCCGCCGTTAAATTCTCGTCTTATGTTTTGAAGGTATTGCTTCCTTGCTTCTCAAGAATTCTTCCTTATAATGATATTTTTAATTCATATTCCGATTAAAGTGCTAGAATTTTCGAATACAGCTTTCATTGCTGTGTATCTTTTAGAAAAAGCCATTTTTTTCGAGCATAATGAAAAAAACATATAATTGTTTTTCACTTTTTTTGAAAAACCACTTTCATTGCAGATATATGATCTCTAACACGGAGATACCAGCCGAAAAAGCAGCTGATCTTTCCCTTTACACTTGGGATCTGTCAAAAAGCGCACTTTTTGTGACTTTAATTTTTGCGGTAATTTTAGTTTTGGCTGTTTTTATGGGCCAATCGAAGCAAAATATTCCCTGGGTAAGATTATCTCATATAGTATTTTTCATTTAAAGTTATTCCAGGATAATTGCTTGAATGTTTCCTGGTACCCAGAAGTGAAAACGATAAACAAAATTCACGCGCATTATGAAGTTTACAGGTAAAGTTTTATCATCTGAAATTTTTTCAGCAATAGCCACCGAAGGCTAGAAGAGAAGAAAAGGTAGTATTTTTTTTAATTTTTGAAAATTGATTTCAAACAAAAAAAGAATTTTTATCGTAAAAGGAACTCTATGCAAGTGATTATTAAAACAATTTTCAGAGTTAAAAAAGCACAAAAAAAAGATAAAAAGATGAAAAAAGCCGGTTTCTCGCGGATTACTTATGGTTCAACATCCAACTCCTATTGCAAGGTTTTTTTGATTTTAATCATTTTAAAATGGAAGAATCAATTTTTTTTTTTCCGAGAATTGAACTTTTTAAATTAAGTTAAGAAGGAGGTTTGGTTCAAAACTTCTTCCTATAGGATATCTGTTCAGGCCGTCCGGTTTGGCACACTGTAGGTTTAAACTGGGCATACACGGAACGCGGTTTTGGGCAATATCTTCGTAAACAACGAGTATTTTGTACGAAAAAGCAGGCGACTTCGAAGAATAACACAAATAGAACGTTCAAAAAAATGGAGTTTAGTTTTTAAAATTGTGTTTCTGCGAAAGCTTGCAAGTCTAAAAAAGGGCCCATTTTAAGGAATTCGCCTTTAGCAAGGAAAAAAAAATCGTTTTTTCTGCAATTTTCCATCTATTAATGCCTAAAAGAGCCGATTTCGTTTCATTTAATAGAAAATATGGAAAATGGTGTAGTATGGTGAGCGCAGACGGCGCAGCGAAAACCGGACGGGTCCCTGTAGGTCTGAACTGTTTAGATCTAGTTGACAGTAATTTCGGTCATGTTGTTTTCTTTTTATAGCCTTCTGGATAATTTTTCTTCACAAAAGATGATGGCACAACATTCAACACCAAAGGAAAAAAGTTACAGATTGGCAAAGAACTTCGTTGCGACTACCAGAAACAGCAGACCGAAATCGTTTTTGATCAATTCATGGTTTTATCATTTTTTCAATATTTTCTATTTTAAATTTAAAAAAATTTATAATTACCTTCCTCGAGTTTCAGATGAAGTCCTTGCTCCGTACCATCGACCTCAACCCGTACGTCTCGGCGTTGCTTCGATTGGCCACCGTCGTTTCCTGCGTTTTCCGCTTCGTTTGTTTTTCGTTTCACTATCTCATCATTTTTTCTAGTCAATATATGAGTATCTGACAGAATGAAACCCAGAAAAATCAGTTACGGAAGTATGTATAACTACCGCGGGTAAAAAAAAGCCGGCGACAAAATAGCTCAGAAAAACGGCCGTGAAGAAATGGCGCCGGAGTAAATACGATCTATGGAAAAGCCGAAAGTGAAATTGGAGTTTTTTATTTTATTTTTTTTCATCGAAAATTTTACAATTTCTGTTTGGGAATACCTAGCTTTGGCGAAGCCGTTAACAGGGCAAAAAATTAAACGGAACAGTTTGAACTGTAGAAAAAAAAATAACAATTTAAACGTCCTAGTTTTGCGGTAACAAAGAAAACATTCTAGGTTCATTCAATCATCCAATCTTCTGACTTAATCTTCAAGACTAAGCGAAAGTCGACCTTCAAAAGCATTGCTTGTTGGGTCAATCCGACCCTGATCGTGTTGGAATCGGTGTCCGCGTTTTTAATTGTTGGGCTCCACACTGAGTACGACAAAAGACGTGAGAACATTCTACAATAAACAGAAATTCGACGATAGAGTAGAGCTTTTTTTCATCATAAGAATTTGTCACAAATATTCGTTAAAAGTTATAATTAAATCAGTGAAAGCCGTTCACAAGATTTCGATGATCCTTTTTGGAACGTTTTGCTGCTCGCAGATGTTTTCCGCCTTGATTCGAGACGTCTTCAAAATTGGAGTGGTCGCAGTGAGTTTACATTTTTTTTTAAATGTTTACATTATATAAAAAAAGTTTTCATCCTTATTCAAAATGTTCGCCCAAAAGGTTCTATGATTTTTTGTCGGAAAAATGGTATGGAATTTGCGCCATTTGGGCCGAGCCGGCTGTCCTGATAGGCTGACAGGCCCCGCACAAGTCTGTTTACAAGGAAGATATTTTCACTTTGCTGTTGCGAATTTTCTAATTTTAAGCCAGAATATTCTCTGATTCATCACATGAAGTTCCTGAAAGTTGCCTGTTATTCATCTATTTCACGCTTAATTGCCAATAATGTTTTTAAAGAATTAGGTGGAAGGGTGAACTGATATTTTGATGTAAGGAAAAATCAGTGAGGTTCTCTCTCTTAGAAATTTCGTAGTTGGGCAGAGTAAGACTCACAGAATTTTCTTCCGAAACATTCGAAAGCGTTCTGGCCAAACTTCAGGAAATTACCAACCACAAAGTGAAACTGTTTTTTTTTTAGTTTTCTCGAAAACTCGATGAATAAGTACAGGATATCTGTTTTTAGATCTCGAGTACACTTTTGTGTATTCGAGCTCTCTCGTTACTCACGTTTGTGCTGACTTACCCACGAATCGTCTTCAATTGGTTTCCGTTCTTCGAAAGCAGAACTTGTCATCCATTTGGTAGACGCCATTATAGATAGCACTCCCAAAAGTCTCCTCTTGGCGCATTCCGCGTGCGTGCGCGCGCCAATTCAAATTTTGTCTCTTGAACTAGATTTACAGGCTTCCAGTATATGGTTCTTTTTGTATAATTTTTCTTGCATTAAAAAAACTTCCAATTAATTTTACCCGGGTATCATATCTATGATAACTGGATATACGGGCAGAGTACCTGAAATTTTTTTGATTGCTACCGAGTAGCCTGGAAATGCTTCCCAGGTTTTTTTATTATTATTATTTTTTTAGTCACTTCGGTTTTTCTAATTTTTTTATTCATTCTGTTTTCAGACTTCCTTTGAAATTTGTATAAGCTGTACACGTTGTTCTCCATTCGCTCATGAGAAACGAAAAAAATGAATTTTCAGCAGCACATTTCCTTATCATGCGACGAGCTTTGAAAAATCGTATCTCCGCTCAAAAACGTTTCCAAAAAAAAACTTTTTTCACGGACCTGCGCGGCATTTTTTGAGAACAGATTTGGAAACAGCATGAAAAACTTCATCTAGTGAACTGTGTCTCATTCTGAAATCCAACTACGACCAGAGACCATTCCCTGGGCAGCTAGAGCTAAAATTTATGCTCGACGTCTCATGATGGACACGTTATGGAATATTCAAGATTCATTTTAAGAGGTATATTTGTGGGCACATTATGGTACCTTCCCCATTTGCCTGTGCAATTGAGTGAAGGCGAAAATTTGAATTTGCGCTAAAACAAGAAAAAACTTTCTTAAATAAAGTTAGATTCCCTAAATGAGTCAATATCAAATAAAAGAAAACTGGAAATGAATAAGTAAGAAAAATTATACAAAAAGAACCATATACTGGAAGCCTGTAAATCTAGTCCAAGAGACGAAATTTGAATTGGCGCGCACGCACGCGGAATGCGCCAAGAGGAGACTTTTGGGAGTGCTATCTATAATGGCGTCTCCATTTGGTGAGCAACTTTTGGAAAGTTAATAATAAATATTTGAGTTATTTGGCACGTCGCCTTACTGGAACACATTTGCGCCTTGGCCATATTCATCTTCAATCTTCCCGACCTCAGCCAGCCTTTGAAGGTATCTAGAAAGGCTTTCTCGAAAATTGGTCTTTTTGTTAACCTCAAAATGAGATGTTCCCTAAAGGAATAACTAAACCGGTCCAACCTTCTCTTTTTTCAGTTGCATCTTTCGCCAACCGAAAATGAGATGAAGGTGCTCAGTGACTCCCCTGTTTCCACGTACAAACCTGAGTTTCCTTACGACCACTCTGCGAAATCTGAAGAAAACTCAGCTCAGAAATTCGAGCTCTGAAAATCTGAGTTCACAAAAAAATCAGTACAGAAAACTTTCCTTAAACTCAATGGGTTGGGAATTCTGAGCTGTATAATCTAAGCTTTCTTGAGCTGAAAAAGTCATAGTAGAGGGCTAAAAATCTGAGCTGAATTTTCATGTACCCGAAATCTGAATCCAACACAATGCAGTTTGATTTTTATACTAATATAGCTGTAGATATAGTCAATGTTTCCCGACTTGAAAGGCGAGGGAGGCGAGGCAAGGGGCGGGACGCGTAGCGTGTGCGTTCGCGGTTCTTGGCACGACTTCAATTCAATTTTCGCCGACTATTTGAAAAGCTCGGCAACCGCTCTTTTTCAATGTTTTCTACTATTTTTTTGATGCACACATGAACATAATCAATAAATAATTGAAAAAAAGGAATGAAAAAGCGAAAAACGGGTTTTTTTCAAAGAGTGGATGGCGGTTGAATTGAACACGTACCAAGAACCGCGAACGCACACGCTACGCGTCCCGCCCCCTGCCCCGTCTCCCTCGCCTTTCAAGTCGGGAAACATTGACTATAGCGTAAATGTATAAAATGTAAATTTTGATATTTTGAAGGAGATCTAAAGAAAAAGGTTATTGCAACTTTACGAAACCAATGAAACGAATGTCTGTTAATTTGAAAATTTTCTGAATTTTTGTTGTTGCTTCTGATGCTCAAAAATTGACTAGAAAGAACGGCATCTTTATGTTCTATGAATAAGAGTCCCTTGAAATTGACAAGTCACACGCCGTAGCTAAAGAGATTCGATGGATGAAGAAGGTCTCTAAAAATGATTTTATAAAAATTGGCTAGATGAGTTGAACTTCACCTCTCTGCACCGTGTCGAGTCTTGAAGAACTTCTGAAAATCCTAAATTGAAGCTACCGTAAGTTTGTTTTTCAGAATTTTACAAAGTGCGAAAAACTGTCAAGTCAAGGCGGGCGGAATATACATAAATGTTTCCTATTCAGTATCGAGAAAACCCATTTTGAACAAGATCAAAAATATTAAACTATTGATAGAAGGAGTATTTAAAAGCTGGTCGTTTGAGGAAAAAAAGAAAGAAAAAGATTTCACCGAAAGATCGACAGGTGCTGACGCTGAGTTCCTCGTCGTTGAGATATTTTCGAGGCCCAGTTACTCCAGTAGAAGTGCTGCTCATTGTAGAATCTTCTGACAAAGAGGATGGCCTGAAATAATCTTGAATAAATGATAAAGAGAAAATTGGATACCCTTGAAGAGCTGTTGGGGACGATTCCCTTTCCTGGAAGTTTTCAGCATTAAAATTTTTCATTTTGAAACAATAAATCAGAAAAACTATTTGAAACCGTTTGGACACGCTGGAAGATTTCGTCGATTTGTTGCTGGAGTTCTTCGATTTTCCGACCAGCCGTTTCGGGAGGTGCACATTCCTTTTCTTTCTCTTTCTTTACAAACGTTGCAAGCTTCAAGTCAGAAAGTTATAAGAGGTCACACCCTCAGAACTGTTCTGATAATTTTGCAAAAAAAAAAGAGAAAAGCCTGAAAAATAATTTCCCTCTGAGATTTGAAATGGGTTATGAATTTGCTCAGAAATTTTGAAGATCTGGAAAAAGACTTTTTCTTGACTCTAAATGAGCTTCCTGGTTAGAAAAAGCTTAAAATCATTTTTTTTTTCAGAAGCTTCCCAATAATATAAAAAGCTCAAACCTTTCTTTTGAGATAAATTTTGAACTCTTGAACTGCAGTCATATTTTCCTGGGATTTCTGAGAAAATAAATAATGATTACCGTCAAAGTTGCTCACCCGGATAGAGCTCAAAAAAGCGTCACAGTCTGAAAGAAGATTGCGTAGATGATTGACCTTCGCTTCAACTTGTAGAATCTGAAAACTCATTGAGAAAAAAGACTTTTTTGAGAAGATTATTTAAAAAAAAAAGATCCTCAAAAAACTCAAAAACCTGTGTAAGGAGCGCTGTGTTTTCAGAAAGCGAGTTAGATATCAGAGACTTCTCGCCTAATAATCGAAGCTCCAATAAGTTGAACTGATTTTCAACCTATAAAGGAAAAGTTAGTATATTTTGTCGATTCCGGAAGGGCATACTTCTCTTTGATGAAATTTTCTACTGTTTTTCAGTTCATTGAGCATGTGGAACTCCAGAAAAGCACTTTCCTCGTTGTCATGTCCCTTTTTTTTGAGCGTTTCAACAGTTTCGAAAACAAAATCGTTCAGATCTATGCGCGAAATATTCTGAAATTCAGTGAGTGGTGTGCATAAGCCCAGAAAAGTTTATCAAACATTTTGCCCTGAGTTACCCGTTATGATAGAGCTGTTTGAATAACAATCTTCCTGTCGTAGTAATTGACTCAACTGAATAATTTCCGAGTCTTGAAGGGTATCTTTATACGAACCTCTTGATCAAGCTCGATCTCGTCGACTTCAGAAACAGAGGAACTGTGAGCATTTGAAAATTGCGAATTGTGCCAGTTCGACGCAATGCTCTGGTTAGTTGAAAGATCTTACAACGAATGTTATTTTACGCTGCAGTTTGGAATTTTTACTGAAAACTGGCTATGACCCTCTTTGATTATCCAATGAAGCTTCTGAGAGCTCAAATTGTTCAACTACTTTTTACCATTTGAAGACCCCTCCTCAAACGCTTCTTTCGACAACGCAAGAAACGAAAAAGAAGATTTCGGCTTTAAAAAAAAGAGAAGCGTGCGACTTTCAGGCTTCTCATGAGGTACTTCAAAGGAAAGTTCAGCCAATTTCCAAAGAATATCACAAAAAAAACGTTTAACTATTATTAAACCGTATTTTGTAAGATCAGGCTTGTAAGAGGGCCGGTCCGTCAGCACCTCGGCCCCATGGCCATTTTCCAAGCCCGGCCCGGCCATATAGCGATGTCTCAAGAAAAAATGGCCGGCCTGACGCACAAGCCTGCGTAGAATGACGTGTCGTTACGTAATTTTATCCGGAGCGCGCATTTACTTTTTTTGTAAATTAAAAAACTTTGACGCCTCGCTCCCTCACCCTATTCACCCCAGGAATTCCGTGTGACTGGATAAGTTGTAGACTCACATTTTGAGAGCCACTCATGTAGGCGAAACTTCTGGTTGTACTCGAGCTCTGAAAAAAGCCTTATAATTGAATATATAAGGTGGAATACGATGGGGTTGTGCGTGGTGTCGTAGGAAGAATCGCAGGTGGTGCAGTCACGGCTGTCGGTATAGCAGTCGCACGGCAGTCCTTCGTGGTCCTGTCGCGGCCAAACTTCTCGCCCCGAAACATCGGTTTCTTCTTCCTGGAAGCCCAGCAGGAGTCGCTTTTCTTACATTTCTTATGATCGCAAAAAGCGGTAGTATCAAAACTAAATGAAAATTTTTGACAACGTAGTTTCAGATATACACATTTTTTAGTTTCGGATATGCTGACTTAGATTTATTTAAAAAGCAGCTTTCGCCTTCTACTGGAGTTATGGAGTCTTAAAGACGCCGAAACCTTTCTTCACTTTGCCGATAGAATTCAAACTTCCGGCTATATTTTGATTAAAACCATATCTTGACTAAGACGCAAAAAGTCGCCCTTTTTGATGAATTTCGCACGAGATTTTGCGTAAGCGCCTTTTTACAAAGTATCATCAAATTCTGATACTACCACCGTTTGCACACACTTTCTATGATAGTTTTTGTTTTTTTTTTTGGTTAAGTAAGAAAAAAACAGGTAATTACTTTTTGGAAAGCGAGTCCCTCATGACATGTTCAAAGCAGTTTCGGCGGTTTCATAATTGATGCGTTATTCGTTTAATATCATTACGGGAAATAGGCATAATTGGAATTCCGTACGACACCAGGAAAAAAATACGTTTCCTACAAAGATATATCGCAATATAAGAAGTTTCACAGTGAGTTTTACGCGCGAGTTTGAAATTTTCGCGGTGCTAGTTGTAGCGAATGTACACCCAACAAAATTGCCGACATCGCAGCGGGCCGCACGCGATATAGCCAAGGCTTCTCGCTGCGATCTCGTCAACATGTCGCTGCCATATCGCTCCCTCTTAAAAATTTGAAATTTGAAAAACATTTTTTTTGCTTTATTTTTGACTTTTATGATGAAATCAATCAAATTCAAGAAAAAAACATTTTGAAGAAAAATTTTTCAAAGAGCGATATAGCGCAAGACGTTTGCGAGGTCGCAGCGAGAGGCGAGCGATATCGCTCGCGGCTTCCCCGCGGTATAGCGTTACTCTCGCTGCGATATAGTCCACAAATTTGGGTGTACGGCCCTAAGCCTCAGCCGTCAATCACGGAGACGTTTCAGTGTGTCGGAAAATGCCCAACATTTCCAAATATGTTAGTTCGCGCGTAAAAGTTGAAAAAAAAAATCAAATATTGCGATATGTCGTCGTAGAACTCATTTCTCCTACGCCCTCCGGTCTCCGGAATTTTAAATCTGTAACAGTAGAAAAAATTTCGATTTCGTGAGAACTAACATTCAAGCTGTTCACGAAAAACGAAGCAAAGCTGATTGGCGGACCGAAATTGAAGTCCCTGTGACTCATCTTGAGAGTCGAATGAAATGATCACGATGACTTTTTTTTTCGAGAAGTGAAGTTTTAATTTGGCCTCAATTTCATTTCCAAACCATAAAGCAACTGAAAAAATGAGACGGTTAAAAAAAATTGGTGGGATTTTTTTCTTGTGCCAGCGATGAATAGCGCACAGAAAATCGGCTGTGAGGTCGCCAAAAAGTCATTCCCATATACACTAAAAAGAGTTATTTTCTATTTTAACTAAAAACAGAAAAAACGCTGACCAGTGTGAGAGAAGGGTGGGCCCAGGCGCGTCAAAACACTTCAAGGCAACGCGACTGAAGTTTAGAATTTTTCGCTTAGTCTTTCAATTATTGTTAGGGTCTATGTTTGGCTTAGGCTTAGGC